AAGATAGAGAAGGAAAGGAAAAGAGGAAAAGGAAACTCACTATCGCAGAGTTTTAGAGAGTCTTTGGGTTACAAACTTCATAAACCTCGGACCCACTCTACGACAGCGACAGACACGTGACTCAGTTTCCTATCCACGATCGTCATAATAATAGCTTAAATAATAGAATACCCTAAGGGAGTAAGCTATTAGCCTCGGCATTAATAACGGAGACGTAAATAGGGACTTCCTATATACTATCAAAGAGGTCTTACCTATTTAGTAGTAAGGAAGGTATTAAGAGATCGTTATAGATAAGAAAGTCTATTAAACCCGTGATCTCCTCGAGTCGTTCCGCGTAATAAATCGAGAAATAGGGGTATAAAAGGTATTATCTACTATACCCCTAAAAGGGGCATTTTTAACCTAGTAGGGACACTAAGAAGTAAAGTCTTAGACCTAGTCCTAAACTAAGGAGCCGATCCTATTTGAAAAGAGGAGGTACCTATACGGGAACCCCTACTATTTATATAAAATAGTAATATATTAGTATCTTAATAAGGAAAACCGCCCCGAAGGGACCTATATTAACCCTAGAAAGCTAGAAAAGATTAAGCAAAAACTCGCTAAAGAGCCTACTTAGAAGAAATAGGTAGAAAAGAAGGTGGAAAAGGTATAGTAAACTTAGTAAACTTAGTAGCCTTAGAAGGAAGAGTTTATAAATTAAGTAAGCTTCGCTACTACCCCTATACCGTATACTAGTACTCTTAAGCCCTATACTATATAATAAGGGGGGCTAGTATAAAACTGCGAATACGCCCTCTCCCTTACTAAAAATAGAGAACCTATCTTAAAAGATAGGTAGATCCTTAATATAGGATCTAGCACCTATATCTATAATAATAGAGACCTTTTTATCGACTTTATACCCTAGATTTCGGATCTTACGACGGGAGATAGTACCACCTAGGTACTAAGAAAGGGGAAGGTTAGACTAATAGGCAGATATCTAGTAAAAGGCAAAATAGAGATTACACTTAGTGATACCCTCTATTCCCCTAGCTTCTATATAAACCTAGTATCCTATTCTATACTAAAAAAGAAGGGCGGAATATAGTGCTAGCGTATAAACTATATTAGGGACCCTAATAATAGACTAGTTATCTACGTTAACCTTTAGGACTAGTTTAACCTCTAGATCTTTAATTAACCCGGAGAACTTATATAGCCCTAGTAAGCCTACTTTATAGAGAGAAAGTTAGTAAAACCTTAGTAGTCAAAAGCCTTATTAGATATCTAGCACCGAAGACTTACCTATATTAACTAGCGAAGCGCTATAAAACTCGCTACTATAGTAGATAGAGTCATTTTTAACGATAAAGAAAAGGAGTCCACTAAAATATAGGTATTATACTAGACTTATTAGCTAGGTCGTACACTAAGGTAGATATTAAGACGTATAGTTAGGCGCACTTTTAGACGATTTAGAAGAGTGTACTTTAATCTTATTTAGCTACCGCTAGTAGAGAATAAGCACCGCTAGATCTCTTATTTTTACCTAAAAGGTCCTAGGTTTTATTAGCTAATAACCTATAAAATAAAGCCTAAGTGTTAGCTAGCGATCAATCGTTTTATAGAACTAGTAAGAAACTAATAGGATCTACTAATTAAAGCCTTCTAATACGATAATAAGTCCTTAGCTAGAAAACCTACGGAATATAGCTTTACTTCTAATAGTATCCTTATCTATTATAACCCCCTAGGGTATTCCGAAATAAATAGTTATACCGAAAGATCCGGCGGTATAATTATCACCCGTATACGTATACTCGTACTTAAAGGAAAGCTCCTAAAAGATCTATAGCCAGAAGCCGCTAACGCTACGGTATAGTTACTAAATCGTACGCCGACGTATATCACTACCGAAAACCGCTAGGTTATACTATAGGAGGAGGTACGGAAGGAGTTCGCACTATAGGCGCCGAGGATCAACCTATTAAATATCAAACTATATAGAAGTTTAGTATACTATAGGATCGATAGATAGGTCTAGTCTAATAAAATAAACCTACGAGCTAAGATCGGATTCTTAGTTAGCTATATAGTATTAAATATCTAGAAAATCTAGTTTCTATATAATAAGAAGGTGAAGCCTATTAGGGATATAGTATTTAATAAAACTCGTAAATATACCCCTAATTATAATAGATATTAGCTTATTCTAATACTAATATAGTAAGAACCTTAGGAAATTACTATAGAAGAGTTCACCTAGGTGCTTAATCGCGTGATAGCTAGTTAAGAGACTAGCGAAATAGAAGAGAGAGATTATCGAGATCTATAAGAAACTTAGCACTATAATTATTAAGGATCTTAGCAAGGATCTTAGTAAGGATCTCAGTAAGGATCTTAGTAAGGATCTTAGCAAGGATCTTAGTAAGAAAACTAGTAGAATATATAGCAGAACTCTCCGTAGAGGGAGACAGCTAGTAAAGTTAGTTAGCGAGATACTACCCCACTTTAGGGGGTAGACTAGTAAGTAGTCCTACCCTCCCTAAAAACTACGATTATATAGTAAATGCCTAAAATTATATAGCAAATACCTAAGATCTATAAACCCCGAGCCCCGCTAGGTATATTTCCGGATAAACCCCTTCCTCCGCTCCCTATCACACCGCCGTAAGAACCCTATACGCAGGATCACTATACTACCCCTAGTTAGGGGGTAGATATACTAAGGGATCTAGAGGATCTAGTTAGCGACTAGGCTTAGAATGATAAAGCTATTCCCACTATAGAAGATAAGCTAGAAAATAAGCTAGAAAGATAACTATAGGCGGAACTTCTCGCCCTAAGTAGACAAATCATAGAAGATATTAATACTAGTAATATTATTAGTAGAAAACGAAGGCGTTAAGCTAGGTAAGATAAAGACTATATCTATATAATAAGATCTACCGATATAGAGAAAGACCCTCCTACACTACTATATACTTTCGTTACAGGACTATATACTAAGAAACCTAAAATTAGACGTTATTAAGATAATCTCCCCCTAGTCCTAAAACACTATAAAGATATTATAAACTATCTATTTTAGGAAGGCTTTCTCGTAGTAATAAGGAAGGAGATTAACTCTCTAACAGAAAAGGAAACCTATAAGATTATAGAGAGACTAAAGGATAGAGGTAAGCAAATACTACCTCTTATATAGGTATTCACCTATAAATGCGATTAGGATAGTTATCTAGTTAAATTTAAAGCTCGTATATACGTATAGGGAGATCTAGAGACTATTTCGTACGAAGAAAAGAGAGCTACTATACTAGTAGTAAGGACTATAAGGATGATCTTCGCCCTTATTACCGTATTTAATCTCGACCTAAGATAGCGGGATACGGTCACTACCTTTTTAAATAGCACGCTAGAAAAAGAGGTCTACACCTAGATACCTAATAGGTTTAGACTACCCGGAAAATACTAGAAACTCCGCCGCGTACTATATAGTCTACGGATCTCACCTAGACTTTAGCAATAGGAAGCAGCTAATATATTTCGTAAGCTAGGACTATAATAAGCCCTAGAAGACCCCTATATCTTTATCGGAAATAGACTAATAGTCTTTTTCTATATTAATAATATCCTAATTACCTACTATAATAGTAGGGAGGCGCGAGAAAGGGCTATATAGCTAGAACGAGATCTAGAAGCACACTAGGAACTAACCGATTACGGAGAGGTAGTATAGTTTCTTAACATCCGTATTATTAGAGATAGATAGCAAAAGAAGCTATAGCTCTATTAAGATAGCTATATAGTAAGTATTACTATACGATATAACCTTATAGATAGACTAGCGGTATATACCCTAATACCGGTCGAAGATCTAACCCTATATTAGGGAGTAGCCACGGCATAAGAGATCCTATTATACTAAAAGAAGGTAGGATCTACTAGATATACTACTACGATTATAAGACTAGATACTATAAAATCGACTACTCGTCTAGTATAATACTTAATAAACCCGGGCCCCTAGCACTATTAGGTAGCTAATAGAGTCATTACCTACCTTAATTCTACCCGCTATCTCGCTATTAAATATAGCGTAGAATTAGGTATAGAAAGGGACTCCGTCTAATTCGCTAGTGATACTTTATATAGGGATCACCCCGATAGAAAAAGCTCCGCTAGCTATATCTACTAGGTATATAGCGGGCCAGTCGACTAGAAGGCTAGTAAGCAGCCTATAGTCACCACCTCCACCACTAAAACTAAGCTCCTCGGTCTCTTAGAGACTACAAAACAGCTACAATAGTGGCGCAGACTTCTTAATACCCTAGGTTTTATCCCTTCCTATCAACTAAGTATCGATTACGATAATTAGCGCACTATCAGTCTTCTAACTAGCGAGGACACGGCGTTCGAGACGAAATTACGATATATTAACATTCATCGGCACTAGCTTAGATAGGAAGTTAGGGAAGGAAGAATTAAGGTGAAATAGGTGCCGACAGCTAGTATAGCTACAGACGGACTCACAAAGTTGCTCACTAGGCAAAAGCATGAAGCTTTCCTCAAAATGTTAAGGATGATAGATATAAGCTATCTGATAGCAGGAGCTATTTGACAGCATAAGTCATTTGATCAACAAAGGGAGAGAAATAGCATGCCGACTGGGGTGTAGGAAGCAGCTAGACTATACTGGCCTAGCTGAGGGGGTGTGTCGGAGCATGAGATCGGCATACCGGAAGTTTAGTTTATCCTGTCCACGCAGTATTTTTGATATTAGTCAGATAGTCATATTTCCTGCCAGAATAGTGGATATAGAAATACAGAGATTTCAACTCCCTTGATTGGACCCCTACTATACTGAAGACCACATCAGTTGACAGCTCGAAAAACATGAATGACGTCATGCGTACAGACCACCGCCCGAACTGACGCTCGGACCATCGTTGCTTATCAGTTGCCCTCCAGGCTCCAGGAGTACTCAGGAGTGCGATTCAGAATCCATCACCATGACGACGGCCGCAGTGTTCGGTTGTACAGGAGCTGTTGGCTCTCAGATCCTCGCTACAATCCTCGAGTCAAACTCTTTTTCTACCGTGCAGACCATCTCAAGGAGACTCCCAAATGCACAGTCTGCCAAGCTTCAAGCAGTCCAGGAAGTTGACACCTCAAAATGGGGCGGCATGATCTCCACCTTGGCCACCAGTCCATCTTTAGTGTTCAATGCGGTTGGCACTACAACAGCAGCGGCGGGAAGCATTAAGCACCAGTGGAAGATCGACCATGATTTATGTGTTGAGAACGCGCGAGCAGCCAAGGAGGCAGGCGTCAAGACGTATGTTTATATCTCCAGTGGTGGAACCAGAAGCATCCTCTGGGGGTGGGTTCCATATTCGAAAATGAAGGTTGGTGTGGAAGATGCTATTAAGGTGCTCGAGTTTGAGAATGCGATTATTCTGAGACCAGGGATGATTATTGGAAGAGAGACGTCCAAGGCGTTACTTTTGGAGAAATTTGTGGAAGGTCTCCAGAAATTGGGACAAGGTATTCAGGACAAAGTTGGTATGGAATGGCTCTTCTATTTGCAGTAGCTTTGATGCTAATGGCGCGTGCAGGTCAAAACCAAACGACTATTGGTAGGGCAGCTGTGGCCGCTGCCCGTATGGCGATGGATGGGAAGGCACCGTCAAATTACTGGGTTCTGGAGCAGGCTGACATTGTCAGGCTGGGCCGCGATGAGTGGAACGAGTGAGACGTGCTGAAGCGTAATGTTTATAAATGGCAGTTTTGCAGTGCAAACTTTGAAAATGACAATGACAGCGGATCGAGAAACCAAGGCCAACGCTAAACAGGCAAAGCCAAAACGCTCCGAAGCTGTGGTATCTCTAATGTGGAAGACTCAGCCGAGGGAAGAATGAGATCTGGCATGCTTTGAATTGAGAAAGACCCTTTACCCATGTTCGATCAGCACGTTGGGAAGGATTTTACTTTGGCATGTTGTGCCCTAAGTATTGGCTTCCGAACCCATGCGCGGAGTCCAATCTCATGATTGCTCTGATTCGGTCCCCTTGAGATCATCAACATAACCGAGGATTTCCCTCCTGTCGTCGCAGATACGAGCATATTCCAAGAGCAACCGGTACGTGTAGACCTCCATATCTTCCCGTCGGAGCACCTTCTCGCCCCAAGCTTTCCCAGCGAGTGCAATCTTCTTGGCTGCACTGTCATGACCGCCCAGGAAATAAGCCATGATTCCATATATGTCAATGTAGGTGGTATCCATAGGGACAAAGTGTACCCAAGGAACCAGTCGTGAATCATGCCACTCCTTGTAGATAGTAGCCTTGATGGGGAGGGAGGTGGAAAGCATGAACCCACGATATCGGCCGCTGAAAGAATTACCGTCGAGGTCGGGTAGGTACTTGAAGTTGTACATCTCCTTCATCGCCATACCGGGTGCGACTTCGAAGTATGGATCGAGATAGGGACAGTGTGGGTCTGATTCATTGTAAGGATTACAAACCAAGTGATTGAAGCCAGTATCAGTATGATCCAAGAGGAGCTGTGGGACAAGACCGTCGCCTTTTAACCTGTAGTTCGAATAGTTGGGAAGTCTGAAATTGACACCGTGGCTATGATTCCTCTCGGCCTCAGACACCGATGTTGCATTCATCATGGACATGAATCGGTGTCTCTGGAAGCCTGTCCAATTGGGCTCTCGGGCCCGCCCTCCAGTGGCAGCTCCTCGCCATGTGGCCTTGTTTATTTTGGAATCCCAGGGACCGCCGTGCTCTTTCTCTCCGCCGGAGTAATGGTCATTCTGTGCCCAGTACATCGCCGGGGGGAGAAGAATCTCATTGTTCATGGGAAGCTTGGAACCACCGAACAATGGGATTAGGTTGTGCGTGGTTGAAACAGAGACTGGCTCGAGGAATGTTCCGTGCAAGACTTGCATTTCTGGCCGCGCACACGGGTCCTTAGCCAGCGTGAAGTTTGATACATACCCGTGGTACGACATCCTTTCAAAGTTGTCGTATTCCCACGGAGGAGAACTGAAGTCCACGCTGGGCAGGTTGCTGTCGCGTGAGGGGCTTCCAACTGGACATCCGATCCGAGCCATCTCCCAGTAGCCTCCCTTGTCAGGAACACTGAACCCGGGATCATAAGGCTCCAGGTCTTCGCGATCCCATTTTGTCAGAGACATATATTCAGAAACAACACGGCTTGGACTCAATATCACGCGGTCTGCCTGTTCCTTTTGCATATACTCGTTGATTGTTTCCCAGGGAACAACAAGCCGAGTCTCGTCCATGACATTCATGGGCATGTCTAGATCTGGAAGCCCATCCTCCAATTTCGAGACCAGATCATACCACGAGTCCATCCAATCCCTAGGCTCGTCCGTTTTCATTATTGCGGTATTGTTGCGAACAGCGATGCGAGTTGGAAAGCTCCTGGCTTGTCGTCGTAATTCCTTCGGTTCAAGCGCCCAATATGGAGTCAGGTCGTGATAGATCTGGTCGAAGAATTCCTCGATGATCAGGGAGTCTTTTGATTTTGCGAATGTGTACCATTCTCCGAACCCCGGGGGAGGGTGTCTCCCTCGGCGCGCTCGGTATTGATCTGCAGCACTTTGGAGGTCGTGAGCTTGTGAGCTTAGGAGGTCACGTAAGTCGGTCTCTGCGGTATTGATCAGGGAATCGATGGGGTGGCTATTATTATAGCCGTACGCCGCATAAAACGTCACTGACACCTTGGGATCATGGCTAGGCAAGATCCAAGTCAAGGTCAGGATAAGAAATACCGCAAGAACCGCAACTCGCCCTGCGCGCGAGTTGAACGTTGTGAGCAGATGAGGCATCCCGAAAGTTCTTGTATTGAGAACAATCTTTGGAGCATAAGTTTGCACAGATATTGCTTGTTAGAAACAAAAGCCAGGAACCCTTTTCTACTATATCCACCCCTGAGGCAAAGTTTCCGGTGGTGGGTACCAGCCTTCTCCCAATAGCCAAGATGCAAGAGAGAAACAAGATGACGTGTGGGTGTGCGAGCTCACTTGTACATTAGGTATGTGCATACCTAGCTCAGTACAGGGTTATCGATCGAGCCAGAGCAGGAGGTACAATCCAGCGAAAGAAGGCCAGCAGGCCAGATAGCGAGCAAAAGGTACCTGAGCAGATTCCATGTTATCCGGCGGAGATACGGAGCTTGGTTATCTGAGGTACTGCCCTAACCGCAATACGCCATCATAATCAATGCACGCGTGCGAGGTGGATCCATCTGGTCGTTTAAGATAGAGATTGTCCAAACTCCGCCCGTGGTCGGTGGAGATCGCACTTCTTCAACTCTTATTTTATGTTACACAGTACCGATGGCCTCCGGTCAACTGCCCAAGCCATTTTTCAACTCGGATGGACTGCTGGAGTCGGGGTATTAGTAGAGCTGGCGACCTCACTAGGGTGAATATCGGACCAACCCGTTGTGCCAAGGAATGGTCGGACCTGCGTCCTGAGTACGGTGCCATGACCTCATGGCTATCGGAATTTCCAAGATTTGTTCTCGTGGCTTTTCCCCTTTTTCTCGATAGCCAGAGACACCATTGATGGATGTGATAGGCTAAAGGGCTTGTCATACAAAGAAAGGTTCGGCTTTAGGTTCCACTGCAACGTCATTTTGGGCCTTACATCCTCAGGCAGAAATCACTGGCCTGAAATATGAACTACATGCAAGTCATTTCTAAACCAACATCCAGTACCCACGGTCATTACTCATCTGAATCAAGTGTTGCAATATTTTCACTTCTTCTAGACCTTGCTTTGCTATCAACTAGCAGTGCAATCCTCCTACGATCTGAGTCCGTGAACCATTTCAAAGGACTAGGAGGTAGTCACTTGTGACTTGGATGACTCCAAGCTCAAAGTTTGGTGTATATTTTGGTCGAGACCAAAAGGTGTTCTATGGACGAAATGGAAGTGACCTCGAGTTTCTTTCGGGATATCTGCATCGTCAATGTTCTATCTCAGGATAGGAAGAACCGCCAACCCCAGCAGTACCACGAACCTTTCGACATTATAAGAATCAACCCAACCTTTCATGAACTTCAAGATAGCCGTATATTTGGGGAGCGCGTTGCATAACTAATAAAGTGGGTCTTAGTAGGCCCCGCACGCACATCAGTTCAAATTGACCAAAACCCACAAAGACACGTTGGATAGTTTCAGGGTAACAGGTTGACAGTAGCCAACTGATCTCTTGAGCAAAGAATCGTAAAATCTATCCGTGTGATTTGCCCATATTTAAAGTGTCCACAATATATATTGGGCTGGTGATTGGGATCAACAGATTTGGCTATCAGCCATCATCAAACACTGTGGAAGAATAAACCGAATGAGAGTGTCATGAAACACAGAGGCCAGTTGTAACATATCGATGTGTGGTGGCGCTGGGGTTTCAAAGTCTGAATATATCCTGGGGTCTCTCTATATGTCTTATCCCAAAGTGCGAGATGATTTTTGACAAGATGATCCATGTCCAGCATGCGGATGGGTAACCCTTTTTATCCCTACGACTAGCCCAATGAGGATACTCAATGACATATCAGCGTAGGTTAGTATAAAAAAATTCGAATAATACTCACCAACTGACGAGCTTGCTTGTAATCTGCAATATTGACTAAATTTTGAACCTTGAGGATATGCCTTTTTTTCACGGAACCCAAATCACAACTGCTTGACTGCATCATCTACGTTAAGTTGACGGGCGATTAGAAATCGTCTGCTTAGATCAGCGCAAGCAAAACACAACTACCGTACGTGTCAGCACGTACAGAACCGTCGGTATATCAGATCACTCATCACGTAGGTCTTGGAGTTCTAACAACTCAGAGCTTTTCAAAGGATCCTTGCCTTGCATTGATAGAATCGCTTCTTCTAATGCAGCTTCATGGTCAGCAGAAATGCCGAGATTATAAGGTGATGGAACAGCCATCATGGTAAGAAGTCAACAGTCGCAACACGTTGCACGAGTCCTGATGTGCGGCTGCTGTCCAAGACAGTCGAGAAAGCCGAATAAATGGGTACGCTGACGGCCATAACGATCTGTGAGCGGACGTTTGTTAGGTCAAGGCCCCACCCAGGATCCTCAATTTAACTGGCCGGTTCATATGCCCAAAGCACAATCGATTTAGACAATGCTGTCCAACACATTACCCTGAGCGCTGGTTTCACGCAACAGCACGCCTGCCGCGTGCAAAGCACCAAGTGCTAAGGGGTCTCGTATTCACCTGGGTCCTGGGCACCCGAAGAGTCAAACCATGAGTCCTGCACGGGTTTGCCGTCAATACGATGGATGGAGATAGGCAACGCGGTCGTATCAAGCACGCCTTCAATTCACTCAGTCGATAGGCCCTGGTGGCTCACTGTGATAACAAATCCGAGACCGTGGTCCAGCTGTATCTCGGGGTATGCTCTCTTCTGACTGTAAGTTGACTGGACTTCCTAGTCTTCCAATGCAAATCTCACTTTTCTCTCTCAGGTACGCCAGTGCATCCCATCCAACAGGGTACCGAGGAGCCCAAAGACGCACTGGACTATTTGAGATTCTTCCCGACAAGACAGCCAAGGCCATGAGGCTGATAGCGCAGAAACTGGATATCTTGTTCTTTATGCAAGACTTGGCCCTTGCAGCTATAATAGTGCCGGGATAGCAAAGTCCTTGGGTTCAATGATGTTCGATCCCCATGTGTATGGGAACCCTGCCATTCACCCAATAATCGGGTCCAATATCATGATCAACGTGCCAATTCCATCTCAATCGATCGTTCGTATAAGATTCTCGGTCTTCGCAAGCCCCCGGATGTCTCTATACTAACATAGAAGCTCCGCAGTTTGCTTGTCGGCCAGAGATGAATTCGCACTGCTCATGTCAGGGCAAATCGGCCTCTGCAGGTGGCACCTTGAGATTGTCAACCAGAATAGGTTCCAAAGCTCAATAGCTTGCTGAGAAACCCCCAAATGGAGGATATCAGCTCTGAAAATCCAGCAAAAATTCGGCAGTCCAAACTGCCTACCGGGCTGATACTCACAAGATCCAAGGAACCCAATGCATATGACTCGAACGTTGCATAGCCGTCTGTATTTCCCGTGTGATCCGAGTCTAGCATTCTTGAACCTGGCTCGGTAAGCCGGTATTCATGGACGAGGGGGTAAGACCGCTCACGGATTCGAAATCGAGGCTGATGTTTGACCTGATCATTCGCAGGACACAGACGAGAAAGGCTACCGTCGGGATTCGGATGAAGAACCAGTTTCATGGAATCCCTCCATTGAAGTGGGCGTATGATCTTCTTGGGTCGCAGAGATATCACGGACTTTGAGCGCTACTTGATGCTGCCTGCCTTGGTATGATCGTGACTCGCGGAGATACTCTCGCTACATAGAAGCGACTCATTCCGCACGACTAAGCGCATCAATATTGACTACTCAGTTTACGGTCAAGAGGGCTTTCTACCTTCGTCACTTGCGCTCTCTCCATTCTGTCCCCTGCACTCTTTGTATCGTCTTGCGATCTTGGCATCATTCTATCTCATCACTGTTCTCTTATTCATCTGTTTTCTGCATTATCTGTACTGTCTTGCGATATCGGGATCATTTTATCCCTCCACTGTTATCTCATTCATCTGTTTTTGACATTTATTGTCTTTTATCTGAACATCTGTCTGGTCTCGATTGTCTACCATCCTGTCGTGGTGAGTTCTATTCATCCCATCTAACATGAGCCCAGAAATGCTGACAACATTGTAAGTGCTCGTATGGAGTCCTGGGCAAGCATGGAGCCCTGCAAGGACCTTCAACAGGGTGCATATACCTCGAATACTGAGATTCCGCGCAATCCACATGTCCTGTCGTCTAAAACTAAGACGGATGAGCCTAGCAGCCAGCTTGCCAGATTGGGCCGTCACCCCAACGCACCCCTAGAGAACCTTCCCCCTGAGCTCCGCGGAATCATACTGTCTATGATGAATTTGAAGGATTTGAAATCTTTGGTTCACGCATCTCCAGCATACCATCGACACTATCGAGATGACACCAACCATGTACTTTGGGGATCTATTAGAGTAACTTTCGGCCCTAGCTACCTTCTCCCTGACGTTCTCGCTACTCACGAGTCTGGGTCCAAGGCTTTTTGGGAGACACGATGCAAGGACACTGTGGATGATTTTCTTCGACAGTACCAAAACAAGCGACTTGCCTCTTATGTATCTTCTTCCAGTGAAGGGTCTACTCTCCAAAGAGAATTCCCACTAGATGAAACTCTCCGCCTGGTGAGGTTTTATTTCTCGGTGGCCAACAATCTCACACCACTGTTCACCCGGTGGGCATTAAGCAACCTCACAGCAGAGGCCCCCATTATCCAAGATATGGATATTCCTCACCAACCCTTGACTGAGACCGAAGAGATACGTATCCTGCGTGCATTCTACCGCTTCCAACTTCTTTGCAACGTATTTGCCCATGGTTATGACACCCATTTCATCATCAACATACCTGCCTATCGGCCCCTAGAGGTTCAGAGATGGCTTGATGAACTCTTCACACCATGGGAGGTTGAAGAGATTGCATGTGTTCATGAGTTTGTCCTTGTGTCATATTTGGAGAGCATCCAAACCAACTGGACATCCTATGAATCACTGGCACAGCAAGGGTTCATCGTACGAGATGAAGAGGAGCTGGGAGAGAGCTCTGGCGCCAACAGTAAGTCATACACTATATCCTCATATTTATATCTTGACAGCCATGTAACTAATGATATCTTCTAGGAGCCAACACCTACCTGTTTGGGACCGTCTCTTGTGGCCTTAAGCCTCTGCATGATGGCTTATTCAAAGAGCCAAAGAGAGTCCCTCTCGTCTTGCAGATTGCCGAAGAGCAATCCAACTCAATGCGGGGAGCCCGGTTTCTTGGAGATTTCTTCTCCTGGCTCATGAACCTCCGTCGCCTCCCTCTTCCGTCTGCACAGAATGCCCCAGCAGGGGCGCAGGCGGGTCACCCGTTCCAGGGTGACGCTGTGATTGATCCAGAGGGGGTGTATCCACCAATTGGGTGGACATTGAACTGGAGGCGGTACCACTGTGAGGTGTTGGCGTGGGGGTATGTCATGTGGGACGAAACCCGCATGGCCGAGAAGGGCCTGCCCCAGGTCCTGGATCCCTAGCCAGGAAGTCCCAATAGGACCTGGGGGCAATGTAAGATTAGGGGTGAGAGAAAGCAGGAGAGAATTGTTTGTGTGATGTACTGTACTGTACTGTACAAGATATGTCAAGTGATGTGAATGTGAGAGATAGCTGATGATGAAATAAAATATATTCAGCTCATGATTGAGTGATATCTCATATGAAGTTGCTAGCTAAACGAAAGGTATCTAAAGTAGATGAATATCCAGCTATGTCCTTGGGTTGCTCTTTGTGGTACTTCGAATAGGCGTTTGTTGGGAGGTTTACTTATAAGTGCCATCGGTGTGAAAAACACATCAAACTACCACCGGACCACAACAAACATCAAGGATCCTGTTTATAGCCTAGGGGGCGTATACTGCGCTGACATCGCTTTGGCGCCTTACAGACCTGGCATCAACTTTAACAGGAAGGCGGGTCCGAAAGGAGACTGTTGATTGGCCCTATATACTACCCCCCGCGACGCAAGAGCAAACAGCATCCCTTTGACATTTATTTTCAGCGGGGATTGTGATGAAACAGTTCATGTGTGGCAGCAAACCCATCTCAATCTCCCATGACAAGATCAGCCTATAAAAACTCTCTTTTTCTAGCGGGACGATTCATACGAGCGCATCAACTGGGGCCGGGAACTAGCAGGGGTTGGTTGATATCTCGTATCGTCGCTACAGTAAGCCGACTCAGGGGCACCCCGAGAAGAGCGGGACCCTCACAGCACATACATAAGGCGATGTGGCAGGCTGCATGTGTGAGACGGAGTACCTGACTCTCGTGGATAATTTTTCAACCACAGGGCCTGCGCGAAACCTTTTGCATAGAGTTTGTTTTTCGAAGCAAACCTCTCTTCTGCCTCATCATACCCGTCTACTCCGTATGTTGGGTAGGTATAGTCGTTGATTACCTACCCCACTGTTTTGTGGCTTAGTGAAGTGCCCTAATCGCAGACACATCACACCGTAATAACACCATTGGCCTGAAGAGACCTGACCCCGCTCGCTTCGATCAATTTTCAGCCGCTTTTCGGCGCCGACTTTTCAGCTGGTCCCTACGCAGAACCCAAGATCATGCCACTAATATCCTGGAAATTCCTCTTCGTCTGCTTCCATTGACAAAGGGGAGAGTTGGCCAGCTTGAAAGGAAAGGATCCGCTGCTCGCATCTCGGATCAAGACCAAACTCGTATACCAATCAATGGCTGCGACTCAAGGCGCGGATGAGTATAACCTGCAGGAGGCATGGGACAGGGCATGCACCTCGTTTGCGCAGACCACCAAAGTTGATCTCACTGCAAAGCCCAGGTTCTCCATTGACGAGGTTTTGGACCAAATTCGCGAAAAGCAAGAGGAAGACAATGAGAAAAACAACAAATACAGGGCTGCAAAAGATGTGATCAGCAAAACTTTGAATTTTGTCACGGTTCTAGGTGGGATTGCTGCCGAAGGCGCCAGCATGGTTAGCACTCATCTTCATATATCCTTTACAAGTGATATTGCTGACAGGCAAATTCTAGGTATTTGAGCCTAGTTGTCTCTGCTTCAATGCCATTTCTTATCTCATTGACACCGGGGCGAGGTACAAGCGCATTTTTAGCAGTCTAGCTGAGCTGTTCCGTCGTATCTCCGACGTGCTAGAGCGCTGTAAGATCTATTTACGTTTGCCCGCGGATGCGGTTGACATTGCGCTTCGCAAGATTATCAATGAGGAGCTGCTTTGCTTTGTCGAAATTTGCGCATTGTCAATCAAGGTTCTTAAGGGCCACAAAGTCTTCATCGCACTCAAGGTCTTTGCGTTTGACAGCGATGAAGGCGTAAGCGATCAGCTAGTTCGCTTGGCTACGCTAGTAGAGCGCGAGTCTCAGATGCGCGCAACTCTGGGTTTTGAATCCCAGAAGACGAGCGAGAGGAACATCATTGATACCAGAGATGGTACCCGAAGGGTCAACGCCTCAGTCGATAAGCTTCTTAGTTCTGATATGAGAAGAGATGCAGATAGTGCTGCAAAGAGGCTTCTAGCTGGTATTGATTCTAGTCTGGGCAATCCTAGCGAGGCTTTTAAAGTCATCCAGGCGTCCCTCAAGCGTCGTTTAGGTGATCAGGTTCTGGGAAGCGGAGAGTGGCTTTGGAAAGACCCCTTGTATACAGCATGGAAATCTTCTGAGCAGTCATCTCTCTCCCTCTTTGGTATATCTGGGGGTGAGGGATATGGCAAATCATTCCTCTTTGCGACCATCATCCAACATCTGCGAGAGATCCAATCCGTACCTGCAGAAGATATGACATACACTTCAACTGCATATTATCTCTTTGATCAAGAAAAACATACATCTCTAGTCCAGGCCCTCAAGGTCATTGCGTGGCAGATCGCCAAGAGAGATATTGTTTATCGCAAAGACCTCAGCTCTGTGAAGGCAACCGGTGTCAGCCAGATAGCAAGTCTCTGGGAGATTCTATTTTCTAAGGCATACAGGAGCGACTCCACGTTCTTTGTCCTGTTGGACGGTATTGATCAAGCGAACAAGAAAGAACTCAGAGAGTTTGTTCAACTCCTGACGGAACTGCGGGCGACGTCTGAGACCTGGCCTCGATTTAAACTCCGCGTTGTTCTCTGCGGTCGGGATGAAACAATGAACACGATCAAAAACTACATGGGAGAAATCATCTCCGTCATCGACGTGGCATCTCAAAATAACGATGATGTGGAAAAGTTCATCATCGATCGGATGAATAGAATGGAGATTCTCAGCGGCTCCTCCGATCAAGTACTTGCTCTTCGACGGGAGATTTTGGAAAATCTGAAAACCCAGACCCATGGTGACTTCGTCAATGTTGGCCTCCTATTACATGAAATCAGCGGGAAACAACGCCCTGGTGAGATCAGAGACATTTTATCTCGATCGGGAGGAAAGCGATCCGACACGATTGGGCGAAAGATTGAACTCCTCAACGAGAAGCTCAGTGAGGAAGACATCGCTGATCTGAACATTATTCTCACATGGGTAATATTCGCCGCTTGGCCAATGCAAATTTCGGAGCTGGAGTCAGTCCTTCTCCTCAAAACAGGGGAAGCCTCTCTTCGACCTTTGGCGGAGAAGATCACCGATCAATATGCGTCTCTCCTGCAGATTATGGGCAAACCACATCCTGTGACTCAAAAGTTCTCGCCGGCTTTGGACGTAGCTCTGGTTTCTGACTCAATTGAGGAGTTTCTACGAAATAAACCTGACTCCGAGGAGGCTGAAACTGCCCAAGACTTAGATCTTACTGGCAGTATCAACGATTCTGAGGTCAGAATTGTCCGTCGCTTCCTCGAATCGGTATGCGATCCTAAACTTTTCTCCAAATTTGGCTTCGAAGAGTTCTTCCAGCGGAAACTCAAGGGGAATACTGCTCGGGTCGAAATTGACACTGATACCGCACATTTGAGAATCCTAGAAACGTGCTTGGACGTGTTCAAATTCAAAGATCCTTCAGGTCTCGCTCTGCATAATTATGCTGCTTATTATTTCCCCCAACATTTGCAGCAAGCGGATCCCTCGCTGACCCAACCGCAACGCAAAATTGCCCTTGGTCCGCAGTTGGTCAGCTTGTTTACAGACGAAAAGATGATTAGAGAATGGTGGTATCCAGATCGAGACTGGTTCCGTACAAACTGGATTTACGATGATAATTGGTCTGAAGTTGTGTTGAAGTGGCTCCAAGATTCTGCTGTAACCAAAAACCTCACCGAGGATCAAAGTACATGGGTGAAAACTTTGAGTTCCAAGTCAGCGCCTGATGCAGATCTCCTCGAACGCGTCATCAAATATGTCGCTCATCTCTGGTTGGAAGAGGGTGTGGCGAATCCGACCGAATGCTTCGCTACAATCTATGGGTATACTACAAAAGTAAGACTTCGTCAAGAATGCACAGGCTCGTCCAACATGTGAAGCTAACTATACCATTAGATTGAGAACCGCAAGAATTCCCAAATAGAAAGATTGAGGAGTGACCCAGAACCCAATGAAATTGAGGCATCCCACATTATCAATACTGCTGAATGGGCTCGACGTCAACTCGGACTAGAAAGCTTGGGGTACGAAGGGACTCGCCTTATGGCCGCTACACTCAGGGAGTTTGATAAATACCCCGAGGCCATTGAACAATTCAAATTTGCGTCCTCGCTCCAGAAATATAATTGGATCTCGCAATGGGGTCTTGCGCTCTGTTTTGCTAAACAGAAGGAGTGGGGCCCGGCGATTGAGATTCTCGAGGACGCAAAGAACATGGTCAAGTCCGGTGACAACCGTGAGGATGATGAGTATCTGCCTCAACTTGATCGTGATCTAGCCAAGTACACCTGGGAGACCGGTGATACCGCCAAAGCGTTTGCGATATACGAGGCAATCTTGCGAGATAATCCTACCGACTACGAGGTAGCTTTCGAGATGGTGATTTGTTATCACCGGGAGAAAAACTCAGATGGCTTGCTCGAATTTCTTGATTCACTCAAAGAATCCATGGACGATGAATATGGTCTAGACAGACGGACGCGTGCGTTCCATATACTCGCCTTTTTTGACAAGTATCACGAGGCACTCCTCGGCCTAGTCTGCAACGACAAGACCTTTGACGCTGTATTTGAGGGCTATCAAACAGCTATCATGAACGCTGAAAAGCTGATTGCTGAGGCTGTGCTGAAAGAGGATGATATAGAAACTGAGCATCGGTTGGGCCAAGCGCTTCTCATGCAGAACCTTGGGGCTCTGTGCTACGAGAATGGCTCGGAGGATGCCGAGCGGCGAAAGCTCGCTGAGGATCAGTGGTTAAGCATCCTCCAGCTTGAAGTACCTCTGGATGCACTCTACATCGGGCACATAAAAAACTCTGTCTGTGGAAAACTCGCGAGATTATATCTCAACGAGGCGTGCCGGGATCCAAGCAACGCAGATAGCTATCTGAAGCGGTTACAGCAGTTGGCTTCGTTCGATACGGGATACGCCTCCCTCAACGGGAGGCCTAGCACATATCCAACAGAATTGATTGCACGGTACTACTCGCTGCAGGGCAACGAGGAAAAGGCCATTGATACTCTGCGCTCAGAGGTCAAACACAGTATGAATCTTCTCTCTGACGATGATCCACTCAATGACTGGCAAGGATACCATACTCTGGCCAGGTTTTTCATGTTCGCTGGTCAGGACATAGATTCTCTCGCCGCATGGTCGCTGATAACTCCACTTCAAGACGCGGACAACCAGACAGATCTATCGGAACCCGACACAACCAAGCAGGGGCCCACAGGGCCATTGAATGATGTATGTGATGGAGACTGCGAAACTGTGTGGAGTTTCGCAAATGACATCTACATGTGCAGAGAGTGCGACTATATGGAGCTTGATATCCACTGCTTGAACAAGCTTCGCGAAGGAACCCTCCAGAAACGGATATGCGGCAAAGATCACGATATGCTGCATGTACCAGCATATGACATTGCTCAACAAGAAAAGATCGGTGAGGGCAATGTGTTGGTTGGCGAGGAGATAATGCCGGTGACCGAGTGGCTACGGCACATCAAGGAGAAGTGGGGTCTTCAGTGATTCATATGGTGGATCTTTACGTCTATAGGCACTTCATGGCTGCTTTGAACGCCCTATGTGTTAGCTTCTTGATTCTATTGAATCGAGTTGAAAGAACATTGTTGAGACAGGGTCTCGTGATGTGCAGGCATCACCCTAGTCAGATAGGAGCCGAGCTCAATGTGCAAAGTTCAAGGTAGCACAGGAACTCCTTTCGACTATAGGGATGGACAAAGCAAGTACGGACAAGCTCGTTTATCTTTCTATATTCTCTTAGCACGGGACACATGCATGGAGGATCTCGAGAGAAAGGTGAGTATCGGCAAAGGGAAAAGCCCGATTGTTGTTGTCGTGGTGTTAGAGGAGAATCGAACGAAGGATGAGCTGCTGATTTTGTTACTGTATGCCAAAACATATAAAGAAATGAGAAGAGAAGCAAAATCTGAATGGAAGAGCGGAAGATGGGAACTTAGCAAACTGGGAGTGAGTCTGGAAAGTAATATATCATATGCCGGACTTCGACCGTGCTGGCGAAGTCGCGTCCTAGAAAACTACATGTACTCATCCATGACTTTACTCACCGAAATGTCATCCCAGCAGACAGCGAGTAAGAGAGCTTACATAAGAGTAAATCGGAGAAGGGAAATGTGACGAGTTGATTATTATAAGATATTTCCAGCCCTTGTAGCTGGAGACTCCAGATCCGGTATCTCTATCGCTCCTCCTAATCTATTAGTGCATAACGCTCAGTTGTGTATTACAGCACAAGATAAATGAGTAGTACCTGTTCAATGCTCTATAGAAAGTGATCAACATTCAATCAATATGACGCCAGACAAGCTATCTAATACCTCTACTTCGTAGACACTATATAAAAGTCCTGCATGCTAGCACTTATTTCCAAATCCCAATATAAGCTAGGTCTTCATGGACCTGCTCCTGGTGCTCCTGATGCTCCTGCTGCTGCTGCTCCTGCTGCTCCTCCTGGTGCTCCTGCTCCTGCTGCTGCTGCTCCTGCTCCTGTTTGTCCTACCGCTATAGCTGCTGCCGCTGCTACCGCTACAGCTGCTCCTGGTTGTGGAGGCACTCCTTGAACAGGAGCAGGCCAGTAGACCCCATTAGGGAACGGCGGAACAGGACCCCAGGGCATACGTGTTCGTCTCCCATTAGCTTTTGGAACACGCTCATTGAATTTGCCCTTGCCATCAAACATGTGTAATGAGAGAACGCCATCCGGAGCTGTAGCTGTATACAGCCTATGTCTTAAAAATGGACCATTGAGTCGAAGTTGTAAGCTGGGAGGCTGTGCTTGGTTCACTGGTATCACCGAAACCAGAACTGAAGTCCAGTTCATCATCTCCGTCCCTCTCTGGAAGAGAATTGTGCCATCTACGCCCGTCACAGGAACGCCGGCGGCATTTAGCACCGGGACTTGCGTGTATAGGTTCACCTCCATGGCTATCACCGTCTGGTAACAACTTCTGCCATCGGCCAGGATACTCGCGGCAAGCGACACTATCATTGGGGGTGCTGCACCCATACTCAGAAGCAAGTTCACGTCGGACTCTGGTATAACCGTTGTATCAGCCCCAGTATCATCAATAAACTTGAACTCATGCCAAACTGCTGGAGACCCAGTGAGCCGGAGACAGAGTTTCATCTGCAACTGATTAGCCCAAGGTGACTGAAATTTTGAGTACCAGCTTGGAACATACTGGGTAATAAAAGCGACCCATGCTGCGGTCATGGGGATCGGTCTGCATATCTGTAGATGCCAGATTATATTAGTGTTAGATCCGGGTGAATCATCAAGGGTATTAATGCGCACGATTTAGAGCCAAATTTCGGGGCTTAACACCAAATAACTAGGAACCTCATACATTAGCGTATCCTGAGAAGCTTCAAAGCCAAATATCTTGGGAAGATACTCACACCCTCTACCCAGAAGCCACTTTGTCCGTTGTACTTGGCAGCAATTTCTTCGAATTCCTCATAGATGAATCGCCGTGGCTGAGAAATTCTCTTTCCATTAGAGAAGTAGCTAACAAGCCCATCATGCCACTTCAGGCTTCCTGATCTGTATGCTTCTATCAGGGCTACTACGTTCGGAGCCAAGTTATACTTGTCATTCCCATCTTTGAGCCAGGCGAGCATTCCTTTGAGGGTTGTCAATCGTTGGACGACGCTCCAGTCCTTCACAAGAGGTTCTGCAGCCATCATCGCACTAATAGTTTGTTAACCAGTTAGAAAGGCACAATCTCACAGACGGACTAACTCTTGGTTTGCTTTTTCTTTTAGAAATGCCTGGAGCTTCCATTCAAATACCGCAGGCATGATGCCATCTTCGATCCGCTCCTTGCATCTGGCAATTTGTGCATCCCAATCTCTGGTCTAGGGTTAGCTTGTTGAATATAAGATAGTAAGTTGAAGTCAATTTGCGTGAGTGCAAAAGGTGTCAGCCCGAATGAACACTTACTCGGGATGAAGATCAGGCTCTTCATCATTCCATCCTGCTGGCGCTTGATCTGGATTCGTGATAGGATTCGATCCCTTATACTGCCATCTCTCTTGCCGCTCAACCCGAACTGGCGGAGGAACAGGAACAGTTTCAGCATAGGACTTTTTGAGATCTGCAAAAAGCTTTTCTCCAGTTAGACCATCAGGCTGCCCGTATTCAACCGCCACGGGTTGTTCGGGGGCAGTATTCCGCCTCGGATTCGATTTAGCGGGCTTTGTAACACGGTTAAGAGGGTCCTTTATCTTTCCTCCTGACCTTTTGGAGGGGGCGAGGGATTTGGACTTTCGCGCCATGGCAATAGTTTAGAGTGTGGCTTTGCAAAAAGTGATGTATGGAATGAGTGGAATTGAATGAATATCAACCGATCGATGGGATTCTGTAGGCATATTTATACGTTGGATAGAGGCTTGAGACACGAATTTCAGATAAAGATAGCATTTTACGGTGGATTACAGGTGATCGTGTGGATATCCGAATACAAAGAAAGATGCTGATGCGGCGGTTTCCTTGCCCATAGTTCTCTATTTTGGTTTTCGCTTCCGCCATACTGTTTGGTCTCTCCTTGGGCCAAATTCTGTTTCTGCTATTTACATACCTCTACAGTCTGCCAGATAGTATATTGAATACATGCAACGCATTTCATATTGAAACTTGAGAGGTTGCCATTGCTATTCTCTAGTGCTTGCACTTTCGAGTACAAATATCGAGCCCTCGTGTCCAAAACACACAAAGAGCCTTTTTGAAACAACAAGATTCATGCTTTCTCGGGCCATACTTGAGTACAGAGGAGCATAGGGGCCATACAAGGCTTTGATTGTGGCTTATTGTTACGAACACGTGATCTCCTAGTACATTAGTCTAGCTAGCTTTCCCTCTTCTTCCTTTTCTCTCTCTACGCACAATACAAGATTTTCCAGTCCACTCCTTCTTATGAGTAGTCGTACAGGATCATCTCTATCACTTATATTACCTAGAATAAAATTAGTTACGACTCCACTTAGAAAGACAGTTGGGAGATGACTATATGAATAGTACAAGATGATTATTGTAGAAAAATGTACAACAGATTTAGAGCTATTCCGAAATCTTGATAGCACTTATAAAGTAGGGCGATGCTCACCCACATAGACCCCGAATATGCCTACAGGGTACTATCTCTACATGTAAATATGCCCATATGTATCGTGATATTAGTCCAAGGCTCGCATGGCCTCTATTCAAGTTTGGATAAAGTACTCATGAGACGCTCCAGTTCTGGATCCGATCAAATTTCCCCACTTGGTTCTTTGATCCTTTGATACATTCAATCTTGACTTTCAGATTTCCTGATTTGAACTCTTTCAAGTGCTCGGGGCTTCTTACAATTCTTGCAGATCTATTTTTGGTTCTCCGGTTTTCGTTCTCTTTGATTCTCGTTTTTCACGCACATGTAGGATCAACTTTGGAACACCCAGTCAAGTGGAGTCAAGATGCATCCCATCAGCGGAAATATTCCGCCTTAGCAATCACACCTTCTCTCAGGGCACCAGTATCATCCTTCTCTACTCCGTGCTCCCGCTTATATTAATATATCATCTAGAATCTCATCGTGCCTACCCAATACTTAACCTGTCCAACGAGTGCCTCTGTCATGACAACCAGCCCCAACCAAATCCACAACCCCGGCACCGCCGATGGCTGGCATGGCGTCATCCCGAGTGATGAGTTCCCTGCCGCAAAGGGTCGCTACCACCTCTATATTGGACTATTTTGTCCCTTCGCACACCGTGCAAACTTTGTCCGTCACCTCAAAGGCTTGAACGACTTCATCGACATCAGTGTCGTCAAGCCATATCCGAAAGGCGACTCGAAAGGCTGGCCAGGATGGCGCTTCCCGGCCTCCGATGACGAGTATCCTGGTGCGACAGTGGATCACATTTTCGGAGAGGACTATATGCACAAAGTATATTTCCGGGCCGATCCGGGTTACAAAGGCCGATATTCGGTGCCATTACTCTGGGACAAGAAAACCGAAACCATAGTCTGTAATGTATGCCAACTTTGGCTGGTGAATTCAGGGCGCGCACTTATGAAATACCGCATCTAGGAAAGTGACGAGCTTCTCCGATGGCTTCCCACTGCTTTCAATGAGTTGCTCCCTCAGTCGCTTGCTGCAATCGACCTTTATCCACCCCATTTACGCGCAAAGATCGATACAATCACACCTTGGATGCAGTCTGAGGTTAATAGGGGTGTCTATAAGGCAGGATTTGCGCCCTCGCAGGAGGAATATGATAAGAGTGTGGTTCCCCTCTTTGGTGCGTTGAACAAGCTCGAACGCATCATTGCACAAAACGAGGGCCCTTTCGTGCTTGGGAAAGATCTTACTGAGCTGGATATCCGGTTGTATGCAACACTAATCCGCTTTGATACGGTATATGTGCAGCATTTCAAGTGCAATTTGGGTACTATTCGACATGATTACCCGATTTTGAACAATTGGTTGAAGGGCATGTACTGGAACATCGAGGCAGCGAGAGACTCGACCAATTTCAAACATATAAAAGAAAACGTAAGTTCACATTTTCTTCCAATTGTTATTGCTACCGGTTAATGTTCGTTTTGTTTTTAGTACACAAAGAGCCATGATGATATCAATCCCAAGGCGATTACTCCCATGGGTCCTTTTCCAGATATTGAGGAAGGGGTTGAGAGGGACTGGGGCAACCTGACAATCGGCTGTGTGAAGCACCCAGCAGTACTAGCATATGAAGCGACGATACCTGATTTAGAGTGATGAAAGGTGTTCATGCTCGTCATTGTTTGATTTAAATCATCCATTATCGAGGTCTATGGCCCATCGATTGAGGGAGCCAAGCAAATGCATAAGGATAGGAAGTAGTGAGTCTCTGGAAATGATGCTTACCACACTTTCAAATCCCTCAAATGCTTCCAGAATGAGATACACAGTACTCCGTACAAATTATGGCCATGAAATAGATGTAGATGAGTTAATATTGCATCATGATCTTGTTCAAAGCCGAACCCCTTCGCCGAGAGCAGAACTTTGTCTGCGCGATACGCCGTAGAGAGAATCGGTTATTGAAACCTTGGAACCTCGGGAAGTCAAATCTTTGACCTGGATTAACCAATCACAGCCCCGAAATGCAATCCCTTCAACACCCCTGATTGGCTTTTTTCTGCCAAGGTTTCCCGTTCCATGTCACCGCTTATCGAATCTAATCTAACCTTATCCCTGGATGTATCCCCTGAGTCTTGGAGTGGCCAGCTACTGCCGTACGAGCAGTGCAACTTTATGTGCTTGCCCCGCTCAGCTTATTTCGTTCTCCCTTTGTGAAAGTTGAAGACCTGGCACAATCTCTGTCCTGACGATTCTACAGAGTTCTCCGTACACCATGCCCCTTTAAAGAAGGATCTTGTCTTCACCATTCTTGCAATGAATAATGTCCCGGCCTTTCAATCGACACAATGCCACGTCGGTCCCCTTACAACACGCTCAGAAGCATCGTGTCAGCTTTGGTACATCTCGAGAACGAGAGTTGTATAAGTAATCCCTTCCCCTTTGGTTGTTCCCGGCTCGATCATCCATATCTATCAACTTAGCCATCCAAGATACCGGACCAAAGATGTGTAGGCTAATCATCCTCCATGCTTCCTTAGATCTTCACCCCTGTATCCTCTCAATGTGCATTCCCTGCAACACATTACCCCTGTGACTACATCGAAGGAGCATGTTGCTAGATGCTCGGTCGTTCCTGTGTTGACAGCGTTCGCCCAACTGGGCACCTTGCGACTGAATGCGCAACTAACATTGATCTCGATCTTCGTCAACAGGAACAGCACGTTCTTACGGAAGCCACTCGGACTTTGAGTTTGCAAGATGACACCGATCATAATTACATGTGAGCTTTGGGTCGGGGGCTGTACCACGTCATATGACCGCAGCTTGTGTAAATCAGTCATGACCCCGATACCACTTGCTTCAACCGCAAATGATAAGATATTTTTTCGTGCCCAACCTTACACAGATGAAGCTTTCAAAGGCCATCCGGATGTGGACACCTTCCCAAAGATTCAGTTCCTCGCATAAAGTTCTATTATCAGCCCGAAAGCCATAGTGACTGGCGCCTATACGACCCTTGAGAACAAACCCCAGGAATCTTTAGACGCTGTTTTGCTCAAATTTCTGGTGGATATTCCTGCCACCGTGATGGATTATCTAGAATCGAGTCGCCTAAAATGCCAGCATTTTAGCGGTGAAAATTTGCAATATCAGAGTTATTTCTTGGTGACCTTTTGCATCGATACCTTACCCCGAGTCCCGAGGCATTATCTTTACACCTGTGTGGGATTTTCACAGGGGTAGATGGTATCCTGAGGTACGGCGTGCACAAAAGTACCGCACCGTATCTTCACTTCAAATTATGAGTTGGCATTCCTCTTGACATTTTGCGATAGTGTCATGGCGGAAGTGCATCACCTCGATGCCCACTTTGCTGATCGAGTAAAGTTAGACTTACTACTTTCAGGACTCAGCCATGAACTCTGGCCTCCTCTATATGGTATCTCTAGAACAGCAGAATTTTTTGAATGACACTGCCATGGACAATAACGGGTTCTTCCCTGCTTTCTCACAGGAAGATAGCATGGCAACTGGCAATGGTCTTGGCTTCAATATCACACGACGGATTATCTTATCACTTGGCGGAAACATTCAGGTGAACTCCGAAAAGGATGTTGGCACTGAATTCGTGACAACTGTGAACCTTAGTCATGCATCCGAGCTACCTAACGGGATATATCCCCGACAGGTTGAATAGTCACGATATTGTTTGCATGGCGAAGAAATCCACACAAATGAAAACTATTGTAGTCTTAGGTCGACTCAGAACAATGAACTTGCAGACATCTCTCGAATTCAGCACACTCCGAAGATACCTCAATGCCAATCATGGATATGCTTCTGACCAAACCTGTGCGGCTAGGCAGCCTGGTGCCAATGATCAAGGCCGTTTTTGCCCCTGTCCGTGATGCAAGGCGAAGTCTGACATGATTTAGGCTTATCCACATGAAGTTTTGCGCTCTCCCAATGCCAGAGAACAACCCCAAGGTCAGCTGGTACACGAGAGGTAACTTACCCATTACTGTCTTGCGTACTTTGCTTCTTGAGTCCGTTCTATTTTTCGTAATGTGATGACCCATTTAGCAGTTACATCCTTCTTATTATGAGATTTCTTGTGCTGTAATCTGGACATAGTGGTACCTTCGTCTACAAGGTATAAGTATGTTATAAGCGTAATTGTGTAGTATTATTCGCTATTTGCATTAGATTTAGATACACAAGTAAAGCTTCCCGTCTGACTCAAACATGTGGTACAGAACGTGGTGTATGGAAGAGAGGTGGCTAGTCATGCCAAAACAAGGTGCCATGGCACACTCTAGTTCTTAGCAGCCTCTGAGAGATTGTTAGCAAATGCTCCATAGATCTCTGATCACATGGAATTGGCTTACCCTTGTGGACGTCGGCCTTGAGGTCGTGGGAGACTTCATCCTTCTTGTCGACGAGGGCATCCTTAGCAGCGGTGGCGCGAGTGGAAATGCTGGCATCGCTGTTCTTAGCGACGCCCTTGTTGGCCTCCTTGGAAGCCTCGGCACCAGTGCCTTGGATGGTCTCAGCGACGTAGTTGGCGGCTTGCTAAAAGGGAGGAAATCGGTCAGTATATGAGGAAGAAACCCAAGACAGTCCACGTGAAGGAAAAGTGCAACGAACCTTGACGGTCTCCATTGTGAAGGTGAGGTTTGAGAAAAATGAGGTTTGGGAAAAGTGATGTTGTTTGGAATTCTTTGAGATGGACTGTGTTTGTTGAGCTTGATGGAATATTCAATATTGCCAGAGCTGGAAGGGATATTTATATTGTTCTTGGGAAAGGGTAATGTCATTGCGTCATGGTCAAAGGAAGCCGGGAACAGACATTCAATTGTGTTGGTTCATTCCATCGTCCAAATCCGGCATCCAGACTCCAACCCGAATCCCACCCTTTACACTTTCGGACTTCGATGACGTCACCTTTGTTCTCGAATCGGCCTCCATTTGTGCCTAGATCTGTAGGTACTTTGTAAAGAGAACAACCTGGTAGCGGACCATTCTATTTGCTTCCATGGCTTCCTAGCAAGGATTCTACATCCATGCGCGCTTTCTGCATGCGCTTAGATATTTGATTGGTCTTTGTCGTCGTTAGTCTCGTCTTAATCCCCAGACTCTAGCCGGACCCACCAATCTGCCCGCATGACGTATGAGCTTTACCTCAACAAATGGATGCAAACTGCCAAGTTTGTCATGTTCACTGTATGAATGTTAGTCCGAGTACGGAGTAGATTACCTGAGTCCCGGTCATCGAATAATACTGTAGACTACGTTGGTCAACACCTGACTTACGATTGGGGGCAAATCATAGCACCAGGAACAAGCGCGATCTATCAATTATATTGCAGGTAGATCCAAGACTACATGTGTACCTAGATGTTGTCTTAGATCCTGGATCCTGGATTTGTTTCCATGATAGAAAAAACAAAACACTTGACTTCAGAAAATGTGTCTTGTCTCGTGTTTGGAAGAAATAATATAGTCTACGGTCTGCATGATTAGAAGTCAAGCTGTAATGTAGATCATTCTCAATGAGATCGATATACAGGCACGCGACAACAGGGATTGCCCGATCTATGTATGTCATATACATCTTAGCGCTGATGCCTAGTTCCTGACATGGGCCTATGACGTCACTCATCTCGAGGTTTTGCATGTGCCTCACAAGAAAACAACATTGATTTTGCGGATATTGCCTCTCCTAACCTACTTTTGGAAGCCTCCATCGGGATATTCGCATGTTCCTCCACGAGTTAGAGTTGGGCGGTATCTGTTCCCACGAATGAGAATCGACAATGCTGGGAGGCAACTATTTACAGAGACGTGCTCGTCGATCTAAATACTGAGACAATTACTCGCTGATCGAAGTTAATCTATCCACTCATTCAACGACAGTATTCGATCTCCACTGAGGCCAAAATGTTCATTCACTAATTATTTTCTTCTCTTCCAGCAATTTGCTCAGGATGGAATCCCGACTATAGCCCACATGGTATTTGTCAGGGAATCAGTGACCTCGGAAGGACATGAAGATATTCCCGAGGTCAACAGTGACGATTACGTCTACAACAAACATCACGCTCGCTAAGCTTCAGATCCAGAGATGGAGGAACGTTCTAATCACTTTTGTGTCTATGAGACTTGTCCCTTTTATGGCTCTCTTGTGATTCAGGATCTCATTCCGTTGAAGATACCCGTTCTCTTTCAGTGCAGCCATGCATAGCTATACCAACCTTGCTCTATTTCTGTTGTCACCTTCCTACTTCCCACTTGAATGTTATCAAGGTCTGAAGAACTGAAATTTGCCACCAGTGTATCTTAACCTGTTCGCCATAATGAAACATGCTACAGAATTTCCAAATCAGCTGTATTCACGCGATAACGATCCGATCTCGCATCGAGGCTGGCCAACTAAATTGACAGACAGTTTTCCCTCAGAGACCGGTCAAGACTTCTATCTCAGCAATATGTCTCGTGTTTACATTCTCCTTGCACAGTGACACCTTCGTGCCCAGCTTGGTTGACGAGCAGATCGATTCACTCTTGACGAGTCATCAAGCCAAGATGGGACTTAATGAGTGAGATGATCTGGGTGCGTTTACAAAATTGCCAGCATTGCGCTCCGATTCGGGCTACCAGTGTCTCTTTGAGCCGTCCATCGCTTCACAAGGGAAACTCATATCACAGAAAGTTCATCCTTAAATCCGACCCGAGCAACGGCCTAATACGTACATGGCAATATGATCTATCTTTCGCGATCGTATGCATCTACAAACGGTACTCGGCTATCATTTCATGGACGACTGTCGCACAGGAGAGATTGGTGTCCTTGTCGCAGATGCTCATCAACTGGACTTCATGATCCAATTCATGAGTAGAATATGAACAATGATGCACTCAACTCTGATAAAGAATGGGCTTGATTTCTGACACTCGGGCGACAACATTATCGTCTACAAGTGTTCCTTCTGAGGGATAGACGGGACAACGATGAGCAAAAGGTCTTCAAGAAAGGATCTCACTTGTATGATGAAATCGGAAACTTGTTCTAGATGTTTTACAGGTTCGACAAACTTTACAACTTCCATTAAAGACTTCCTCCAGTTCTCCTGAAAGCTGGTTCTGAATGACGGCTTTTTCAACTTGCCAATACACCATTGGAGGTTTTCCTCTCCGATAAATATTGGTTATTCCGGGGTAAAATCATCTTGATAAGGTGCTCGCTAAGCAAGCCCTCACACTCAATGGAAGCCCTGACTATTTTATATGCGTTACTCGTTACTTCGACAGATGCCAGCCGATTCTCTTTGGGCTTTTTTTCACAGTCCCACGGGGTTGTAACCCGTGCCATTGAAACGACGAATCCTAATCTTTCTAGAAATAAACCGTTCTCTTAGGCTTTCTTTCCAGGGGTCTAGGATTTCTGCATTTCAAGAAGAAGTTATTCGTTTCATCGGGATTTTCCCGGAGTTTATAGTGATCATACCTATTACGGCTGCAATATAGGCCTGCATAAGTGCCAAGTTTCCTTACAAAACCAGGCATGTGCTCAGTGTCTCACGAGTCACGACTCACTGCAATGGTGTGGCCTACATAAGCCATACGCGGCATTTCCCTATATCGTAGTCCTAACTCAAGCTCTTCACATGCATCAGAAATCCTATGAATAAGCTTTTTGAGTCTAGCTACCTAAATATAGGTACCCGTCGGATATTGCTATTAGTAACGCTTGGGGTGTTTATCTGGTATTGGTGAGACATTCTAGTTCTTTTCCCCGTTTTCTCTTCCAATAGTCTGTAATGCCATATGACATTGATGGTACGGTATCTGGACCTCCCGTATCGATTCGGTTCTTTTTTTTTTCTTTTTCTTCTATTTTTTCGAGTCCATGGGACGTAGCTACCTGGATGTTCCTATCTCAGGGAAAGTGGGTCCCTATGTGAAAAAGATCTCTTTACACTGTCGTTCGATTACTGCCACATTTGAAGCAGAAACGTAGTTTGATGCCTTTCTACGTTCACAGTTCGGGGCTTCCGAAATACCTAGGCAGTATCAGATTCGTCAAGGTCTATACGAAGGACTGGCAGATACGTGTACCTAGGTATTTATAGCCCTGGAGCATCCTCACGTGACATGACCAAGGGCCCCTAAGGGCGGGCCAGTCCAACTATTAGTTCCCCGATGTTGTACGCAGCCAGATGGTGACGTGGACACAGTAGCATTCATGCATGTCGGATAGTCCCTGGAAAATAAACAGTAATTAAAAAGCATTAAAGACATCTGAAAATTTGAAGGGGAAAAAAAGGGGGGCGTAGTCGAGGTGAAACCCAGCCTCAAACAGAATTTGGGTATCAACTCAAGAGCTTGGTTGCAGTGCCACCCCTAGACGACCTCCGCATCCCAACCTCCTCTCCCTCTTACTCCCCCTCCACCTGCGTCCTTCGGTGCTATCGATCGTCTTTCATCGCATTTGCATGTCGGGATCACTTAGCTCCATTTTGTGAGACAGTCCCTCGCACCGCCTCACCGCGCTTGGGGCCGAGCGTTGGCTGCGGCTTCCCTCATCTTCCCCGCTCATTCCTTTGACCGCTCCCAACCCTCACCTCCCAAGGCGAGTCATCGGCGATGTCAGCCCCGGCAACTAACACACCGGCAGTGGTCCGGAGCCACTCAACCTCATCTCGTCCATCTCGTGCCCCATCGGATCTTCCTCACCGGACACGGAGCGTGGCGGTCCGATCGTCAAATACGTCCCAGCCACCTATACCAACGCATCTGTCACATTCGAAAACTCCTTCACAAGACCGACGTCCTCCATCAAATCATGGTGCGCTTGAGGGTGCAGCCCGACGCGATTATGAGGCGTCCAACACTGCACGTATGCCTTCTCGACGGGAGGCCTCTACGGATCGCTCTCAAGAACGCCCGTCGACCGCTCGAACTGAAACTGCCCGGAGACATCAACGAAACCCCTCATCGCAAAGCCGCCAAAGGGAAAGTGTTGACATGGCCTCGAGCTCGACTGCACAAGAATCGTCACAAAATGCGACCGGAACAAGTGCCCCCACCGCCGCAGCTGCGCCCAGACGACGAACTACGATCACGACCCCGACGGGTCAGTGGGCCCTAGGCAAAACTATAGGTGCCGGAAGCATGGGTAAAGTCAAATTGGCCAAAAACACCGAGACTGGAGAGCAGGTATGGATACTCTATCTGAAGCATCTCAAACCACCAAACTAGATACTGACAACGCTCGCAGGTTGCCGTTAAAATCGTTCCACGACTCTCGACTGAGGAACATCGCAGCAGCCGGGAGACGGAGAGAGCCGATCGCTCAAAGGAAATTCGGACGGCTCGGGAAGCCGCCATTGTGAGCCTAGTGGACCATCCATATATCTGTGGGATGCGGGACGTCCTTCGAACATCGTACCATTGGTACATGCTTTTTGAATATGTGAATGGTGGCCAGATGCTGGATTATATCATTTCTCACGGCAAATTGAAGGAGAAACAAGCACGGAAATTCGCGCGCCAGATTGCCAGCGCCTTGGATTACTGCCACCGCAACAGTATCGTACATCGCGATCTGAAAATCGAGAATATTCTTATTAGCAAAACTGGCGATATCAAAATCATTGATTTTGGTCTCAGCAACTTGTTCTCGCCAAGGAGCCTTCTGAAAACATTTTGCGGCAGTCTGTATTTCGCTGCGCCGGAGTTGCTTCAGGCCAGGCAATATACGGGGCCCGAAGTTGATGTCTGGAGCTTTGGAATTGTCCTTTATGTATTGGTGTGTGGGAAAGTACCTTTTGATGACCAGAGTATGCCTCAGCTGCATGCCAAAATCAAAAAAGGTGTGGTGGAATACCCACCAGGTCTCACTACTGGTAAGTCAAGCTTAAAACGATATGTTTCTGGTTCGAATGCTGACTGCTATTGGCAGAATGCCGCCACATCATATCCCGCATGCTGGTCACCGATCCCAAACAGCGTGCAAGCTTAGCCGAGATCATGAGCCACCCCTGGATGAATAAAGGCTTTAGCGCCCCTCCAGAGAATCATCTCCCTCATCGTGAACCGCTGCAGCTACCTCTAGATCAAGAGGTTGTTGAAAAGATGACTGGGTTTGACTTTGGGCCACCCGAGTACATTACAGCCCAGTTAACCAAAGTATTGGAGTCCGAGGATTACCAGCATGCTATCCGACTGAATATCCGCGAACAGCAACATTCTGTCTCAACCCACGCGGAGCGCAAGCGAGGAGTGTTCGATTTCTACAAACGACGGAACTCTGCGGCCAGTCGTGATACTCTTTCCGCCCCTTCAGCGGAGGCAGTGCAACTAGGCAATGATCCGTTGAATGCATATAGCCCATTAATATCCACATATCATCTAGTCAAAGAAAAACTTGATCGAGAGCGATCCGAAGCGCGGCCTGGAGCCCTTGGCATTCCTTCTCCCAGTGAAGTCCACGTGTCCGATCTGCGGCCCCCTGAAGCGGCCCATACCAATCAATATCAGTTGGCTGGAGACAAGGATACAGGGCGACGGTCTCGGCCACGGGCCCGCACCCATGGCGAGGACGAAGCCCCAGAAACAATGAAGATACACCACGCTTCCTCCCCATCTACCCACGCAATGCCAATCTCTCAACCTGACACGCCCGTTAAAAAGGAAAGCACCGCTGCTGGGATTTTGAGACGATTCAGCACTCGCAGAACGAAAGACCGTAGCCGCGATGTGGAGCGCGAACGCATTAGTACCCCCAACACACCCATGCTCAATGTCCAACCCCCTGCCGATTCGGCGTCTCCAATGCACCGTGGTTTCAGTGTAAGGAGAACCCGGCGGATGGAAGCATCGCCGGGCGGGACATCGTCGACTGATAGCCGGCCCCAGCAGGATCTTCTCACAGCGCCAACTTCGGCTGAACGCAGTGCTCGGTCTAATAAATTCTTGGAGAGATCCACAAGTGTGAACTCGGCGGAATATCGAGCTCGGAGAGCCGTACGGAGAAATGATGCCGATACAATGGACGTTGCTGCAGATCAACAACCACCCTCCACCAGTGACTCTGATCGGGTCAGTGCGGCTAATCAGAAAGACCCATCCAGTGCGAGGTCTGGCGGCCGTACACATACGGCGCGAACCATGTCACTTGGACATGCCCGGCGAGAAAGTATACAGGCACGCCGGGCCCGCCGTGAGGCTACGCGGGAGGCCAATGTCCCCGAAGAGACTGATGCCGACATCTCCGGTGTAGGGACAGCACTGGAGAGCGCCAATGAGGGAGAGGACCTGTCCAAACCAGTGTATCTCAAAGGTCTTTTCAGTGTTTCGACTACCAGCAGCAAGCCTTTGCCCGTTATTCGGGCCGACATTATTCGAGTCTTGAGACAGCTCGCGGTTGACTATGTCGAGATCAAGGGCGGCTTTAGCTGTCGACATGCCCCCAGTATCGATCTCGATAAGGTGATTGATGTTGCCCCTCCCAGCCCAGAGCGACAGGGGCAAGTATCCGGGCACCGCCGTCGTATCAGCTTTGGCGGCTTGCTTAACCATGATGATAGTCGAGACGACAGTCGCACGGGGTCATCCAAGCTTCGTCAGGCTCACGCCGCACCGGACCGCAGTTTCACCACAAACTCAGACGCCTCTGATGAATATGTTGCACGGGAACAAGGTGGTACAGTCGGCGAACGAGTCGTTGGCGAAACCACTACCCGTGTGCAAAGCGATACTGGAGAGAACCTGGTACTCCGATTCGAAATTCTGATCGTGAAGGTTCCTCTATTCTCGTTGCACGGTATTCAGTTCAAGAAGGTATCAGGTGGAATGTGGCAGTATCGCGAGATGGCCAAGAAGATCCTCGATGCACTGAGACTATAATCCGTCTTATGTGATAGAATTCTTAATCGAAACACCTCTCCTTGTCTTCATGGCACACAGTTGGCAAATTTTTCTAAGCTACATCTATCCACAACGCATCCACATGAAGAATCATTGTTTTTGTCCCGTTTTCATTGCATGTCCGTCGCTTTCTTTGCTTCCCTCTCCTCTTGCATAGAGAGATCAAATGATGTATCTTCATTAGCCCATTATTTTGCTCTTTTCATCCGGCGCTTAAGTACTACTCGCCCATCTCAATATTCATTGACCTTCCATTCTTCAGTTTCCATGATGTATGATCGAATTGTGCGAGGATGTATCTCCAGACATTAGCGATTTTGCTTTGTATTTGGTTTTCGCTTGGGCTATCGTTTGGCTCCACGGTTATTATGACCCAGGTGATGGCCCGTGTACTCTTTCTCTCGATATGTTATTACAAAGTTCATCTCCCTCCCGAGATCTTAAGATCAAATTACGAATGGGGTACAGAGAGAGAGATGTTCTTACTTCTATGGTGGTTTTATTTGCACATAACTGCTACGTGATATATACTTCGCGAGTGAATCCTACCCATGCTTCCATATTCTCAAGTGTTGATTTGATTGGGTATAATTTCTCCGTCTTTCACATATAAAGTAAGACATGATCTTCTCTGCCCCTCCTTTATGCTCATCTCTGGGCAACCCTTGGCATCCATCTCGCATGTGGTCCACATGACCCTCCAATCTAATTTTGCATAAAGGTAACCCTGTTCCATGGATCCGTTTCATGCCCCATTAACCTTGATTAACTTCATCTTGACGTGGAAGGAAGGAGCCACAAAAATTGACTTGAACCTAGAATCTTATCCGCGTTGTGGAGGACCAGCTGGGCGGGCCTGGCGCAAGTCATAACACAACGCCCGCAGCCATTGTCGAGGAAAGCCATGTATACACCTGGCCTTCTGGTTCTCCAAATGCTGAACCAAGCCCGGATGCGAGATTTATGTAATCCAGGAGGTCTCTATCTTGTACCACACTTACCCAGACCCTAAGTCACTCAATGTGCGATAAGGAAATGAGTGGTCCTTGATATATATAAAATTCAATTTTCTAGTTTATGGTCTTTGTGAAGGATAAAGACAAACACTCACGTCGCAACATCCGCTGTTGTGATATGAGACCTAAAGTTCCAGGCCCGGAAGACCAGACACCAGTGGGGCTTAGGGCCTACACACCCCAAAGGCCCCGGGCGGATAAGGCCGTGGGCGTGCCTCCCCCTCCATCCCCCAGTGCTACACTCACCAGTTGGCGAAGCACCCCGGTGTGATCACACTCATGAGGGAATCAGATAATGAGCTCGGTTTAATTAAATTGAATATCATAGAGGAGAGCGGTCCACTGAAAACTATATGTCTATAGGAAAAGGGCCGATTTCGTGGGTAGAGAGCTAGTTGTAAGTGCTTCGAAGGTCGCAGTGTGCTTAGGTTCGCACCCGGCGACTCGCACCCAACTCCCGCCACCACCAACACCCTTAAAACCCTAGGACCTAAAACCCCTGGATAGGTCAGATGAATTGACAAATTTCTATGAACGGCCTTTCAGGTTGAATCGGGACACCTAGGGTCTACCTAGTTGTTAAGTCCTGAATACACATTTGATTACTAAGATATTATGTCATATATATGTCACGTGACTATTATATATCTACTCTCTTTCCGACGATTCACGAGAATTTCGAGTTTTCCTTTGTCCGATCGGTCGGCCAGATAAAATAGGTGATTCTAAACTATTTAAACTAGTAAATCCCTATAAAAAAAAGGAACCTCCCCGGATATCTACATGCTGAGTAATCGGATTATCAGGACGTTGATTGGCTCAACTGTCACTGGATGCTAAGACGCGACAACAAAAACTTTCCAAAGTGCGCTCGAAACCTGAAGGATATGGAATGTAAATCACTCAATCACTGCCACCATCACTGCTACCGAGCCGGATGATTTGAGATGTTTCCCTGGCCTGGTTAAGCCATCTTTGCGCCTGGGACTCCTGGAAATCCATTGGCCGTTTAGAGCTTGTTCGGCGGTAGTATTACACCCGGCCCACTCCCCTTTTCAAACCCAGTAGGTGGCCGCCAATTAAAAGCACCTCTGTCCATCCACACACAGCAAACTTGAACAAAGAAATCAAGATCTAGATAATTCGACTCATTAAAACCTTTCAAGATACTAGAACAGAAATTGAGACCTGTTTTTGACTCTCAATCGAGTCAACAATAACGCTAGGCCAACTGCCTATTTGGGTAGATGCTGCTGAGTCAGCACCTGTCACGATATCCCTCGATCTTGGTTTCTCAACCTCACTTCTTCACCAATCACTCGATCTTCCACCACGTCTCCCAACCCCCACAAACGCCCTAATTCTTTCTAGTCTGTTTTATTTTGATCGGAGCTTCTGCGGCTATCGAAATTGCCTTTTTCCTGTGTTTTTTAGAGGTGTCTTCCCCTCTACTCGTTTTTCCTTGCTCTTTAGGCTAGGGTCCTCGAGAGACTTGGCTTTCGGCACTTTGAGTCTTTGATCTTCTGGGGATCCTGATTGCCTTTCTATCTTTCTCTTGTTCAAGTGTCTTCCTTGTTCCAACGGAGGATTTAGTCGCGAGATTTGACGTGCCTTCACACGCGTTCTGAAGCCCAGCAATCCCTAAACACTTGAGTGCTGCAGCCGCTGTTAAGGATGGCGGAACGCGTCCCTCTTGGCTCAGGCGCTAATCAAAACCGAGTTTTCATTGACCTGACCGGTGACACTGAGCCAGACGACTCTACGGTAAGCAATCATTATACCCGTGCACCTCCGTCTTGCGAGATTGCTTGCCCGTCGCTTGCAACTTTCCCCCCTGACCCCGTGCCCCACCTGGCCTTGATTTGTGTTATTGCCGAATGTTTGCATTTCCCCTTCATCCTTGCCAGCAAACTGTCCACTTTCACTAAGAAATTGGCACATAACCCAATTCTATATATACAAACCCCCCGCTTGTCTGATCATTTCTAAACTCCGCTCCTAGACAAAGAATTTGGTTCAAGCGAAACTGCCATTTGTGACTGCTTTAGCGTATCGTTCTCCAACGGTTCCGCTCAAAAGAAAGAGCTTAGACCCATCCACGTCTGAGGATCTCTCAGACTCTACGTCAAGTGATGTACCTCACAAATTTGCCCGGCGTAAGCGGCTATCGCATGCGCATCCAGATGCGGAGCCATTCACACCTAGCCCTCCGTCAAGTCTGAAGCCATCCCTGTCCCAAATCAGTGTGGTTGTTCCGTCGCCAACTTTAAAACAAAGGCGAGAAATTGCGATTATGAATCGCAGCTCAAACGTTAATGGAATGGACAATGACATATTTCCTACCACCGATGAAGAGGATCGAGTCGCCAAGGCAGCCTATCCTACCACACGACCTAGAGTCAACCGTCGCTCCATCCCATTGTCATTTAAATCACCCGTGACTCTTAATCTCCCCTCGCATGTGGCAAAGTCGAAAGATCATCTTTTGAAGCTTCGCCATACTTTAGATGAAAAGCTCAAAAGAATCGATGGGCCTCCAGTCACTCCCATTGTCGAGTCTCCAATGCTTTTGGCAAAACTGGCGGATAACTTTGAGTTTGTCAACAGTTACCAATATCGTGCAGGTGTTGAACGAATCCCTGACGATTCAGACTTCAATATCGGTTGTGCATGCCCGGAAGGTCCCGGCTGCAACCCTGTTGATTGTGACTGCCTAAGCAAAGAAGAAGATTCGGAGGATCGTATTGTGCCATATCAGATTAGTGGAAGCAATTCCCAACTGATCGTTGCGACCAAAAAGTTCCTTGATAGAAAGGCCATCATCTACGAGTGCAACTCCCGTTGTGGATGCACCAGTCGACAATGCTGGAATCACGTTGTTCAAAAGGGAAGGACTGTAAGACTGGAAATTTTCAACACGGGGCCTCGTGGTTTTGGTAGGTCTCACCTATTGGACTATCGCTCTAACTATGCCAATTATATTGATTAATTTTATCAGGCCTTCGATCACCCGACTTTCTACACCGTGGCCAATTCATCGATCTCTACCTCGGAGAGGTGATCACTAAGGCTGAAGCCGACGAGCGTGAGAATCTTACCGATGGATCACACAGCCAATCATATCTTTTTTCTCTGGATTGGAATGTGAAGGACGATGATGATGAAGAAGCCAACATGAAAGTGATTGATGGCCGCAAATTCGGCTCCGCAACACGATTCATGAACCATTCTTGCAACCCCAATTGCAAGATCATCCCTGTTTCCACCACCAACCATGCCGATGAATACCTTTATAATCTCGCTTTCTTCGCCTACCGTGACATATCTCCTGGTACCGAACTGACATTCGATTACAACCAAGGCGAGGAGAATACCACGCCCCAGAAGATCGACCCTGATGCAGTCCCCTGTCTGTGCGGTGAAACTAAATGCCGCGGACAGTTGTGGCCAAATAAGCGTAAGGGCCAGGGATCAAAACCCTAATTACGCCTCGCTTTGCCTTTGCTGCTGTTTGTGGCCCACTATCCTGGTGACTGGTTAATCTCTCTCGCGATGATTTATTCTTTTCATGAGCACTTGGTCATCACTTCGACTTCTCATCTTCGTTCCTTTGAGCTTCCGATACCCTCGCATTTGTCATGACCATCTGGTGTTTTTCCGCACTTACGACAATTACGAAACTTGCATACTACAATCATAAAATCCATTTCTCTTCTAGGCGATTTCGAGCCTGCTGACATCTGGATGGTTCCATCTTGACTATTTTACCTTTGGGCTCTTGATGTTCTATCTTATCTTGGCTATTCAACTGTTTCATGATACCCTGTCAAAGACTATGTATGATTAGCAGCACACCAGAATCAAATTTTAGTTCCAAATTATGTGACTTTGCTTTAGTGAGTAAAAATATTGTGATTTTCCCGAAAACTCTATATCAAAACTGAATGAGACTTGATGGTCATCAAATTAGTTCCTAACGTCATGCATGACATAGATTCCGGCGGCATATGAGCTAAGCATATTTCAAACCAACCCACTCCTATCTCACGATATTATAAGATGTCTCATCTAGCTATCAACTATAATGTCGAAGTTGACAGCAAGTGGTGGTTTAAGCTCTTTCTGTAGCCCCCGTTTACATAGGCTTATCGAATCTGATAGCGTCGTCCATAAGTCCCCAAAGGGCTTAGACCTTGCGCCACCCGTGGATCTATTCCAAGGGCACAGTTCCTGGGATGGTCCGTGCGAATATAAAACCCGCCAGTCACAGCGTTGAGTGATGATCATGTGCTCAAGGGGAAGGTTATTTTACTACCAACCGATAATATTGAGATCACATGCGATAGGGCTTACAGTCGTGTCGACCCTGACGTTGCACAAACCCTTGTTAGTCAGTCCCTGCGTCTCATTTAAGCACTATAATAACAGGGCGTCGCATGTTAGAAATGAAGCCGAAGCAGTCTTATATCAGCCATGTTTGCAACCGCGCCAGGTGGTAAGCATGTGCTTCGTAGTATAATATGGATAGGATCAGAAGTAGTGGCCTCCCGAAGGAATAAAGCATGTAATAGAGGTAAATTCTTATCGGTGTACTCCGTACGGAGTATAAGCCCTTGTGGCTTACATTTCTAGCCATATATCATAGTGAAAGACCCTAATAGAGCAGATCAAATGTAAGGATACTGGGAATGGGACAGGACTCTGGGCGAGTCTCGCATTCCCAGGGTAGTCCACGCCAGGGAGTGACCTACAGGGCCTTCTAAGGCGCCGATGGCCCAAAGCCGGTAAACAGAGTTCAAAATCGGGTACTCAGTTGGACAGCATTTGGCAGTAAGGCCACAAGGTCACCCTGGGAGATAAAAAAAAGTACAATATTTGTTATATATTTCCAATATTTGAGCCACTATACAGATTCCGATCTCCTTGTTATCCCACATTCCTTTCCGAAAGCGGAAAACCGAACTCGAGTAACCATCCGCTGTGAAAAGAGACATGAAAGGGCAATTAAAACATAGAGTATCACAGCTTGGGCGGGATGAAAAAAAAAGACTGAACAGAAGATTGTAGAAAGAAGATTTAAAAGAAAGGCAGAGCCTAAGCACGTCCTTCCATGACCTCGAAGATGCCGCCCATCACGAAGTTCGGCGGCGCCTCCCCGACCCGCACGTCTACCGGCCGCGGCTCCATTAGCCCCAGCCCCTGCCTCTCAATGGAATCCTCGTTACACCGCGATCGCTCTTCGCTCAGTGCCAGGTCGATCTTGGACAGTCGGCGCCGGAGGATCATTGATGAGCGGCCGCGCAGCACGGCGCACTCCCCTGCGCTGATGCTGTTATGTGTATTGTGGCCGTGAGGGATGTCGGACACCGGGCGTCGGCGGGCGTCGGATGGCTCAAAGTTTCCGATGCTGTCTGTGTGTCCAGCTCTGTGATCGGGCTGCTTATCGCGGAATGTGTGGTTGTGGGCTTTCGTGGGGTGGAAGGCGAGATTGAAGAAGTGGTGTGGAGCGTTATGTGAAGACGAGCGGTTGGAGGTAGGGGAGGAGGGTGGTGAGGTCGTTGTTGAGTTGGAATTTGAGATGTCGCTGTTTGATTTGGGACTTCTGGAGCGACGGAAAGATGTGCTCAGAGAGAGGAGAGGCGATGGTAGGTGGTGCATTGTTCCTGGTACGGATGGGTCGGTGTATGATATGGCCTTTTCAGGGAAGATATGTCATAGTAGAGTCTCGAGAGATGAGCAGATTGTGTTGGTTATTTGTAGAACTTGCAAAGGCCTGGGGACTACTGGGCTCTAATAAGTTCTGACTGCAAGGACGACGCTGCAGGGAGCGTTGAGACACGGATGACGGATGCGGATGAATGTGATTGTTGCAAACGGCCACAACAATGCCCTTCTACTTGGAATCTGCGAATCAGAGATGAAGGTCGTTTGCTTGTGGCAGTTTTCGGAAGAAAATATTCGTGCCTGCTTAGCCCATGAGATCTATCTCATCGGATGACCTGTGTCAATTCCCTCTTTCGGCGCCAATAGTAACTAGTCGGCCCCACTCGATTCGGCCATTGTGCTATAGTTGAATCATTGACTTGATAAGCAATAATGGTAAATTGTGCACCTATACTCCGTATAGCTATCCAATTGTATAGGGAGAAAATAGACTCATGGAATCCCACGCCGCTGCTATGCAAATTGCTCCCAGGGTAGTGTACAGCACAATGAAGTAAACCAGAAAACCGAATGGGCCAAGTAGGCCTTATAAAAGAAAATCCCCAGTCTATGCGAGGCGATGCAGAAACAAAAAGAGAAAAGAATGTTCAAGTATAAAAACAAAGCACAACACATCCGCTCACTTCGTGATAACATCAATATTCACACAAGATCATCTATGTACCCTATTCAGAAGTTCGATCACCCGATCGTCGCTGCGTGAAGCTTCGCCGAATACTTTCGCCCCAGGCGGAGTTATCTAGCGAATGCATGACATCCTGTACATTCATAGGATCACTCTGGCGCGGAGTATTGGTAGTCGAAGGCGACGCGTACGGTTCGCCAATGTCGAACGAGCTGCGCTCCCCATACATATGACGCGGAGTGATCGAGGGGCTAATGCTCGACCATTCTCTCGTGGGCGTGCTGGCACCAGATACTGATCCGCTTAAATTAGTATCGATGCGGGGCAAGGCGCCACGACGCCCAGCTGGACTGGATTCGGCTCGTTTGTGGTGCGAGATGGGCGACAACATAGGAGGGAAATTGCTGTCGAGGTCAGGTTGAGTTTGGGGTGTGATCGCACCGGAAGCTGGTTCATCATGCTCAGGGTCGTCGCCTGGGTCGTCTACAAAGATCTCCGGCACAGTGAACGTCGGAATCTCACCCATGCGACCATTCTTTTTGCGCTCAATCTGGCGGCGGAACTGGCGTGACCAGTAGAGGGTATCAAAGAAACCGACGACAGTGTTGCGACGAACAGCCTCTTCCACCCGCTGCAGCCGTGCTCGGCGGCGGAGGAATTCTTCGAGCCGTAGACTCTTGCTGTCACTGATGACATTATGATGTGCGAGGATCATGAGACATTGGTGGAAAGAGATGCCACGGTCATGGTCTGCTGACACAAGGACTTCTTCGTAGAAGGTATTTAATCGTTTGCGCCGCTGTTGAATGGTTCGGACTGGGATACGCGAGATGATCCGAGACAGCTCATCGATATCTACACCAGCGGCGACACGAGAGTTCGGTCGGCGTGATGAATACCGTGGCTCGGTCGACGACACCATTGAGTCTCTTGCAAGAGAACCACCTATCGAGTTCCTCTGCGGATCAACCCGACATTTTTCTAGAATACTTCCTACTGTGAACTCTTCTTCGTAAATGCGCATTGCAAAAATACCCGAGAGCTCGCCGAGTAATCGAGGGAACTGCTCTTTGGATATGAAGCCTGTGCCATCCGGATCATACGTGGCCCATGCCTGCTTGAACCGGCGGATCTCTTCACGACTTATCGCGTATAGCCCGCTGCTCCGCTGATAGACATAGGAAAAACTTTCGAAGATCAACGAAACAAACAGCGAGACGAAGATATACATGCTGATCAGGTTCCACGCGATGAAGAGAGTCCGGGCCCACGCCGCGCTTCCACAATCGTCATCAAGGAAGTTAGAGTTGTATGTGCAGAAGGGTGGAGTCATAGTGGCAAAGTCCTCCATGTATTCGTTCCATCCTTCTCCACAACTGGCTCGGAACAGCAAAATCAAAGATTTGGGCACGTCGCGGAAGTTCTGGTTATGATCCTCATTCTCGCCGAACTTGGTAAGGCCGAACGCCTGGTTCATCGCAATGCCGAATACCAGGAACAGTACGAACCAGGTAGCTAGAAGATTCGCGATCACCGACACACTGGCCGCGGTGGTTTTGAAGAGTTGGTCAAGCTGGTTGTTCCGTGGGATCAGCAACAGAGTCACAGAAACGAGGAAAAGTTTGTTGAGCTCCAACACGACATGATTGTGATTATACGAGATGTCGAGGATGCAAGTGATGAAAGCACCGGGAACAGCTATGAGAGAAAACAGATCCCATGAGCTTCGGCTGAATCGATGCCACCCAAGACCAATCAGTCGGATTAAAACGTTCGCAACGTAGACAAAAATGAATACGAAGAAGATGATACCTAGATCGACCAATCAGTTATACTGGACTACATCAGGGATCAAGAAAGGGACGCACCTCGAACCACCTCCCACCAAGCGGGCTCTGGGTAGTATTCTAGTACAAGTAATAGCAAATGTGCCATTAAGATGATGGTCACAAACCATGCCCATCGGCCATGCTTCTTTACTGAAATCCGATAGCACCATAGCCGCAGCTTCTTGGTCTCATCGTCAAAGGATCGTTTTGAGGGGGAGATTTGTCGGAGAAGTTTCCGCAATTCTAACCAGGACCGTTGCTCGGCTGTCAAGAAGGCAACGCCCGTTTGTTCCGTGTAGTTGCGCATAAACACAGACACAAACAGTGTCAGGACAAACACCGCTCCAAGCAAGTTGAAGACAACGAAGAATAACCCGTTCTCCGGCGCGAACATATCCTGTGGCTGTGTCATCTTTCCAGTTATGCCCATCGCACTTTCTTGGACGCCAACCCAGCCTTCTTGGGAGACAATCTGGAAGAGAATGAAGAGAGAGTCGCCGAAATTGTCGAAATCATAATAAGCGTTTCCAGCTACTCGTGGTGCAAGAACCTCCCAATTATATGGCGAACTGGAATATTCATTGACACAATTGGTCAGATTTCCCACAAAATCGCCGTCATTGCAGCTGACCATCTGCCCGTTAAAGAGATTGACTCCATAAATTGCGAATGGGATGAGGAAGCTCATGGAAACTGCGGCGGCGGCGATGACCTTCCATCCACCGACAATGATAACAGAGTGGAATGTGTCCTTTGCGCTGTCACTGACGTTCAAAAGACGTAGCGCCCTCAGCGCTTTGAAGGCGCCAATGGCCCTTGAAACGCTCCAGTCTTGTTTGAGCGAGCCGCCGACACTGACCCACAGCGTAATCAACACAATTCCATCGATAAAACCCCAGGAGCTGCGGAAAAATGCATTGGGCGTCCAGAAGAACCCATCAGCAATCACCTTGATCGTTGCTTCAACAGTAAATACCACGGCAAATCCCAAGTCGGTATAAATGAACCAGTTGCGATCGGTACGGAAATACTCACGTTGATACAATGGTGTTGTGATACAAGCGAGAAGGACCATAGCGACAATGGCTGCATAGATGAAAGCAGAGAAGGCAAACCATACTGGCTTGTATGGATCTACACCCTCGACTCGCTGGTGACCGCGTCCTGGACCGACCATTCGCTGGCAAATTTTCCGAACGAAATTATCCGGGGCGAAAACGAACAACGACTTGTTATAGTTGGGATGTTTGACGAGATAGTCCCGCTGGTCTCGTTTCCGCTGTTCTGCCGCAGTGACAACTTCTCTTGCCATGGTTCTCGGATCTAACTCCTCGTAGGCACGCGAGAACTTTAGCTTTGAGTAAAAAGGATTTGGTTCTCTGCGCATGACGAGCGTACTGGCTTTCGTCCATAGAAGTGAAATCCAGCCCGGTTGGATGGCCATTTGAGCTGCGCTTTCTGGCATTGTGCTCACTCTTCGGGGGCCTTTGGGTCTATCGCTTTCTGCTTTCTTCCCCTCTTCCTCGTCGAGGAACTCTTGCACCACAGCATCTTTCAGCAACATTTCCAACGCTGCAGGGCCATGGTCGAGTGGATCTTTATATCGAGCAGAGTCTCGGCGTAAACGGAGGATCTTCGAAAGTGCCATGTTTCCCTGGGGAGCTCCGTGGACTTGTTTCTGCTCTAAAAATGCCCTAACCTGATGCATTCGTTTTTCATCTTCTGAAACATCAAAGCTTTCTTGAATGACAGCAATGAACATGTTCAAGATGATGAAATTGGCAACAATGAACCAAAGCACAATGAATGCTGCCGAGATCCAGGCAGTGTTGAAATGAGTTGTATATGCGGTTGCATTGTACAGAATTGTGGTCCAATTTTCACTCGAAAGAATTTGATACATTCCCAAGAATGAGTTGTAGATATTTGAAAATGTGATCATGATCGTCGCTTCCCCCGGGTCTTGATCTGGAATTTGGCTTCGGAAAAGCTGTGTTGCGAAAATGGCAGATAAGAATGTCATCAAGAAGAGGAAAAATATCAAGTTAAGCAGGCCGACAGTATTGCGGAATACCACTACAATCAGCTTCCTGGTCACAGAGAACGCAAGCACCACCCGATAGACCCGAAGAATTTGGAACAAAGTGAGGACTGTGTATGCGCGGCCTGAATTCCTGATGGGCGGCAGCTGGATGATGCAGGTAATGATCACAAGCGAAAGGTCTGTCAAATTACGGCGTCTTCGGTGGAACATGCGCCAATCCGAGGCAAACCGCAGGATAATCTCGACCAGTAAGATGAGGGTGACAACTGTTTCAGTGGTATCGATAAATCGGGCGCGGTCGGCAGACATAGATGAACTTCTAAGTGCTTGCACAGTAAGGTCGAAGATAATGATACAGACCCAAATCCACTCGGTTTGGTCATAAATGCGTTTGAGAGGACTGACTTTGCGCAACACTGCGTCATCTTCGTCGACGGCATCAAGCTTTTGAACGGCAAAGGCACTGCGCTTGCTCTCTTCTCGAATCACTTGGAATGAGTGCGTGATAACCGCAACCAACAAGTTCACCAACCACAAACTCAAAATAACAAAACCAAAGGCAAAGAATAGAGCTGCGGCAAGGTAGTCACTATCGGTGGTATAGTAGAGCAAATCGGAAAACGTGTTGGAGCTCATGATCACGAAGACCAACTCCAGAGAGTGCAGGATATTGTCAAAGCTGATAGTTCCGTTGTAAGGATTGACTCCTTCCATGCATATAGAACCTTGAGGACAGAGGTATCCCTTGGGCTTGAATCCAGCATCATTGCCATTTCCGTCAAGCCATGGCATTTCCACCCCCGTCTCATTATGGAGGTAACCACCGCAAAATTGTACATGATCCCATGCGTTATTCAGCGTATAATTGCTCTGGCCTGCGGGATCGATCCAAACACAAGTTCTCTTCAAACTGGATTTGAAACTCTGTATGCCGATGATAGCGAAGAGAAGCCAAAAGAAACTGATAAGAAAGGCTACATGAACAAGGAGAGGAGCTGCTCGTTTGAGACTTCTAAGAATCACCTAAAATGATTGGTCAGTATCGTAAATGCCATACTTCCGCAACCAAAGATCTTACCGAAGTGCCGTTTGTCATGGCAAGAAGGCGTAAAATGCGGAGACAGCTTAACATGCGGAAGATGTACAGTTGTTGTGTTTTCTCGACCCCGGACACCGAGAGGAAAAAGGATATCCAAAATGCGACCACGGCGACAAAATCAAGCCGGTTGAAAGAGTGCCGTAGAAAGGCACGGTGGGCAAGCCTAACGCGTCGTTTGTGAAGAGGATCGTCATAGACCTCAGGGTTCAACCCATTCATCCCAGTGAAAGTTCGTAAAATTGAAGCTTGAGGCTCGGCCTCGAGCACCGATGCTTTCTTGGTCGTCGGCTGTCGATGCGGTGTAATCAGGTTCCTGCCCTTCTCCGCGATTGCTTTCCTGATGCCTAGATTGCGATTGAGTGTACTATACTCGACAGGGTTGAAGATAAATCCGGACACCAAGATTTTGGAGCCAATCTCAAATGTATAGATGATGAAAATGACGAAGAAAACCCAATCGAGCTTGCTACTTCCCCATGTCACAGAAGTTGAGTAAGTAGGAAGCGCATCTTCAATAGTCAACAAGATAGTCTGGATGATGATAACGATCAAGATGAAGGGCTCCATATAAGAATTGACCAGAATATCGCACAGCCAAAGTCGGAGAGGGTGATTCGGTCCCAGTATTCCAAGGGACCTGCCTCTGAATGGGTTGTTTCGATCTCTCCATAATCTGTTTGAGGAACGCTTTTCCTGGGCTCCTAGGATGTGTGGGTCGGGAGTATCTGCATAGTCGACCATTGCAGGCAAGACCGGCGGCCCGTCCATTCGTGCATTTTTATTGAGCTCCTCTCTCTCAATCGACTGCTGTATGACTTCCGGCTCGTTACTCAGGTTGACCACTCGCTGTGACATAGATTTGACCATTGAGCTGGCGCGCTGCAAAGCCCCGCCGGAGCCCGAGGGGGACAAAGAACGCGATCGATCTCGCACACTACTCCCACGACGGCTTCCCATTCCATCTTCCAAGTGAGGGAGATCATCGCCCAATCTTGATCCCCCGAAATTCACAGAATGACCGCCAGTGTCGGTGCTCTGTCGCTCTTCTGCGATAGAAGCGCCGCTCATTGGTTGCAAGTATCGAGGATCGGTCAGCCGTACCCTGTCATTTTCGTCTGCTGGTGCGTTGTAGGCGTGAGCGTCGTGGGGATCATAAGGGTCTAGAGGGACAGTATCAAGGTCGGAAGCAGTTTCATCGAAGCCATGGCCCGCCGACGGGCCCGAAAGCGATGTCCTCGATTGCGGACCATCGAAGCTCAGGCCAACAGATGACATCGCTTGCGCGAAGCCTCCAAGGTCGTCCACTGGCGAGCCAATTTCTGTATAGCGCGTTTGCGATGATTGGAAGGGATTCCTGCTCGGCCCAGCCGAATCAATCGGTGAATCTTTCGCAACACTTTCATAATTCCTCCGCGAACCCCTCCCGATCAACGATTGTCGTGAAAAGAGGCTGCTCCCCGTGCGGCTTCTACCACGCTCGTGAGTGACCTGTCCCGGTTTCGAGAGGTCCTGGAGAGGAATCTGGTTTGACGGAGCGTTCTCATCATTGTCAAAGCTCTGGCTATCTGACGCCATCGTCGAGCAGTATCAGAAACTATCGAATCGCAGACATCGCAGGCTGGACGGGTTCTCGGACACGGTCGCGACACGTGTATTGACAGTGGAGTGGGGAAAGATATATGATATATGCAAAGGAAAAAAAAAGAATATGACATAGAACCCCCAATGATCAAGAGAAGAGACAAGCCTCCTAGGGGCCAGCGCTGAGAAGTTTGAGCCAATGCTTCCCGATCGCAATTGCACTAAAACCGACACCTCCGGCATGTGCCTCGTCCTCACCGTTGCACAATATTCCGGCTGGCATTCCCCGACTACACTACATATATATCCCTCCCGTCTATGCTATGCTTTCATTCGCCCTAAGATTCGTGGTTTACATACGTGTTGTCCTTCAGGCAGGATTACATTTCCATCTTCTCATCCACACGCTGACGAAGCGGTAAACGGTGTTGCCTCCCATGGTGGTGGGGTTTCCCTTCCAAAAATAGACCTGCAATATACAAAAGGATCTCGGAAATAGAAACTCTCGGAATAAATGTATTGATTATGATTCAATCGGTGTCCATCTGCGAATCCTTTTCTTTAACGTGTTGCCGAACACCATCTAGGAACGCATCTACCGCATCGCCACCACCAAGGGGTACTCCACCTCTCCGCATAAACCCTCCATTAGCCACGGGGATCTGCAAAGCCTCACTGATACTAGGAAGCCCGCCGTCACGGAGAGCCACGGTAAGACTAGCCAAACTTTGAGTGAATTGGGGGGAACGAAGCACTTTTCGGAGAATATCTTTCTTCTGAGAGAGATCGAGGGACAGGAGAGCAGCTTGGGCAAGTTCAGGGTCCGTGTCAGCTTCCGAAGCCTCGGCATTCCCCTGCGCCAGCAAAAGAAGCGTGGGCGGCAAGAAGCTCAATAGATGATCAGCAGTAGTGGTATCAACGGAATCGATAAATTGCAATGTGGTGGAGGGTGGGAGTAGGTCTTGTAGTGTCGTAGATGGTCGCTCGGGATCTTGGGATTGGCTCTGGCTCTGGCCGCCGCCCAGTGACTTCAAAAAGTCCTGGACAACCGACGCCGGATCTTCCCCGCTTGTTGCTCTGCAAGAAAGGAAAAAAGGCCAATTAGCTTGAATTGCCAAGGTCAAGGCTTTCAGAGAGATATGTACCTACGCTCGTCCACCATCAGCACCACCCTCTCGTGATTCCTGTCCTTCCTCACGAATATCGCCGCCGGTCGCACCAGGGCCAGCGCCTCCGCTACCTGTGCTGTGATAGCGGTTGGGATCATGATCGGTGCCTTCCACATCTTCCATAGTCTCATCGTCATCACCGCCAGAGGGCCGGCTTGGAAGATTGGCGATCTCGTGCTCCACATCAACCTCCTCACCCTGCAGCAGGACATGGACGATCTCTCCAAGCTTCAGGTCGCGAGGGCTGAACCAGCTCAGATCGCCATCCTCATGTTGAGACTGCGACTGCATCCAGAAGAGATATCGCTGAGAGCTGGATGAGAACTTTAGGACGAAGATGCGGCCATTCGTAGCGTCCCTGCCAGATGGCTGGTAGGGAGTGAAGCTACCATCTGAAGGAATCATCACCAAGTCAAGCTCAGGCTCATCAAGCGAGGCGCTGCGCGAGCGCCAGCAGAAGTGGACAAGATCATCTTCGGAGTAGAGGTAAACATAACCTGGGGTAGGTTTCGGTTTCACGGCAGCGGGAGTGGTAGAGGTCTTAAACAGATATAATTAGCAGCGTGTCACAATTGATACAACAGGTCCGGAAGATGGACCCGGGACTCAGTCATCGATGTATTGTAGGGAGGGAGATGCGGAAAGTTAAGCTCACGTACATCCAGATCGCAGATACCTGCTTTGAAGGTGATGATCGGAGCTATCGACATGCTGGAAATTTGTTTCTAAAGAGAGTTGAAATGAAAGAGAATACTGTATTGACAAATTTATCACTCTCCGAAAAGTGAACAGAGGGGTGGAAGATGTAAAAGATAGATCATGTAGAACAAGAGAGAAGCTGTGAGCGGGATACGTCAGTTGTTTGTGTCGAGCAGTGGTCCTGCATGAGTGGCTCTTAAGGCCAGCCGTAGATGTGTTGGCCTTATTGATGTGGCATCAAGATGCTGAGTCACCGCTTTCCAAAAATGGGCTAGGGCTGTCGGTTAAACACGTGATAGGGCTTTATCCGCACAACCCTCAACGAATTCCCGCACTGGAGCCGACTCCGCTAGCAGTCCAAGTCCTCACCCAAATCTCCAACAACCAACCCGACAACCATTCATCCTTCGCCAGCAGCCATCATGTCGGACGGCCAGACGAAGCAGTTCGGGAAGAGCCAGAGGGTCGTGCCCGCCGACAAGGCCCAGAAGTGGTACCCCGTGGACGATCAGTCGCAGCCCAAGAAAGTCAGTACACCCTATGAACAATGGGACGACACACAAAAGAGGAGGATATACGACTGGCACGCATCTGCCCGGATGATTGCGACGATAGCACCGGTGTTCTGAGAAAGAAGCTTTGTGAATTACGGCGACATTCAGCCAGACACCGGTGTCAATCGGCGACAGAAGTTCATCAAATCTTGTGATCTTGTGCGAATCGCATATCATCCGGGGACGATCAGGCCATGGCAATGGAACACACTTTGGAATTACCGGAATCGCTGGGGATTTGTTTGCCATCAGAGACTAACTACTTTGTGTGTTTGCAGGTTCGCAAGACCCTGCGTCCCGCCAAGGTCCGCGAGACCCTCGTTCCCGGCACCATCCTGATCCTCCTCGCTGGCCGTTTCCGTGGCAAGCGTGTCATCCTCCTCAAGTCTCTCGACCAGGGTGTCCTCCTTGTTACCGGTCCCTTCAAGATCAACGGTGTCCCTCTCCGTCGCGTGAACTCCCGCTACGTTATCGCCACCTCCAAGCGTGTTGACATCAGCGGTGTTGACGCCAAGACCATTGAGAAGACCTCCGCTCCCGGATACTTCACCAAGGACAAGAAGGCTGAGAAGAAGACCGAGGAGGCTTTCTTCAAGCAGGGCGAGAAGGCCGAGGTATGTTTTTTATCTGCGATATCATATCTGGCTTGATTGGTTTGCTAATAATTTTTGTGTATTACAGAAGAAGGTTGTTGCCAGCGCTCGCGCCAGCGACCAGAAGGCCATCGACCAGTCCATCCTTGCTTCCATCAAGAAGGAGGATTTCCTCGGCAGCTACCTCGCTACCACCTTCAGCCTCCGCAACGGCGACAAGCCCCACGAGATGAAGTGGTAAATGTGTGGTAGCCGCGGGTTCGGTAGATAGTTGGGGAGGACCATTTTCCAACGAGGGGCGGCTCGATTGCAGATCGGCATCCTTTCGCGACTTTCAGGGGGCCGGTTTCATGAACCATGTCATGTAATTCCTACGGGATCCGTCAAAACACGTTCTTCTTTTTTTCTTAGGATTTGCGGTTAATTCGGACATCCGGTTGTCGTTCTTATGTTTCAAGAAACCCGTTCCCATTTGCGCGTGGCTGATTTTGCATGAAGCCGCGTTATGAAGAAAGACTTCAAGCAAAAAAAAAAGATTCAAAAATCACCTCGTTCCAGCAGGCGGGCTGGATTCTCTTTTATGTTCAGTATGACCTCCCATTTCAAGGTTCAAGCGGCAATCCAAAAATTGGGCAATTTCTTCGATCCATCTAGACGGCGTGTAAAATCTGTATGACACTAAATATAAGGTTGCTGGGCCTTGTCGCTAATCGGTGGATATCAGTTGTGTGGAACTGGAGTACATATGGATCTTGAGATCTAGGCATGAGCTATGCTCAAACAGATATTTTATTGTGGGCACATATCTACACCGATGCTCGGTGGGTATTACAGAGGAGAGTGCACGATCATCATACCCGCTTTTGATATAGTATACAGCATTGATGTGGTGCGACAAGCCGCTAATAATATTACCCGATCTGACATCTCATCTGCCCAGGTGGGGAGTTTGTACCAGTCAGCCTTGCTACCGGTCGATTGATATATATCAGTAACAAGCAATGGCCGGTTATCATGATTCGAAATAGAACTGACTACCCAGGTGGGAGTGGATTGCTATTTAGATACTTGATGAACACGCTACCTATATAGGTAGGTATGTGCAATATAGCACTCATTATATCCCGAAGTCATAGTGCTAATCGTGCAGTAGATATATATCTCATGGCGTAAAGTAATTATTATTTCGTACTTGATGGTTCTGCTAATGCTCAAAATAGTTCATTGTGCAAATACCGTAATTCCCTTGAATATATATTGCAGATCTTGATGATATATACCTACCAACCCCAAACACACACATCCCTCGAGAAAGACAAAGACAAAACCAAAACCAAAACCGCAAAACCAAACGAAACTCAGATGACTGAAATGAAGCCCCACCAACAAAAATCTCATATCCTCATCAATTATTGTACTATCGTCGTCTGGCCCTGACCGGGGCCGCAGGAACCGCAGGTACGACCCTCCTCTGTGCCGGGATACTCGGTGTGTTGTCGCCCTCATCATCCTCATCTTCGGATTCACGGATGATAGTACCAAGCAACCAATCCATACCCCCCCATAGGCCATAATTGCCTGGGGAATCCACCAGCAAATGCAAATCCGTGCGACGGGCCATCCCACCCAGAAGGAAGTTTGTCGGCATGATAGTATATCCAGAGTATGCGAAAGTCTCCTCGACAGAGATAAGCAATAGATAGAACAGATAAGTAACCATATGGAAACGGCAGGCTATAACTGGTGCATATGTCGGGATGAACTTGAATAATAGATAGCAAACTGGGTGGTCATAATGCGCGGTCAATGGGTATGGAGCAGTCAACTCATGATGCCAACGTTGGTGCCATGTAGCAAAGAACATATAGTCGTCCGAGTGGAGGAACCAGCGATGAAGGCAGTAGGCCAGCACCTATCAAAAAGCAAACCGGAATGTTAGCAAATTTGTAATTTCAAGGGGAAGTACATCGCAAGGCTCTAATTCAGGGATCTCAGCAAACCTACTTCTCGTGCAATCAGCGCTAGGCTTAAATCTTTACAGATCTCAACTGGCATGGGCAGCTTCAGTGACGAGCTCAGCACACTGCGCTTTCCTAATATCCTGATAATTGTTGACTCAAGAAGCCATTGCATGGTGATACCAAGACACAGATTGAACAGTGACCACGCAGCAACCTTGAATTCCTTCGCGCTGATATTACGTCGCTTCTTTCCACCAGGTAAACCCACTGTGCCATGCGCCTTGATGTGGACTGCGGCTTCTGGAGCCATAACATCGAAGAGAAAAAAGACAACGGATGGTAACACATAGAAGATGAAGCGCACGCCAATTGTGGCGCACAATTCAATACGGAGCCGAGAATGCGACAAAACCAGCGTACTCCAAGTCATGTAAAAGAAGAGAAGGTTGAGACTGGTCTTATAGGTTGACAGGACGGGGACCAAGAAGACCGATAATATGGGGATGGAGAAAAGCCCGTCCATATTGAATCGGAGTGGTGAGGAATTGACTATTGAAAGTGTTGGCAGACTCGAGTGTGAGAATTGAATGTATGTGTTCCAACTCTGGCGGGGAGCGAGGGTTTTGTTTCTGCTTTTTCTGTTGGTTCTTCACCAGGAGTTCCTCTTTGTGCCGAGAATAGCAACTTACGAGCGTGTTCATTCATGTTTGAGATAAAGGCTCTTAGAACACTCGGTCTGAGCAGAACAATTGGGGATAAAGAAACCTCGAGACTGAGATTGGGGCAGGATGAAAGACAAGCGGTTTATCGTCCACTATATCTACGTCACCGTAGTCCGACTGGCCACGGATATACTGTACATCATGGATTGGGGAGTAGGATTTTACGTCAATGAAACAAAGCCCATCGATGTACGGAGTATAAAGACTCAAAATGCTAAAAAAAAACCCAGAAAGCCATGCGATTTTTTTTGTACAATAAGGATATGCGAGCAAAGCCTAAAAATCAAACGAAAGAATGCTTAGGTGTTGAGAGAGACGCATGGAGGAAGCACCCAAAAAGATAGCGCTCAGGGTATAATACATGAAGGAGACGGGTCGACAGAACACCAAAAAGCCAAGAATGATACTTGATACTCATGAGGGCGTATTAGTGCCTGGAAGTCCGTTCTTCTTTCCCCATTCGAATGCCTTGCTGCGCAGGTCTGGGATGACCTGTAAGAACACCAAATTGCTGAGCCAGCTGAGCAGAGTGTCGCCGACAATGCTGTTTCTTGGGCTGGGCCCAAGGGCGGTGCCTTTCATGATAGAACCAACGAACATAGTAGTAATGAGATACTCTCCGCGCTCTAGAGCGCTGATAGAGATTTTCGCGACGTCCGAGGGCGTTTGTGGCTTGTCGGCCTCTTCAAGCTGTTTGGTCAATTCGGGCTTTGTTTTCTGCTCGTTATCAAAGCCGGGACTGAGGATTCCCATGGGGAAAATGGTGTGAATCTTGACATCCGCAGCCGGGGCATGAGTGCGGTGCCGCTGAGTAAAGGCCCCGTTATACATTTCGATTTCCTGGCTTAGAGTATCGGAGAGAGAACGAATGGCTGCCTTAGCAGGAGAGTATGGCGAGTAACCAGCGATGGGAACGAAAGCGAGGGTTGAGCATGTGAAAATGAGATGTCTCCGAGGAGTTTTCATCTGTCCACTCGGAGGAACCGGGGTGAGCCAGCTGCGCAAAGCGGCATGGGCTGTATTGGCCGCAGTCCAATAGATCGTATCCATTTGCTGCCGGTGCTCTTGGATGGGCACATCGACAAAGAATCCAGGACGCGAAAAGCCCGCGCAGCACCACACTACATCGGGAGGGGCCCCAGAGTTCCACACGGTAGCTTCCGCGATAACTCGTTCGCACTCGGCGGGATCTGTGAGATCGGCGCTGATATAATGGAACTTCTGTTTATACGAATTCGCCGCTTTGGCCTGGATGATACGTGAGTTAGGTAAGATTTAATCATGGAGGGCTGTCTGACCTTCATTTCATCGACGGCAGTCAGAAGTTTGGAGACGGTACGCGCGACAACAATAACATTGGCGCCTTTCTCGGCCAACTGGATCGCAACAGCTTTGCCCATGCCATCGGAGCCACCAGTGATCACCACAGTCTGGAAGGTTTGGTTAGCACGTATCACTTGAATCACATGGTTTTGCACATACCTGACCGTCAACAATGAACTCATTCTTTTGAAACCCGAAACCAAACATTTTAGCAATAGTGTAAGTGATAATAGTGCAAAGGAGTGCAGAAGCCCCTAGTATCGGGATTGAGGTATTATACAAGGATTCAAAGTAGGATGATTGAGGCATATGGAAGCGCGCAAGCAACTCGCGAGGATCCATTGTAGATGAATCGCAGCTGCGTCTGTTGCGTTGTCCTCGAAATGGAAAGCACACGGCTAGACTTGGTGACACCGAAATACCGAGTATTGTAATGACTTCGACCTTTCGAGGTACGAGATGGTAATATTACTGGTATCTACATTTCCACCAGTGCAAACAGAGCAAAGGCCCCACTTGAGGCTAGCGCAGCCAAGGCGGTGAATGCTCAAAAAATAATTTTATCACGCTTTATCGCCGAATGGACTGAGTTGTATCACTGTCGCTTGATTCCTAACTCGCAATAATGGGCAGCAAAAAGAGAAAGGCTGGTCGCCCGGCGCAACCGAAATCAGCACCTGAGCCCTCCAAGTTCGACATCGAAGAGCGCTTCGATGACTCCGAGGATGAGTTCCAGACCGGCCGTGATCAGATTCTACTCGAGGAAGGTCCAGAGGCAAAGAGGCGGCGGAGAGTTGCCGAGGATGGTATGTTACTTTAATCGTGGTCTGATTTGGTGCGAGTGGTGTCTGATTGACCGCTGCAGAGGAATTACTCCAGCCTTCCGACGAAGAGATCCTTGGCTATGAGTCTGTAGATGAGGACGAAGATCTCGAAGACTCAGAAGAAGACGAAGAATATGATGACATGGGCCTGCCTAAGAAAGGAACTGAGTCCGAGGAAGAAGATGAAGGCATTGCCGCTTGGGGCTCATCGAAGAAGGACCTCTACAACGCAGATCAAATCGAGACCGAGGTCGACGCATTGGAGGAAGAGCAGGAGGCTAAGCGACTACAAATAAAGCAGTTGCAGGCTATGAACGAAGCCGATTTCGGATTTGATGAATCTGAATGGGTGGAATCTGGCAAGGCTGCCGAGGACGACGTTGATGCTGGCGCGGTAACTGAAGTGCTTCCGCAACTGGAAATCACTGATGATATGGACACCGATGAGAAGCTGAAGATTCTGAAGTCGAGATACCCCGAGTTTGAACCCCTGGCGAAGGATTTCGTCGGCCTTCAACGCTCTTACAAGAAACTTCAACGCGCTGCCTCGAAGGCTTCAACAGATGACGACGATACGGAGGAGTCGCAACCATCTCCAGTCCCCGTGGTGAAATTCCGTGCCCTATCTGCCTATCTCGGTACTATCAGCATGTATTTCATGCTTCTCTCCTCCCCATCTCCCGACGCAACTAGCGAACAAGTTCCGATGACCCCCGCTGAACTCCGACAACACCCTGTCATGGGATCGCTTGTGAAATTCCGAAAGCTTTGGAATACGGTTAAGGATCTCGAGGAACTCGAAGAACCCGTTGAGAAGACTATCAAAGAGCCTAAGGCCGAGCCAGCAAAGACCGAGAAGCAACAAAAGACACAAGAGACCAAGAAGCTGAAGCAGAAGAAGTTGAGTAAGATGGAGATCGCACAGGCAGAAGCCGAAGCTCTCCGCGCAGAGCGTCTTCGTGAAACAGAAGCCGGTCTCGCAGACCTCTCGAACCTGGCCACCGAGTCTACCCGGAAGCGCAAGACACCAAAGACCAAAACACCTCTCAAGGATGACGACTCCGACTTCGGTGACGAGGATGCCCTTACAGCCCATGAAGCAGAGGAGAAGGCTAAGCAGAAGCGCTCGCTCCGCTTCTATACCTCTCAACTGGCCCAGAAGGCCAACAAGCGCAATGCAGCAGGCCGGGATGCCGGCGGAGACGCCGATCTTCCGTACCGTGAACGTCTACGCGACCGCCAGGCCCGTCTTAACGCCGAGGCCGAGAAGCGTGGCCGGAAAGAACTCAACCCCGAGCAGCAGCTGGGTGGTGACAGTGATGACGAGGATCGTCGCGTTGCCAAGGAACTCCGCCGCGGCGAGGGCGCCAAAGATGGCACTGATGACGATGAGTACTACGACATGGTGGCATCCCGCTCCAAGCAACGCAAAGACGATAAACAGGCTCGCTCAGATGCCCACGCTGAGGCTGAGCGCCTGGGCGGAAGCGTCTTTGAGCAGGAGGAGGTTGGTGCGGATGGCAAGCGCGCTATTACATACCAAATCCAGAAGAACAAGGGTCTCCATGCGAAGCGCAGCAAGGACTCGCGTAACCCGCGTGTCAAGAAGAGAAAGAAGTACGAGGAGAAGAAGAAGAAGCTTGGTAGTACTAAGCAGATTTACAAGGGCGGCGAGGGCCGCGGTGGATACGGTGGTGAACTTACGGGTATCAAGAAGAACCTGGTCAAGAGTGTCAAGCTGTGATAGTGTGCTTGATCGTAAAATTCATGGTCTTGTGTGTATGTTTTCATGGCGTTCACTGCGGGCAGTTCCAGGCATTCGATGTGTATATAACCCCGATTTCATCTTTTGGTTCACCCGAAGTTCAACCTCTGATTTGTTCATTTTAACTCGTCGTTTCCTAGGTCCATGGTTCAATTTATACACTAGCATCATAGCTGCCCTAGACTCCAATTAGTATGTTCAATCGGATCTAGACGGAAATGATCAGCTCCCTATCTCTGCAAAAAATAAAATCACATCGAGTTTGACGAGATGTGCATTTCAACCTTTGTCAGTTCAAGTAGCAAAGAACAGCAATGCTTTTGCAACTTGAAGTCGACGAAATAGCTTTCCTCAGTTAGTACATGTAGATTTTGACCTTAGACTATACCCCAGCCTATCCCTTAAGGCCACCCCAAATTTTCATCCCAGTTTCTCCTCAAATGAAGTAGGTCTCTGTTCTTCTTTGTCTTTTCACTGTTCGGAGTGCCTACCCAGGTCAATCCAGAATGAAAAATCCCTGGCTTTGAGGCCTTGAATCTAGTGATTGAGCGCCTATGCTACGAATTGATAGATAATCAAAGCTCCAGTAGGTATGGCATCAGGTTGCTTCGTCACCTGTCGAGGATGCTGATGCCTCAGAGACCGTGGGCCAAACCGCGAGAGAAGCTAATTCTTAATTGTTACCCATGTTTTCTTTTTTTACGCCGCTTATACATGATGAAGTGACTAACCCTTTCTCGTTGTTTGTCTTGGGGTGTTTGAATGATCTCATAGCGTATAAAAATCCCGATACTAAGTTTAATGCTGTGAAGAGTAGGTCCAGGCTATGAGAGAGCCAGAATGTTTAAACCCATTCGCTCCTATATGTCTTGATTTCGAGCACTATTAATTTGAAAAAAAGCTCTCCTTATCTTCGTTCACTTTATTCTAGCCCCTTTCATATTAGGAAAAAGCAAATAAAGTACAACAATCAATGCCAAGAGAATCCTTGCCCTAAAACTCGATCCCGGGACGCCCACGGAGGTCCTCAGACCGTAAACGAGACAACTTCCTGAGAGGTGCCTCCTGTAGGACTATGTCATGGATAATGCGCACATATGCTTAGTAAGGTCTTGATAGTATAAGGCTATTGTCACCTACTTAAATACCTTGCGCAAAGGGTAGAAATCGTTTGAATTGCCTAACCTACTAGTTTTAGATGAGAAGAGCCTAGTATCAGTATAAGAGGCTAAGTCTACTGACTCTAAGTGCTTTATGACCTCCGGGACTCTATGAAGTTTGAAAATGATGAATTAGATGTACAACTAAGCCCAGTTAGCCACTCTTTGCTTAAACTATAGCCTATATATATACTTTGACAAGTTAAAAGTATAATCAAATATCTAATAGTTTATGTATACAACTTAATCTGAAGCTTAAGACTGATAGCGTTATGCCTGGAATCCAACCAGAATATGATGGTAGCTTAGCGGACGGTAGAATTAGAAACGTCAAGTGTACGTAGTGTTCTTCAAACCCCGGCTGGTATGGCAAGGCAACTTCGTTCTGCTAATATTATAGATGGAAATCGCCCAGCTAATTGATGATAGGGCATGAATGTAAGAATATTTGGAATATCATCGGCCCGGCCCCCATGCGCTTGGTCTTGTATCATATAATAATTGCTCCCTTCACTAGAACAAACTTTCGAAAACTGCCTTGACATGGTCTGAGCCACCTTGCGAGAAATCAACCTCCAGAAAACTTCTCGCGAGTGTGTCCTTGTGATGAGGCCAAGTTAGCCACGTTCTAATCATAAAGATAAACTCGTACCGCTTCTTCTAGATCTTCCATTTCTTCTGGAGATAAAATGGCACATGCTGCGACAATGTTCTCGCCTCGAGCTGAAAGAGAAGCGATTTCGTTTGCGCGAGACACGATAGCTGGGTCAATGCCGTTTACTGCTGCGCAACTATATCACAAATCAGTCAGATCTAAATAATGTTGAGGCACAAATGAGATTCGACGGGACGCACATTGTGCCAAAGCTCTTGTTGCTACGCCCCGGGCGGAAGCTATGAGGTCTGTAAGCATAAATTCGATGTCGTATGAACTCAATATTAGATTAAGTTGCACGTACTTGTAAAGATATGTCACCTGGTCCTCGACTTCCTGAGCCTTTTCACATACTTGGATTTCCATGTGTCCAAGGTGGAGCTGGGGTCGCAACGTGAGGAAGTTGTTCTCGAAAAGCTCGTGGAAATGAGTAGCTGCAATTACTTTCGCTGGACTGTTAAGATTCAGTAGGTACTCGAATATGCCACAAGCGAGTCCGATGCCATCTAAGTACGTCCGTCAGAGTAGTCACATGAAAAAGAGCTGTTTTTCTGTAGGAGACAAACCGCTTTCGTTAGTACCTTTCCCAAACTCGTCGATGATGACCAAGCTTCGGTTTGTGACTTGTTTCAGGCAGAGGGATATTTGCTGTAAATCATTCATGAAAGTGCTTTGAATCTACAGCGATGTTAGGCTACTAACGTTGAAATTTGATATTGAGGCTTCAGGGTACCTTGGAGACACTCTCTTGAGTATTGATTTTGGTCAATATTTTATCTGTAATTCCCAATTCCGCGCTTTCTGCCGGAACGAAGCTGTAACTAGAATTAGCCTGCCATCACAATATGCCTGGGAAGGAACATACCTCCCAATTTGGGCTAGATAAATAATCAGAGCGACCTACTCTTGGGTCAAATTATGAGTCTTACAGACACGATCCTGCTTACCTGCTTCATATAGATACTCTTCCCCGAGTAGTTCGGACCGGTCAAGACCAACATACTGGGATTCTGATCCATGGAACAAGAACCATTGATTACCGGGTCACTTCCACCCACAAGATTCGTGTCGTTTGGCACATAGGAAGAAACCATCAATTCTTGAAGAATGTGTCTGTTATTCGTTAACATTGTTGAGGGAAGTTTGTTCACCGTTCTTACCGGCCACCCTTGATTTTGATCACATTCTCTTCAACCATTCGTGGCCTTGATAGCTTGTAAAAGCTAGCTGCCTGTGTGAGAGCAAGAAGACTATGGAATTCGCATTAGTGTGCCTGAAAGAATTGTTCACCAGGACAGACCTATCGATTTCTCCACAGATATCAGAGGCATCAACGAGCACATTCTCATATTGAAGAACCCTCTGGGCCAAGTCGTACACAATCTCAATCTCTTTTTCTGTCAAAACACAATTCTTAGTTATCCATGCCTTCCAAATGAAAAGGCAAGCTTACCGCAAATGATACCATATATGTCCCCCAACTTATCATCCATCTCTCTCATGCGAAAGTCCTTGAAATATGCCCGATTTTCCGTGATGAACATGATTTCCCACTCATCACCAGAGCCCGTATACGCTGCAACACCATCTTCATTGAGAGGGATGGCAATGTTAAATCCAAGCTGCGGGAAATAAATGACATCTATCTCGACATCACAAGCGGCGGGGATTGTCGCGGCTATATCGAGGGCAACGTGCTTGAGAAGACTGTGGAGGCCATCGTATCTGTCCTTAATTCGGTCAAGATCTCTATCGATTCCCTGCTTGACAACTGTTCTTCCTTGTTCTTCGGAGTTATCGATATCGACCTAACGAGTCAGATAAGTTATTGATAAATACCAAGTTAAAACATTCTTACAACTCCTTGAATCATACGACCAACTCTGTATAGCTGTGCAGCTTCAAAAACTCGGAGAGCCTGCAAAATTTCAGTGATAGAAAACCCAAGTTAGGTAATTATTGGAGGTTTACCTTGCTTGGAAGAGCCAGAACACTAGCGCCCGAGACCTCTTGGAGTGCATCCTTGATGTCGATAGAGTAGAACGCAAACTGATCAACTTATTAGTATCAGAACGCAATTAATACTTCAATGCAATCTCGATGGATGCTAGCAGATCCAAACCTACAGCGAGAAGACTGGCCCACACTGTAGTCTTGAACCCAGTAACTTTCGCACTCCCAGTACTGATCCCCTTGCGAAGATTCACCATGACAGGCCTAAGATTTTTGATATGTTTCAAAGCCTTCGTCATCTTTTCCAATGCGGCGAGATTATCGGGGCGGCAAAACACCCCTATAAAAGTATGCCGTCCACGAATCGTATCCAGATCCACACTTGGGCGAAAGAATGTTTGCTTGAGTTTTGCCTTGCCCTGGGGAGTGTATGCAAAGTGCTGGAAAATGCCATAGACTGAGAGACCCTCCTTCCCCGTTCCCGACTTCTTCCCGGGGCCTTGGTTAAACATGTTCGGGTGTGACTCCGATTGGATTATCTGGAGAGAAGTGAAGGTACTACTGTTGATCCACATCATATCCCGCAGGTTGAACATCTGCAGTGCTCGAATCTGATACTCATTCCCTGCTTCCAGAGAGCTAGGTGCCGCGGCTCTTCGTCGCTGCAAGTAGGTGAGTATAGCTCCTGCGCAACCAATAGTCACGGGATTGTCCATGTCTACAGAACTTGAGACGTGCAAAAGCCTTCCTTCCTGAAGTGTGAAACCCATTTCTTCCGGATCGACTTCTTCGGGTCCAGCGAGGCCATTTTGAGGAACGAAAAACCGGATACGCTCTTCGTGTGTAGATGAAATTTCCAAAGCAAGGATTTTGCTCTCTGCGTTCGAGTAACTAAACTCTGGCGTGGGACGAACATCTATTTGGTAGGGAAGATAAGCGGAAGTAACTAGACAGACATTATCACCATTTGTTCGAATGAAGTAGTCCAAGGCCAAGGGAAAGTACCATCTTCTTGTGCAAGATTTTGGTTTTGATTCTCCGGGTTCAGATCGACACGAGGAGGGGTAAGAACCACTGTCGGTTTGATCTGAAGAAGCACTGCAGATGTCCTAGTTAGTTCTTTAGATCAAACCCTAAGCAAATGACAAGCCTACAGGCGTCGATTGTTTCCATTCCCCCGGAGCGACTATCACCGAGCAGATACATCTTTTCCTCTTCGGCTGAGTAGTATGCGCACCCCACCGTTCCATAGTCCTTCATATCGATGGCAGCAATGACATGATCCTCAAAGTCATCGACGGTAATCCTCGCCGACCGATCAGTTTCAGCCCTTCTATCCGTGAGAAATGGAGTGCGCAATTGACTTGCTGACGTGGTCGTCGGGGTTTGAGGAGGACCACTCCCGATGCTAGTGGCTCGACTTGATAGCGCCCTGTGGCCCAGTCGACGCCCAGAGGTATGAGGTGTGACTGGGGGATGAGAAGCCGGTGTTCTCTTTCTCTTCAGTGAAGACATTTTGCCAAGCTCAATGGGGATGAAATACGTGGAGATGGGAGGACAGAAAAAAAAGATGGGGCAGGATGAAGCGGAAGGCTCACGGGCTCATTGTATGAATTAGGTAGTCGGCCTACATATGTAGTCTCCTCCATGCGAGACATCAAGCTCCTACGATATACAGGGCATTCACTCAAAATGAGGATAATTGAATTCATGTACAATGATAAATGGAAGTGAACTAATATACAGTAATGAGATGGGAACGATGATCCAATATGCAACCCGTAACTTCAAAAGAGGTTCAAACACCGTATATGCCACATAAAACGCCCGACTTCATGTTTTCGTTAATCTTGAGTGGTCACCACCAGGCCAGACTTATCTTCATCAAGAGATACCCGGGCAGTTTGACCGGAGACAACTTCACCCCGAATGATCTTATCAGCCAGGCGGTTTCCAATCTCCTTGGCAATGAGACGGTTCAACGGCCGAGCACCAAATCTAGGATCGTAGCCTTTCTCGCACAGCCAGTCCTTGATTTCATCATCAACCTGCAAAGTCATACGGCGGTCATCCAGTCTGGACTGCAGCTCCCGGATTCTGATGTCGACGATATCCCGAAGAGCCTCCTTCGAAAGGCGCTTGAAGATGATAAATTCATCAATTCGGTTCATAAACTCAGGTGGGTATGCACCTTGAACCACATCCATAACGGCCGATTTAACCTTTGACGGGAGCTCCGAACCATCAGTGTCTTTCAATGAGTGCAAAGGGTCCGCTCCAACGAGGATACTGGCTCCAAGATTTGAGGTCAGTACGATCAATGTGTTTCGGAAATCGACTTTATGGCCTTGGGCATCCGTCAAGAAGCCCTCGTCGAGAACCTGCAGTAGTAGCGCTGAGATGTCCCGGTGCGCCTTCTCGAATTCATCAAATAACAGAACAGCATAAGGCTTCCGTCTGACAGCCTCGGTAAGCTGGCCAGCATCATCGTATCCAACATAACCGGCAGGAGAACCGATGAGACGGCTGATGGTGTGCTTCTCCTGGAACTCACTCATGTCGAAGCGTACAACAGCACTTTCGGTAGAGAAAAGGAACTCGGCCATTTTCTTGCAAAGTTCAGTCTTTCCGACACCGGTGGGACCAAGGAACATGAATGAAGCCAGGGGCCGGTTTTCTCCGCTGAGACCTGCTCTCTGCATTCGCACGGCATTTGCAACAGCAGAAAGCGCTTCATCCTGTCCACGGACTGATTTTCGGAGAGTATCTTCCATGTGAATCAACTTTTCTATGTCCCCGGCCATGAGCTTGTTGACAGGGATGCCTGTAGTCCGAGAGACAACGTTTCCAATATCATCTGCAGTCACCGAGTCATGAATCAAAGTTTGATTTTCAGGATCTGGTTCGGCGCCCTCTTTTGGCAGCTTGGCTTCGAGTTCCGGAATAATAGAGTATCTCAACTCTCCAGCCTTAGCAAAGTTTCCCTCGCGTTGGGCTTGTTCGAGCTCAAACCGAGCAAGTTCCAAGGCCTCTTTGGTGCGTTTGATAGTATCAATTTCGGCTTTCTCCTTCTCCCAAGCCTCAGTCAATTTATCGACCTCCGCTTGTTTGATTTTCAAGTCTTCTTGAAGTTTGTCTCGTCGTTCGCAGCTGGCAACATCGGTTTCCTTGCGAAGAGACTCGAGCTCGATTTGGATGGTAGTGATGTCACGCTCAAGTTCCCGAATTGAATCGGGCTTTGATTCTTGCTGTAAGCGAAGGGCCGATGCAGCTTCATCGACAAGATCAATGGCTTTGTCGGGTAGGAAACGATCAGTGATGTAGCGATTGCTGTAAGTAGCAGCAGCTACCAAAGCGCCATCTGTTATTCTGACGCCATGGTGCACTTCATATTTGTTCTTTATTCCACGTAGAATCGAAATCGTCGAGGCTACCGATGGCTCACCCACAAGTATAGGTTGGAAACGTCGGGCGAGGGCCACATCTTTTTCAATAAGTCGGTATTCGTTGAGGGTGGTAGCACCACAGCATTGGAGTTCGCCTCGTGAAAGAGCAGGCTTAAGTAGATTGCTAGCATCAATGCTGCCTTCAGCTTTACCGAGTCCCAGCAAGGTGTGAAGCTCGTCGATGAAGAGGATCACTCCACCCTGCGCATCCTCCACTTCCTTCAGTACAGATTTCAGACGCTCCTCGAAGTCGCCCCGGAACTTGGCTCCCGCAATGAGAGAGCCGAGATCCAAAGAAATAACCCGTTTGTTTTTAATACTCTCAGGGACATCTCCTTGGACGATGCGCTGAGCCAAACCTTCAAGCACGGCAGTCTTGCCGGTTCCAGCTGCACCGATCAGCACAGGGTTATTCTTGGTCCGCCGGGACAGAATTTGAATAGTTCGGTGAATCTCAGCGTCTCGCCCAATAACGGGGTCCAGCTTTCCAGCTTTCGCTTTGGCTGTGAGGTCAACGCCGTATTGCTCGAGTGCTGATTTCTCTGGTTCTCCACTCATGTCCATACGGTGGGTGCCGCCTGGAGGATGTGGACGGCCTTTAGCATAGTGGCGGACAGAGATCGGACTGGAATTGACGGCTGGTGTGACGATAGAAGGGCGACAGAGTATACGTGATCGCGTGATTGGGGTCAGCAGACGGGTCGAGGATAGGTTAGGCGTTCGTAGAAGGCGACTACGGGTAGTGAGGGATAATCTCGCCGCCATGTTGGATAAGACGTTCAGTCCTTAGGGGAAGAAAAGCTTTGAAACTGGTTCGAGGCCGGAATGTCCACTGGTATAGCTTAAATACCGATAGCAAAGGTCCATCGGGAGGCTTCTCGAAAGATCCACATACTCGACGCTGAGTGGCGGAGGGAGCTGAGGGAAATGAAAGTAGTCCAAGCTCCGTCACCAGTCACCTGACTACGTAGTCTTCGCTCTTCCACGTTTTTCCGTCACCCCGTTGAGATTTTCCGTAACAAAAAAAATCCTCCCTTTTTAACCCCTCCTCGACTACTTTCTTCTCCTTTTTTCTCTTTCTCTTCCAGATACCACCACACCTCTCTTTCACAATGGGTTTCACCGACTTTGTCTCTGATGCCGGCCTGACTCGTAGGCGCCCCTGAGATTTTGTTATTTCGAATCAATTGGTGACTGACTGTGCCCCTCAGTGGCCAACCACTTCCTGTCCACTCGGTCCTACGTTGTTGGGTAAGAATTGCTTCCCCCTTTAGATGCCCTTTTCTCCCTTTCTTCTTTTCTGCTATGCTTTTATGATGAGAAACATTGGTCCGTGTTTATGAGGCGGATTAAGACCCCGCTGGATGACTACACGCAATCGCGAGCAATCGCATCTCTGATCTAGCTTTACAAACTACATTGTTGAATGACCCGTCTGATGTGAACATCCACGCTGACCCTATTCAACAGTACTTCCCCCAGCCAGGCCGATGTCGTGACCTTCAAGGCCTTCAGCGCCGCCCCCGACGCTGCCAAGTACCCCCACGTCGCCCGCTGGTACAAGCACATCGCCTCTTACGAGAGCGAATTCTCCACCCTCCCCGGTGACTCCTCCGCCGCTTTCACTGCCTACGGCCCCGAGACTACCGAGCTTCCCTCCAACCCCAAGGACAAGCCCGAGGAGGAGGAGGATGATGAGGACATCTTCGGCTCCGACTCTGAGGAGGAGGACGCCGAGGTCGTTGCTGAGCGCAACAAGCGTCTCGCTGAGTACAAGGCCAAGAAGGCCAACAAGCCCAAGCCCGCTGCCAAGTCCCTCGTCACCCTGGAGGTCAAGCCCTGGGGTATGTATCCTTTAGCCTCTTTCCTTTGGTTCAATTGCTAACAAGTATCCCTAGATGATGAGACCAACCTCGAGGAGATGGAGGCCAACGTCCGCGCCATTGAGCAGGACGGCCTTGTCTGGGGTGCCTCCAAGTGGGTTCCCCTCGCCTTCGGTATCAAGAAGCTCCAGATCAACCTGGTCGTCGAGGACGAGAAGGTCTCCACTGATGAGCTCCAGCAGCAGATTGAGGAGGATGAGGACCACGTCCAGTCCACTGACATCGCTGCCATGCAGAAGCTGTAAATTTGCAATGCCCAGTTATGAAGCAGGAATTGTTTGATGGAAATGTGTGATGTCAAAGGAATCCTTTACGAACCTAGTCCAACTAGAAAGCTGGTCCAGTAGTGACCGGTCATTGATGAAAAAATTAAAAAAATTCATGACCATCTGTCTCCCGTAGATGTAGATATCTTCAAACGTTGGGGTTGGGCACCTAGGTACGTGGAGTCAATTGGTTGGGCCATCAATCGTTTGGAATTCCTTGATACCCATATGTATTCTTGGTAAGTATCTACATGCCTACATGTACACACATGGGTATGTACGTCTTTGGTGTCTTGGGCCATGTGCGTACATGTAGTCAATGCTCGGTTGATTTCTTCTCCGTTGTCTCAACAGCGGTTAGGGCTTCGATGCCTCATATAGATACATTCGAAACCCAGCTTCCTGAAGAGGTGTGTTACTGACTTCACTATTTCGCCATTTGTTAGGACATGAGCAGGAATGGCTTGGCAGGTGTGTTCTACGTGGTGTTTTGCTTTGGCAACAGTAAAGCTTCGTAATATATGTTCAGTTGAAAGTCTGATCTAGCTACACACGCAACTACCATAGGTGCCCGAGAATGAACATGTATATGCTCTTTATTTCTGTTGTATGGATTGCATCGAGGATCTTATATATATACCCTTCATGTGGTTATGTGCCTCAAATCGTGATGTTCCCAAACCTAGGCTGGCTGGCAAGTCTTGGTGCTATCAAATTGCGTGTTTGCCCTCTTTAACTTGAACTATATTTTCTATTTGTACTACTGCCATAAGAAACAGTTCATTTATCCGTTCCCCTATGATTCTGCAGCTCGTAGACAAGTTTATTAATTAGTACAGAAGTGGACAGACTATGTGGGAGAAAAAGCCCAATCAAGAGGGTATTGCTTTACTCATGAATAGAAATGGTATAGATAGCTACCTCTGTATGGCAGATGACTAGAATCCGTCATTATTCTCAAGTTCCACCAAAGAAGGTCGGGGTCAGACAGCAAACTCGAACAGTGCAACCATTGCCCAGGGACTGTCTCCCGAAGAGTGATATCCAACCGTGGAAGATTGAAGGAAAGCCTCACCGCATCGGTAGCCAGAGGAAGACCACTTTACTGAATTGGTATATAAACCCTACAGAGACCGAATATTAAATCATATCCGAGAGAGTATCATAAAGAAAGGCAATCTACGGACTATAGATCGATGCAATAGAATTCGTGCCAGTCAAAAATTGCTTAGTAAACCGCGGGATGAGCGCCCGGGGCACCTTGAACCTCCCGCCACCGTATCAAACAGCACACCATTGTCCACAGCTACGGACACTGGGCTTCATCGTAACCCCAACAGTTTTGCGGCAATTACCTGGAATCAATCACCCAGGGCTTCTTTTCTTTCGATTAGCCTCATCCATTGAGCCCCAATCCACGACCCCCCAAACCTAGCTCACCACCCACCATGAGCTTCCTCTCCCGCGTGGTCACTTTCTTCGGCCTCATCCTGCTGGTTCATGCGTAAGCTTTCCAAACCATGATCTCAACAACTGTCTTAATTTGGCGCCAATCAAGCTAACAATCCCTTCTGCAGAGGCTATTCCGCCCACGAACACACTGTCCTCTCCAGCAACATCGCATCGACCACCCTCCCGCAAGATATCATCCTTGAAACCCTTGTTTCCGTTCTTGTTGTCTCAGTGGGACTAGTATTGAGCGCACAAAAATTGAAACCCATTAGTTGGCGCGAATGGGCGGGTGAGATCGAACGGAATGGCGGAGCGCGCAACCCGTATCTGAGTCTCGAGGAGCGGTATGGATTCTGGGATATTCGGGTGAGTCTTTTTAGGCATTTACATGGATGTGTACCTTATCGGGGCTACATGCACTTCTGATCTCCCTCTATCGTTGGACATATATCATTCTTTTGGGCAAGGATTATCAAACGCTGACATTTGGGAATATACAGGCCAAGAGGAAGGAATTTGCGGACTGGGTTCGTGGACAGGATGTGTCGATCAAGGAGTGATTGCTGGGTATTAAGTTTGTGGTCATGTGCAACAGTGGAGGCGAGTTGTATGATATGCATGACGGCGAGGGAGTTCAATTTTCAATTGAGACGCTCGGCTTGTTGGTTATGACTTACTTTGATACCAACGTGCTCATATTTCCTATGAAGGGTAATTCATGGCACACTACGGAGTACGGAGTATGGCGATGTAGTGGCGAAAAATCCCCATTCTGATACAATACAATTGACAGGTGATGGAGAGATTGCATAGGCATACCATTAGTACGCCTGGCTGCTTGTGACCTGGAAAAGTGGGCTCACTGCCACATGAAGACACTTTTTGCACACACGATTTACATTCTTGCGCCACTCGGCCATGGCATACCAATGTTTAGTTCTAGGCCATCCACGACTTTGCCTTAATTTGTCTCAAATCAGCCATTAAGCAAGGAGGCAGTCTGGCTTGCCGTCTGCGCATCCAGGCAAGCTTAATTGAGAACTGTCGGAGAATGCTTGGCTTGGCACGAAAGATCACTTGTTGAGATGATCGTCTATTCCTACTGACTCTACGGAGTACGGAGTACTGACTATCAAGAGGCAAGTCGAGAGCGAGGTAAACCCCGAAACCATTATACGTCCTCCGGAGTACTGCATACGTGTTTATATCATACAGCTAGGTGTACTTCGTACAACTCAATCATACAGTATGCATATCAATAGTCCTACCTGTCCAGCCGGTCGGAAGAGAACAATCAAGCTTAAAGGAACCACACGGACGCCATACGAGCATATAACAGCCCCGAACCTTCTTTCTCTCTGCAGGGGTATGCTTCCAGGGGTCATTCCCTCTGATCTATACGGAGTACATAGAGGAAGTGCGAGATTCAAGTCAAGATCGACACTGGGGGGAAAAATCAAAATATCATACTTAGAATGAAGTATACCGAGCCGTCCCCCGTATTATGTACTTGAACAGATCCACCTTGGGTGATCTGAGGGTCGAAGTTGGGACGTCAGAAGTACGAGGTCCCTCGATAAATCATTTCTTGTAGGAGACACCTGAAATTCGAGCAATTTGAAGTATCACACCCTTGCATTGATAAAATAATAATATCGAGTACGAAGTTAAGAAAAAAAAAGAAAACGGTGAATACGGAGTGGTCGTTGGAATAGCTGATTGGACAACAAACCGAACAAGGTGATGTCTCACTTGGCCGGTTCGACTTGCTTAGCCCCAAGACACGTCGGATCGCGCCATTTGGGGCCCAATGGAAGTATCGAGATATTAATAACTTACACCCTACAGCTATATATGGCTTGTATTGATCCATATTAGAGGGGGCTGGCATAACGACTGGACCGCTTCAAAAGGGACTCGTATGCCTCCACGCGGTCAGCCAACCTTTTTACGCAGATGTAACTTCGGCAAGTTTTCAGGCGACTGAATGTTGAGTTTTTGAGACATTATTTCCATTGTTATTGTTATAATTACTTACCATACGAGTGGTCAGACGCGACTAAATTGGCTAGTGTTTAGTGCATATCGCTGTCAAATCTGCCAACTTGTACAACACATTCCTTTGTGGATTTGAGGAGCGCATTTCATAGGCGGCAACCATATTTCCCATGAAACATTATAGAGGCGAATGATTTTTAGAAACACAGAGTACACAGTAGACTACTCCGTATAGAAGCCAGCAAATATACCTGCCAGCTTACGATGGACACGGCAGCCCGGTGTGACCCCAGAAATAGAACTGCAAGACCTTGCAGATCCCAGGCGCTAGATCCAGACTTCGATCGCTGACTGGAACGGCGTCTCCATTCCCAAGCCACTCACGGCTGATGGCGTGCACTAAAAGGTACTCTGAGACAATATAACACGACTGTTTCCCCGGACAACCAATGCCTTATAACCCCTCTCGCCTTTCATTTTTGGGTCTTCCTTCTCTTTTTCTCTACACGTTCTCCGGATCTATCTAATATCCATACATTAATACATCTACCAATAATCTCTAATTCCTCAGTCAAGATGCGTTTCTCTATCGTCTTCACCACTCTTTCGGCCATCGCCTTGGTCAATGCCCAGACCAGTGCATCCGTTGAGGTCGAGGTAAGAAACAACAAAACAACCCATCTCAGTGTATCATTGACTAACTCATCCAACAGACTGTCGACAACCCTGCCACCCAGTTTTTGACCCAGACAAACTCCCTCGGTGTTGTGACAGGCCAACCCGTTGCTGTCACCACCCAACCCGCCGTCGTCACCAGCCAGGCTGCCGCTGTGACCTCGCAGGAGCCCGCCGCTTCCATCCCCGCTGGTCTGACCTCCCCTGTTGCCGGCCCTGGTGCCACCCAGACCACCCAGACCACACTATCCACCGTCTCCAGCAGTGCTGCTACCGGCTCCTCGTCTGCTGCTTCTGCTTCTGCTACTGGCACCGAAACATCGGCCTCCACCTCCAAGCCCACTGGTGCTACCACTGGCACTACCTCAGCCGCCTCATCATCCTCTTCCTCTTCCTCATCCTCATCCTCTTCAGACTCCTCCAGCAGCTCTGCGGCTAGCTCTTCTGCTGGCGCTTCCAGCTCAGCCTCTACCGGTGGTGCTGCCATCGCCACTGCTGGCCCTGTTGGTCTCGGCATGGTTGCCGGTGCGGCACTCGTTGCTTTCCTGTAAGCGAACTGAGAACTTACAACTAGGCCATGGCACAATCCTGCCTACTGCATCTTGAGATGCCTACTTCGGCTGAATGTATGTGGCAGGGTTTGGGCTTGGTCAGTCAGTCATGTTGATCCACCATCTGGATCAATGGGAACGAGGGACATGAAAACACGAGCATTGATTATCTTCTTTGGGTTTTAACGTTGTATCTTCCAGGTTTATCATGGAACTTGTAATTCTTTATCAATGGGCAGGGAATTGGTTTGTGTTCACCGCGTTTGTTCTAAGACGCATACCCACGGCGCACCTGTTTCCCAGTTCCTTCTTGTTTTCCCCCTCTTTTTCTCTATCCTTATGATTAACCTAATCAACCCTTGGGTAAATACGAGACTTACTTCCATAAAAACGTAAAAACGTACAAACGTAGCATGCATGTTGTGTTGTGTGTTCTTTGGGCTGTTCAGCCAGGGGTTCAAGTCCACTGGTCATCTCCTACAAAGGCCTCGAGTGCTACCATGAATAAGCTGAATAAGCTCTAGGACATTTTGAGTGCCATGATACTAAAAAAACTAGATGTTTGATATGCTCATGCTGGATCTGTTATTGCCGCAGGCAGGTATCTCACTCACCTAGTGTATACCCCAATGTAGATATAGTTATGATACCGAACCCTGCAAAAAACTATAGGTATACATAGTATCACATGTCTTAATTTGATTTCTCTATTTCTCTTCGCTGGTTCCGACAGGATTTAAGTTTCCTCTATATGATAGCACGTATAGCCGTTTCCCTCTCACAGCCTTACTATGTGATGTTTAGGCTGCCAGGGGCTTCTTCATTCCAAATGAGATATCTCAGAATAAACCGATATCCGTTTGATATCCTTTAACATCCTAGCTGCTTGCAATCATGTTTCCTCAAATACTCCGCAGCAAGGGCTGTTGTAAGGATGGGAGTGAGACATAGGGCAACCCAACCCAAAGAGGTAACATTAGTTACGCGCAGATGACGCGACGAGTGCCACGTGACGGACGCGCTACCGAAAAGGTTAGTGCGACCTCCACTCAAAACAAACCGTCGACGAAGTAACCATCTCTTATCATTGTGATTGTGATCATTGTGCTTCCACTGGCCCGGATCACCTTCTAAACTTGGATATTTCTCCAGCTGGGGTTCCCCTCATATTTTGATCCTATTAGTACAATCAAAAAGCTTCAATATGGTAGGTCATCCCTACTCAAGTCATTGACATCACCGGTTTCCCAGCAACCAGTGTATGCTTGGGATTTCTGTATCTGACATGGGTGTTAGCCGTCCAATCTGCGCCGGCTAGCTGCCGACCATGCCGCCTTACACCGCGATATGCCGCCGTATTATCTACAGCCATCAGACACCGATGATCTATCACAACTGACAATCCTTCTAACGGGCCCCGCAGGCACGCCTTTTTCACAAGGATTATGGGAGCTTCATCTTAAGATGCCCAATGACTATCCAAAGAGCCCACCCAAGGCTACTTTCAAAACGAGAATATGGCATCCTAATATGGAGGAGCTCACTGGGGCTGTTTGTGTGGATACCCTCAAGCGGGACTGGCAGCCCAACCTCACCCTTCGCGATGTACTGGTGGTATGTCAAATTGAAGGGTCACCAATACAGTGCGATGTTAAGTTGAGCTAATGAAGTTTCATATATCAGACAATCTCATGTCTTCTTATCTACCCTAACCCCGACTCCGCCCTTAATGCCTCTGCGGGCGCTCTCATGCAAGAGAACTATGAGGCCTTTGCACACCAAGCCAAGCTTATGACCTCTATCCATGCTCCAATCCCGCCCCACTTGAAAGATGCAGTGACCGAAGCAAAACTTCGGGGCGAGGAAGCGGGGACAAAATTAGAAGACAAAGAAGACGACACAATCCTACCCCACCCCGGGAAACAAGCATTCACCCATACCATCCATGCGAAGAAATCAACCCGTAGGACCACTCCATTCGAAAATCCACCACAGTCCTCATCTCATTCCTTTGCTCAACTCTCCCCGCCCCCGACAGACGAAACCATGAGCGACAGTGAAAATGACGACTCTGCTAGCGCAAGCAAAGAGAATAACCCGTCACTTTCTCCCTCTCCCGTCTACTTCGCACCCCCAAGTCCCCGCAAGGGCAAGCGTCCTCTCTCTGTACTGTCAATTCCATACCAGGCAGACTCCGATTCGGACATGATGCTGGTCGATCAGGACTCCGATAATGAAACCCCCGCCATGACACCCAATGAACAAAATATCAGCGCGAACACACGATCACGTACATCATCACCACTACGGAAAATGCCCAAGCTTTCCCTCGTCTCTGGGAGTATCAACTCCCCAGGTCGTCTCCGCGATGAGATGCCTATATTCGAAGACATCCCTCAGCTGCCGATGCAAGATTCTTTGCGCCGACTGAGCGGTGATGGCAAAGAGAACCGGGGCTCCGCAACTGCACGCGGATCAAAAGCAAAGCGCGAGCTTTCCCCGATGAAGACATTGAATGGCCCTGCTCCTCTTAGCCCGGCACATGCTCAACTCCCTCGGCCAGCATTATCATCTCTTCCAATCTCCTCTTCGGGTATCCATAAGAAGAAAGCCATCAGCGGGCTGCACAAGCGCCTGACCGTCAATACAAAGCCCCGCATTGGTATCCGCCGGTTATGAGAACAATCCATATCTGAGAGTTGTCGAAGATTTCTCCAAGTTGGAGTTTTGGACAACTTCTTGCTTTGCATTGTCACGCCCCCCTTTCATTTCGCGATGTCGCATTTGATCAACGATTCTTTGTCATCTGCTGATCCCACCATTTTTTTTAAACAAAATCTTTCCTCCCCGCTAGCGACTTTTCTTGATACCCTTGATAGTCCGTTGATTTCAACCGGACTTGCAGATTGCATGGAGCGAGGAGCCAGGAGATCCGAATGAACTGCATTGCATCATGGGCTGGTGGCCCTGAAATTTGATCGACTTTAGCTTTGGCTTTCACAACATATCTGTCCTTCAGGAGTTTACATATGGATTTGCATGGGCCTACGTGGCTTTTTTCACTATCTTATTCCTTCCATCTTCGATAATGTAGTGTCACACATGTCGAGATCACGCCTTAAGACGACAAGCTCGTCGGTGAATTCAAATTCTTCCGTTTTCAACCAAAGCCGCCTGTAACTTGTATCGAGTACGCTGACTCTTTACACAAATGAGCCTGATGAGACTTTGTATTGTCATCTCTGTTCAATGTAAAGCTCTGGTTTAGATCCATCTCGTTGTTTCATTATGCATAGATTCTGGCTGAGTCCTCCAGCCCAGAGAGACGAAGCAAGCTCAATCTTAAAGTGAAGCACAGGTCTTGCCCACATGAACCCATCTAGCTCGATACACTACCAACTGTTAATACTAATTCTACATCCTTATATGGTGAGATTTCCGAGGTCATCCCCAAACGAGGTCGTCAGTGACCCTAACTACATATAGATATTCATGTAGCTATCAAGGTACATGGCTTGTTAGTGCACGCAGCCAGGAATGTATAAATTTGTAATACCATAGATTAATGGAAGAGTTCTCTGGGACTATTCAGCTGCAAGGTCCTTCTCGCCAAGGTTCCAGACATCCTCAGAGGAACGAGGAACACGCTGCTGAAAGAAAAGACAAGCTCCGGCACTAAGAAATTCCCCCAGGTTCAACTAAAATGCTCAAAAACAAAGACAAAGAACCGCTTCGCGCATATAACAGGATAAGTATAGGAATCCCAGGACACGTTGGAAAGATAATGGGGTAGAATTTGGGATAATTGGATAAAGCCACCGAGAAAAGAGTAAGGAACAAGATATTCCGATAATGATATGTTCGATCCGCGTCGGGATGGGATTATGTCCGTAGGTGCACATTGAGTCGCAGCAAATTTTGCATGAGCAAAGAATCTGCAGGGTGGGCATGAAAGAATATAATCCAGGGAAGAAAAAGCATCAGGTTTGAGACCTCTACAGGGCGTAGGGGTTCACAGACCGAACAGTGAGGCATCTGGAGAAGAAGTTAGCAGTTAGTTGGGGGTTCTGATACTAGCGAACAGCCAGTTCAATTGGAATACGTACGGGGGACTCTTGCTCAGATCAGTCTTCAGGATAATAGGAACACGGGTCATCTCGGTGACATCCTGAATGAACTCTCCATCCACCTCGCGCAGCTTGAACAAGTTCAAGTACTTCTCCTTGTTTGTCAATTTGTTCTCGGGTGCATCCCCGGTGCCGGAAGCAATCTTGGGATCCGAACGAGTACGGTGGGGCCCCTGCTGGTGGTGGCCGTTGCGTGTAGGCGACGGTGGCATGCTCTGGGTGGAACGGTCGGCGGAGTTGAGCGACACACCGGCTGCCATTTCAGTGATATCGTCCACATCTTCATCATCGTCGAAGAGGGCATCGACATCGTCGGCAGACATTGTGCCGGTCTCAGTTTGCTTGCGCATGGCTTCATCACGCTCCCTGGCCCGCTCTCTGGCAGCTTCAGCCTCGCGAGCGGCAGCTGCGGCCTGGGCAGCGCGGGAGTTCCCAGGCTTGGGACGTTCATCCTCCGGAATGTATGCAGATGATGGAACGCCCTTCTCCCAGTACAACTCGAGGATACGACGGTCCTTACGGTACTCAGCCTTCTTGAGAGGTAGTTGATCGCAGTGCACACGCTTTTCGAAGCCGTATTCCGGGATAAGAACGTCAAAGGCAGACTCGTAAACGCAGAGTACAATACCCTCGCTGATGAGATCGCCACCAATCTCGCGACTCTTGCGGTCCATTTTACGGCAGGCCTCGATGTGCACACTTTGTTCCTGGGCATTGAGAGCCGAATCCTTCTTGTTGTTGCAAAGGTCAGCAGTCTTGCTCAGTGACTCGATATCATCATTGAACTCCACAGTGCCCCCTGAGAGCACGGCCTCAAGTTGTCGGTGCACAATGATATCGGTGTAGCGTCGAGAAGGGTTGGTGAAGTGGGTGTAGGCAGGCACGTTGAGCATGTAGTGCTGGCGCATTTCATCTGAAGTGCCACTACTGACAAAGTACTTTGCACGTTGCATGGCCTTGGCAAGAAGAGTTTCCATACCCTGCACAAGTGTCAATATAAATACACCATCAAAGAAACTGGAAAAGTACTTACCTTGCGAATATCTACATCCTGGACCTTGCAAAGAGAGCTCTGAAGACTGCCGCTGCTGCTCGAGTCGATCTCGAAGCCAAGGCGGTTCATCCGCTCAACAAACTGTGTAAGGCGACGAGGGTTCGGCGAGAACTGACGGCGCAAGAATGCTTTCTCGGGCATAGCACTAACAAGCTTACGAGCAACGAAGTAGTTCGCCTGGTGGCTTAGCTCCTCAACAAGTTCATGTGCTGGGGTTGAATCGAAGATGTTGTACTCGACTGGCACATTCTCATCATCGAGCTGCTGAAGTAGACGCTGAACGGGGACATTTGACACACGGTTACCGAAACGGGCTTCGCGGAACTTTCCGACAGTGTTCTGCGTTTACTGTTAGCATGAATGTAAAGGAAAATACGAACAGTGGGCCCGGTAGCAACTTACATGCAACAAGCGGAGGCTGTCTGCAGAAATGCCACTAGTATTGACATCGGGCTTGCCTTGAACAAGTGCATTGACCTGTTCATAGTCAAGACGGGCGGCGCTCTTGATAACACCCTTGCCGATCCAGACGTCTTCATCCACCACACCGGTAGCAGAGTTGGCCTTGAAGACTACACTGACTGTGAGGCGATCCTCTCCGGGGATTAGGGAGCAAAGCTCAGTGGAAACACGAGTAGGCAACATGTTCATGATCCGGTCGACCAGATAGACCGCGGTGCCGCGTTTTTTGGCCTCACGGTCCACCAGAGAATTAGCCTTGACGAAGTGAGCAATGTCGGCCACGTGAACGCCAATTTCGACCTTGCCATCAGTAAGCGTCTTGACATGGAACGCATCCTCGAGGGACTTGCTGTCGGCGGGGTCAATCGTAAAGATGGTCTCTTCACGGAAGTCTCGTCTCGAAGCCAAGGCGTCACCCTCGCTAGAGATAGCCCAGTCCTCCCAGCCAATGCTCTTCAGCACAGCATCCGAGAAGTCATCGGAACCGAAGTTATTGTCGCGCAGCAGGGCATCTGTCTCAACCCGTAGGTCACCCATCTCTCCGAGTTGCTCAACGAGCGTACCAAAGGGGTGCAGGGAGGTGATAGGCCACCTCTTGATAGAAGCAACAAAGATTCGGTTGGCGTAGTCCTGGTGCTTCTCAACGAAGTCCCGAGGTGCCTGCTCTGTTGGGATAGCGATAAGGGGGACACGCTTGTCAGTGGGCTTGAACCAAACAATCTTCGGCTTGTCCTGGTGACGATCATTGTGGGAACGACCATGGGCGCCGTCTCTGGCTTGCCGCTCGGCCTCCTGCTTCTCCTTTGTAGCCTGACTGCTGGGCCGCAACAGACCCAAGGTTCCGGAGAACATCTGGCCTGCAACACGCTCGATGACTGCAACAACGTGGCCGGCATACAGAGGCTTTTGCTCGTCGCTGATTTCATCTTCTTCACATAGAAGGAGGCTCTGACCTTCAACCTCGACGTCGTCATTCTTCTTTTGGGTGGGACGCTGGCGCAGGCTACCACGGCGGCGGATGCTTCCATCCGGACCCACTTCCTGTCTATCGCCAGTGGAATCGGAGCGACCAAGCTTGTCGTTTCCAGCATTGCTGTTAGACCGGGCATCAGTGATATCCTTGCGCTTCTTTTTCTCCTCCTTTTCTTTCTTTTGGCCCCACACCTCATCGACATCAAGAAGTTCAATTGCGACAAAGTCACCCTCAAGGGCGCGATTACGATCCTTGCTACCGCAAATGAAGATGTCGGCATCGAGATCGTCAGTAGTAACATAAGCATCAGAACGATTTTTCTTGTTGACGCGCAAAACACCAGCGACCAACTGTCCATTGCTAAGAAGTGCAGGCAAATTTGCCTGAGGAAGGTAAGGAGTGAAGAGAGTCTTTCGCTGTTGCTGTTGCTGTTGCTGCTGAACAGAAATCTGCGGTGGAGCATGCTGGCTTGCCTGTAGACCGCCCAAGCCTTGACCATTCTGCTGCTGAAGCGCTTGCAACTGGGCCAGCTGGAGTGGGTTCAGTTGCTGGTTGCCGAACATTTGGGGTGCCATCATGACTTGACCCTGGGGAAGTTGGATAAGCTGGGGCTGGCCAATTTGAGGCTGACCGCCATATTGGAACTGGCCGATGGAGCCCATAGACTGGTTCATAGAACCCCGCGAGCGGTGACCAGGCTGGAATCCACCCTGCTGCTGACCGACAGGCCTCTGCTGATCCTGACCCTGGTTTTGGTTGTTAGGCTGGCGCCAGTTGCCCTCGAAATTTCGCGAGGACGACCGGGCATGACCAGACTGGCTGGCCCGTCGTTGGTTATCGGGTTGACCCGTTGATGACTCACTGGCCTGAGGGAACTGGAAGCCACCCGCGCCGCGACCAGAGATGGAAGCCCGGTTACCACCGATAGCCATCGATTGGCTGCGGCCATGACCGCCAGCTCGTATGTTTCCGGCCCGTTGGAAGGCGGGTCCTTGAGGCGCGGGAGGAGTACTGGATGCGGGCTTATCATCTGAGGAGGACTGGTTATCAGAACCGCCTGCACCAGGGGCAGGAGCAGGGAACTGGAATCCCGAAGCTGTTCTCTTCTGCTGGGCTAGCTCAGCGGCCTTTTTGGCCTCAGGAAGAGCAAGCGAGTGGCGGCGCTGGTGACCACCGCCTGGAGGACCTCCACGTCCACGCCCATGGTTGCTATTCTCATTCTTATGGTTGTTCTGGTTATAATCGGCGTATCCTGATGCACCGGAAGACGGGGCAGGAGGTGGGCCCATAGGAAGACCGGGAAGAGCAGACTGGTTGCGACGATGCGAATGTTGATTTGGTGCATTCATCGATAAACCAAGCTGCTGCTGTCCGCCCTGCGGGAATTGGAATGCATTGACTTGCTGTGGGGAAACACCGCCCATGGAGGCACCTGGTTGAAACGAGGGCACCTGGCCCAGTTGCTGGGGCTGCAACAGCCCCATGTTAACGTATTGTTGGTGTGTCGCAGCAATTTGTTGCTGTTGCTGCTGGAGCAACTCAATTTGTTGTTGGATGGCCAATTGTTCCACTAAAAGCAAGTCCACGTTAGCTCGTATGATAGCACTGGGGTATTATACCAGCCGGTCACGAGGGCAGTCACGTACTCATCAGCGGGGTGAGCTCAGACGGACTTCTCCGATGAGCAATATGGAACTTGCGTCCACCGGGACCTTGAGGCCCGGATTGGTTTTGTTGATCCATGATCCCAAATGACAAAAGCTGGCAATTACTGTAGAGTGTAATATGTGTGTTGGCGGGATGGATCCGGCGACAGGAGAGACTGGTACTGCGCCAAAAGGCAAATGAGCCAAGCAAGATGGATCACAAGCCGACCAAAAGGAGTTTGTATGTGCGGATTGTGGGTTTCAATATGTGATTTATCCTAGAAAGTGATAAAGAGTGGATCAGTAAAGGTGAGAACTGACAGAGGAAGTATGGAAGAGCATGAAGGGGAAGGGAGAAAGGCGATTTCAGAATGCATGAGAAGTATAACCCCGAAGGCAAGGGCGGACAAAATAAAAGCTTTGACTTCAGGGGGGGGAAAGAAGTGGATTTGACAATGACCTCACAGATCAAACCACTCAAAATGTGGTAAGGGCAATCGAAGCCGGGCAAAGCTTCCAAAAGATAATGCATGGGCGAGATGGCGGTCTTCTTACCTGCAAGATGGAGCTAGTGACGACCTCCGAACCCTAGCATTCCAAAATGACGTCTGCAGAGTCCAACGTGGGATGGTCGTTTTTTTTTTGTTACAAATCCAAGCGGTGACAAAGCAGCAACCGAAGGATCGAAGGTAGAGATTGAGGCAATTGTATGTTCAAGGCACACTTGGATTGAGCAATGCCGTAGCAACACGGAGGAAGCTTCGAACAAGACTTGGAAGGACCGAGGGGATGGAGTTGCGCTGGAAAGCACACCTGCAACCGACAAAAGTGGGAAATTCAACTTAAAGCACCTTGACAGAGGACCGGGTTAGACTTTTAGTGAAAAATCAAGCCGATGAAACGAGCTTGTGTCCAAGGGGATTCCCAAGTTCTAAAGCAGGGAATCAGAATAGACCCCCGAAGAGAATGACAGTAAATACTGAAATTGGAGGGAAGGATAGAATAGACGATGAAATCATCGACTGATTCGACTCGAAGGAGCGATGGTGGGGGGGGAAGAAGAGAGGGATGGGATAAGAACAGAGGGAGGGGGAAAGGAGAAGAAGAAAGGTGATGCTGGAGATACAAAGAGGTGTGGGGAGAGGGCCATCCGTACAGAAAGAACAGGGTTGGTTCGGAAATGACCGAACGGTGTTTTATTACCAAGTTAAGCGCAATAATCCTGGGGAGGATCATGTAAATACCCTGACCGTTATCCGCCATACTCCGTCCGATCAGGATCCGTGGATGATCGCCATGGCTACCACTTCATCATCCTGATGCATCCGTCAAACTAATTCGAGTCCCTCGTTTGGGGGTCATCATTGGAGAGTGCAACCCAAATGAGTATCAGGGAACCCGATCTGCCTGACTGAAGCAATCCTTCTCAGCATAAAATACAGAACCTACTATGTACAGAACAACTAGTGGTGAGCTGGCTGTTTTTAGGACCCATTAAGCTAACGGTGTCGGTTGGGATTAACATGAAAAAGCACAAAAGCTTGGTAGGCAGCTCAAATGTAGGAATGATACTGGGGAAAATCCTCTTCTTTTTAAAGAAATCGATTTCCCTTGAACAATCTCTTTCTATATACCCTGTCCATGTCAAAATGAATGATGCTCACCATGATGTAAACGATGTCAAGGCTTCCAGACGGGAGTGCACCAGGGAACCGGAAGGTCGTGGGTCTTGCTGACTCATCCTTAGGGGCTCCAGGGCTTTCTTAGCAGCGAAATATACCTGATGTACTGCCAGTAGAACATTTACCAGCTATATTGAGTACGGACGGTCTCCATTATTTCCAATTGATTTTGTCGGGTCCATATTCCAACTTTCTGGGGCCTTGATACCAAGGCATCCTGAAAAGCCAAAGCTTACCAAGGTTATATTGCGAACATACCCGTGGACGTTGTAGCGTGACCGATTTACTACAAAACAACAAGGCGGTGATGAGAAGGCGGTGAGGGGGACGTTTTGAACTTCGGAGGTCTGTACATGTCTGTAGGTCATTTAGTTTCTTTGGATCTAAGATAAAGAATCTAAAGGCCGTGAAAGGTTTTTGAGGATAAAAGGTATGTTAAGCGATTGAAGCGCTTATTGGGTGATTACACAACGGAGCTAGGCGCTTGCTTTTGTTTGTGCCCCTCGGAGGCTACATGCTAATCTCAACCTTTCGACAGCTTCGATATCCATGGACCCTCCGTTCTCCGAGTTTTGACGCGCTAACGTCAAATTCTCTACTCGCTGGACACTGCATTTACTATTTCACCGCCTATTTTCTACCACAAGGACTTTCGTGCTGTCGTCCAACCTCCCACGGTGCCGTGCTACCATTTCCGAGTTCAGATTGATACACAAGCTTTATCAATCGCGAAGCTCACTTGACTCTGGGAATTGTTCTCAAACCAACTCACTTCTGAACCCCTCTGGTGATCGATATGGTCTCAGTTAATTGACCTCTCACACTCACATGATTTTTCTCTTCGCTCTTTCCACATTCTAGTCGTCCCAACACCGGCCACCTTCCCTCACGCCCTCTACTTGCCGCAACCTTGAGCCCACATCATACAATTCGAAGCAAACATTTGCTTTGCTCCGATTTTAAAATCAACCATGACGCGGTACAGGAACCATGTCCCGCCTTTGGACAGCCCATCGAAGCAGCTTCTGCTCGACCTTGTTCGCGACCTCGAGCAAGTCAAGCTTTTTGATGCCGATCTGAGAAAGGTACACGAATATGAGCGCAAGTCCTTCTATGAAAATCTCGACCGGATCGACCGCGAACGCGAAGCTGTCCACACAGCCGCCCTCGACGAGGCTGCCGCTTTCCACGACCGCGTCCGCGAGGAGGCAGAGACAACCCTGAAGGACCACCTTCGCGCCGAGGAGGAAGAACGTATGCGGAAGGAAGAGGCAGCTCGCAAAGAAAAAGAACGAATTGAACGCGAGAAGGCAGAGAAATTACGACTGGAACAAGAAGCAGCCGCGCGTGCGGAGGCCGTACGCCAAGCAAAGGAACAGGCCGTGAAGAAGGCCCAAGAAGAGGAGGCCAAGAAGGCTGCCGCCGTTGAAGCCGCCCGCAAGGCCGCAATTGAAGAAAAGCTTCGCAAGGAACGCGAACAGGCCGAAGCTCAGAAGCGCAGGCAGGACGAGGACGCGAAGAAGGCGCAGCAAGAGGCCGACCAAAAAGCTCAAACTCAACAGCAGCAGCAATTCGGTGCTAGAAACCTTTCGGCTGAAGATATCCGCGTGCACCAGCGTTACGTTGAGTTACATAAAACATTAAAGGAAATGCGCAAGTGGTTGAAAGACACTAGCCAAGGCCAGCCTGCCCTCAAAACGACCATGGGAAATATGCGACGATCCATTAAGAAATCCGTTGGTCAGCTTCGATCTGGAACGGGTGCGAACAAACAACAGGTGAGAAATTCATCCCGCTTCCCAGTTGTGGTTGTTTGGACACTGACAATGGAAATGAACATTAGATTATTCAGCTCAAAGCCGAACTTGAAAAAGCTCTTGCATACCCAGAGCCAACTGTTGATATCCGGAAGTTTATCGCATTCCCGTCTGAGGAGATAGCAAAGTCCGAGAACAAGGTACCGGCAATGCTGATTTACGGATTAAACATTTTTGCAAAGAGCTTGGTGTCCTCCCTTCTGGCTGAGGCGTCCATCAAGCACTCTCACGCCGAGCCGATCGGCATCGTTGCCGCTCAGATCTTCTCCTTCGATATATTCACATACAAGGGCGTCCATATGTCAGATATCATGTGGGCCAAGTACCGTGTTGTATGCCCAGCCCTATGGGGCTTCACAGGCAATGACAAGACCGAGGGAGGTCGTCGTGTACTAGGCTGGTGGCGTTCTGCAGACACTGGCTCATGGGTCCCCGAACAAGCACACATGGACCGCATGACTGCACTCGGTGCTGGATATGCTGCTATGACTCTACGCAACTTTGCCAAATCGCCACGTCATAACCCATTCCCCAACACCATGTTCTGGTCCTCGCTTCACAAAATTCTTGCCATCCCACCAGCAGAATTACAGGAGACGCAGGTTGCGCTCCTCGCAGCATTGCTTCGGTCATCGGGCGAGAGGATCGTTGGTTTCTTTGGACAATATGGCCTCGCTCTTATGCATTATGCCATTGTCGACTTGCCCCGTAAGCTTGGGCGGGAAACTATGGCCGTGACCCAGCTGAGCACCCTTCGGGAAATCTATCTTAAGGAAAAGAATTTTGCGCTGTGATTTGGGCCGACGGGCGTTGGGGATTTTGCAATTTTTAGGAGGATACACAGGCCTCAGCAACAAGCTGGAGGAGATGTTAGGCACATCCTAACAGGCGTTTATTTTTTATTGTCCGACATACCCTCTACTACTCATGCCAGAAACACATTGTATGATAGAGCCTGCAACAAGGACTGAAGAATCAGATTCAACAGCAGAACACAGTAAAATACACAGTAAAATATCAGGATAACCTGTCCAGGTTGAACGAGATGTTTCACATGCCACGTGCCACCCTAGCATTCCTGGGGTCACTGAGCATTCTGACATCTGGCGGGTTAGCCCCTAACTGACACACCCAATGGCTGGTCCACTTTCCAGATCTGCCGATATGATAGCCAGTTTGTAGAACCACCCTCACGTACGGAGTACTCCGTACAACAATTCTCACCCTGCCTCAAGCCTCAGCCACCTAAAATGAAGACTACCAACCATCACGCCCTTAGTTCCACCCACTATATCGATGTTGTGCTGTGTCTCGCCTCCATATTATGTATTGAATTCTGTTTTCGCGTGTGGCTAACTGGGACAGTGCAATATCTATCAGAAATGTCTAGGTCATAAGGCTCTATGAAGGGTTAAGGCTGGCCACATCGCTCTATCATAAATCTTCAAGGCAAGATAGATTATTCTTGATTTCAGGCAACGGAAGTGCTTTGTATTGTACGATATAGGGACCTGGACCAGCCAAGTCTCTTTGGCAATCGTATACTCCGTACGGAGTACAGAGTATTGCATTGAGAAGATAAATATTTGCCCGTTTCGTAGTGAGGTTTGGTAAGGGTACCTTTCAAGGTTGTACATGCATAGTTCTACATCATAGACGGCAAACCCGGGGTCCCGGGCCAGGAGAAGAGCTGAGTAATATGGGGGATTTGACGTCAATTATCGACCAAGATTCAATACTTCGTACCACATAGGGTCGATAGTATACGGTGTATGCAAAGTAACAATGATTACACAGTAATTGCTGTGAAACTCTCGAACCTTATGATCTATCTCGAGTACTTCGGCCGCAAGGGACAAGATCAGGCAACGATGCACAAGCCGGGCCTCCGCATTATGTACTCCGTACCTAGGTATAGAGGCGTCAAATACATAGGAAGACCGGTCAATGAAACCCAAACCAGCCAGATTCCAATGAGCCACAGGAAATCCAGTTCCAACCAGAGTGCTCTGTGGTTCTTTTCTCCGAGGCGATCGCCTCAGATCGGCGAATGCGTGGGCGGTGTGGACCATCGAACACAATGCCTTTGCCATCCGATCGATTGCCCCGACGCTCTCCACATGGGGATCATTTCCAGGGATCAATCCAGATTGAACACCTAGGCTTTGTGAATGGATGCAAGTGACATCACGACTCCGAGCTGCGGCAAGGTCAACGGGTAGACGGCTCTTTGTCCTTGGCATTAACGTCCAGATTGCCAAAGGAACTCGGAAGGAAGTAGGATCTACTCCGTAGGGAGATTAGAGTCTTCAGATGAGAAGAAAGCAAAAACAATCAAGTGCCGTGTCACAAATTAAACTAAGTCACACCGGGTCTTACTCCGTACTCCGTACAGATCATATAAGTCCGACGAAAGTAATAATTGACTATAGAACAAAGCCATGCCCAATACGTACAGAAAGTCCAGACCTTTAAAGGAGTGTGTTTCATCCACGGGTCCAAGAATAGAATGGCCCATCCTAATTGGTAGTTAGCAAACCCCTAAACTCAGGGACTGGGGCTCCTCCACTTCAGAGTCCAAGACCCTGTCAGGGCCGAAACCCTTGCCATTTCCCCCCAATCTCCGGCAGCTCAACCTCCGGGTCTTTCTTCTTGGGTTTTCTGACGTACGTTCCTTTTCTTTAAAACCCATCACGCTCTTTTCATCCTCGCTTTTAGTTTTTGTTTTCCCCCCCTCTATACACTCTCTTCGGTTGATATCTCTCTCTTTATCGACCTTACAATGCGTGCCACCGCTCTCATTTCCCTCCTGCTGGCCGCCGCCCCGGCCCTGGTCTCCGCTAAGGGTACTCTGGGTTTCTCGCTCGGTAACAAGAACCCCGACGGTTCCTGCAAGTCTACCAGCGACTATGAAGCCGACTTCGATGCTCTGAAGGGCCTGTCCACTCTCGTCCGTACCTACTCCGGCACCGATTGTAAGACCCCTCAAAACATCCTGCCTGCTGCCAAGAACAAGGGCTTCAAGGTCGTCCTGGGCATGTGGTAAGTCTTCAATTCCCCTCGTCCCCATGTGGAACCCCTTTTGACATAGTATATTTTTCTCCCTCATAGGGTTGGCAAGCCCACCGATAAGAACAATCTGTTGGAGGAGCCTTCCTTCAAGGGCGATTGGGCCGCGATCCAGAAGGCCATCCCCGGCTATGAAGACGTCATTCACGCCATTACCGTTGGCTCCGAAACCCTCTACCGTGGTGACCTGACCGGACCCCAGCTCCACACCTACATCAGCCACGTGATGAAGAATGTTCCCGAGGGTGTTCTTGTCGGTACCGCTGAGAGCTGGAACAAGCTAGCTGATGGTACTGGTGATGCGCTCTTCACCCAGGAGCCCATTGTGACTTATGTGTAAGTGAAGATGACCGGAAGGCACATGTTAGCACTAAATGCTGACCTTTTTTCCAGCCTGGCCAACGCCTTCGCCTACTGGCAGGGTACTGCCGCCGACAAGGCCTACAAGACTTACTTCGACGACATGGTCGGCGCCATGGAGCACATCCAGAAGATTGCTGGTGATAACGCGAACAAGATCAACATTGTTACCGGCGAGACTGGCTGGCCCACCGATGGCGGTTCTGACTACGAGGATGCCAAGGCCGGTACCAAGAATGCTGAGAAGTTCTGGAAGACTGGTATCTGCGGCATGCTCGACTGGGGTGTTGATCTGTTCTACTTCGAGGCCTTCGACGAGGCCTGGAAGCCCGATACCATGGGTGATAACGGCGAGATGAAGGATGAGCAGCACTGGGGTCTCTTCGACGCGGACCGCAAGATCAAGTTCGACACCACCTGCCCCAAATAGACTGTGACTTTGTGAGCTTTGTTTGATCCGATTGTCCCCGCTCTGAATCTTTGACGGGACTAGTGGTTTCCGTTCTGTTATTTTTTGTTTCTATTATTATTTTTTCAGACTGTACTCATTTATCTTGGGGGATTATTCTATGCGACTCCAATGGAAATATGGATTAATTGTGGTAAAAGAAATATCAATATATGTACTCCGTATCTGTAAAGGCTCCGTAGATGGTCAATTGCCCATTAGTCATACCCTGTCCGGGGGATGGTACGGTCGAATCCACTGGCAAATCCATGGAAAAAAAGGCTTCTACCCCTGAATTTGCCCCGAACTTCGAATTTTGTTTACTCCGATCCCCAGCAAGGGGAGGTGCCCGGACATAATTAGGATATATATGTATCGATCTGACTTTGGTACCTGCACAGAGAGGCAGAGGTGTCGGATTCAGATCGGATATGCGTTGTGCTGTGATTTGTACGGAGTACGGAGTACGCAGTACAGAATACAACATAGTAGTATGAACAGAGTACTCCGTACGCAGTAGACTTCGAAAATTAGCGTGGACAACAAAGAAGCTAACCAACAAGCCAACAAAAAACTAACGGCCTCGGGTCGCGCTAAGCAAATAATAATCGCATGGGTCTATGGTACACTGTACACCGCATTAGCTCGCACTAATCACAGCCTAGCAAGTACCCAGTACTCCGTACGACGATCCAATACCCGTGACGTCCTAAGACCTTTTTTCCCCTTAGTTCCCCATCCTGACTGCGATATGGTTCAGACTTGAGCAACGTGCTTTTGATCTCTCTCTTTTTTGCCTTCTCCAGTCACACAGCTAGTGCGCCTAGAAAGAGAAAAGAGAGACAACCTGTACACCATCTCGCCCCAGGTTGTCTTGCCAGTCATCCTCAATTCCGGTTTGATTTCCATGCGTCAACATTCTGGACAATAAGCGGAGCGGCAAGCAAGTGCTTGCTGCAGGAGTCGACACGGAAGGTATGTGTGTGCATTGATACATTGAATTGGTCCCTTGTTGTTTCTTTGATTCCTTTCTGGCATGGTGGAATTGTGCTCCCTACTCCGCGTTGCCACGCGGTTTTGACTTCATTCTTCAACTTCCTTTTTCAATCGCATCCTTTACCCCTCTAGATATGCCAATCTAACCGCGCTGGATGACTACAGATCTAGATCACGCCGTCTCTTCCGCCATCTCGGCATCTGATCCACCGTTGAATACTCGGGAAACGCGTCTCGTTCGTGAATCGCGTTTGGCCCCCTCATTACTCTTGTCCTCCCCGCCGTCAGGAGACTCGAGTCCCTCGACCACGGGATCGCCTAGTCAAAGAACCTCTCCCCGAAGCATCACCCTCGAGCCGCCGCCACTCCCATTCCTATCCTCATACTGTGCGGCCGAAGAATCTCGGGCCTCATCACCGGTCAATCGCAAGGCGGAAAGCAGCATCTACTACACTACTGAGTGGGGATCTCCGTATGCAGCACCCAGCACTCGGAGACTATCAGAGAGCCATAGTCAACTTGAACTCGCAGACGTCGACCCCGGATCTGGTCCTAGCTCTCCAGTCTCATCGGTAGCCAACCTCACCGAGTTCCGAAGATCGAGTGCTGCCAACGACAACGACGACACGCTCGAGCCCGTGGATCGTGATTTCGCCCCTGAGAGCGGAGATAAATCGATACGGGACTTTACACAAGATTGGATCAATCAGTATCTTACCGGACAACCTCGAACTGAGCGCAGCAATTGGCTTAGCGACGATTCGGGAAGTGAAGCGCCATCATTCATCACTGCTAGGAACCACTTTGCCGACGACGCCTCGGACGACTGGCTTGGTCTGGAGGACGATTTTCGTTCCGAAGAACTGCTGAAAACTCCAACGCTCTCTGATTTTGCCGGGAAGAAAGCTGCAGCGCGTGCCAAAGTCAACAAGGCCTTGCATAAGCGCGCCGGGACCCTGCGTCAGGAAGACTTTTGGGGGTTTGCCTACGATAGAGATCCACCACAAAACAACATGTCAGATATAACCACACAACCTGCCATCGAGGTGGCCTCGCCGGCAGACAAGCCATTACCTCCTCCACCGGCGAACGCGACAGGGGATGGTCCAAAATTGGAAGACCCGTTCAATCCGGTTCCCTTACAAACACAGCTCTCTGATGTTAACAGATCAGTCGCTCAAACGCCACGGAGAAGGAAAAAGCTGAATTGGCGTGGAAAAGCCTGCATTATCGAGCTGCCACATGCTGATAAAAGAGGCTTAGAACCGGGGTATCGGCTGCTAAAACCAGCTGATGTTCAACAGCGAATGCAAAAATGGGAGGACGAAGGATATGATGTTCGCGGATTCACCGTTGGCGATTCCGAGGACCCCTGCATAATGGCAACTCTGGGGGGTCTTAGCCGACCTCTGTATCCTGATCCATATGAGCTCCATGAGATATCGAAAGACCAGCCCTTTGTCGTCAACTTCCCAGACAGGGCCAAGTGGGAGGCTTATATCATTGAGCTCCAAGAAGAAAAATTAAGAGCTCTTGGGGTATCCTTTGGCAACGATGAGCCCGAACAATCCATTTCGCCTGACTATTCGCTCAATCCCAGCGGTACACCTTTCCCGGGTCTTGTTGCGTCCCCGCCGATTCCTACTGCGTCTGCAGCAAGCAACCCTCTCGGTCACATTCATCCATTCTCACCTCACTTCAACCAACCCTCAATGCCAGCGCCTGGTGCTTTGGGTTCGTTGGCTTCACCTGCTTCGCAATTTGGTATGCAATCGCCATTCGTAGGAGTGGAGCAGAATATGATGGGTGGGTTCCCATTCCAATTCCAGCCCACGCCTCCTGCTCAGGGATCTATGACTCCTCAAGGCTTTGTCAATCCCCGTCAGGCAACTTCTTCCGCAGGCCCGGGAGCAATGAGTAACTTCTCGTCCATGCTATCGCCAGTGTCTCCACTGCATGAACAAGGATCCTTCCATCCTGGATTCAATGACAAGGGTGTTTTCGATGATCAATTCGGGCATGGTATGCACCAAGAAGGTCTGCCATACCAGGCTCCCCAGACCCCTGTCAACGGACACCCAGATCATTTCCATGCATCGAATGTTGAGATTGCGCACCCTACACCTCGTGGTCATGGTCACAATCTGAGTGAAACACTGCAAAGAGGACTGGATCAAATGACACATACCGATTATCATCTCGAGGATTCAATCGACCGACAATTGGAAGATGACTATCGTGATGTCAACCACGCAGGTCCGAATGCTGGCATGCTGAAGTCGCGCTGGGGACTACCAGACAATGAACACCACACATCGAACGCGTCTGGTCACCCACCTCATCCCTTCATTCAACACCAGCTTCCCCATCAGTTCTATGGAGACCAATACCAACAGGATCATGGCCATGATGGCTCTGATCTCGATACAAACCCCAGTATTGCTGGTACACCTCAAACTCGCCAGGGGCCGTGGCACGAGACCCACCCTAGTGGCCACTCTTACCGTGGAGGTCATCAACCGCAGCTCTCAATTTCATCACTCAACGTGGCAGCCAAGGAATTCGACCCTACTGGTTCATTCAATCCTCAGCCTGTGCCATTCGGTAACGACCCGTTCCAATTCCGCGGCAGGGGTGATCAAGGATTAGGTTTCGTGGGACCTCCCACATTCGCGCCGGGTAGCAGTGTTAATGGCTCAATGGATCACAATCAAAATCACAAGACCAGTGACAGTGGTGCCTTCAAGTTCTCTGCTGCATCATTCAATGTTGATGCGCCTGTCTTTAACCCCACTGTCAGCCTCAACTCGAATGCCAGCTCTGTGCAGCCTTCGGCTAGTCGTACCAAGATCTTCGGCGATATTGACATCAACGAGATCTCCAAACCTGCCAAGAAGTCCAAGGCTATTCCTATCGTGCGGCCCGATGAAGTCGAACAAGAAAACCATGACAACAAGCAGAAGGGCATCGAGGATGAAATCACCAGTCAACCTATCACTACAGACCGTCATAAGCGTGCGCGTCGCGGTATCGGCCATGCTGAGGGAGAGGCCAGATATAGTATCTCAACGCATCCTCTGGGCGAAGCGGGCAATGGCCAAGCTTCGAGTGCGCTTCATGCTGTCGCTGAGGGCAAGGAAAATGCCGACCCTGAGGATAAAAGCCCAATAGAACGGACAGGCACCCCTCCCAGCGAAGCTGACACTTGGACTTTGTTCGATGCGAAGCGTGAGGCCGAGAAGAGGTCGCGACCTGGCTCGCCAGTCCAGGAAGAGAACTCCAAGGATATTGTTATTGAAGAACGCGAACCAAAGGAGCCTGTCGCCGGGGATGATACGTCTGTCACCGTCTCAACGGCTGTCGACCATGCACCTCATGGATCCCAAAGCTCGGTTAAGAGCACGAGGCTGTCCGCTACTGCCCAAACCTTTGATTTCAAACCCGCAGTTTCAGAATTTGTTCCTACAGCATCCAACTTCGGTGCGCCAAAGCCGACAGAAGAGCAAACTATCGAAGAGGTGTCTATCCAAACTCCTGCTAAGAGTCCTGCGGAAAACAAACTCACACAAGCTGGACTTATGGCTTCTCGCTTTGCTGCTGCAAGCCCACCAAACATGGAATCTTCTGCAGTTCACGACGCTCAATCCGAGGCCAATACCCCCACCCGCAAGCCAGCACAAATCATCACTACTCAGTCTCATGATTATGCCGCCCAGTGGGACTCCGAGAACGACTCGCCTGACGACGAGGAGCTTAACGCGATCATGGAGCAGCTTAATGATGATGATGCAGATGTCGGCATCGAACGGCACGCGACACCTTTCCAGACGATTCACGCAACACCCTTCCAGCTACGGCATGATCACTTCACGGAGTCAATGGGCGGCCCTACAAAGGAACAACGGTTTGGTTCTGCGGAGGCCCGAAGCGAAGCACCCAGCCCGAGCCCCGGTGGTGTTCCCAAGACCTACAAACTTAGCATTCCCAGGCTTGGATCGGACATTGATGCCAACAGCAATGCTACCTTCTCCCCACAAAAGAGCCTTATCTCTCGTCTTCACTCTCCAGTCCGCCAGCTCATTGCTGAGGATGACCATATCAGCGACTGGGACGACATGATCTCCGCAGGCGAAGACGAGAAGTTCATGAACCGGAACCGCTTCTTCGACCGTCGCATCAACGATCTTGTTGGGTCTGCCATCGATGATCGATTGGGCCCAATGGAGCGTGCTTTGGCTGTTATCCAACAGTCAGTGGCTTCCATCGCCTCTGGTACTGCAAGCAGAAGAGTCTTCCGCAGCACATCTGCCGAGATGGAAGACAGCGATGCTGATGATGAGGATGATGGCGATGCCGAAGATTCTTCGGTTCGAGATCGCTCGCCTCACAACATGAGAGAACGCAAGTTGGAGATGCTCAAAAATGTTGTTATGGAAGCTTTGGTTACCCATGACATGCCTCAACGCGTTGCCCCACACTCTAGTCACAGCGAAATGTCGCAACTTAAGGAGAGCATCGCTGAACTGCAGGCTATGACGATCAAGAAGCTCGCTCAGGACCCTGTCGGTGATATGCGTGAGATTCTTGAGGAACTCATGGCCAAACAGTTGGCTCAGCAGATCGCCGCACAGCCGCCGACACCGCGTCTTTCAGAGGCCGAAGAGATCGGCGCCGACAGCCTGATGCTCCAGATCGATGGCCTCAAGAGCATGTTGCGAGTTGCCGATGAGCGTGCCGAGCAGGAGTATAAGGATCGTCGCGATGCACAAGATTCTGTGACTGAACTCCAGCGGCTCCTGAAGTTCGCCGAAGAAGATGCCGCTCGTCATAGCGCTGCTGCTGAGGATGCAGAATCCCGTCTCCTTCAGTTCAAGGAAGAGAAAATCCCCTACTTCGAGAAGATGCAGTTCCGCACGGAGTCTCTTGAGGAAGAAAGCGAGACTCTCAAAGTTACTATTGCCGAGCTGTCTACAAAGAACATTGCGCTCGAGGGTACCCTTGATGAGTATCGTGTTTCCAGCGATAGCTTCCGCCGTCAACTCGAAACCACAAAGGGCGAGAACAAGTCTCTTCACGAGACTATTGATCATCTGAGAACTCGCATTGAGGACAACATGATCTCGCGCCAGAATCTCACTGAGAAGTTTGATCGTCTTCAGGATGACATGCTCAGCGTCACCGCTGATATCACGCGCGATCAGTCTTCCTGGCGCAAGAAGGAAGAAGAACAAGCTGCCAGGTTTAACGAGCTGCGCGCGGCCCACTCGCGCGAGCTCCAATTGCGTCAGAAGCTCGAGGAGGATGTCCGTGAGTTTGAGAAGCGCGATCGCGAAGCCACAAGGCTGAAGTTCATCCAAGAGCAATCTGAACAAGAAAATGGGCGACTAGAGGAGCTGGTCGCAACTCTCCGGGAAGAGAACCGTGACCTGCAAATCAAGGCTGCCCGCTTCGAGCGCGAGTTTACGGAAGCCCGTGAGAGCAGCCGTGTCGAGATCCAGCGCACTCGCTGCTCGATGGAGGCCGACCTCGATGCTGCAAATAGCCAGGTCAACATCGTTCGTGCTGAACTGGAGGCCCAGATCATTCGTCTACAAACTCAGCTCGACAACAACCGCATGGATACCGATACCTCCCGAGAGCGCTACGAGCTTCTTCTTGAGGAAGCTAGGGACTCAAAATCCACCGCACTGGCTGCTAAGGATCTTGCTATCGATGAGAACCGCAAGATGCACGAGCGCGTCCTCAATGATTTGCGTGAGCGCCACGCTCGCGCCTTGCACAATTCTTCTGAAGATCGCGCACGTGGCGAGAGCCACCATATGGAACGCATCGCTCTGTCTGAAGACAAGGCCAAACACCTGCAAGAGCGTGTGAGCCACCTCGAGGAGAGGCTTGAGATCGCTCAATCCGCTGCCCGTGCTGCTGCCGAAGCAGCCCACAGTGCCAAGGCGAACAGCAAGTCAACATCTGTCCCAGATGCTGAACTTTCGCACTCGAGCTCGACGCCGTCGATGTCCTTCAGCAAGGGATCTGCAGAGCCCGAGCGGATCTCACCCCAAGCCCTGCGGGAGTCGATCTTCGTCCTCCAAGACCAGCTTCAGCAGCGTGAGACACGCATCGAGGAGCTCGAACTAGAAGTCTCTGCGATAGACAAGGATGCGCCAAACAAGCTCAAGGAGAAGGACACCGAGATCACCTGGCTACGGGAACTCCTCGGCGTGCGCATTGACGACCTACAAGACATCATCCAGACCGTATCCAAGCCCTCCTTCAACCAGCAGGCCGTCCGTGACGCGGCTATCCGCCTCAAAGCCAATCTCCAAATGCAGCAGCAAGAGAAGGAACGCCTGGCCTCCGGCAACCTCCCCTCCCTCTCCGATCTCGCCGCTTCACCCCGCTCCCTCCCCCTCGCTGCCGCCGCAGCCTGGGGAAACTGGCGCAAAGCACGTGAATCCGCCGCCAACAATAGCTCCGACCAGACCCCATCGAAGCCCAGCAACGCAAGTACCTTCCTGTCCGGCCTCCTGACGCCGCCAAGCTCCCACCTCCGAGAAAACGGCGGTGGCCCGCAGATGAGTGCCGCCGCGCGGTTCGCGCAAACTCGCCCCCTGAGAGGCTTCAACTCGACTCCACGACGTGGCTCGGTTCGCAGCCAGGCTCCTATTGCTGAACCGCCCAAGACCCCACCCCTTCTTCGTCGCTCGAGTTATGATCATGATGCCGAGCCGACAAATTATGAGGACGGGAACTTCGCGGATGAGAACGAGAGCACTGTTGATGGGATGGTTTCGGCTTCGCCGAAGGAGAGGGACTATGACGGTCCATTTGGTCCTCACATTGAGGATGCGGATGCGGAAGAAGTGGAAGCTATCCTCGACGCTGACGTCTCATCCTCAGACGAAGCATCGACCGAGGAGGAGTGATTCCGCTGCGCTTGACCATGCCCGATAGATTTCTTGAACTTTACATCTCTTTTTTGTTTATTCTTGCTTATATCTTCCCTTCGCCGGACGAATGACTCCTAGAGCGATTCCGATCTCTTTGTTTTTTATCGTTTCCTGCTCTTTCCGCGTCCCGTGCTTGCAGCGCCAATCTTCCGGATTTCTCTCCTTTCGTTACATCCATATTCCCCCTTTCGACATACATACCTATCTTCCGCCTTCGTGGCCATTGATCGATGTTTGCGTTTTCGGATTTGATACCATCCCGTTTATTTGCTGGCTTTTTCGTCGCGATTTCCTCGCACCCCCAAAGATCTTGTACATTGAATATCCTTTCACTTCATGTCCTATCGTTTATCTCTCGCCTATACATACTAATAGTCAATCCTGGTCGCTCTTTACTTTCTGACTGTTTTATATTACATACGCCCCTCCTCTTGTTATGCTCTCCTTGTCGAATATTGTGTTGCTAGCCACACCCCCGTTGCGTTTCATGTAGCTTATTTCTGTTGCCATTTTGTTATTTTCGAAGAATCTAAGACTTCTTTCTACCATACAATTCCAGCTCATCTATCAAATCGTTCTTCCGTGCCCTTCCTTTACCTCTAAATCTGCGCCTGTTATCCCGGGTTGTTCCTGCCTGTCAGCGGAAGCTGGTTCCTTCCAATCCAGGCAGTTTCGTCCGTATAAACCCCCCCTCTTCCCCCATTCTTTTCCACCATCTCTTCACTCTTCTTCACTCTTCTTCTTTCTCTTTTCCCTTCCCTCCCCATCTCAATATCCCAACCTTCTCATCTCTCCACCGCTCACCCATGACTGCCTTGGCGAGTCGTTTCATGCGCGCTGGCGGTCGCCACGTGCTCTTATGGTCTTACTACCTGTTGCTCTATTCTCCGGCTGATATTTGGGAGAGGGGGGGGGGGGGGGGGTTCATCGACTGACGAGGTAGCTGTGTAATTTCTTTCCTTTTCTTTGGTTGATGATTGTCCCTCATCTTCTTTAATTCCTGCCCATATGTCCATGGGTTGTTGCATATGAAATATAGATGTAGATATATCAGTTCTTGTAACAACAGCCAAACTTTTGATTGCTTATTTGAATACACAGGAACCTCAATTATAAGTTGTCTAAATCTATTCCTAGCAAAAAATGATTCAATATATGCCGTTTCGAATTCCATCCTCTCCCTGTATACTTCTGGCCAAGACCCAATCTTAAGGCGGAGCGGTGTTTATGGAAGTGGCCCGAGCGCCTCCAATTGACACCTTGCGCGTTGAGACAATCACCGACATCATCACCCCCTCACACCTTGCCAATTTCCATAGACTCGCCGGAGTCAGTCAAAAACCTCCAAAATGCGATTCTCAACAAGCACCATCCTGGTCACCGCGCTGGGGTGGATCACCGCCGCGACCGCACACACCATCCAGCTCAAGGCTCACTCACGAGAATGCTTCCACGAGTCTCTACACCGCGACGATGTCATGACTGTTACTTTCCAAGTTGGAGATCGGGAGTTTGGAGGGAGTGGAAACCTCGAGGTTGATTTCTGGGTATGAATGTCTTGTCTTGGTTTCGGTCTCTGGGTTGAATGTTTTGGGTGTGCTTTGACGTTTCCTTTCTCCGCCGGTGGTTCTGGGACGGGGGATCAGCTCTACAAATTGAGGGATCTACATCGCCCAGGACTGGCTCCGCTGCTAGATTGGAACCGGGGCAATTGATTCAATGAGAACGGAAGTGCTAACGCTCGGTCGCTGTAGGTCGAGGATCCCCTGAGAAACCGCCAATACTTCAAGCAAGCCGTGGCCTCCGACGACTACTCCTTTACCGCACAGGCCGATGGCAAGTATAACTACTGCTTTAGCAACGAAGGTTGGACCTCGAACTCCAAGGAGGTCTCCTTCAACGTCCACGGAATTGTCTATGTGCCCGAGCACGAGATGGCACAGGATCCTCTCGAGGTGGAAGGTGAGCACAGGGAAGATGAACTAGCACGGAAGAATATGGAAACTGATAATTTGACGTCATTTAGTTCGCAAGCTCTCCGAGGCGCTGACGCAGGTGAAGGATGAGCAGTCTTACATTGTCGTGCGCGAGCGGGTACACCGCAATACTGCAGAGAGCACCAACGGCCGTGTGAAATGGTGGAGTATGTTTCAGCTGATGGTTGTCATTGCTGAGGGTGTGTTCCAGGTGTGGTGGCTTAAGAGATTCTTCGAGGTACGTTTTCTTTTTTTTTCTGGTTTGATATAAGCGTCCAGCAGATGAGATACTAATTCATCCTCGAATACAGGTCAAGCGTGTGGTCTGATTCCGATCTATTGTCTTTCCTTCCTGATGCGAAACATTTCCCCCCTCTCTTTCGTTATGCATATGTCGACGAGCGAAAATCGTGGATTTGGAGATTCACGACCTGTTCGTTCTCAGCGAGATTTACCAGGATAAATTTATCACGTTTTCCACGCCACGGTGTTATGCGGTCATTAGCCCATATAATATAAACCTGTACCACTTCATTGACATGAAGGGCAGGGATCTTGGGACTTGTCTATATACGACGTACAGAGTACAAAAGACTCGTGCAATGGGTTGTAGCGTTCAGTAGCAAAAGTACTGCGATTCGAAAATGCGGGCATGACTGTTTTAATTTTAGGGATCCGATTGATATTGCCGCGGACATTAGACCGATGCGAGTCAAGTTTCCTGTCTGCAGGCATTGCATCGGTTGATTTCACTGTGACGGGTATACATTGACCCCGCAACTCAGCAGCTTCGAAAAAATGGAGTACAAAGAACCATCTCGGATTTATTTGTACCATTCCTTGTCAATGTAAGGGGAAGAAAAATCGATCTCGAGTGCAGACAGCGAATATAACCGACTTTTCCCTACAACCAACCTCGGAAGCACCTTACATGGCGATAGACGGCCTCAAGCTCTTAGGGAACTACAGCTTCGCCCTCAACAGCGATCCTAGCGATCCATTCTTCCATATTTGCTGGCGCCGACAGTCCTGCTCCAGCTGTCTGACCGGTGATGTCGCGTGCAGCTGGTGTGCTATAGTAAGCCAGAGGCTCCCCTTGTTGATCAAGTATCAATTGCCCGCCCAATTCTCTAGGACCATTTTGGCCACCCTGATCATTGACACGTATTCCGTACTTGCATCTCCCTTTCTGCTTTTTTTTACATGTCATTTGCGCGATGTTCGTTTCATATTGTGCGCCCTTGCGTCCCCAGCCGCTAGAATGGGGAGAGTCCAAGGCCTTTTCTACCCTTCATCACGGGTTTGATCTAGCTTGATGGGTTACAGATTAGCACAATCAGCCCCATAACCGAAGCTGACTATTGATTATCATACTGCATAGTCTTCGACCTGTGTTCCCAACCCCTCACGGTTTCCAATATTTGCGCCTATCGGCTCATCGATCATATGTCCCCTTGGCTCAAAAGAGAGATGGGAGATGAGGGCTCTGCCTTTTGGATGTGATGCCAGTACTTTGACTGTGCTGTCAGTGATTGTTGCTATGCTAGGGACACTGGCATTGGGTGGGGTGGTAGTTGGGGTAGTGTGGCTTGTGCGCCGGACCCGACGTTGGAAGGAGGCAGAATATGAGAGGATCGATGGCGAGGAGCAAGGGTCGTCTGCGTGGCAATCATGGGATCTGGGGCTTGCATCGATTGTTGGTCTCTTTCCCTATTGGAGTCGGATGGGGGATCAAACTGAGGCCGAGGAAGGGGAAGATGCGGCGGAGACGAGGCCGCTATTAGAGTAGCCTCCATACGCGATGCGGATTGCTATATCTACAATCTTGAGCCCAATATGAAATACAACACATGTAAATGCCCAATTGTAGATACTGCGTCAATTCAGCATGTTTGAGTTTGTTTTAGGCTTTTGGCGACTAGCTACGGAGTATATAGATGGCTTTATCATCAAGATACGGAATTGATCATCTCGCGTACAGTGACGGTAAGCTCTTGGACCGTCTGTTTCCCTCTAGGGAGGACATGCCCCCCTCCATGATCAAAGAGATCCGCGGTATCTGGATCGCACATGTTGTATAGTGCCATTGCCCCATCAAGGAATGGATCCGACGCACCGATGACATGACAGGTCGGAATAGTGATCGGCTCTTCCTCGAAGTCATCAGCTAGCACAATCTTGCCACTGACCGAGTGTATTGGAGGCCATCCACAGAAAAAGATTGCGCATTTGAGTCGGGGTTTCCGACCGAACTCTCTTTCCCTCCTCTGTTCCTCGAGAATGAGCGATGCGGCAATTTGGGCGCCTTCAGAGTACCCAAGCACACCATCAATATCGCCTTCACTATCAAGAATGTCGACCAGACGGTCCACGACCTCGACGATACAGGAGAATGTGGGGTGACCAGCCAACTCCCGTGCAACTTTCATCGCTTCTTCTGGGGTGTCGCGCTTCGGAAAGTCGCTCATGTTCATATGAACCAATTCGGGTCCATCGACCTTCATGAAGGTATAATTTGGCGGCGGACCGAAAAACCCGGCATGTTCTGGGGGAACATGCACCTCGGTGGTGCCTTGAGTGTAGTAGAAGCCGGCCTTTCCATTGGATACGAGCGCATCGCAGAACGGCCCTGGACCCACCGGTTAGACGGTGCATCTCTCTTAACGTCGCATCACCTTACCTAGTTGTGTTTTGAGAGCCTATGGTAGATAGTCAGGGTCAACGAATCCAATTGTGTCCACTTGCAGCCAAAATGCTTGACCTACCTTGGCGCTGCAGTACCCTCCTGGGAGACACAGGAACTTCATCACGAAAATCGGCCGTGGAATATCTTCGCCGGAGAAAAACGTGAGATGAAATGCTACTCGGAGTATTCCTATTAAAAGAGTCCTTGAGCCAGGAGGCATCAAGAAGGAATGATGCCACCCAGAATCTGCCAGGGCCTCGGGGGTTTTTTTTGCCCCTGCGCTTGGAATGCACACTCGCACCCTCGCCTTAGCAAGGGCATCAGAACAAACCATACCCCAACCACTAGAGATATGGCAAGGGCACGATAAGATCTACTGACTGCGATCTACATTTCGGGAACCGACTAACGAGTAAATCAGAGAACATGCGCTTCTGCAAATAATATCCCGTTACCCAGCCTGATATTTACGGTATGCGTCATCAAGGAAGACGGCACTGGGGAGCACCGGCCTTTGCTCAAGCTATCATTGCTGGAGTCAAGGTTAAATCCCCTGTTTCCACCGCGGAACTAATGGACAGCGATCGGCACGCGCACGCTTGGATGGTCATGCAAGGGCGAGTTGAACTCCATAACAATCCATCTCCACGCCCTTTTTGTTCCTTCTCTTGTGCCTTTCACGAAGTACTTGGATGAACCGATTGCCCAATCTGTGCGCTTCGTGATTGTACTTTTCTATACTCCGTACATTCTTTTTTCTTGCAAATCGACCTTCGTTTCTTTGGACACTCGCTGGACCTTGATTATTAGCACAGTGCCAGGTACATAATTCGATATTTTCAAGACCGACCAGATCCTATCTATCAAGGATGCGGCTTCAGCAACCCTGCGGGACTGGCACGCCAGTCACCGAAAGACCAAATCCCCCAGTACATGAGATCCCCATTGATATGCCCGATGATGCCACAGGTGATGTGCCCAAGCGAATGGCCATCATCGGCATGTCCTGCAGACTGCCAGGAGAAGTTTCCACGGCCGACGAATTCTGGGACCTTTGCTCACGAGGCCGAAGTGCTTGGTCACCAATCCCCAAGAGCCGATTCAACGCCGATGCTTTCTATCACCCTGACCCCGATCGACCAGGCTCCTTCAATCCAGTCGGAGCACACTTCCTGAAAGAAGACATTGGATTATTCGACGCGCCTTTTTTCAATATTACTCTCCAAGAAGCACGGTCGATGGATCCACAGCAGCGCATATTGCTCGAATGTGTGTACGAAGCCCTCGAGAACGCCGGAATCCCAAATCATCAGATCACCGGCCAGAAGGTAGGAGTATTCGCAGGCGGCTCATTTCCGGACTATGAACTCAACAATACAAGAGATATCGAAGCCATTCCCATGTATGCCGCCACTGGAACGGCGATGGCATTGCAGGCGAATCGTGTTTCATATTATTTCGACTTGAACGGTCCTAGTGTTTCCGTAGATACGGCTTGCTCGTCTAGCTTATCTGCTCTGCACCTGGCATCTCAGAGCATTCGAAATGGCGAATGTTCAATGGCCATTGTGGGAGGGTGCCACCTGAATATAATCCCCGAAGTTTTCGTCTCAATGACACGCTCTAGGTAAGTATAAACTAGCAGTCATGACATGCAGGAACTGATTGGTCTATTTTTGAAAGGCTGCTCGCCGATACTGGTCGCTCATATACATTTGATCACCGAGGCACAGGCTTTGGCCGCGGTGAAGGTGCTGGATGTATTATATTGAAGTCTCTGGAGGATGCAGAGGCTGCTGGTGACGCCATTCGATCTATAATCGTGAACAGTGGCCTCAATCAAGACGGACGAACGAGAGGTATTGCGATGCCAAACGGCAAGGCCCAGGAAGCATTGATTCGTCAAGTCTATAAAGAGGCACGTATAGACCCGTCCTTGGTAGGGTTTGTGGAAGCCCACGGTACAGGAACCAAGGTAGGAGATCCTCTGGAAGCTACGGCATTGAATGCTGTCTTTGGAAAGGGACGAACCGCTCGTCAGCCCCTGCTTGTGGGCTCCGTCAAATCCAACATTGGTCATACAGAAGGAACCAGTGGCGTTGTGTCCGTGATCAAGACGACTCTTGCTCTTGAGCGGGGTTTCGTCCCCCCAAACTGCAACTATGAGAAGGCGAATGATGAAATACCCATGGACAATTGGAATATGAAGGTGAGATTGAATAACACTAAATGGGAATTAAGCCGCGCTAATCAGTCGACAAGGTCCCCAAGAAGCTGATGCCATGGCCTCGTGGCAAACCATACGCAAGTGTGAATAACTTCGGCTTTGGTGGCACCAATGCCCATGTCATCTTAGAGCGCGGTACCCGACACGAAGGCGAACTTTCAGCAAACAACGATCCCCTGAAGCGGAAATTGTTTGTTGTCTCTGCATATGACAAACAGGCTGCCCTCCAGCTTGGCAAATCAATTGGAGCTTATCTCGACCTTTACCCACCGGTTTTTAATGACAGCATCTTGGATAACATGGCCTATACCCTGGGACAACGACGCTCTTTCCTCCCTTGGAGAATGGCGTCCTCTGCAAGCATTGGACAAGCGCTCACTGCGTCTCTCTCCAACAATGCAGAGCCCATTCGTTCGTCCAAGGAACCCACTATTGGCTTTGTGTTCACTGGACAGGGAGCGCAATGGCATGGTATGGGCAAGGAGCTTCTTGGTACCTACCCGGTGTTCCAGCAGACAATGAAAGATGTGGATGCTTGCTTGAAGTCCCTGGGTGCTACATTCTCGATCACAGGTACGTACAAGTCGATAGCGGTATTATGTGGCGCTAACATTATTCAAAGATGAATTGCTCCTCAGTGACCCCGGTGCAAGTTCTATATCCGCTGCATACATGAGCCAGCCGGCTTGTACAGCCGTCCAGCTAGCGTTGGTCGACCTGCTTTCGTCCTGGGGGATTAGACCTAAGGCTGTAGTCGGCCACTCTAGCGGAGAGATTGCAGCAGCATACGCGGCAGGAATTCTCAATCTCGAGGAATGTGTTCGCATCGCATATTCCCGTGGTGTCGCAGCAAAACTTGTCGCAGATAACAAACTCATCAAGGGAGGTATGTTGGCTGTCGGAGCTAGTGCCTCAGATATGCAGCAGATTTTGGATGCCATGCGAGGCAATCGAGCCGTCATTGCCTGCGTGAACAGTGAATCTAGTGTGACTTTGTCCGGAGATGCGGAAGTTATCACGGATCTGCAGACTGCATTGGACAAGGAAGGAATCTTTACTCGCAGACTCTTGGTTGATGTCGCGTATCACTCTCATCATATGCAGATTGTGTCACAGCAATATCGATCACTGCTCGGCAAGATTGCACCCCGAGATTCTCATGTCCCATTCCACTCTACCGTGCATGGAAAGCTGGTCCCAGGAAGTACTCTCGATGCCGGGTATTGGGTGGATAACCTGGTTTCCCGCGTCGAGTTTGTGAAGGGACTGAAGAGCCTTGTGACAGATGGACAGGCAGTCAATCCCATCGGCACTTTGGTCGAAATCGGCCCCCACCCCGCTCTTCAATCTCCAGTTAAAGACATTGTACAGCAACACGCTCCTCAACTCAATGTTCAATATCTCCACACATTGAAGCGAAAGATGGATGGCATCGAGGCTGTTCAAAATCTCGCTGGTTCATTGTTCATGCAGGGCATGAATCTTAACTTCCAGGCCATCAACTTCCCAAACTTGAACACAACCTCAAGGAAGCCAGCTCTGTTGACCAATCTGCCGAAGTATCCCTGGAATCACTCTGAAAGATACTGGTTTAGCTCTCGGATTGGTGACAATCACTTCCATCGCCAGTTCCCTCGGAGCGATATTCTTGGGTCATTGTGTATGGAGAATATCGACTTCGAGCCCCGATGGAGGAACGTGATCCGTGCCGACGATCACCCTTGGATTCGAGAGCACAGGGTGCATGACAGCAATGTGTATCCTATGACTGGATTCTTAGCCATGGCAATCGAGGCAATCTCCCAGCACGCCCAGCTGCACCACATCACCCCTGGGAAAATCGATATTCGCGATATCTTCATTAACCGTGTTCTTACCATTCCCGAGAGTTCTGGTGTGGAGACCATGCTCAGCTTGAAACCCTCTCGAACGGAAGCTCCTAGAAAATCAGTACTCGGCTGGCACGAGTTCAAGGTTTTCTCATGGGCCGAAGGTCGCGGATGGGATCAACACTGCAATGGTTTCATCATGGTGCATGAAGTCAAGGATGTGAACCCCGTGGACGGGTCCCGGCAACAGCTGGAGCAGACGGCACGGTTTACTCAACAAGCACTGGACATGCGCAGTGCTTGCAATGTGCCTGTGGATAGCACTGCCCTCTACGATACAATCAGTGCTGGCGGTGTTCATTATGGCCCGATATTCCAAGGACTGACTGACGTCTCGGTCAGCACGAACGCTGAAGCAATGGCTACCATTCGTGTCCCCGACACAAAAGCAGCCATGCCGCATGAGCACGAGAGTCCCTGTATTGTGCACCCCGTTACCCTTGACTTGTGTAGCCAAGTCATGTGGGTGCTACTTGGCTATGGCCAACCTGGGCCAAAGACTACTCATGTACCATCACACGTCAAGCAAGTATCGGTTTCTTTGAGTCAAGAAATCAGCGCTGGTACCGTGCTCCAACTTTATGGAACCCGGTCAGGAAGTGAATCCGCAAGTGACCCTGAGAACAACCGCATATTTGCCACCTCCCCTAATAACCCGACCAATTTGCTGATCGATATCAACGGCATTACCCTGGTCCCAGTGTCAAATGACATCAAGGGGTCAAAGGACAACTCGCCAGACCAGATTTGCTACAAGCTGCAATATAAGCCTTGCTTTGATTTCCTCTCTGCCAATGATTACCGGAAGCTTCCTCGCCCAGAGGCCGATGCTCACCAGGCGATCAAGCGGATGAATCAGCTTGAATCTGTGGCAGAGCATTACCTGGCACAGATGCTCGACTCTGTATCTGAAGACGAGCTGTCAAACTTCGAGCCACAGCATAAACAATTTTACCACTGGGCCCAAAAGACATGCCAAAAGGCTGGAACGAAAGATCCCTTGCCACTAGATGTCCTCGAGCAGAACAGAATTGTCAATGGAGCGGGTGAGTTGACCTTTAGAGTGGGTGAGCTCTTGCCGCAGATTCTCCGGGGCAAGGTGGATGCCCTGACTGTGCTGCTGGAGGATGATGGAATTGGCGGATATTACCGCGACCTTGATGCCCTCCGCGAGGCCTATTCGAATGTGTCTGTCTGTATTGACAAGATGGCACATCAGAACCCTGAGCTGAACATAATTGAGATTGGTGCCGGAACGGGTGGTGCCACTATGCCCATTCTACAGAGTCTGGGTGGAGGCGAAGCAGGATCTACGCCTCGATTTGGACACTATACCTACACTGATATTTCTCCTGGCTTCTTTGAAAGGGCGAAGGCAAAGTTCGAGAACTGGGCCCATCTGATGACATACCAGACACTCGATGTTTCTGCTGATCCCACGGGTCAGGGCTTCAATACTGGCACATATGATGTTGTCGTCGCTTGCAACGTACTCCATGCTACTTCTGACATCAGCCAAACAATGGCAAACATTCGGGCTTTGTTGAAGCCTGGTGGCAAAATCGTGCTCATTGAGGAAACAGTGCCCAAGGCTCGCCACTTCCCCTTCGCACTCCTCTCTGGCTGGTGGTTGGCCAGTGACAAGTTCCGCAAGGATGGGCCCCTTCTCACCGTCGAAGGATGGAGTAACGTGATGAAGGAGAACGGCTTCTCTGGTGTGGATCTTTGTATTGAGGAGTACCCCGGTGAATCTTTCCAATCAGGTTGTCTAATGACATCCACGGCTAACAGCCCCATCACCGGTCCTGTGAACCCTGGTGATGTTGTCATTATTGGAAATGACTCGATCAGCAGCTTGTCATCCCTCAGCCTTGAGACTGGTCTCAAGAATATTGCCGGTGTTGCACCCGTCACCGCGATGGACTCCGACGAGGTTGATATGACTGGGAAATGGTGTATTTTCCTTGGAGGGATGGACCGCTCCGTCCTATCGCACCTAACCGAACATAAATTCCAGACACTTCAGCGTCTTCTGAGCCGGGCTCGCGGATTGCTGTGGGTTGTTCGTCACACCAAAACCGATCTGGAATCTCTTGGCGCAAACATGGCGATCGGCCTGGCTCGCACTGTGAGGTCAGAGACCGGCCTTCAATTCGCTACGCTGGATTTGGGTGAAAGGGAGAACATGCCTGATGCTGAGGCTGTGAATCACATGCTGAATGTTTTCAATGGAGTCTTCTGTCAGAAATCACAGCTCATGCTGAATGACTGGGAATTCGTTGTCCGCGATGGCAATGTCTGTGTTCCACGTCTGGTCGATAATAACACTCTGAACTTGAGTGTCCAGCAAGAGACACCAAATGCTCCTCCTGAGATGCAACCTTTCAAGCAGGATCGAGCTTTGCGACTTGCTTCTGGAGAGGGCAGAGGCCTCGATGAGCTTTACTTCACCGACGATCTTTCCCACAGCTCACCCTTGGCTGAAGATCACATTGAGATCAAAGTCTACAGCACCGGCCTCAATTTCCGGGATGTCTTGATGGCCATGGGCCAGCTTCAAGGTGATAGACTTGGCCAGGAGTGCAGTGGTATTGTCACTCAAGTAGGGTCCGCAGTATCCGACTTTAAGGCCGGAGATCGCGTCTGCGCAATGTCACCGGGATCATTGTCAACTTTCACTAGATGCCCGGCCTCCTCATCATGGGTTATTCCTGAAAACATGACATTCGAAATTGGTGCCTCTATCCCTGCTGTCTTCTGTACTGCTTATTACTCTCTTGTCGACCTGGGCCGACTGGCCAAAGATGAGAGCGTATTGATCCACGCCGCCGCAGGAGGAGTCGGGCAAGCCGCCATAATCATTGCTCAAAGTATTGGAGCGAAAATCTTCGCCACGGTTGGCAGCGTCGAGAAGAAGAATTTCCTCATGGAAACTTACCAGCTGAAGGAAGAACAGATCTTCTTTAGTCGCGATACCTCGTTTGCCCAGGGTATTCAGCATGCCACTGGGGGCCAGGGTGTGGATGTTGCGATTAACTCACTTAGCGGTGATGCTTTGCAAGCTACATTTGAGTGCGTTGCACCTTTCGGTCGTTTCATTGAACTCGGCAAGCGGGATATTACGACCAACTCTCGACTTGAGATGGCCCACTTTAACAAGAACCTGTCGTTTGCCTCTGTTGACCTGGGAATGGTCCGGGAGAAGCGTCCGCAGTTGACGAAGCGCCTGCTGCGTGACGTTTTCAAGCTGTTCGTTGAGACTGACGCGCAGTCAAGGTGGCCTGTCACTACTCTGCCGATCTCGGAAGTTGAGACTGGATTCCGGGCTTTGCAGGGCGGCCAGGTTATTGGCAAAATGGTCGTCCAGGTTACGGACGATTCTATGGTAAAGGTATGATTCCCCAGATATATGGCAGATCTATTCGAAGTCTGCGGTCGCTAATTGTCTACATAGGTTCATCCTGCTAGAAGAGACGAAAGCCTCCTCCGCGCTGATGCCTCGTACATCATTGTTGGTGGGACTGGCGGTATTGGTCTCGACATCGCTAGTTGGATGCCGGAGAAAGGAGCCAAAAGTCTTATATTGGTTTCTCGAAGCGGCGTTAAGACTGAAAAGGCGAAGCAGACTATTCGGGATATCGCTCGCCAGGGTGTCAACGTCGAGGTTTGTTGCTGCGATGTTGCGGATAAGCAGAGTATGGAGCAGAACCTTGTTCCCCTCCTCGCTCGTATGCCTCCTGCTCGTGGTGTTGTATACGGTGCTATGGTTCTCCGGGTACTTATTCTCGAATCTCATACCCAAATGATATACCCGCTAACCTTTCCTGCAGGATACGCTATTTGAAAAGCTTAGCTTCGCTGACTTCCAAACCGTGATGATGCCTAGAGTTCACGGAATTTGGAACCTTCAAAAGGCATTGACAGCAACCAATGGTAGCGTGGACTTCTTCGTCAACCTATCTTCAGCTGCCAGTTTTGTTGGGAACATGGGCCAATCCCCCTATGCAGCCAGTGGAACCTTCATGGCAGCACTTGCTCAGTACCCCGAGACGGCCAAGATGCGCTGCTCGACTATCGATCTGCCCGTTGTTCGAGGTGTAGGATATCTCTCCGACGACCAAAAGCGTGAAGCAATTACCAAACAACTTGGTACAGAGTCCGTCGATGCAACAGACATCCGTGGTCTTGTCACGGCAGCCATTCGCAACGAGTTTGACGTCTCATGCGATGGCCACTGCGTTGCTGGCTTTGAAGCCGTGAAAACGACACCTGTCAACGAACAGCCCTTCTGGGTGAACGATACCAAACTGTCGCATCTGTTGCGTCTCTCCACCCTCGCCGGCGCGGGTGCATTGTCCGAGTCTGCGCAGAATGGCACGGAGATCTCGCCAGCAGTTGCCATCCGACAAGCGAAGGGCCGCGAAGGAGCCGAGTCTGTTATTGGAACTGCTGTGATGAGCAAGATATCTAGCATTCTCATGCGTCCACTGGAAGAGCTCGATCCTGCTCTCCCCATCTCCGTTTACGGACTGGATTCGCTGGTCGCTATTGAGATCAGAAACTGGATCACCCGCGAGTTGGAGGCTAACTTGCAGATCCTGGAGATCTTGACCAGTGATTCGGTGCCGGCTCTCTCTCAGGCAATTCTCAAGAAATCGGGGATTGTGACTCCAGATCTTAAGGCTGGGTGGGGCCTTGATGTGGCAGAAGGTCGGACTGGTCAAGAATGAATGATTACTTCGTCTACACTCTTCGATTGAGAACGTCATTTGTGTGGCAATAAGTCCATGCCATGTTTTGGCAATGTTTTGTACTCTAACATTTTTCTATTTTTTGTTCATCTTATTTTGCTAGCACAAAGATTGAATTTCAAACGTTTCTCTCACTTTTGGGCCGGTTGCATATGGAATAAGGATTCCCTCTTTCTGTGTAGTTCATCGAGGTCGGGCAACTATTGAGTATCTGCTCGCAGTGAACCTATATATGATTAAAGGTGTAGTTATGAAGGGACTTGAATGTTCATCCTCCCCAAAATACTACCATATGATGTGGTGATGCCCCATTCTGTTGCCTGCGGTGTTGCCTGCATACTGTTGTAGCTTGTAGATAAGTTAGGTACATGCAGTAGGGCGCCTTCCTACGTTGGTATTTCTTTGCTGCCTTTCATATTCACTGTGTATAACATGTTCTATACGGCAATAGCGACCTTGGCTCCTTGAAAGCATGGCCAGAGCATGGCCAGTGTTCTAATCTCCTGCTACTCAAAGGCTCATCCTTTCCATCAACCTTTTGTTACAGTTAAGCCAGCTATACGTCCTCGAACAAAAGGACAGCCCCCTATCTACCCTCCAAGCCATGGCGCAGAAAGGGACGCCAGCTTTCCCGATCTTCCTGTACAGCAATTTTGATGCTGAGGCTCTGTGTCAAATCGCGAGCGAGATACGACGGGGGCCCCGATGTTTATGCAATCTTAACCAATTACCAGCACGCGGAGGCTTTAACTGGGCTGTTCTCCTCCAATTTCAAGATGGCGTTGAATGGGTTTTCCGTTCGCCAGTACCAAATCATCCCGAGTTGTCTGACGAGGCTGTCGCCAAACTTCTGCCAAGCGAAGTTGTAACCCTTAGGTTTCTGAGGAAATACGTCAACCTACCTGTTCCTAATGTTTATGCATATTGGTAAGCTGAGCAAGAACTGGCCTTCGGTATAATATGAGCTGACCCCCGGAAGTGCCGATCGAAAAAATCCAGTCCAAGTCCCCTACATTTTGATGAGCAAGGCAGATGGAAAGACACTAGCGATGATGTGGGGGACGGATGATTTCCATCATCGTCAGGGCTCACTGGATATTCACATCAGCAAAGTGCTGTATCAACTAGGACACATTGCATGGAAGCTTGCTCAGTTTCGCTTTTCCCAAATTGGGTCCCTGTGCGACGAAGACGGATATATTGTCATTGGAGAATGTCTCTCACGAGGCCACTTGCAACACAAGAGATGCACCTTGAAACAAGTCCCTCGCGGCCCTTTTGCCACCGCTAATGAGTTCTACGATAGCCTCATAGCGGCGCTCACTCGTCACGCCGAAGTGCTGCCGCTGGCACCCCATTGTTTTACTGCTCCATTGCCATCCGAGAGAGACTTCTCCAGCAAAGGTGATTGGATAGATGTCTGCAACCATTGGGGTGACTTTGTCACTGTGGGACAAAAGATTGACAGTGCCGCGAATCGTGTGGACTATCTCATCGCCAGTCATGCCCTGAATGACATGATCGCTCAACACGAAAGCAATTCGCAGGGTATCATCACATCGTCGGTCCCATTTTCCTTGTGCCACCCAGACTTGAGCGTGAATAACATCTTCGTCGACGATCAGTATAACATTACATGCATAATCGATTGGGCATTCACCACGACCGTGCCACTCTCCTGGCTTTTGTCACCACCTGGGTTTCCTCAGTCGCGGAACAGGTTAGAGGATAATCTTTGCTCTGCTTTCAGAGACGGTTTCAGAGACGCATCGAGCATTGGGTTGCCGGTTCAGCCCGAGGACTTGTCTATCCCCAGAGCAATTCAGTGCATTGAGAACAGTCAATTTGTCTGGTGCCTCGCTAGATTTCTAGCAATGGATTCCACAGACGACCTTGCTCTTTTCCGTACTTTGTGGGAATTGGTTTATCCACCAGAGAAGAAGCTCGAATCATACTTCTTTTCACAAAGAGCTTCATCTCGTTCGCGATCCCAATACGCATCGATCAGACTTGAGGACCTATCATCAAGCGATGTCCAAAAAATAGAGAACGGTTCATTCTCCACGTCCCAGCAATTCGAGCTGTCTGTGGCTCGTCACTTGACAATGGTTGCAGATTGGGGATTTATTTGTGATCGGTTCAAATGTGCTGGCCTTCGAGACACAGAACAGATATTCATCACAGAGCCGCGGCTTTGGCGATGGATTTTGGCATTCAAGAAGGATTGGTGTGAGAGGATTGACACTGAAGACAGCAAGGTGGAAACAGCAAACAACGCGATTGGCTCAGAGAACAACACAGAAGAGAGCAAAAATTGAATATCAACGGTGCGACAGAGAAAGAAGCCCGAGACTGATTCACGCAGTTTACATACGGCTTGTATGGCTATTCTAAGCAATCATTACAAGAAAAGATAAATGTGCCCACCCAATCCAGGTCCCACCTTCCAGGCCATTAGAAGTCTCGCGAGCAATTCCTTATCAACGGATTTTGTTAGTTTGCAATTCTCATAGATCATATTTCTGGATTGGTCTCTTACCAGGGTATTTTTAGTCGACGTATTAAAAGAAGTCTGTCGGATTTGTTCGCTGAGTACAATCAAAAGGCTCATCAATGAACCACGTATTATGCTGCTGGTCATAGACAATAGGATAGGTAGTATCCGGGTCACAAAGCTTGTCGATCTGAGCCTCATCACCAGCACTGATAGTGAACCAGTACTTATTGGTATCCTCGCTGACCTTTTCGCACTTGTAAAAGAAGCCAGTGACACCGGGACCTAAAACATCGCTGCGGAAATCGACAGCCAGTTTCTTGTTGAGGTTGATATTATCGCAGTCCTGCTTCAAGCCTTCCACAGATGCGGTCTCCGCTGATTCGCTGGTGAATCCTTTGGCCATGTGGGTACCACTGGCAGACCATGTCGATGCTGGCAGAGATAGCTGATTGGCAATATCAGACAGCAGCAAGCTGTTGGTGATAGTTGCGGCAGAGCAGCCGATTCCGGCGCTCATGATGCCAAACGTCGTGAGCAGCATTGAGATTTTGATCTGAACCATGTTGAATTACTTCTCGATTGTAGAGTAGCGGTGTCTGTTGGGTATTCTTACATTCTGGGGGATCTGGGGTTTAAATATGACTATTGTCGGTTTATCCACCTTGGAGGTCCACTTTGTTTATGAAGATGAACAATCGTTTTGCAGACATGGACATGATGTAACCGGATCCCAATGCGGGAGTCATAACCGCGTCTATCATGCCCATTTGTAGACCTTGACATCGAAATTCCATTACCTGTCTTTTCAAGATTCTTTTCGCCTCAACTCTTTGAGATTAAGGGGATTATGTATTTTACTTGCCTTTTTGTATCTGAAGTCAGTGTCTCGGGAAAATAGGCGAACACATGGGACATGGGGAACGAGCTGCTGCCACTTAGGACAACAAAATCATTCCCAGACTCAGGAGTCGCATTTTCCATTGGAATCTTGTACTTCTAGGATGTTGAGATTTCCAAATCTTTCAAAAATCTACGATTTGCCGCAATAATCTTTCATCTCTTCATGTTCTCCTAGGAACGATTGGCATTATTTGGAGTATGAACGCATCCATACGCGGGGCCAAATTATATCAACCTATCGCAAAACATTTTCTGTCCGATTTTAGTTAGAGACTGTTTGTATTAGTATTTCAGCAATTTATTTAATCAATCTACCTGATCCAATTAGTTCCAAACCCCTTCAGTTGGTTCCCTATGATCTCTACTTCTGTTTTATGCTAGGGAATTTATCTCAAAGGGCCTTTCACGTACTCCGTACAAAGAAGCGTAGTTGATAGAGCTCCACCCCTGTTCATTGATAAAAATAAACTCTGCCCGGTTTATATTAGACTCTATCTGCCAGGTATACGAGCGCCTCAGCCACCAAGAGGTATCCGGCCGATCGGATCCTCTGCGCCCAATCAACACTTTTCTTGTTATTAAGAGAATGCCCCCATGGTCACATAAGAATAGCCCTAACAATTAAGCTTTGTTATATTCATTGGTTCCGATAGGCCTGGCTTGACCTCTTACCGTTGTTGTGTGCTTGGATTCAAGCGCAGACGTGTGATGCCCTTGTATAACTTGAGTCCCATGTTAACACCATCATGGTTGTTCTGACTGGAGAAAATTCAATGTTTCTAAGCAAATCATTTGTGAATGAGGATCTGCTATGAATGTGGCTATCCCTCCCATTATGTTGGCTCTATAGTCATGATAACGACATCAATATCATAAGTTCAATTCCTATCACGATCTGTCGAATGGATTACGACCAAAATTGGATGGAACACATACGGATAGGCAATTCTTCCAATAGGAATACCTGAAAAATTCACAAGGCGAATCGAACTGTTGATGTTGCACATTTCCAGGACCAGCTTTTAAAGATCAGGAGGCGGGCAGCAACTAATCGAGGACGCGTGAGTCTATCAAATTATGTCTTCCCACGGCCGCCAGACTGTGAGGAAATTCTCCGAGCCTTTGTAAAATGGACCTGGACTGTTTCTGAATGATAATAGTGATCTATTCGCCTCGGTCTCGGCTTTTGTAGAGAATTATTGATGCTCTTCACTGAGTAGGTGAAAATCAACTGATATCTTATTATATTGCTCAAAAACATATTAACATTCCGTATTAAACAACTTTACCAAACTCTCCTCCCCGCGCAAGGCTCAGGGTGGAAATGCATCCACCGAGCCAGTTTCGTAAGATGACTCTTCGTCATACTGCGCAACATCCCCAACTCACACGCGACACATGCCAACAGACCTCATCAAATGAAGCTTTGTTTACGCATCATCTTCAATTTTCTCTGTGACGGTTCCGTCGCTCTGGACAACAATCTTGTCCAAGTTCTGGGATGCCTTGACAGGGTTGGGCTGCTGGTAGACCCACTCCAATTCCTCCAGAGTTCGGCCCTGGGATTCGACACTAGAGTATTCCATGTTAGTATTAAAGTGCTATGAAATGCGTGACGCTCGCAAAGAAAGTTGAGCAGACTTACCAGAAGAAGTACCAGAAAACGGACTCGACGACGTCCCAACCGACGAAGATCCAGAAGTAGTTGGTGGAGATGTCTGCAAGACCAATAGGTGTAGCGAACTGACTGATGAAACTAATGCTGCTGACCATGAAGCCTGACAAGGCCAAACCCTTGGAACGAGTTGTTGTCTCCAATGCCTCAGCGGGAATGACACCCTGAAGGGGGGTGTAGGTGAACGAGAAGACGGTGTTGAAAAGATAGTAGAAAGCAAGGGCAGCTTGTCCCTTGGTTTTGTTGATTGTCCCGGTATTGGCAACTTCCTGTAGAATACCGGCATTGATAGCCAGGGTAACAGCGCATGCTGAGCAATTGTTTAGTCAGACTGGTTATTATGTACCGGACGGGGAAGGCCAAACTCACCAAGGGTACCGAAGATAAGCACAGGGCGACGACGCATCTTGTCAGTGAAGTACACAGCACTAAGTGCACCCACAGCTGAGACAATAGAGTTGACGATGTTGAGCAACAATTGGGTAGAGCTCTTCTCGTATCCGATAACCTTGAAGATAGTGGCGTTGAAGTAACCGAGACCGTTGCCGGACCACTGTCCAAAGATGGAGATCATGATGACTTGAGCGAAACGCCAGCGTCCACTGTGGGTAGTGATGAATGGTCGGTCTAGTAATTTGAGAGCGAACGTTAGCTGCTATTGCGAGAAATGGATCCGAAGATATTGGCAATGGAAAACTTACAATCCCACCATCTCTTGTCAATACCATCGATTCGAATACCTTCCTTCATCTCCTCAATCTCAAGGCGGACCAATCGAGCGTTAGGGTCACCATTGCCGTGATACTTGACCAGGAACGCAATGGCTTCTTCGTTCCGGCCGTTAGCAATGAGCCAACGAGGTGACTCGGGAATGAACCAAACGGAGATGATGACGATAATGCAAGCAAAGCATTGGCAGATGAAGGGGATACGCCACTGCCAGTTGTTGCCAATCTTTTCGCAGCCGAATGTGATAACAGCAGCAGGGATGGAGCCACCAAACCAACCGCAGTTGTAGAAACCTGGTCAGTTGTTAGAAATGATACGATGCGCAATTTCCTATCTCAGAGAAAAGATCAAAATACTCACCGACGGCACGACCACGCCAGTGAGGCGGAGAAATCTCAACTGCATAGGCAGGGGCGGAAACAACCATAATCTGAATGCCCGCACCGAGAATGAAGCGGCCAACAACGAATTGTGCGAGAGTATGGCCACTGGAAATAATGATAGATCCAATAATAATCACCCAGGCGCCCACAAACATACACTTGCGACGGCCAAGTTTGTCGGAAATAGTAGCACTGATTGGAGTACAGACAATTGATCCACTGGGAGAGACGTTTCATGTCAGTTTCAGTACTCAGTGTGGAAGCCACAAGGAGGTGGCAAACGGAAGAGGTAAAAAGGAACATACACTGTGTAGAGAGAAGTAACAACAGAAACCTTGGGTCCATCCATGCCAGTTTTAAAGACGTCTTGATAATGGTCCATGGCGAGAATCGATCCCATCAGCGAACCTACAGCCTTTGATTAGTTCATGTGGATTCACCAAATTCGTGAGAAGACATACCATCATAACCATTGGCACAGGCGCAGCAGAAAGCGACGAAGATACAGACTAAAGTATCGCATAGAATGTTAGCAATTGTTTCCTCACATTGGAAGTCAGAGATGCATTGGTCTCTATACTCACAGTACAAGTGGATGGAATTCTTGCTCCATCTTTCAATTTTAGTCTCCTCGATAGCAGCGAACAGATCGGCCTGAAAGCTTGCATGTGAGAATTCTGTCCGTTAAAAATCCGTGTTAAGACAAACTGACATTGTGGACCTCCTTGGTCTTTGCGCCCTCGCGCTTGGTAGTCTGCCCATATCCAGGTAGAACGCGTGCTGGGTCGTCAATGGCAGTGGAGATGCCATGCACCTCCTCTAGTGCCTTCTTATCGTCCGACATGACTATATAATGTCACCGGGGGGATTCGAATTCCGATCGACGATCTCGATAGTTGATCCAGTCGGTGATAGACGGGATTGGCGCGACAAATCGTGAGTCTCATGAACAGCGGGGTGGGGATGAGGTTCTTATAATGTAGCTGAGAATGTCAGATCATCAAATCAATTTAAGAAAATGACTATAATTCTTTTTTTTCTCGGAACACCTGGTCGAGTCCCCGGTTCCCCAGACTTCGTTACCTTGTGACCGTGGACCCCCTGTCCCCAGCGACAGACGCCTCTAGTTGGTGGCTTTTCCAGATACCTCCGCATCCTCATTTGGGTCCGGGGCATTCCCCAATCATACCATTCGCCCCCATAGTCAGCGCCATTTCCGACTCTCACGAAAGAAATTAGAGTCTGATGCCTGGAACATCGGCCCTGTGTCCCGCCTAGAGGCAAACCGAAACCCCTTTTCGACACGCCAAATAAGGCGCCTGGAGAGCCTGAAATTACAGGCCACTCTCCTTGGCCTCCAGGCCATAGTGAGATTACTGATGCCCATTAACATGGCTAAATTGCCTCCCACGTCGCTATTTTCCTGTAGTCGAGTGGCAATATGTCTAGGCTTTTTGCCTCTGGTTCAATACTGCACATGTCAAATGTTAGCACCAACCAAAATTACTCCGCCTGTTCCTTTCCAGAATCAACTGCTTTGTCTTCCAAATTGGGGAAACAGTTGGACGGAGGCCCTTGTCAACACGGAGGAACCTCCGTGTTGCATCCTTCACGGCTCCTCCCCCACAATCCACTAGCCCGCTTTTGGCTCAGTCGGGTTGTGTGTTAGCTGCTTTTTGGCTTCATCCTACGCAAATGCAATTTCCCTGCATCATTGCCCTCCAATAAACTTCGGCCCGAATCACGCATCTAACCTTCCCCGGAAATCCCACTTTTACTGGGAAACTGACCGTGCGTTATGGTAGGTTTACACCAATACAAAGACCAGATGCATCTGACCCTCGCTTGAGAGAGCGCCATTCCAGCGGAGCTTATGCCGGAGACGAGAAACCTTCCAAGATAGACACTACAGGCCCCGGGCCGAACTTAGAATACCCTTACGGAACGGGGGCTAGAATGCTAGCCACGGAGACACATCCTGAGACAGGCCCAAAAGGTGCCTAAAAACGTTCTAGCCACTCATGCCGAGTCAAAGCTTAGGGCCCCTCTCCGTGAAGCCTTGGCAGACCAGCTGACTCCAAGAATCAAAAAGGGGTATAGTCTGTCTGGAGGCTGGAGAATGTGTACCATTTACCAACCAAATGTCGGAACAAAACTCCCAAATCTTCATGCACGCACCACGAGGTGCTGTGGAGTGCAATCATCCATACTCCATACAGAGTACATACATGACAGGAGAGGTCCACACTGGGCGAATATCAGCGTTGAGTCGGGTTGTTCCCTCGGACACGTAAAAAAGCTCGCGAGTGACAGATCCCGACGGTCATCGGAATCTAGCGGGCCTCGGTTCTTTTTCAAAAATCGGAATATCTTAGTCTGAGTCTATAATCTTGGCATGTATTGCTTCTTCTCGGGGGTTAATGGGCAAGGATTATAACACCTAGTTAGATTACGGACTACTCCGTACGGAGTCCTCCGTGCTGCTTTCTCGCTGAGCTTTCCCCCACCTTCCAGGGTACATCCTAAACTTGGCGCAGACCTGGCGAATGGCTTTTGGCTATAAATTGAAGTCTGCCAGCCATCAATTGTATGAAACCGAGTCAATACCGCCCATATGTACTTTGGTTATTTTTCATATTGCACTTGTTATATTCGAGTTTGGTCCAAAATACACATCAATTCCACCTTCGCGACTAGTGCCATATCATCCAATCGCAAAGCTTACTCTTGGTTAGGGTAAAAAAAAGAGCCCACTACACGTCTGTGTTGTTCAAGCCTGGCTAAGTACAGAGTATTGACATTGGAATTAATCCTAACCCCGGGAATGAATGTAGCGTTCGACGTCGGTTGCAAAGATCCCGAGCCCCCTAGTGATTTTTCCACCTGCGAATCCCGACAAAGAATACTTCGGACTGTCTGTGGCAATCGGCAAATTAAGGATGAAAATATCACTGCTCTATGCCCCCACAGCGGGAGAATTCCATGGCTAAAGTGATATGGTCAGACCCGAGAGGCCTCCAATTAAGTGTTGCCACAAACCGCCCTCGAGTGCCTCGCCGGGAGAGTCATGGAACAGTGCGTTATCTCCCCTGTCAAGTTGAGATGCCTCTCTTTACGGAGTACTTGCCTTTTGAACAAGCTCACAGACCAATAACATCTTCTCTCGCTGAGAGGACGTGCTTACCTTCCAGGCCCCTCTACCACCGTTGATCCCCCGGCAGAACTACTTGACTCGCACATGACTGTGGCCCTCTCCACCCACGCAGGCTTAAGGTCCCAAGCATGTCCCTCCGAATCTACGCCCTGCAGAATGCAATATTTTCCCCGGAAGATACGCGAACCGCAATAACTATCCGCGCATGTCCCCTTCGAGTGTGCCTCGCCAAATCACAACACAATCGACTTCTTAAGATTGAAAGTGAATAAAAGCCCTGCGAGAACAAGAAAATTCGAAAGGGATTCCTTGAGCGCCGAGGAATGAACAACCATGGAAGTGATAGCTGGTCCCCCGGGTGACATCCACGTGGGTCGGAGCTTACACGGAAACTTCCATCTCTGGGATCACGCCATCACGCGGGAAAAAAAAGTTATCCTCGTCCAAACAACGTACCACAAAAGCTATTGGTATGATGCTAAGGGGGAGTCTGTGTGAATCTTTTCGCCTACTTCCTAGCGAGCATGACCGATCGCAACTAAAGAATGAAAAGTGAAATCGAAGCTTGATGCTCCTGATCCTCACTACTTCCGTCCTCCTATCCGTTTAGTGTGCGCCACAGCACTGGTTTGTATACCGTCAGAATCTGAGAGCCTGAGTGCGCTGTGAGAGGTCCATGACCGTTGGTCCCCGTCAGTTCAGGCTCGACTGAACGTGCTCGCCGAGTACTTACCGCAACAGCCGATCTACGAAACCAAGCTGCAACATGGACCGAACCTGATGTACCAACTGGGAATGGAGCTTGATTTTCCGTCTACGCGCAGCACTTGCAATGGGCAACCACTGTGCTCGCTTATAGAGATATGATTGTTCCACTCAGGTGGTTACATGAACCTCTGTGTTGAGCTACGGATTTCTAGTGCATATTTGCCAGACTCAATTGCCGACAAAAGGTACTTCATAAATAGGCATGTCATGGCCTCTCGCAGCTTCGCTACAGTTGCCTGTGGTTTGCCTGTGGTAGATGTCGGCTCTAATGCTTCCAGTGTCCTCCTGGGTTCCAGCCTGGCTGCTCGACCCAAGGATCCTCATCAAGCCTTTCAGCACATCCACTGGAATTACTGATTTCTAGATACTTAGGTTTTACAAAGTAAACATGCATTGATCAAGGATTTATCAATTGTTAGTGTGATATGTTTGAGCTAACGAGCGAGCATCCTTGGACGTTTGAAAATTTGAAACAATTGCAAGTGGGCTATATGCTCTTCCGAAATCGCGATAAACTTCAATGTGTGGACCACGCTATTAAATTGTATATTATTAATTTCTCGCCAATGCCTCGCGGCCTGGAGATCGCTCATCGCTTCCCGCCTGGGATACGTACTTAGATGGTGCGGCGAGTAGGGCACTAATATCTCAGTTGACCAAGCAAAGTAAATCGAAACTTTGATAGCAATCAAAAATGCTTAGTTGTTTCTTAAGTATCATCGATCTGGAACTAAAGTGTTGATTTTTGCAACATTGACTGCCAATACATGCCTCGTGGCTACCGCACTCCATACATCGGGGTCGTGAGTAACTATGGACGAAGACTATTTGGGATAAATTGACCTCATACTGTAGACCCCATCGTGCTACAATGCTGTTTCATATTGTAATCTGCGTTTATCCTTTAGCAAAAACAATACATCGTTCTTACAGGAAAGCTACTGTTGAATGGATGGTCTAATGAACTTATAGTAGCTAAATATATCTTGCCTTTGACTGTAAAAGTAAGGAAGTGAGCAGATTTTCTTTATTCAATCCATAGTTTGGGCGATGGATCAAAAACACAGTACGAATATATATTGAAGGAAGTGAAACGAGGATGGAATAAAATATCAAACATGATATATATCTGCAAGTTAGGAACAAATTTCTTCTAGAAAACGCAGAAGAGTGAGCACTGAGTCTTCGAAAGTCTAATCCTATATAGCTGTTTTATTCAACCTTATTGTAAATAATAGATAGTTCATCTATCTTTCAAGCCCTAGAAATCCTCGCTAGAAGGGTTACTTGCATCCTTGAACTAGGGTTAGCGATCATTAAAAGGCGCACGTGCCCCGGTGCCCGCGGGCCGGCCTCGGGGGCAGGGCCCAGAGCAACTGGACATCCGAAGATGCCAGGTAAGCTACCCTGAGACTTTGAATTGGTTCCATCCCAATCTTCCTAGTGCATATGTTCAAAAGCGCAATGAGGACCAGAAACACAAGGAAAAAGGATCTGAAAGCCTGAGATTGATACACAAAGAAGAGTCTCCTGGTCTTTTTAAGTTCAGCCAGAGAAAGCGATCAGAGTGATACTGATGATCGAGATGTCTCAGAAAAGCAAAGCTAGATTATTTTCTTGATGAGGCTAGATTGAAGAGTCCACGCGTGAGTCATGAAGCTCACTGATATCGCTGAGAATTTATATGATTTTCCAATTCCAAAACTACTCCGTACAAAGAATAGAAAGGTAAACATTGGCTCCCCTCGATGTGATATGAACAAAACATTCGGGGAGCTAACTTGAAAAGAGAAAACGACTCAAGACACGATGATAGCTATTGCATCTGCTATGAGCCCGAACAACTTGACCCTTGCCATACATGCAAGCTTGCATTCTATAACGAGAGCTTGCCTGTTAGCTGGACCCGTAATTCCCAAGAGAGCTGTTTTGCTTGATATGGGCTTATCCGGATAGGTAAGCCTCACCCCCAGTTCTTACTCCACCTGCTTCTGCCTAACCTCTACCCCGAATCCATTTGTCTGCCAAATATACCAACTCAAAAGGTGCGCTTATTGTTGATTTACTTCACCATGTAGCAAACCTAGAATTAAAGATCAGGAAAATCTAGACTGTTTCAACACCAAAGCAACGTGGACTCAGTGCAATGGATCGAGATACAAGTCATAACACGATGTGCATGACCTACCGCTCACCCTCGATCTGTTCGACGCTAAGCCAAGTCATGGTATAGCACGTTGCTCAATAAACTCGCTACATCACTTACTGTTATTCATTGAGAATTTGAACTAGTTTTGTCGTTACGGACGGAGATAGAGAAGCGGCGTACATCCAACGGGCTCAATCCATCAAAATTGATGAAAAAACCTAGATCGCTCCACGGAGGGATCTGGCAGCATTATAAGTAAATGTTAGGAATGCTGAAAGTATTAGCAAAAAGCCCAAATAACTGAGAGGGAAGAATACGGCTTTAGAGGCTAAACTGCAGGGCTAAACTGCAGGCTTCAGAAGAATAGATAGCTGTAGCAAAGGGCCAGAACATCGAGGTTGAAGTTTATGTTTACCTATCTCAAATACGAAGTTATCTCTTTTTTCCATGTGTGTTTCTGATAGTGCTCCATAAGCAGAGTCACCCACTTGAGATTCACCTGGGACTGGTGAAATCACTGGCTATGCTTTGAAACAATCTACATATTATTTCCGATTTTAGTCGTCTTGAAGCTTGTTGATCTGTCTCTGATACTATAGGCCATGCATTGTCAAGAAATTTACCTCTAACAGGTCGACAATCCATATTTGAACCAGCCGAGATTTACGTTTGGCCGTTCTTTGCTGGCGAGCTCATAGATATAACGGCGAGCTTAAGACAACATTTGGCTTACAATAGACTGTGAAGTCAAAACTTCTCCTTTGATTGGTTTTCCAAAATCCCTCACGCTGAACCTGCTTCTAACCTGGGTATTGTGGCTATCCTTGACAGCAAGGCCAACATATCGACATTGATAAAGGTTTCGAACAGACCAATGGCCGGGGAAAGGCCAGGCAATCAGCTGATAGGGATACTGTAATCATGGATATGCCATCTGACGAGAGCTTTGTTGAACCCATGTGAACCTTGCGGTGTTGGTCACCTGCCAGCAGTGACATTTGATCATCCGATCCCCTGCCTAAAAATGAGTGAAATGAGTGACCCCGGGGAATACAAAGAAAACCCAATAGTTTTCCAGTGTTCCAGGAATTTTGTTACTGTCGAGAGTCCATATAGTGCTAGAAATGATGGCCGCACAAGCGGGCTTCAGTGTATAGCAGCCATATATAACTGCATCATGTAGGTAGGCAATTATGTAGTACACACAAGGGTGTATAGCCTCAAAAGAAAGCGGGTGCCCCCTAAGCCTCCAAGATCGCCGTGAGCACGTGGTGACTTCATTGGCTGTAAGTCGTATGAGCATGTCGATCTGGGGATATCAGCCCAACTCTAACTTGACCTGGGTAGTACTTTATGGTTTCAGTGGAGAGTAGATCATTCATCAGCCCTTCACATTCCTAGTTGACTTATAACTATTTGACCTACGAAGTAACCCGGCGGAAGTTGTGTGTTTCTCTCCCTAAGGCGCAAGGCCTCTGATTGGCTGTCCGTTCCTGGAATTCGGCTGCGGCACCCGCCCAGTGACGTGACCGCGCCAGATAAGATCTCTCCTTCAAATTATTCCGACCTTCACTTTTGTTTCTCTTGGTGCACCAGTTGGTTTAGAGGACTCATGCAGTCAATTTTCTTGCTGCTGGGCCTCTTTGCTGACGCCATCTCCGCCGGCCCCTTGGCTCAACAGCAGCCGTTGGCCGACCATTTTAGTCCAACGCCTGCTGGCCAGGTGCTGGCGGAGGGTTCACGCAAACCTATACGCGGACGATTCCTGCACATAACTGGTAAGAGAATCCTTCTCTACCCCAGAACTTATGTTGTGTAACTTGTGCTGACCAACAGATTTTCATCCCGACCGCCTCTACAAACCCGGAAGCTCGATCGATCGCTCGTGCCACCGTGGAAATGGACCTGCGGGATATTTTGGAGCCGAGGGGACAGAATGCGATGCGCCGCTATCGCTTGTGAACGAAACTTTTCGCTGGATCGAAGAAAATTTGAAGGATGAGATTGATTTCGTGATTTGGACTGGCGATTCGGCTCGGCACGACAATGATGAAAAGCTCCCTCGCACGGCGGATGAGATTATGGAGCTCAATGACTTCCTGTCTCAAAAGTGGGTTAGCATTTTCGGCCAGGAGGAGCTTGTTGCGACCTCGAACGCCGTTCCTAAGATGTCTATCCCCGTGATCCCGACGTTCGGTAACAACGATATCATGCCCCACAACATTTTCAACGAGGGGCCGAACAAGTGGACAAAACGTTTTGCAGAGATTTGGAATGCTTTTATTCCAGAAGACCAGCGCCACACCTTTGTCGAGGGCGGCTGGTTCACCACGGAGGTGGTTCCCGGTCGGCTGGCGGTCATCAGCCTGAACACCATGTACTTCTTCGACTCCAACAGCGCGGTGGATGGATGCAGTGCCAAGTCGGAGCCGGGATATGAGCACATGGAGTGGCTGAGAGTGCAGTTGAAAATCCTGCGTAGTCGCAACATGAAAGCGATTCTCATGGGCCATGTTCCTCCAGCCCGCTCAAGCGAGAAAAGGAATTGGGATGAAACATGCTGGCAAAAATATACTCTCTGGATGCACCAGTACCGCGATATTGTCGTTGGTAGCATTTACGGCCATATGAACATTGATCACTTCATGCTCCAGGATAGCAACAAAGTCGATATTGATTCGGAGGCCAATGGGAAGGTATCAGTCAGCTCAAAAGCCGATTATCTTGAGTCTCTTCGAAACCAATGGTCCTCATTGCCGTCTCCTCCGTCGGGTATCTTCGAGGAGCTTGACTTCACATTAGATTCGGAAGATCTGTCCTCAGAAGTCGAACCGGCTAAGAAAGGTAACGGAGGAAAAAATAAAGAAAAGAAGAAGCAAAAGTTCTTAGAGAAGATCGGAGGCCCATGGGCGGAACGATACAGCGTGTCGTTGGTATCTCCCAGTTTGGTCCCGAACTTTTTCCCCAGCCTGCGCGTGATCAACTACAACATCACGGGACTCAACGATGTCGCACATGGGCCAGACCTGTCTTCTCACGAGATTGACAATGTATCTGTTGGAGTTTATCACGACGATAATAATACTCCAGAAGTCAGCAACAGTTCACTGACTTCTCCCGAAATCCAAAAGAAGAAAAAGAAGAAGGGCAAGAAGAAGCCTCACTTCAAAGTCCCTGAGCCACCATCGTCAACCGCTCCTCCTGGTCCGGCATATTCAAACCAAGTGTTTACATTGCTGGGCTACACCCAATACTACTCAAACCTAACAAAAATTCACGAGGAGATCGCGGCAGGCCAAAGAGGCAAAGACCCTCGCCTCAACTTCGAGATCGAGTACACCACAAACGATGACGTGTATCGAATGAAGGATCTGACGGTGCGCAGCTTTTTCCAACTCGCAGCCAGAATTGCCGAGGAGGACGAAACCGCTGAAGAGAGCCGGGCGAACGACGCCATCAGCCACGCTGATCGGTCTGCCGCCAAGAAAAAGAAGCCAGTGAATGGTATTTGGCGGGCTTTCTTAAGGCGCGCTTTTGTCGGATTCGAAAATCTTGATGATTTGAATGAATAGGGCGGTTTTGATTTCGCTTGCTTATTTTTTGGATACTTGCATCGATACATACTTTGCATCTCGCACTTGTACAGTGGAGAATTGTGCGTGATATTCGAGATTAGGGTACTGTTTGATATGGAAGTATGTACGATCAAATGTAAAATGGATTATCAGATTTTGCGTCTACAATGGACTGGTCCAATCGAAGAGGACATCATTCTGGCGGTGTACTTCGTACCGCGCATCCTGGGACTTCGGGAAGAGTACGTCCACCCGAGTACTCGACATACTCAACGTACATGTGCAGTGAGCACTGCATCTTTGCCTCCATCTTGGCATTGTGGTCCCATCGATGTGCGGAGTAAATAGGTGAACACCTATCGCACAATGCCGAGATACTTCAATACATCTTACTCTGACCACGGCAAACTCATCACAGCCACCGCCAGCGTGGCAGTCCGTGCTAGTAAGGTTCAGCTAGACTGAGGTGCTCAGGCACGTTAACCCAAGCTAGTTTGGCCCTCGGACTTGGAAATCTAGTTAGCTGGGTAAGGTGATCCTATAATAAAAAGCTAGGCAGAGGGAAATCATCGCTCGCTAGCCAATCCGCGAGGCCCTAATTCTTCTCGCCTTGAGCCGCTGCCACGTAGCGCTCAACCCGTCATTACTCCGTAATTATCATTGACCTCGCAGGAAAAGGCTGACTTCTAGTGTAAAACATACGCAGGACAGCGCAGCATTCGATGGAGTGTACCGCGTGGAGTAAGCAGCGTTGCCACCAGTTGGGTATCGCAATTGCAGATGCCCCGTTTGAGCCTTGGAACTACCTAGATACGATCGAAGGATTCCAGTGGATTTCAGACCTGTATATAGACCAGTAATGTATCTCGTACGTATCCGTAGAACATTCCAAGATTGCTTCTGTTCTGATTATCTATTGTGGGACTCCAAGACAGACTAGTAATATCATACAGCACACATATTATCCGAGCCCAGATCTTCGTCATATCAGGGGAAGCCCCCGTGCTGGGAGAAAACTCTTATTCTGATCCTCTTCAGGGTCTCAGTCTTAACAGGATTTGCAATTCTAACAGCCCGAGATCAAGCTCCCGCACAGCTCCCCACCCGAGACACCCCCATTTCCTTCCCCGCAGTGCGCTGGCACTGAAACCCATCGCATTTCGCCCCTTTGCCGGCCGCACGATGCGTCAAGTTTATTCGCAATTCAGCCACGAGCTCCGTTACCTCGCCGTCGACTCCTTGCATTGTTAGCTGCAATCCGCCAGCCCCAATAGCCCCAACACGCGAATACTGCTGTCGCTAGACTGAAACGGGAAATACCGATTTGATTGATCGCGCAGAGGACCCTGCGGTGCGCTGTGTGAATTACGACTTACCATTGATTGCAATTGAATTGAAACTCGCGCCAGGAACAAAAAAGTCATTGGCTGTTGATATACCCCGTGGTGTGAAGATTCGCCGCCCTCCGGCCCCATCGAACCTTGCAGTTTGCGCCTCTCGGTATTGCATATTCTGCATATTTTGTGTTCTTGCTTTAGTGTGTCGCTGGAATTATCTGAGCTCTGTGTGCGCCAAGAATTCCGTTGCGCAGCTCAATTGGTCTACGCTTCTGGAATACGCGGATGGTGGGAGCATGGTCTAAGCCCTGCGTTTGATCGTTGTTTGAAGCTCTGTTTACGTGCTTTTCGGTAGGTCTAACTTCCTGTTGTTTATTGCTTTAGTTTTTCTTCTAGGGGCCCTGAGCTCTTCAATTGAATTGCCTCTGGGTCAATTGCTCCCCTCCGCACTATCGCCTATCCCGATTGATCGCAAATCTCCTTGCTTGGGACCAATGGTCGATATGGCTGACTCAATCTGCCTAGAATTTGAGGTTTTCGACTCGTGGGGTTTATGGATGGCCTCCTCAGAGGTGGATCAGAAGGCCCTGGGCAACTTCGCGGCCGTCATGGGCCTCGAGAACCCCCTGCTGTCGGCAATGCTATACAAAGTCCTTGGAGTCTCTGTTATGCTTTCAAAAAAGCTTCTCCGAGCCCGCAAGCTACGGCGCCTCGATACGACACGTGAAACAAGATCCCTCCAGCTTTATCACCATATCATATGGCTCTCCCGCGAGGGCCTATTGATACTGGAAGGCTACATTCTCCCCATGGTGGACATGTTCGTGGAGCTAAAGGTACTCGCCTACAAGCTGCGCGCCTCGTTCTACCACATCTTTGTGCTCTTCCACAACCGCCCAATCTTCACTTCCGATACCGAAATCCCAGTCCGCTTCAAACATGACTCGATGTACGGGGTAGATGCCCTCACGGCCCTCGGCGTCTCTGGTCTATCAAGGACTAAGAGCATTAGCACAAAAGCACCAACATCCCGTCCCCCAGGCCTCCCACCAGTGATTCAACCAGTGCAGCCACCCAAACCAGCCTCATCCTTCCTTCTTCCCCCATTAGACTACACAGCCACGGCAACAGCCTGCTTCAACCACGCCGCAAGTCTTTCAGACAAGCTCTTACCAGGCTCACATCCTCTTCGCCTATCCGTCAAACTTGAATACGCCGCCTATCTATACGACTGCCTCCAGGACCCCGTCGCCTGCCGCCGCCTCGCAAAACAGGCAATCGCAGACGTCTATAATGCCCAAGAAGGCATGGACGATGAGAGCTTTGAGGACGCTGCTGAAATTGTCGGCGTGCTGGGGAAAATGGTCAAGCGCGGCGGGAAGCCGAGTTCTAGTACTGCGGGGAGTACTGTCTCCCGTGGTGGCCGCTCCCGCAGTCACAGTAGTCGCTCGCTCAGTCAGATGGATACCAGTGTACCAACCACTATCTCCCCGGTCCCGGTCACAAAGTCTACGCCTGTTTCTGAAACTCGTGAGAGTGAGATTCCACCCGCCGTCCCTGATGCTTCTATGATGAATCCGATTTAATGGAAATGGAAACGTGCACGCCCACGGTTACGGTAATAGCGTTGTTTTTGTTTTGCTTTTGTTTTGTGTTCTTTTTTTAGGTAACCTTGTCTTCGGCGTCTTTTCTGCGCCTGGCAAAAGAGGTATGGCTTTTTGTTTCTACGTTTACTAAGCATGTGTATATAGAGATCATGCTCTCTCCTTTGTTATATGTATATGCTACACATTGGATTGTCTTATTCGCTTTGGACAATGGAACATCGTCACTACCTATGCTTTATGTCTTCTCACTCGAAATTTGTATCATGGGTTGTAGTGGTGGCTTTCCGAATTGGGCACCTCCGGGACTTTCCATGATTTACAACTTACAATACATGAATCAATCCTTGCTTTTCTTCGCCTTGCTCTCTCATGAAGATTCCTAGCCCTAATAATCAACTGTTTGACTTTCGAAATCCAAGTATTGAGATCGGACTACCTTGGAAAACCTCGATATCGGAAACTGGCGGATGCCTCCGACATCAAATAACTGGTCCATGGCTTTTCAACTAGCTTATTGCTAGCGATCGGAGAAACCCCATATAAAAGTTTGAAGCCCCTGCTCGCAGGGAGCAAATTGAAGGCATCAAATAATTCTCTGGGGGTTCGAAAAAGTCGAGCCCTGGAGAAGCTATCGCATCAGTAATGCCTGTAGTTACCCCATCAGCCAGTTCCAGGTTAGAACACAGTACGGAGTGGCCCCCACTACACTAGTTTGCTGGGTACTCGATCATGGCCAAGTCCAACGTTGTGCTGGTTGCAGCTCAGTCCATGAGCGCCAGGACATATTCGACGGAAATAGGGGGACATTAGTGGGGACGATGCCGATCAATTGCTATTATTGTCGGGGTTTAGCCCGTTGCCTCGAGCGATGGACTCGGCTCACATCACCTCATGCATGATATGGAGGGGTACGGAGTACTCCGTAAACATGATGAACATAGCATTCTTGGAACCACAATATTAGATGAGCTCAACGAACCAGGTTGCAAAATCCGGTTTTTACGACGCAGTGGCTTGCGATCGACACCTTGCCAGGGATGCTAGTGCCTCAGGCCAACATTCCTAGAATCCCTCGAGAAAATTCAACCTGTCAAGTCAACAACGTGGGAGGGACATTCTTCGATCTTCTTGCGATTCAGACAGATCGTAAGACCAACCTAGTTTATTCAAACGAGGGCCGATATCAACAGCTGTGCCACGCTACACGGTAGAGGGCGACGTCATACGGGGCTCCATGGTGCGAAGAGAAAAAAGGGCCAAGAAATCGCATCCACATCACCTGCGACGCTGAGGGCTCTTATCGTCGTATTAATCACTCGAATCCACTCGAATCCACCGCATCTGCGATTTCTTCACATCTGCTCCTCGAGATCCTCCTCCCCCGGCCATCTCCCCACCAGACCAAACCAGCTCCCCTGCGCGTCGGCGCGTCAACGTTGCTCTGCAGAAACGCTGCATTGATCCACGGAAGGCTGCATTGAAACGCGAAAGAGACGACTCTCCACTCCATGGCCTTCACGTTGCCACTCTTTCTCCTCGACCCTCGCGAAGCCTGAAGAACCATTCTCCCCGAGGCAGCTCCCGGACCGAGTCAGGGAGAAGGGACAATGCGGTCTGGCTTCAATAAACCCGGCGCACTCCCACTCCTCGCCCTGATTGTGTTCTCGCTCCTCACGTTAGTGCCATCGCTACCGAATCTCTACAACTCCAAGTTTGCGGACTTCAGTTTCTACACCGGAGCAGCTCGCCGTACGTTCACATTCCCATCAATGTTCTGGTAATGTCAGTTCGCTAACCGAGTCCACCCTGCAGAGGTCCCTCTTCTTAAAGACAGCGCAAACGAGGTACTACCTAAAACACACACTCTTAACGAGCCTCGCAAATCATGGGTTCTAGCAGCGTCACATCGATCACGAGGCAATGGTCTCCCCCCTACTGCGCGCGTCGGAAATGTCGCTGCGGTCCCGGCAAGCGAAACGACCGCCGTCGCAAATAAAAGTCGACTTTCCTCTTTAGCCCGCGAATCATCGTTTTCGTTCAGTCGCAAGGCCCGCGCATTCAGAACTTACTTTATCCAGCAATTAGACGATTACCCATTCCTCACGTCCTTCTCCAACCGCAGCCGAAATGCGGACCCCACACATCAATATCCTACCATCACCATCAACGAATCTCTCCCCACTTCTTCCGACAACAAATCCCTGAGTATCCCGTCATATAATCATTCCTCCGATAGCAGCGGCGACAGCATCCAGCAGTCACAATTGCCGTTCCATGCCCCCCTCCGCGATATGTGTCAGCAGGCCTGCCATGTCGGCATAGATTTTGCAAAGCGTGTGGGATTCTACGGGGCCAAGTACACCAGGTTGATCTTCCTCCCAGAGCAACCGACAGAGGCACCTGCAACATTAATACGCCACCTCACCAATCCCAACCCTGTCGCGTCAATACAAGAACCCCCCACCTCAGAGGAAGTACCAGCTCACCAAAAGGTTGGCGCTGAGGATTCCACCGATGCAGCCGCTGGTCGGCACTCGCAGGAGCTACACGGAAGCTGCATGGCAGTCGTGATAGGTCTTGTGGCGGGCATCATGTGGTTCTAGAACATGCTGTTTCGGGTACTGGTATTTCCAGGTCTGTCCGCTGATATGTGTCATGATCTTTCTTGTCTTATTTGTTTTGGCGCATGTTATTAGATACATGTAGACAATTGGGTTGGTGGCTCTGGTTTAGCCTCCTGTTGGAATCTAATAATCCCATTTACCATTTTACGTCCAGTCACACTTTTTGGGTCTGAAATCTTCAAAAGGCTCATGAGCTCCTTCCCTCTACATGCATGTAGTCAAACGACATAATCGTACGGTCAGGAGTTCGGTATGGCCTTGGGTTACCAATATTTAACCAGGTCGCCGAGTGGACAAAGTCCGGAAGTATGACTCGTCCACCTCTAGTATGATTTGTTCTCTTGTTGACCAAATTTTATAGAAATAGTGGATATGGATGGAAGAGCACACGGAATTCCTCCATGGACTAGCACATCGGAGGGGGCTGCTACCGTCATCACTGGCATGGTTAACCCGACTATCGCAGGTCAGTAGGATAATGCATCGGTCACTTGCCCTTTTCTGTCATCCATTGCCAATCGTTCATGGATACAGATTATACTGGCTTCTATCTTAGTCAAGGCGTAATCGCAGACCAAGAGTTGCACACTCACATCAATGATAAAGACAATTGGACCCAGCCTTGGAACTTTGAGAGCTGAGTGAGCAGCTAACTCGTGAGAAGTTCGATTCGAATTAGAAAACAGCTCTTGAACCCCTATATCCAACAAAAGGTTCAGCTCTTGAACACAATCGCTTTCTCCCCCCGCTGTTTCCTCCAGTAATTCGAAGATTTGATTAGATCGGGACATTCCTGAACCATCCAACTCCATTTTTGGATGACTGTTTCCGAGGCCTCGTAAGCAGACGGATCCCAGGACTCGCCCCAAATGCGAAGCCCACTCTGCCCAGAAGATGCACAAACTCCATATAGATCGTCGCACAGTTCTTCTTCATCTAGTACCTCAACCCTGTCTAACACAGACTCACGTAGTGACAACATTGGAATCAAGTCAATCCAGGGGTGATGGATGATATTCTTTTGTTTCTGAGATGGACATAAACTCGCTGGAAGATGCAGCGTCGATGGACCGACAAGATTGAATTGAGACGCAATATCTTCATTGAGAAGATCGAATGTGAGGCCCATAAAATTGGCATTGGTGAATATAGCACAAAGCATATTGTACCGGGTATCGCATAAAGTAAGGTTCGGCGAGAGAGCTGGGTTTTTGATCATATGCAACCCGCAAGCATGGAACTTGGTCATAAAATGATTTCGTTGGATCTGGTTGAGATGCCAGGGGTTTTCTTCATTTTGGTGGCTTGATGTTTCTTCAATCGCTCTAGTCTTTCGTAGAATGTCGGATTCCTTAACATAAACTACCCATTTCTGATCTTGCGGGTTGTGATGTGTTTTTGAAAACAATGCTTTTCTCTTTCCTGTGTGCAAGATTAGTATGAGCAAAGGATATTTGAAATCAAGGTGTGATAGTTGAACGAACCACTTACTGCTAGCACGTTGATTCAGGCGATTTTGGAGTCGCCTCCGAGTCGCGGGATCCGATGGGACCGACGAGTCATCTGAGGGTGTATCATCCAGAGCCAGGGACTTATCTGGGGATGTAGTCATTTTATATAGTATCTAGGCACTACCATTGAGCGAACAGAGTGGTGAGATGAGAGAAAGCTAGGTGAGCCAGAGGTTGAGGAATCTAGAGGTCGGAGTTAACGAGTCAAGTCCGGCTGATTAGCTCCGATCTCACCGTATAATTAAGGACTATCTTATATGGATATCTACACTGCTCCAGGATAATCCAAAATCCCATGCTTTCTTCAACCATATCAACGACGGTTGTACGAGACTCGGACTCATGTCCGATTGCTCCTTTACTCCTTCATATTTATGACGTAGCACAGTGGCCACCTGGGAAAACATCTAGATGAGGGTTTGAGGGTATCTTTCTTCTTGGAGAACGTGAATTTCTATGTAGATTCATCTATCGCATCATACGAACTCTTCAGACTTTGTTCCATCCGTCATCTAGTCGAACGTGATGCTTTCCAAACTCCGTCACATACTCACATGTGGGCGTTGGAAGGAACCAAATTCCAAGGCAGAGGAAAAGCCACAGACAAAAAATCGGAAAAAAGATGGGAATGATGAATCTTACGGTACTTTGAGTGAGGTGGCTGCTCCATCTCCGGTCCAGCGTAGGACTGAAGAGGATGAAGCCCGACGCGAATCGCTTGATAGAAATGTCTCCCGAACACATTCAGAACCTCATCTCTCTAATAATTGAACGAGAAGAATAAACTTATATGGTTAGTAGATCAATGGTGCACTTTTTATGCCAATAGTATCGCTAACGTTCCGAATATTGATTCTGCGAAGTACACAGCTTGTGTCTAGAATCATACCATCTCACTGTGAGAAGGTATCCTGGGGCAAATGAATTGAGACTTTTTTGTAAAATGCCCAAGGCCATTGAGACATGATGAGCTGTTTTGTGCTGCTACTGCATGCGATGTATGCCTAACTTAGTCCAATTGAATGTTTCGACTGGAAATTTTCTACTTTGACCAAACAGATGCATCATACCCATCCATCAAGGCAGTATATTCCAGACCTGCAGCAGCCCATCCTTTAATACCCCCTGTGAGAACTAAACTCTTGACAACTGTATCCTGTTTCTCTTCAAGATAATCCGCGAACCAACCAGCTGCACGAGTTCCTCGACCCCCGGATGATCCTGAGCGCAAGTCAGTAGCTGCACGCCAAGATACTCCCAATCTAGAAATGAGTTGATACTTACCGCAATACCAAATCACATATTTTGCGCTGCTGTTCGATACGAGGGAATATAACGTCGGGATGGTAGGATACAGACTCTGAGCTGGCAAGTTCAATGATCCTTGGATGGTTCCTCCCTTCGGCCCATCAGTATATGGAAATCTATCGCATCGTCCAAGTAGTCATACCTCGTAGTCTGTACGACGCAAGTCAACAAGTACATAGTCCTTTCCGGCTTGTTTACCGTCTCGGATCCATTGCAATAGCTCCTCTCGCGATATAGAGGGAGCCGCGCCCCTTGGGGCAGGAAATGCGGCGTGCCATGGGATCTCGGCTGACATAGTAGTTATAGAGAATGAAGTTGAAAATAGGGAGATTTGGTACTCTTCAAACTGTCAGATTGACTCTGCAGCTCCAATACTCCGAATACCCCGCCTGAGAGGGAATGTCACCACTGTGATCTGATTGGCTGAAACCTCTGTGGAGCCAGATTCCGTAGTCTAATTCTTCAGCCAATCAGCGTCGACAAGTGACATACCATTAGTATCGAGCGCTACAATATAAGTTCAAGCAAAAACACGAGTCCATGCTTCATCATTTTATCTATTCAGCACCTCAAGATAATTCCTTGCTCGTTCATCTATCTAGCGAGCAGTACGCGCACCCCCATGGCGTCTTTACGACCACAGGCATGTTCAAATGCCTGCAATCTTCCCAACGACCAGCCAAAAACAAGCGACATCGAAAAGCAGAGTCAACCCATCTCTCCCGATGAACCTACAACAAAAAAATCCATGTTCTCAAGCCTTGGCCTGCTTGACCGATTTCTGGCAATATGGATCTTTCTTGCCATGGCAATTGGAATTATTCTGGGCAACTTCGTCCCAAACACAGGACCCGCCTTGCAAAAGGGCAAATTTGTTGGGGTTTCAGTGCCTATCGGTATGCAGCTTCAAGTATTCACCATTCCGGGCTCTTTACTGATTATGAAATTCTAGCGGTCGGTCTTCTGGTCATGATGTACCCCATTTTGTGCAAGATTCGATTTGAATCGCTACATCATGTTTTCCGAACCAAAGAAATTTGGATCCAGATGGCTTTCAGTGTCCTTTTGAATTGGATTATTGCTCCCTTCCTTATGGTAGGTGGTTACACAATATTACATCTCCTCGGGACCTGTTACTGACTTGAGAATCTCAGTTGGCCTTGGCTTGGGCTTTTCTCCCAGACGAACCAGAATTGCGACAAGGACTAATTATTGTCGGGTTGGCACGCTGTATTGCTATGGTAAGTCCCTAGAATCTAGCAACAAACTCCTGGAGATACACTCATGCTAATGCTCAGTCTCTATCAGGTGTTAATCTGGACAGGATTAGCTGGAGGTGATAATGAATATTGTGCCATCCTCGTCGCTCTCAACTCAGTCCTCCAGATGGTCCTTTTTGCTCCGATGGGAGTATTCTTCATCGGCGTCATCAGCGGCGATTCAGTCTCGTTCGAATACGCAACAGCCGCAAAAAGTGTCGCGGTGTTTCTTGGAATCCCCTTGGGGGCCGCCATTCTCACGCGATTTGTTCTTCGACGAATCTCTGCGACATGGTATGACCAGACCTTCTTGAGATGGCTTAGTCCGTGGTCCCTCATTGGCCTGTTGTTTACGATCCTTGTGTTATTCGCCTCGCAAGGTCGCCATGTGGTCCACCAGATTGTCTCTGTCGTTCGAGTCGCAGCGCCGCTCATCGTCTACTTCTTGATCATCTTCTTTGCGACTCTACTTGTGGCATACAAATTAGGATTCGGCTACAAGCTCTCCGCTGTGCAGAGCTTTACGGCGGCGAGTAATAACTTTGAGTTGGCAATTGCAGTTGCGGTCGCGATGTTTGGTGCAGAAAGCAACCAGGCCCTTGCTGCGACGGTAGGGCCTTTGATAGAGGTGCCCGTGCTGTTGGGCCTTGTGTATGCTGTCAAATTGATAGCTAAACGAGCTGGATGGAAGGACTAAATGCGTTGCAAATATGGATAGATAAGATATAATACACGTAATTAATCAGATACATAGATCAATTCTACAATATAGATGCACAGTCCTCTAAAGCTGCCCAGCCTGTGCATGGTTATTCAGCTGGTGACATGCCACTTTCGTGTGATTGGACAAAGCTAAACGGTCCCCCGCTCCATCGCAGCTTCACTTTCAACTTCACACGATCTCAACAGTTGGATATCTTCTTCATTCGACTTCTATCTCTCTCTCCCACGATACCACTTCCCTTTTATTTCAGCATCAGTTTTATTCGAAGCATGCCTCGTCCAAAAACCAAAACTAAGGTCGGTATCCTTCAAGCCGTTTTATGTTTGTGATTGATGCTCTTCTGTTCCTCTCTATTTGCTCGTCTCACACTCTTCTCGCGTAGAGCGAAGATCTCGCCCGCATTCGCAACAATCAGCGACGATCAAGAGCAAAACGGCTAGAATATGTCCGTGATTTAGAGGCAAAAGCAAAGAAATACGACGAGATACTTGCGTCAAACTCTTCTCCATCTCTATCTGCATTTGATAAATTACAATCGGAGAATGCATGGATGAGAGGGTTACTAGCCACGCTCGGCTTCAAATTAAATTCTTCGGACGCACTGCCCGGGAACATTCCCGATAGTGCACCCGATATGGCATCAGCGGTATGGTGACCCGGCTCATGAATCAAAGTCTCGAGATTCTAATAATTTCAAGGTGTCAAATTCCTTCGCTGGTGATTTGAGAACAGAACGATGTGCGACAAGTCCGGTTCCTGTGTCCTTTTGGGAGCAATGGAACCAGAGTCCGTTGGAAGTATCACCAGAGATGGGGCTAGATATGAATACACTATCTCTGTTAAATCAGGAGAATGGTCTGGCAAACTTGGGGCTTCTTTTGGAAGAACCTAATCCAGAGGAAAACTGGAATCCAGAGGTCCAGGGAATTCCTCAACTAAATGTTCTGAGCAACAGTGATACGACTCTGTGTTCCCTGGCGTGTCGATGGGTGATCCAATGCAATGCCAAGGGCGTGGAGCTAGATGTCTTATACTTCCGGATGGAACGTGGGTTCAAGCAAGGGAACAGTCCACTGGAGGGATGCAGGGTGGATAATCAGGTGCTTCTAAGTGTTTTAACAGACATATCGTGAGACATTTTGTTTTGATTTCAGCTAATCAGATAAGCCTTTCCTACTGTTTGACAGCATAAATTTGGAATGAGCCTGGGAAGTGTCAGTTTGGGGGTCACCCATTACTTGGTGTTAAAGACTTACCAGCCCATTCGTTGAAGTCATGTTCCAGCAAATTCTCATTGGGAGCATCATTCCCTTGAGCTCCTCCGCAACAAGAAGGCTTCGACTGGGAACTGTTCTCTTCGGCTTTCATTTCCCCTTGAACCAGATCTTTGTAAATGTTGATGTCACTATGAGTGTCTACAATCACAATATCTGAGAGAAGGCCAGTTATCAGCAGAGAAATGCGTCATAGAGCCATAATTGAATGGTTACATACCTTTGAATCCGGCGTCGGAGAGAGATTTCTCATACTCATGAACCTGGCTAGCTCCTGCAATACACCCGACGTAGAAAGATAGACTGTTGACAACCTCTTGGGGTAGCTCCTTTCGAGTCAAGATGTCACTGATGGCAACGCGGCCTCCAGATTGCAACAAGCGAAACATCTCCTTGAAGACAAGATGTTTGTCGACTGTAGGTACGAGGTTCACGACGCAGTTACTGATGATGCAGCTGGCTGTAGAGTCTGGCAGAGGAATAGAAGTGATCGAAGCTTCGATAAAGGACGTATTAGAAGCACTTGCGCTCTCTGCATTCTTCCGAGCAAGTTCCAGCATGCTCTATATTACCAATTTAGATTTGATGCTCAATCAAGAGTGGGAGAATCACCTTGGTTATATCCACGCCAATTGCTTTTCCTTGTGGGCCAACCTTCTTGGCTGCCAGCAGGACGTCAATGCCACCACCACTGCCTAGGTCGATCACCGTCTCGCCCTATCATAAGTATGTTAGATTTGGCATCGAAATCATAATGATATTGGGGTTGATGCTCACCTCTCGCAGGTTAGCAAGTGCCAAGGGGTTCCCACAGCTCACTCCGAGATTGGCAGCCTGGGGAATTGAGCTCAGGTCTCCGGCATCATAACCGAATGCTTGGGCAATGGTTTGTTCGGCCTTTCTCTGCTCGCAGGTAGAGGAGCGATCAGCCAACTGGCCATAGCGATCTTGGACACTCTGATAGGTTGGGTTTGAATCCATGTCGAGGTCTGGTTCAATGAGACAAGTAGATAGGTAGATGAATCTTTGTGGTATATGGGAGTAGGCCCATGTTTAAATAGATAGTTTGCCGCGCCGGTGTAAAGTTACCCCGTTTGGAGTGGCATGTCACCACATCCTTAAAACGAAAGTTTGGGGTAATTTAGACAGGAAATTAGCGACGAGCTGAGTTCGATATCCTGTATCTTAGACCGAGTGGAGGTTTGTTGTAGTGTTAGAACATCTCATTGGGTGTTCGCTATTTCTGGCATGTCACTGCTAAGAGTTCTTGTTGATTGATGCACGACAGTTCATAACTTTTGAAGAGAAAAAAGGAGCGCTTAGAAAACCCCTCCCCAGATCGTGAGGACAAAGTCGATGCGACCAACCGGGATGAAGGACTGGGAACACAGACAAGAAGGTTCCAAGGTTCCAAGGTTCCAAGTCAAAGCCTTGGAGATGTGGGGCATCTTGCAACCAATCATAGGTCGCTTGCGGGAACCCTTGAGCCTAAATCGAACGTACACCGTTGTGCGACAGGAGGCATGGTGGAACTATGCTTTGTTGGATGTTGACTGGCTATAAAAGAGCGTGGATACAGTTGTAGCACGGATGCTTCGGCGTCGAAAGATCTTGGATTCATCATTGCATCAAAATCGCAAGCTTGTATGTAGACTTCTGCTAGGTATGGGTTGGGCAAAGATGTGGACGATGCTGTGTGAAAGATGGAGTATGGGTAGGAGATATCTCTGAGCCTTCCAAATGACACCTCTGTATAGACCAGGAATATAGTAATGCCAACAATGGAAAGAGAAAAAAAAAAGGTGCAAATCCACAAACCACTCACCTCAGGACCGCCACCCCCTCGGATCGGGACTCGCATACTCTATAGGTGTGGAATCTACTCGGTATTGCTACAAGATATTTGTTATTGATCCACCCTAAGGCCACGCAGGGATCCTCGAGTATTGCTTGGGTTCATGACTCCCAAGGGCCACTCAAAGTATGCGCATCCAGGCTTCAAGTACCAAATACCCCTAGACCCAGCTAATGAGCTAATCGAGGTGGATTTGCAGGTAGGACCTCTTTCCGGCTTCCTATAAGGGAACCATTTCCTTTTTCGGATGGGCAAACAATGCTCAGGGTTCAATCCCCTTCCAGGATTCATTTCTTTTTTACCCCCTCTCTTCCCAGGAAAGGCCTCGCTTTTTTTCCTGGCCTGCGTTTTGCCTCCCATCTCTCTGAGGCCTTGATCAAGATCCTTTGTGGCTCAGAAGCTAATCTTCGATCTTCGCTCAATACCATTTCTACTCCTTCTTACTGTTCTCAGGCGCGATCAAAATTTCAAGTCCGATGCGCTTTATGTTGCTATATTATACATGTACCTGGTTCCCCGGATGCCCCGTATGAAGCGCCAATTACAACCCAAGATCTGTCAAAATCAAGCACAGGCATACATCAGATATGGAACAACTACATTCAATTGCCGAGTGAAGCTTTTGAGCAAGAAAATTCCATTTGTGAGAACTACATTATCGGAGCTTGGCAAAACGATACCGTACATGAAATCCACTATGTGAAATGTGGAGTTTGAGGAGTTGTGAGCCTGCGCAATACATGTTTAGTCCCTTCAGATTTCCATATCGACGGGCAAGCTTTCCAGCCAGCCGAGGGTCAATTTGCGACCCGGAATAGTAGTGGCATTAGAGGATTGGATATTCGCTAACATTCCAAGCGAAGTATCAATGCGCAGGCGGTGGTAGATACGCCGCCACACAATTGGCGCAAAGTTCAGGTCCTGATCCGAGATAAATTCGCGGGACGACGCACATTGGAGTTCAACTAGACTCAAGGCAGCACGAGCACATTGAATCCGGTACCGAAGCTCAGGAGCCTGCTCACAAGTCTCTTGATAATTCCGCAGCAAGCTATCAACCTGCCTGATTTCATCAGTTATGGCTTTGACTGATTTGCTTGTGGCAGCGGCAGCGGGGACACCTTCCATGGTACCGTTTGCGAGGAATGGAGAAGTGCGAGCCGCAATCAGAATCAAAGCGGCCCCGTAAAGATAGTCCAGGTATTCACATTTAGACACCTCGTTCTTTTCCCTTTCAAAAGTGATGCGGATGGTCTTGACAATTTCTTGGGCTACAGACAAGCATCTGATAGCGTTGTAATAAATCAGCCCCAAAAGGGGAGACGAGTCCTCATCATGGATATTTCTCGCACACAAATGAACTCCAGATTTGCAGGTGCACGGGCGAGAAAGGCGTAGGCTCAAGGTAAAGAAAGGCCGGTAAAGCCGAAGCCGGAAGTAGAGATATCGCAGATGAGCCAGAATGCACATGCGGCGACTAGTTTCATCCACGTTATTCAGCGCGATTCCACAGCCCTTCCAGTCCAGACTTTCAGGTAGACCACTCTTCCAATCAGACAGGGACCCATGCAGTTCCTGGACACCACTGAGCTCGACAGTGGAAAGCCATTTCATAGGACATGTCAGCATAGTGGCACGTAAGTTGTTTTCAAGAGTGATCAAATCTTCAGTGTGCTTTAGAAGGGAGGCGCATGCAATAAAAAAATCAGATGCCAAGACAATCTGTGAATTGTTCAACACCCCTGTCACACTTAGATTCTCTTCCACCTGCGATGGCGATGGCAGTGGTGGGGCGTAATAAGCATCGAGGCATTGGTTGGTAAAACCAAGCTGGAGCGCAAGAGATGATTTCTTCATCCAGAGACAATGCCATATCAACCGAACCTGCTCAAGAGACTTTCGGTCCACTGCAAGGCATCCACCGTGCTCAGTTTGCATCTCAAGAACGTCGGCTTTGCTGAGCGCCAGAGACAATATCTCCCAGGCCTTTTTCAGGGACCCTGCAATGTGGAGATACTCGGTTTGAAGGATGCGTCGGTGGAAGTATTTGAACGAGGACTCAGAGTTCTCAGGTTTAGGTATCTCGGAAACAGCGCGGTCGTACCATTTTTGAGCGCCCCATATATCTCTTTCACGAGTGAGATGGCACGCCATAGCGAGACAAAGCGCAAGAGTGGCATTGATATCTTCCGGTGTAGCTAGGCCACGACTCACGGCGATTTTGAGACCAGATCTAATTTTATCAAGATCAAGAATGGGCAAAATAACCGATTGTTTCTCGAAAAAAATCTTCATAAGTCTCTTCGGGATCTCAGAAGCAAGTGATTGGCTTCCAGAGGTAGTGCTGCCTGCCACTTGGGTAATGCTGTTATTGCCGTGGTTGCTGGGTGCTTGAATGTCTGAGGTAGAAACCATCGAATTCGGCGCGTTGTTATTATTAGGGTTCGACGACTGGGCACCTGGGGTAGCGGGCACAAGAGCCGTAGCAGCTGCAACACTGGAATTGCATGGCTCAGTGCCAGAAACAGCACGTCTCTTGGACGGACTTTGCGCGACAGTCGACACGTGGGTGTCGGCGGGCTGTGATGACTGATTGCGAGAGGTAGGACGCTTCATCCGTCCCTTAGGAGTCACGAAAGGCGACGGCATGGTCTCGTCGATCAGATCGATAGAGTCCACTGCGGTTTGGAAGGATGGAGCTGGAGCAGAGGCAAAACGAGGGAGATATGGAGAGTGGGAAGTTGAGAGGGGGGAGGGGGAAGAGAGAAGGTCGTGTGTGTGGTTTGTTGTTGTTTTGGAGGGCGTATCATGAGGTTTCGAAGAAGGCACGCGCGGAGGTTCGAGGTTGGGTTGCTCCTTCCTTGGTGAACTCAAAGTTCCCGTTCTTGGATCTGGACTATCGACATCGGCACTGATGATTTCGCTTTCTGGGTCTAGAAACTGTGCAAATTTCCCACAGGTCACACGCCCTAGCTTCGAGTCGGTCTTTATAGCTGCATCGAGTGTGTTGCGTAGAAATTCGATGTGTGGATGTTTCTCATCCAAATCGTACGCAAGAGGATCCAGAATGATTTTTTTCAAACGACGAAGAAACAATTTGTTGTGGTTGGATGTCGGCGGCGCATTTGTACTCGAAAGACACTCTTCGATGCATATGACACGTTCTTGTGCTCTCTTCTCCTCGCCGCTCATCAATGGGCTATACAAGAAATTTTCAAATCGAGTGAGAAGAGCACGAGAACAACGCCCACCCTTGCTGTGCTTGATTGCTGCAACTTCCATGAGATCATCTTCTTCAAGCCAATTGTCATCTGACTGAGTCGCTAGAGCTCCACCGCTCGGGCGTTGGGTCTTCGCGCTTTTCAGTAGCTTCATGATACTGTAAAGGCATGCTGCATTGAGATTGCGGTGTTTTGATCTCTGAACGTTTATCTCAGTGGTCAAGTTGCACCGTAGCTCCATTTCATCTTCCTGTAGAGTGGGAGATACACTGCGCGGAACACGCAGCTTACGTCCACTGGGTGAATCGGGGCCAACTGGTCCAATCTGACCCAGTGCTAACCCGGATTGCCCAATCGCATCAATAGGGCCAGATTCGGATATCTTATGCCGTTTGGCAGGAGGCTGTAGAGATTCCTGCCCTTGCTGTGCATAGCTTGAAATATTTTTGACGGTTGATTTGACCACGCCATTCATAGATTCATATTCTCCAATAGAGCTCTCTAAAGCTAGCGGCCTTTTCTTCTCACCAACTGCCAGTGGGGCCGAGGAATCGTTAAAAATTGACCCCGAAAACGGCGCACCGGTCTTAATGGTGATTTTGTTCGTGGAAGTTTTGGTCTCGACGCTACATGATATCAACTCAGTCTTTTTTTTCTCTGGGTAAAGTTCAAAGCACTGTCTGACTTACAAGGGAGAATCTGCAGACGGATAGGAGCATTCGGCTTCTAGGCCTCTCTTGATACAGGCCTCACAAACTGGGTGAAGAAACAGTCATCAATACACATGCTCGAATCTCCATTTTCTCGGAGACTATGAGATACTCACCTGGTCTCATGCGATCACAGCGTCGGTGTCTTGCTTTGCATGCCCTGCAAGGATATCCCAGCGGATGAACTGGTGCGTAGGACGGTTTTGTTACCACTGAAGCTGATGGAGAACGTGAGCTGCCTGCATCATTCGCCACTGGGACTTGATCGGCCATGGTCAGAAGCTAGCCTGGGAAAAATTGTGTCAAGAATAAGATCTCGAAATGCAATGATGTTTGTGTTGTTCGGACTGAGAATGATTCAATCAGTTTGGATGCGTTGAGGACAGTCTCTCTTACAGCACAGCTGCCCAAGATGCCAGCACTAATATCAGCGTATGGGACGTACTCGCTAGTATTTGCGAGTGAAACTTCAGGGCTGGTCAAGTAAAACTGAACATGATGAACACGTTAGCTTCAGTCAATCCTTGAGGCAGGTATGATTCAAGGCAAAATGAGAGCAGCTATTCATGACTGCGCATGCGAAAGGGATCTTACCAGCAGCCCAGGTCAAATCTCGAAAGAAATAATTGAAGTGTTTGAATATGCTGCTTTGGAAAGATCCAATTCACGAAGAAAAAAGTAATGAAAACGCGTGCAGACGCGTGGCAGAATCGCAAGGTTCACAACGGTAGATGGTTGTAAGCTTTGGTCTTAATGAAGGTTCATGGCAAAAAAACGTGCGGGGCTTGATGGCATTTCAACACACCAAATCAACCCCCCTAAGATTCAATGAACGTGTATCCATAGCTATGTGCCCTGGGAAAGTGACGTTGATCCAGGCAAAGGCCTAGACTAGGGGTTGGCAGTTATAGGCTTACCGCCTAGCCAATCCAATCTACCTAGCTTCGATACAGACTACAGATAGATACCCACATGTACATAAGGACATGTAGGTAAATATTACTAGAGATCCAAGTCGCAAAGTATATATACAAGATCAATTTAGAAAATTCAATTTACATAACATAATTCCTGGCCATTTATTTGCTTCGATGGTGAATGAAGGCGCGGCATCCTAAACCTTGGCGGATGCTATCATACTTGACAATCTAGAACCGTCGAGGCATTTAGAACCGAATGAAATCAAATTTAGTCGCGAAATTGACTCCCACTAGGTGATCAACTCTACGATATATTTTAACTCACAAAATAACACAAACAACGGGGTCTCTAGGTGTATCCGCAACCTCGCAGCCGGTGGTGGAAGATATTCAAATGCATGCAAGAGGGGATATTTGCTGCCCAGGGAGTGCGAAAGAAATTAGGATCTACCGGCAATTTTTAAAATGATTCATGCAGATATATACAACAATACCCATGTGTATTACCATGTCGGCATCTTAATATCGATATGTACCTCCATATAGAAGGGTCGTCCCTGGTGGACGGTACGTCATTCCCGCCGCAGACGATGGAGTTTGTTGAATCTAAAATGCTGGTTCAAGAGACAAACATCAGGACAGTGCTTTTTCTGCCTCATCAACCGACCGTTCAACCTCTTGCTCAGTCCATCGATGAAATAATTTGCGGGCATCGGAGAGGTCTGCCTCCTTAGGCAACCCATCGCGAGCCGGTTGAACATGGAGGACGGGGACGTCAAATTCGTAAACATCCTTCCAACGTTTATTGCCAGGTTCCATAATATCTGTTTCGACGTATTCGAAGGAACGCCGTTTCTGGAGCTGGAGGACGGTGTTTTTGGCAGTATCGCACAAACCACAGCCCGCGCGTGTGAATAGCGTCAAGCGAGCTGAGCTGAAGAGGACGCGCGTAGGAAACATGGAGAGATTATAGCAATGATGCAAAAAGTGAATTTCAACCTGAGAAATGGAGATGGTGCCGTAACGCGAATGCGGTCAGAAAGTTCTCCGCGATCGAATGGAACATTCGAGCTTCCCCGCTAAACCCTGTTAGGCAACCCGCGCCATTCTCTCCAGAACACAATTGTCATCTCTCCTCCTAACTGAGTCCTGTGAATTCTATTATAAACTGTCTTTTTTTTGAACATCATGGCAGGCAAGTGTGTCCACAAAGCGTGTGGAAAGACCTTCAACGATCCGGAAGAAGATTGCGTGTATCATCCGGGTCCCCCAGTGTTCCACGAGGGGCAGAAAGGTAAGTACCTTGGTGTTTAAGCTATGCCAGATCTGTGTCCCATGAGTTCATCCAGGGCTCCTGCTGAATGATTGTGGGAATACACTATGATGGCCTCGGCAATGTTCCTTCCCACGACACCGCTAACTTTTCAGGCTGGAAATGCTGCAAGCCCCGCGTCCTGACCTTTGAGGAATTCCTCTCCATTCCGCCATGCACAACCGGCAAGCATTCTACCGTCGACGATACACCTGCGCCCGAGCCCTCCGAGGCTAAGGAAGCCCCAGCTGCTCCTACTCCGGTCGAACAAAAGAAGTCCGAGCGGCCACCCATCACCGCCTCCCCCACTATCACAACTGCGGCACCGCCTGAGAAGCCTGTCATTGAGGAACCTGAATCGGATGACCCTGATGCGGAAGTCCCGACTAATGCGACATGCCGTCGGAAAGGTTGCGGTGCTTCCTATACTGGATCAACTGCCCGCGATGAGGAGAAGTGCGTCCACCACCCCGGCCAGCCAATCTTCCACGAGGGCAGCAAGGGGTGGTCTTGCTGCAAGCGCCGGGTCCTCGAGTTTGACGAGTTCCTGAAGATTCCCGGTTGCACAGAGAAGACGAGACACTTGTTTGTGGGCAAGGCTAAGCCCCCGGGTGAAGAGAAAGTGGACTCAGTCAGGTGCGTATACAAAAAGATTGGCCAGCCCACTGCACGAGCGCTGGCTCCAAATACAGTGAACTGACATGCTCTCGTCTCTACAGAAATGATTTCTACCAAACCCCCACCGCCGTCATCGTCTCCCTATACTTTAAGAAAGTCGACAAGGAGCGCGCCAAGGTTGACTTTGCTACCAATTCGATTGTCTTTGATCTTCCTACCACAGACAACAAGCGGTTCCAGGATACATATACACTGTTTGCTCCAATTAACCCGGAGCAGTCGACTTTCCGTATACTGGGCACCAAGTTGGAATTGAATCTGGTCAAGGCTGATGGTACCAGCTGGCCGGTGTTGCGCAGTGATGATAAGTGGACTGGGCAGCGCATTCAAATTGGTAATGCTGGACGCGCGTGATTGGAGGTTCACACGTTGGAAAATTACACCATAGAAAAATTGAACAGTTATGACGAAGGTGACAATTCAGATATTGAACCACTGGCTGCTACTCCGTACGCTAGAGCAGATGGAAGGAGTCCGCTAGCCGTACGGAGTAGCTGTGGCTTGAGTAGACTCGGCATGCCGACAGCACCATATATATCTCTTGGCAAGGAAAATCCGAACATTACGGATTTGGGTTGGCCAAGCGAAATGAATACCGCGTGAACTAGGGAGACTCCTTGTATCTCCTTTCGGAGGCGAGGATTCACGTAGTACAACATCCAAAGATATGTACAGTGTCTTCCACCAATAATTACTTCATGGACAATACCAACTTCAGTTTATCCGATGCTACGAGAGTGGATCGAGTTCTCTGGTCTATTGCGGAAGACCAGAGTAATCAGAGTCGCAAACCGAATCACACAAGAGTGATTGGAAAAAAATGAATGTGACGCCCTCTCCACAGCTAGCACCCATGGGGCTTCCCGAAGGATACCCTAGCATAGCCATAAAGTGATTGGGAAAAAGAGAGACGCCTTTACTCTCCAGGGCCGGGAACGGAAGAAAACCCATGAAGGCCGAAGCCATCGGATAACCCTCAGCAAGCCACATTGTGGAGCCCCGTTGAAATTTACATAAGTTATGTAAACCTCTACTGATGATGGAGAGAAAAGAAAAAAGAGTAAAGACGCAGGCGCGGTGACTCCTTTTATATGTCTGAAAAGCCATTCTACGCTAGAGCTGATTGGGTTTCGGTGAAAAGGTTCTTCCATTTCGTTGACTAATAGTGGAATTTATGACTAATTTTCCTTTTTTGTTGAGGAATTGGTCGGATTAGGCAGTTAGGGCTGAATGCAGGGTTTGATTCTGCATGTGACCCTACAAGACCCTGGAAGTCTTTTTCATGTGATCGCCCCGCCCGTGACTTGGTACGGAGTATGTACTCCGTACGGAGTACCTGGCAATAAAATGCTTATACGAGATAGTATCACTTCGCCACCAAATTAAATTTGAAACAAAGAAAAGCACGAACACAATAAATTAACCGTATTGCAGCCAATCGGCATTTAATTCCAGGAAACTTAATAGTAGCGGTGGGAGTGTCCTTTTTTTGTTCAAGCCTTGCCGCTTTGGTACCCTTGGGCCCAGTAAGCCTATCTGCCAATCATGGCTCGGGAGCACGAGACCTCCCCTCGCTCTCGGTGACCTCCCCGCCATCGATAGCGTCTTCTGTCTCTCCGGCCCCTGAATTTTGATGATACAACCTTCACATCAGCACAAAATCCTCCTTCTCGGTTCGTGCTCTGCTTCTGCCTAGCATTCATCAACATTTGCACATTGCGCAAGCAGCCTCCTCTCGTGCGATTGCCTCCGCCTTTAGGTTAAGGACCCTTGTCGCTGATTAAAAAAAGGCGCTGCTTCTCAAGCGGCAGTAAACTAATCAAACAGCCCGAGATCACTGCGAGACCCTATATACTACGCGATCGTGCCCTTTTTCGCTTCCGCTCCACCTCAGTCCAACATGGGCTCAACGGAGACTCAGATGGCGATGTCGCCAGACTTTCGATACATTCCCCTATCATACATCCATGCGGACTCGCAGGCCTCTGCTCTGAGGCTGATCCTAACCCTCAATCCTGACTGGGAAGGCCCTGGTAACGAGATCAAGTTCGTGCGATTCACGGATGGCATCACCAATACTGTGTGTTCCTCTTTCCTATTGCTCCCCACCATGCGACGAACAACAAGTCGCGCGAATTCGAGGAAACACTAACAGGTCCATAGCTCTTGAAAATCATCAACGTGAAGCCTGGCCTGACGGAGGAAGAAATAGACAATGAGGCAGTACTGATGAGGGCATACGGAAATGGCACAGAGATACTCATAGACCGCGAAAGTACGAGCAAGATCCCCAATCCTCAAACCAGAAACCCCCTCCGCGCCTCCCCTGCCCATTGCGACATATGCTAAAGTAGATCAATTATTCTTAGGAGAAACAAGGTCTCACGCGCTTTTGGCCAGTCGCGGTCTGGCTCCACCCCTCCTCGCCCGATTCAAAAACGGTCTGCTCTACCGCTTCATCCGCGGACGGCCTTGCGGTCACCAGGATCTAGTCTCTCCGCCTATCTGGCGCGGTGTTGCCCGTCGCCTGGCGCAGTGGCATGCTGTCCTGCCCAGAAGCGTAGCTGCGCATGTTGAGGGTGAGTCTGTGACCGAGATTGCGGGCTCCAAGGACAACGATATTACTGTAATCCAGCCCCGGCGTGCGGGCCCATCCATGTGGGCTGTGCTGCAGAAATGGGTGTTGGCCTTGCCGGTTGCCACGCCCGAACAGCGCGCCCGCCGATTAAGTCTGCAGGCCGAGCTGCAATGGGTCTTGGATATTCTGGATGACGGAAAAGGATTCGGCGAGGATGGAGTACGTGATTCTCAATCCCAATATGTTGGATACGATTATTTGATTGGCGGACTTGTGGCTAATTGGTGTGTTTATAGTTGGTCTTCTCCCACTGCGATCTGCTCTGTGCAAACGTCATCGTCCTTCCCAGCAAGAACGGTGCACCAACTCCTGAGGACGGTATCGCGCCTGTTAACTTCATCGATTATGAATATGCCGTCCCCGCGCCTGCCGCATTCGACATCTCGAACCACCTTGCCGAATGGGGTGGCTACGACTGCGACTACAACATGATGCCGACTAAGTCTGTGCGCCGTCAGTTCCTTACTGAATACACGAAGAGCTACTGTCAACAGCTTGGTCTCGATGCTTCATCTCAGATGGTTGACCAATTATATGATGACGTTGACCGCTTCCGTGGCATTCCTGGCCTCTACTGGTGAGAGTCACGGGCACGATTGGAATATAACCCAATGAATATGCTAACACATTCCAGGGGCGTGTGGGCACTTATCCAAGCACAAATCTCACGAATCGATTTCGACTACGCCAGCTACGCTGAGACTCGTCTCGGTGAATACTACGCATGGAAGCGCGAGGTCGATGGAAGCCGCAAGCAATCCGGCGAGGAGATGCCGCTGCGTGAATCCCGCTGGGCGTCAGAGGTGTAAATTCCCTCTTCACACCCGTCTCGCATACATTTCGAATCTCTTCCCCTAGGAAACGACGCCAATCACTCCTTCGGCGCGCTTTCTCTTCGCGAGAATTACGGCACGGTGATCATTTCCCATGACCCCGGCCAATTTCCTCCGCCTCCTCACAATTTCAACCAACGTTCATCGTTTATCCTGGCACTCTAGAAATTCAACAACATTCTCTGAGTCAGCCAACGCCGAAACCGAATTTAGCCAATCCAAAAAAATCAAGAGTTGTGGTCTTGGACGACCACAGACGAGGTTGAACCGAAAGGTTCAATCAAAGAGAAAAGGAAATTAAGATAAAGAGGACAACTCGACCCCGACTGCGAAATGGGGTCGGGATAAAAGTCATGTCAGGTATCTGAGGATATAGATGGTGGTTGATTTATCTCTTTGCATTGTGGCCATTTTTCCTCGTGGTCTTGTGTGTTGTCTTTCAACAACGTCATAGCTGGGGTGTTTTAAGGTTAATATGGTTTCTTTCTTATTTTTCGATAAATTCTTTCTTGTGTGCATGTTACTTGGGCAAGGATGGGATAGTAATAGGATGTTTTGTAGTCTTCCAAGCTGGACTCTTTTCCATCGTATCGGTACTCCCAAGTCGACAACTGCCTCAAACTTCGAGGCTATACTATTCGAATTGTTTATACCCCGATATGTAGGGTAGTTTCATTGGTAGTTAAGCCAGACCCAGTCATAAAAATAGGAACAGTCAACACTGAGGATGGGGCTACACATATGGGAACTAGGTATGACCACATACCAACGCAAATCCTCAGCTACGAACTTGAAACTTTGGCCCACTTGTTATAAGATAATCTTTTCTTTTATCATCAATCATCCTATATCCGCATTCTTATGAAACGAAAGCCCAACTGTCCTAGGCACCTGCTATGCAGCTGGACCTCAATTCCTGATAGAAAAAAATACGACGTTGCCAATACAAGCTCCATATACTCTTGTTCTACCTACATATCACTTGTTATCTAACGTGTCAGACCTACCTATAGCTCTATAACTACCTGGCTACCTCAGTGAGGCAATATAAGGTGCATACCTCCAGTCGTCCTGGCGCTGACATGGGGATCGCATCCGGGCGTGGTTGTGTTGGCGATGATACCTATAGCCCTTCAATAATTGATCTTCATCAATTTCACTAGTGTCGCGATGAAGGTCGGGACTCAAAATGCAGCGAAGATGCATAAGATAGCATGTTGACCGCAGCTGAATATATTTGGTAGCGGGTGAAATATGTTGTGGGAGTTGGGAGAACCAGGGATTCTCCGGATCTGACTATTCCAGAGCTAGTTGTTGACTAGAGTCTAACGTTTTTATCTCAGGCAGAAGAGGATTGTCTCACTTGCCTTTAATAGGAATTTGGGCAATCGAAAATATAGGATAAAAAGGGTTCTTCTTCTGTGTGGTGGTTGGCTTTCATCATGACAAGAGTGCCAGAAAGGTTAAAATAAACGAACAATGGTCTACAAAGCCACCTAGAGATTACTTTGAAGAGTGGGAGTCGTTGTAAAATATAGTTAAACATAGAGAGGAAAAGGCTATGTAGTAAGATAACGGCGTTGAAGTGTGCTTTTACAGGCGTTGTCGCCATCTTGCTATTTTCTCTAGTCATGTTCCCCCGAGTTGAGAATAATCCCCCTTAATCTACCTCCAGACTAGAGCTTAAATCTCTCGAAATGAGTGTTCCGTGTTCCGTGAGAGAAGGGAGAAAAGACCTCACGCAAGCACCAGGATATTGTATGTAACACATTTGGCCCACTCGCACGAGGCTGACGATATCAGGCAGAAATCTATATGCTATGACAAAATACGGAGAATAAGATGAGTTAACGAATTCATTACCATGCGCCCCTTTGGATACCTAGAGATTAATTGTTGTTTATTTTGAAGGAATTATTGTGGATCTTGGGATAGTCGAAAGTCGATGCTCTACGTTTAGAAACCATAGATGAAATAGATGAAATAGAGGCCACCAGTTTTCGCAATGCTACGTTTAGGCCATCCACTTGGCTGAGGAATAGCTTCCCTTCCAACCAATGGGGCTTTTGTCCCGACAGCCTTGATCTTGGTGGTAGTGGGCTGTAGGCTTGCGACCATCGGCTGCGCTTGAACAAGGCTGTAGCTTGTAGTTTGGGGCAAGGGGAAGGGGTTTGGGGAACATCCCCCCGTGGAAAGAGTAATAAAAGGCCACCGGACTCATTCTCATTACTCCTCAGGTTTATTCAACTACTTCATCTCCATACTTCATTGCAATTATGCGATTCGGCACACACATCGTGTTGGCTTCCTTGACATGCTTTTTGACCGGCTCAGAAGCTCTTAGTATTGCTGCTCGCAATACAACCGAGGCTGGGGACGCTTGCTTTCAAATCCACGAACGCTTTGTTGACCATAGTGGCAGTAAGTTAGTGCCCAAGATGTTACCCATTTCAAATGCTAAGTCATGAGCAGAGAATGCAGAGCAGCCTTTCAAGGTCTCGGGTGAATTGGCACTCAAGTGCTTGCGGGCAATGCCTTTCAAGAAAGAGCCTGCTGTTTCTTTTGTGAAGGAGTTCCGTAAATATCTGCAGTTTCAATCGACCATCGAGATCCTCAAAAGCCCTCCACCAGATTACCCGATGCCTCCAGTTGATCTACTCGGAGGTCTCGACAAGATCCAAGAGAAGGCAGCCGCTGGTGAATATGCGAACCAGTTTGACTTTGATGCAGCAATTCAACTGCTCCTTAATTCAGCATACGAAGGGCATCTCTCTGCCGGGCTTTGCTCTCATCAGCAGTTCAATTTTGAGAAAGAAACCCCATTGGTGTCAATCTCCTCCGATGGGATAGCCCTCCCCGAGGTCTATACATACAGTAAGTACATCGTTACCCAGTGATAGAACACAACATGGTGCCAGCCTCCACAATAGAGGATTCCTTGCACTTGCAGTCCAAAGACTCTACAGTCTCCCCTATAGTGTCAATCAATGATGTCGACGTGGTAGATTATCTGAACAATCTTGCAAGGTCCTCGCAAGATTGGGATGCATTGTAAGTGTATCAGACAACACACTTCCAGGGCGGTGCTAACCGTTCTCTTTTGCTTAGATTCAACTCCATGCTTTTTTCCAACTCTCAGAGCCTTGCTGTCTTTGGAGTTACTGGCAAAATCTCTACCGGGTTTACCTTATCTACAACTTGGCCTGGTCCCTATCATTCTTTGCATTTTGCGAATGGGTCGACTTCAGTGATCAAAACTGTCGTTACAGTTAGCAAATTCCCATACAAAAATGGCGCAACTCTCTATGAGACATTATGTGCCCCAAGCAACGACACTTCGTCGGATTCCAGTGACGGGTCGAAAGAAGACCCTGATCTTTTAGAAGCGCCATCTGGATACCCGGAGCCATTCATCAAAGATGACTACAACCGCATCCTAGGCTTCTTCCCAAGTAGCAAGGGCCTAGAGGATACAAGTGTCTTGGTAATTCCAACATTTGATCCAACAGCACCTTCTGAACAAGAAGGTAGCCTTCCAAACTCCGGAGAGGTTCGATTTGCAGACGTTGCTCGAGAGTTCATCCACAACTCCACTATCAGAGGGAAGAAGAGGATGATCATCGATGTTTCTGGTAATGGAGGCGGCTTAGTTAGTGCCGGACTCAATATGTTTAAAATGTTTTTCCCAGACCAGGATATTTACCAGGCTGCTCGATTCCGTGCACATGAAACTGTTGACTTGATGGGACAGGTCGTTTCTACTCTTCCATTGGACCAAGCCCCAGACAGCCCAGTAAATTGGAGAATACAGGTCAAGCCAGATCAAGAAAGTGGATTCAAATCATGGGAGGATTACTACGGCCCGGAAGATGTCTTTGGCGTAAGCTCTTCTCATGTCATGGCGTCAAATCTTTCAATGACTTCTACTTCCACTGAGCCAATTGGTGGATATGGCGTTACGCAACTAGATCCACAGAAGCCCGCATTTGCAGCAGAGGATATCATTCTGGTAAGATTGCCTGCATGCTCTTTGATGATCCTACTACTGACCCCATTCTCAGCTTACCGATGGCATATGCGCATCCACGTGCACGATCTTTTCTGAGCTCATGAAAGCACAGGGTGTCGTACCATTGCATTTGGAGGTCGACCTAGGAATACTCCTATGCAAGGAATGGGCGGAACCAAAGGCTCCCAGGTATATGAGCTTGTGGAAATTGCCAAACAGGCAGCTCAAGTCGACGAAATCATCCGAAAAGCTGCCAATTCATCTACCCCAATTTTGCATGCAGATGACATGGCTCATTACAGGAAGATCTTCCCTATCCCTCTCGATGACTTCCCTCTCAAACTCAAGACGGGTAGTGTCAATATTTTGAGTGCTTTCAGCTCTGAAACCGACCCCATTCCGCGGCAGTTCAAATACGAAGCTGCGGAATGTCGTCGCTTCTTGACTCTGGATAACATTCTCAAGCCAGAGACTATGTGGGCTTCTGCTGCTGATGCGATGTTCCATGGTGGTGATTGTGTGCCAGGCTCGACCAATAGCACTCGAAGCTTGCGGCCAAAGCTGCACTCCAGGACTTCCGGCCCGAAACGTTGCTTGGGACCCTATTGTCACTGAACTGAAACTATGTATACAGAGCAAAGATCAGTCACTGAATTGTATTCTATGTATATGATCCACCCCATATGCCGTTGATGTTTGCACCGTACATAGTATTCAGATATCATAAGATGAGAATATCACAGTGTGATGAAGTAGATCTCTTTCGAGCCATGTCAATCCAGGACGTATAAACGCCTGGCTCGTTCCACCAAGTCTCTACAAACGAGAGGACACGCGCTCGGTCGAGATTACGACTGATGCGCATGACATTATTAAAGGATTCCTTAATGATCTTTTGGCCGGCAGTATTTCCTCGAAGTTCAGTTCCTGCCAAGAAAAGCGGCCAGACGAGATTCTGTACAAACATGCTATTTCGAGTCTCGGAGAGGAATTGTACATAGCGGAGAATTTCGTCACGAGACCTTTTAACAAGATGGAGAGAGGAAAAATCTTCCGATAGAGCTTGATGGCTGTAAATGAGAGTCGCGTGGTAATACATCCACACTACTAACTCAAAGCCCTGTCGCTCGGCTTCGGAAGTGAAATGGATGGTTCCACTGAGACGCATCATGCCCATTCTAGCCGATTCAATCTGCGAGTGGATGTCCTGCACTTGATCGCATGATGCATACTGAGCGGTCGGCCCGGAACGGAATTTCAAACGTTCGAGATGGGTGATCTGGTCAATGACCTGAAGGAAGCCAGTGAAGACAGCACTCTCGGTAGTAGCGGGGGGTGACTTGACTATCATTTCATATCGATCGAATGTTGTTAGATCTGCCCACACTGATGTCTCATAGAATTCTAGCATGAGGAAATCTTGGATGCAAGCCAGCTGACTGCCCTCGTATGGTTGGTCTCCTACTGCTAAAATGATCTCTCTTGCAGCAGAGAGATGGATCCGCCACCCAGCGCCTTGCGGTTTCATGAATTCATTATTGCACAGAGTAATAACAGATGCGAGTGTGTAGGCAGATGTTGTCCTCGCTTCCGAACTCGAGGCAAACGACGAAGAAAGAGTATTCAACTCTTGAGCCAAAAGCACAAGAGCTTTGTTCTGATACACTTTTGATAGTTGCTGGAATGCTCCGTGTCCCAAGTCTGTCGGAGAATATTCCGATGCCAGATCTTGAGCGGCAATAGCGAGAATGGAAGAGAGAACGGTTTCAGAACTCTCTGCCATTGGTAGGATCATCTGTCGCCATGCACTTTGTCGTGGAATCCATGCAAGTCGGTGAGCCACTCGTTCGTTAAACCAGGAGAGCAATCGTGAGACGTGCAGTGGGCGAGCTTGGGATAAGTAAAGATCCGAAACGGGGGATGCAAGGTCTTCCGGTAGTGAGAAGTGGGCTTCTGCGAGATTTTTGTAGTCACTGCGAGTATAACCATCACTGCTATCGGCACTACTCTCTGCCAAATTCACGGACGAACAATGAGATAGTGAGTTTGATATAGTGACGGATGGATTTAGGAAAGGAACAGTTCTACCCCGCAGATTACCCCGACTGGCAACCCCTTGAACCCATTTGAGCTGTATCCCATAGCCAGGGCACTCGAGACTCCGTTTGCTACATTTACGGCAGCCAGGAAGGCCCCGATCGCACTTGATACGTCGCCTTTGGCAGGTTGGACAATCTGACGATATTAGAACACCGTTCTGATATCACCCGAGATGTGGACTAACCTTTGATAGGCAACCGTTCCGTAGAACCCGTGGACATTTGTCTATCCCATTCGACCTCTTAAGGAAGACCTCATATCACCATAGAATAGAGCTAAGGCGTCCAGGTGGCATCAGGAGGTTTTCTGGAAGGTCACGTGATCCAGATGATCAAGCCTGGAAGAAACGCGCTAATCCCGTTCAGGCTGTTTGATTGAGATTTTGATAAAGGCGTCACGGAGTGTAAGCGGATTGGGCTGCCTGGGTCGTCTTGATCCGACCCCTGGCAAGTGGGCCGGATTCGAGGTTAGTTTCAAGTTTCAAGTGACTGGATAGCATATGAGAAAAATATTGGTCTAGGCTTTACCCGCACCTCTGTATCCCAAAATCAGTGCCATTGTTGGCGCATCAATGTCGACGACGTTTGACTGGACGGATATGATTATCTAAATGAGAGAGTAAACAATACATGAGTGTCAAAAAGGTACATATATCTGTGTGTCACATGCATCATATCCAGTGAGACGTTGTAGTCAGATCGTCTACAGTGTCGAACTGACTCCTTTTGACCGAACCAGGGTGCCTCACTCATCATACTAGGCCAGGGACTACCAAATTCCGCTGTGAATAGCATAGGGGTTGGATGGGTTAGATTGCGACGAGGTGATGAAGACCCTCTAATCGTTCCAAAATCCTGTTCCACCCTCTGATTTTGGTGTACACAATGCTACAACCCGATACCTTTGCACCTAGTATCTATGTACAGCATAGGTACATATACCCGATGCAGGACTCAAGTGCTGGCCCCCAAAGAGGCTAGAGTACCCCATAGGAAACTCTATGCTTCCGCCTTGGCTGCCTCTTTGGGTAAGGATCACTGGTATCAATCGAAGCAGCATCTTGCGACTTGCGACTTGCGACTTCTTGCCATCAGCACCTTCAAATACCTGGCCACAATCAGCACTTCTGTGAATTGCCATAATATTTTTTCACAGTCATGTCGTTTCTCAATCTTGAGCTTATTGTTCCGACTACTCATTATACCGACAGCCAACGCCATGTACGACACGGTGGTTCTCCTTTGTCAGGACATGTCGCTCTCTCGGCGACTTCACTTCTACCGCTTGTCAGAGTGACACAAATAAGCGTTCGACTCATTCAAATCGTTACATCTACAGCTGACGGAGAAAAGACCCGGCGAATATCATTTCCTCTGTTCTGCAGTCCAAAGAACGAATCCCCCCGGCCAAATGTGACGAACGAACGCGCTATTTGCGAGGTTTATTTGCCAATCTCGACCGAGGAGGAGTTCGAGGTCTCCCCGAGGAAGATAATTTCGAAGTCATACTTTTCCTTGGACATCCCAACAAACTTACCCGCAACAACCGAAACTCTTCTGGGAACCGTCACCTACGCCGTGGAAGCCACAGCAACAACATTGCAAGATGGGACTATCACGCAGTGTCGATCGGTGAAGCTGAACCGCCAAATGATCCAAGATGATCTGAAGATGACTCGACATCGCCTTTATTTCCCCAAATCGAATGACATACATGGAATGAATCTGTCACAAAACCCAACACCAAGATCTGGTCCAAAGATCTCCTTCACCGCTGTACTCCGCACCCATTGGGAGACGAGTCCAGCCGAACGAACAACAGAGATATCTCACTTAGTGGTGCGAGAGCTCAGGTGGCAGGCCGAGGAAATAGTGAAGATCATGAGCAAATGTAACAGATCGGATGAGAAGTATTCTATTTGTGAACAACAGTCGGTCCGCAGGCTGTGCAACGGGGTTGTAAAAGGATACTGGGGATCCTCTCACAATCCATACGTCAAGCAATATCACGGACAGTGCTTCGAGGAAAAAGCTCGGGAAAAACCAGAGATTCGCATTCCATTTGATTTCACGATTCCAAAACGAGCGATGGTCACGGATGCCATTGACCTAGCCGCCTATGAGCTCGATGCTGATGAAGCTGGCCGATCTCCGAAGAATGATCTTATGAGAACTTTATCTTGCTCTACCTCGGGCACCCTTGCGGAAGCAATTACCGTTCGTCATCAATTGAGGGTTGAACTGATCACCGGGGAGGATGTCTTCCACAGGGAAACTGGCAAGTTGGTCCAGCGAAAAAGGGTTAGGACTGTTGTTTGTCCTGCAGTTCCGTTAATTGTTTGTGAGCTTTCGACATAATATATCCATATAATTTCGTTTAATGATGGAGATAACTTGGGATGAGACCTCGAATGTTGGTATAATATAAAGCCCTAGAGCGCAACGCAAGATGCGTAAACCCCAACTCACTCTGTAGGTGATGTATAAGCATCGTAATTCATCCAAACTTTCAGTATTGTTTCACTACTTAGTCAAACTCAGGTATCAAGTTAGAATATTCTGGCATTTACCATTTGACTCGACGAGTTCGTTCGCCCGGGGTATACATTCGGATACGATACAATCGTCGCCATTTGATTGATTAATGTTAGTGTAGTCATCAAAAATTACGCACAAACAGGCATCCTCTGCCTTCCAATAAAATCAAAGGCCTAAGGTGACAGGATGACGGTGGCGGCTATGCTCTCCTAAGACTCCAGAGTCTCCACAAAATCTACGGCAAAGCGCTCTGCCGCGCAACCAAAATGCGGAGGAAACGACACCAAACGAGAACAGTAGGTATCTAAAGAGTATAGCCGATGCTCAAGCCTACTAAACTACCAATAGCCCACTTTGTACCTAAATCCAATTACTTCTCATCTGGCCTCAATCTTGCGTTAGGTATCTTTTCAACTAAATTTTGCCCAACACCTACAAATACCTTGCGAAATGGGTAAATCCATCCTCCTAATCAACGGCCCAAATCTAAACCTCCTGGGCACCCGAGAGCCACATATCTACGGACATACGACACTAGCAGACGTTGAATCAAACAGCCGCGATGTTGCCGCCAGCCACGGTGCCGTATTGGAATCTTTCCAGTCAAACCACGAAGGCGCAATTGTGGACCGCATTCAGGCTGCACGCGGAAAGGTCGACGGTATCATCATCAACCCAGGCGCATACACACATACCTCCGTGGCGATCCGAGATGCTCTCCTCGGTGTCGGGATTCCTTTTATCGAGCTCCATGTTAGCAATGTCCATGCGCGCGAGCCGTGGAGACACCACTCGTACTTCAGTGATAAAGCCGCCGGTATTATTGTTGGGCTAGGGGTCTACGGGTATAAGGTTGCTGTTGAGCATGTTTGTGTGGATTTTGAGGAGAAGAGCACGAAGGCTGTTTTGTGATCGGATCGATGATTTTGTACAAGAATACCTACAGGGCCCGTGTTTTTATCTCGGTTGATATGTTATATTACCGGCACGCTCAGGAATTTCCATGTAAATTTGCGGATGGTTGTCATATATGATGTAGCGGTGTACGGAGTACCTTTCATGATCATGAAGAACGTCCTAGATTTTTCTTTCTCGCGAAGGCAACTGCAGATGAAGGCCAGGCAGATGCACAGCTTGCCATAGGCCTGCAGGGTTCAGATTAATACTGGATGAGCAGTGAGACAGCACAACAATGGGCCATTTTCACAACATCAAGACCAGCAGGATGAATGATTCATACATTGTTATCGCTTTGGGATTCCTGACATGGTCAAAGATTGCGTTCTCGACCCAGGCCAGAGGAAGTACTATTATTCGGTATCTGCTGGGTTTGTGCTGGCAAGAAAGGCTCGATCTGATCGGAAAAAGAGTAGAGCTCAGGAATGCCAGCATGAGAAACGAAACCCAGGTTCTGCATAAACTCCGGTTGATTATCTGGTCTAAATAAAATAAAAGTCAGTCATTTTCCCAAGGCCATAAAGAGCTGGAGCTTACTTCTCGGCACCATCTAATGATGCTAGCTCATCAAATAATGCATCAAGGTCGGGGGCGATCCGCTGCCTCCGTAGAGGCTCATAGCCACCTATATTCACAAAGGAGCCAATACCAAGCGATGGATCCGAATATACTGCTGGGTGATATTGTGCAGTGTGATGGTATGATGGAGAAACCTCGGCGAGTATCCCGGCACCATTGTGGGATTCTCTTGGCGTAGATGTGTGATGACGAATTCCGCTTAGAATAGAAGCATCTGGATGGCCCCGCTGTGTGGAAGCTCCGGATGCACCCCTGGTGGAGGGTAGAGATGACAGTGTGGGGAGAAGAGATACATCTTCGACGTGTTGTGTGGTTCTGACCCAAGGCGCCGTGATATATTGCTCTGCAAGGGGAGTCATAGCACGATTGCTGCGTTGGGGTGCATTGGTTGAGGGAATATGATGTGAATCCGTTGCAATTGGGAGACGTGACAATACTCTAATATCTTCACTGGTGGAGGAATCGGCGTGCTGTGAGATTACAGGTGAATCAATTGGGATATGAGTCCCTTGGGAAATATTCTGGCCAGCAGCTTGACTGTCTGACATGTTCCACAAAACAGAAAGCTGGGAAGAAATAGTTTGGATCTTGTTTCGTAACCCTGTGTCAAGGTCCGACGGAGGATCCCGATCGAAGGACGGCGGAAGGCTGAATTGGAGCATCATGCCAAAGGTTGGCGCGGTGGCTGAGAAGCTGAATGTCTCCATGTAAACTTGAAGGAGTTGCAGAAGCCTCTGTGAGCTTTCCAAGGCTCGGATCTTGTGAGGAAGCCCCGGCAGATTCTGGGTATATTCGTGAATAGCAATTTGAGAACTGAGAGCAATGACAATACTCTCATATGTTATTTCTAACCCGAAGATGTGTGGGGAAGAAAGTCTCAAAGGATGACTTTGCAGGTCAACGCGGTAGCCTTTGGGTATTGCTGAGGCCCAGCGCTGTAGTTGCAACTCCAATTCCTCCAGTTGGGACCGAGATATTGTTGGGTCGTACTTGCAACAGCAAAACTCATTCAAAATGGAAACGAGCCTGACAAGACGGTTGAAAGTGCTTAACGCGTGGAGAGGGCCGCGCTGCATAGATGCACGTGAAGACCGAGCGGGACGTAGTCCAGTCTGATCTTCCCAAGGATGCCATTCCTCGAGGCCATCCTCATCAATATTTCCTATCCTCGCCAAGTCTGCCTTTCGCAGTGATGGACATCGTGAAGTTAAGCCTGCAATCAGGGTCTCAAGAATAAAGCAACCCAGAAAGACATGCTTTGCTCTCCCGGGCTGTTTTGCTTGGTCAAGTGTGTTCGGTGCTGATAAAGGTGAAGACCGGCCGAGGTTCAATATATGCGCAACCCGCACAGCCTGACCAATGAGCATCCAGGAACCAGTCCATTCTTGCTGTCCAAGTTTAACGAGACCCAGAATTAGCAGTGCTTGCACGTGTCCAAATTCGTAAGGGCCACTATCTGGTGGAATCAACCGCCTGGCCGTGGTATATAATTTTGAGGGCTCCATCTGACTTTCGACTGGCTCACTTATCTGTCTAGTAGCCAAGATCGAAGCATCTTGGAGCGAGGCGAGAGCGAGGACAGCCCACAAAGCTGCGTGCTCCCCAGACCCCGGCGCTATGCTTGATACATGCACATCGCCTTCGGTGTACTGGAAAGCAGTGCGGAGTATGTCATGTTTTTCGAGTATGGGGAACCAGCATTGGGTGTAGGAAAAATAAATATCAAAAAGCGGCCATGCGTTAGAGGGGAGTTGGAGAAGAGTCCTCATTGATTGTGATCGAGAGTCATCGGAGCTTGGTTGGAACGTAGAAGATGACGAGGATAGGTCATCCGATTTACTTGCTTGGACGCCACAGTCTCTAGTCGGGTGTGGCCTAGGAATTAGCATAGGAGATATGCCCATTGCTATCCGACTAGGCGACAAGCCTGGCAATGGTGCTTCGCGGGCTTCTATACATTCTGGTAGGTGCCACTCTTGTGCTTCTGTGGAAGAGAGAGTCCCGCTGGTTTCCAGAGGTGCCCCACCCTCGCCATATACCTGGAGGCTTTGCTCTCTTTCCTCTTCCGGCTGTTCCAGTATTACCAGAACGCGTTCAATGTCTCGAAGCATGGCACTGCTTTTGAAGGAAGCCATCAAGGTATCCGATCCCTCTGCTTCCTTGCCTATCATGGCTAAGTGACTCGGAAGATTGATTGACCGCATCAAAGCTCGGATGACATCTTCACTGCCTCGAATCTTTTGAAATACCAGGCCCCAAAGCAACTCCAGTGATCGAATATAACCTGTGGGTAGACCTCGCTTCTTCGGGTTGGTCTTATAGGTGCAGGGGCGACAGAGCGATACACAGGTCGAGCATACCGGTTGTATTCCGTCACATTTGTCCTTCTTCGACCGGCAACTATCGCAAGCACGTGAAACCCGCTGACGTTTCGGTTCCCCCGTCCCCTTACCATCCTCTTCTATATCCGTCAATCGCCGTTTAGATTTGCTGCTGGTTCCAGTGGTTTGGGGCTGTTCAGCACTCATGATGATGAATTTTGCGATGCGTTTACAGAATGAGGGTTCATGTTCCTGCGAGGGGACACAAGGATGAACCTCCTGCAGAATTTCGGTCGCACGACCACGCCGGTGACTCTGCCAGAAAGGCGAATCACACTGGTACAATTTTCAGCCGTCAGGGGACTGAAACGGATTCGAGCGTGATGTTGATGGTAGGTACTTGCTGGCGGATATGTGCCCGGTCAGTGCTGAGCTAGTCAAATACCGTATAGACTGCGTTCCAGCCTCGGATTCAAAGCTGGCGTTTGAATAATTGCGTATCGCGACCTTGAGTTCAGGCGAGCCAATTGGTAGCGATCCTTAGTGCCATTCTTCATGCGAGCCCTTTCTCATGTTTGTCGCATCTAAGGGCAACATCCGACCCCGCGGGGAAGAAGAATCCGACCTCGGGAGAGCCTCCGGCTGAGTACTCCTCCGCCTTATGTAATGGCAACGTTATCCGCGTCGCCTTTCGAGTCGGGAATATTCCATTTCTCCCCGCAAAACCTAGGAAGACGGGCTTGCCATATTGGTTCGATTGCTCTACACTTCCAGCTTCTGAATAGAGCCGTCTTTTTGGGCTGTGGTAATGAGTCCTCGACTATTCTATTGTTGAGTCCATTCCCACGCACGGGGACCCTCGATGCGCCATGTCCATGCTAGTACGTCCGCCGAAACGAAAGCTCCACGAGGTTGAGATACTGGGTGATAGACCTCGAAAGTACAGCTCAAGTGCTGTGACCTCTTCCACTGTTCCCCTATCATCCCAGCCTCACTATCGCCAATCAGGTGAACACAGAGAGGGACCAGATGATTCGCACTCGCTGCAATCGTCGCTGCGGGAACCACATTCAAATCGCGGATCACCAGTCTTTTTTGAGCATGGCCATCTTGACACTCCACGTACTTTCAGCCCAAACTCATCTATTGCCTTGATTGGGATCCGCGGCACAGGAAAGTCAAGCCTAGCGGTCATCCTCGCCGCAACATCTGGACGGCGTTTGATAGATGCAGATCGCTACTTCCACCAGCGTGTGGGATGTTCCCGTGCTGTTTTCAAGAAAGAGAATGAAGATTTTGTATATCGGCAACAGGAGACTCGAGTTTTTGAATCAATGCTGGCAGACAACCAGGAGGGATGTGTGATTGCCTGTGGAGCCGGATCGATGGAACGTGACGGTCAAAGGCTTCTTATAGAATTTGCCCAGACCCATCCTGTTATTCACGTCATTCGAGATCCAGAGAGCATCCAGTCGTATCTCAAAGCGTGGGATACACAAAAGGTGCGGCGCTTCTTAGAAATTTCGGGTCCGATATACCGAGGGTGTTCGAACCTCGAATTCTTCAATCTTTCAGAGGCTAGAAGCGATGATGGGACCCAAGAAACCCCTGATCTATCCTCCGCACATAGAGTGGAACCCAGACTACATACTCCAATCCCGTTTCTAACATTGAAACGAGTCCAGCGGGACTTTCTCCGCTTCATTGCCTTTATAACCGGCGACATCGCAGAACTCAACAGTCAGCATGCGTCCTTTCCTCTCTCACTGCTGCCTGTAGAATCTCGAACGTACACATCCGCAGTGTCAGTACCATTCTCTAGGGTCTGTGAGAGAGGCATAGATATTGAGCAGCTGGAATTCACCGCCGATGCCTTTGAACTCGCAATTGATATAACAGATTCTTCTGATCAGTCGGGTCTCGGGTCAAGTCTTGCAGACAGTATAAGTCAAGCGGTGGCAATGATTCGGCGCAATATTATTGTCCCATTGATCTACCATGTGGAAAGCTATACCACCCCTGCAGAATCTCTTTCTTCTGGTCAAACCCCCGTGCGATGTACGGATGAAATGTATCTCAGCCTGGTCCGGCACGGCTTGCGGCTTTCCACTGGGTTTCTCACAGTAGACCTCACCCGCGATGATAATATGATCTCCAAGATCATCTCCGCAAGTGGGAGAATCAGAATCATCGGCCACTTTGAAGCATTCCATGCGTTGTCTGGAGGCTGGGATGGTGATGAGTATATGAAAATTTATGAGCGCGCAAAAAGACTAGGGTGTGATCTAGTCCGGCTGTGTCAACCCGCGGAAACTCCAGAAGACAACCTGGCGGTCCAGCGGTTTCGTCATCGCATTCAAAGCATGCCTACCGCTAGCCTTTCTCTGATCGCCTACAACACCGGACCTCTTGGACGCATGTCTCGCTGCTTCAACCCCATTCTCTCTCCGGTTACACATCCATCCTTAACAGTAGAACTTCCAACTCATCTACGATCATGTATCACCGCCCGCGAGGCACAGCAAGCACTTTATAGCTCATTTGCTTTGGATCCGATGCAGTTCTTTGTTTTCGGTGCCAACACGACGTACAGTATGTCACCTGCTATGCATAACACGGCCTTCAGTATATGTGGGTTGCCGCACAAATACTTCATTCATCAATCTCCTACATTGCGAGGGTTGAACGACCTTGTCGAAAATCAATACTTCGGTGGTTCAAGTGTCAGTCTCCCGTACAAAACCGAGTGTATTCCTCTGCTCCACTCAATGTCTACACACGCGAGAGCCATCGGCGCCGTTAATACCCTCATTCCGATCCGAAACCTTGACGACTTGGATGACACCCGTCTGCAGGAATCATCTATTTTTCTCCAAAAGAGCCGTGCCGGTCCTATCAAGGGTCTTCATGGTGACAACACCGATTGGATTGGAATATGTAATTGCATCCGTCGCGGTCTCTCGCCAGCAAATGCGGTACGCCCGTCATCGACTGGTCTTGTCATCGGATCCGGTGGAATGGCTCGCGCTGCAATCTATTCGATGATCCACCTTGGCGTACAAAACATATTTGTATACAACCGCACCCTTGCCAATGCGGAAAAACTGGCTCACCACTATAACCGCCAAGATCTTCACCCTGAAGAAGCCAGCGGGCCTGGCCGTCCCACAATTCGCATCCTCGTATCATTATCCAACCCCTGGCCTACAGAGTTCAAACAGCCGACGATCGTAGTCTCGGGTATCCCAGCTCACAGCATTGATGGCGAGCCCGCGCCCAATTTCCACGTCCCCACCCAATGGTTGGAGAGCCCGACGGGTGGTGTTGTGGTCGATGTGAGTCTTTAATTCTGCTCGGTTCTTCCTCTAGAAAATGATCTTGTGTTCCTGACCAATCTCTTTAGCTGGCTTACAAACCTCTCAACACCCCTCTCATGAAACAAATACGAGCCTTATCCCATCGTGGCTGGGTAGCACTAGACGGGCTCGATGTTTTGCCAGAGCAAGGTTTCGCTCAATTCGAATTATTTACTGGTCGACGCGCTCCTCGACGTGTCATGCGGAGGATCGTCCTTCAAGAGTACAAAGATGAGGAGGGAATTGATGACCATGAGTCGATACAAGAGCGGTTGCAGCAAATGGATGGAGAGCCGTCATGAATTCTCATCGACTGTTCATAAGCATGACAATAAATCATGCTAGGCTTAATTGATCCACTCAGCGCCACTACTCAAGCTATACAGTGCCATGAGGACTTCATGTTACAGTGAATCCGTCACCGCTTCCCTGCCGTGTTGATACATCTCCCGAGGAAAGGAGGGCAGACGTGTGTAATAAGACCCGCATTTCTCTGGTATGGTCTTAGTCCACACATGTCAACGAATACAAAATGATATTCTACCCCCGATGATCCAGGCTTATTCAATACCAAGACCGAGGTGAGTGGTCGGTGACAGCCCGAAACACGGGCTTGAGATTTACCTACGTAAACATCTCACAGCCTCTTCATGTAAATAGCACGAGAATTCTGCACTTTTATATCATGCCCCGGTACTTTCAAGGTATTATAGGTAACGAATTCTATGGTCTCCATTACTATAGCTGGTAGGATCCTTCATAGTCAACGTGTGGTCTGGAATGAGCCAACGCTGCCATAGATATCAGGATGAAATACCAGATTTATCCATTATGGTGATATGTATACATAAATTTGAAGGGCGGCAAAGAGATTACCCCATTGAGTTGCTCCCGTGGAAGCTCATCGCCCGGTGTGGGGAAGGAACACGGTTACCGGCGGTTATTTGGGCCTCCAACCCCTTCTCACCGAATGACTCAATGAGCTCATACTTCTTTCGTGGACTTTGAGCTCTCTTGACGCATACCTCATCAACTCCCATTAATCCGATTCTCTATCATTCCTACCATGGCCATCGGATCCTTCTCCCAAGATGAGCTGGATGAGATATACGCCTTTGCCATAGACTTGGGCCGCAAAGCAGGCAAACTACTTATGGACCGTGTTGAACAACGTATTTCAGACTCGAAAGGTTGCTCTAATACCTTTGAGGAAAAGGAAAATGCCGTAGATATCGTCACGCAAACTGACGAAGGTAACCTGACCATCACTGCACCCGATGAGGCATATCCTAGCACATTGTCGCTAATGTCACCTGCTAGATGTTGAATTATTCATTCGAAATGCTCTCGAGTCTAAATACCCTTCTCACAAGTAAATTTCCATGCTGTGGCATTGGGTAACAACACTAACAGATCCCGGCCCAGATTCCTCGGCGAAGAAGCATACGCCAAAGGCCAGTCGCGCGACTATCTCATTGAGGAGCAACCAACATGGTGCATCGATCCATTAGACGGTAAATTAGCACTTCTGACACCAAAAATTCTATCTATGCACCAAGCCAATACGGCCTCGCCAATACTCCACTAACAAACCATAATCACTCCCAGGAACGGTTAACTATACACACATATTCCCCATGTTCTGCGTCTCAATCGGTTTCATCGTACAACACAAACCAATAATCGGCGTGATATACGCCCCTTTTACAGACCAGCTCTGGTCCGCCTGCAGCGGCCGTGGCGCTTGGCTAAACGAGACTCGCCGTCTCCCACTCATTCACAACCCGATCCCGCCCATGCCCGCCAATGCACCATCCCAATGTATCTTCGCCTGCGAGTGGGGTAAAGACCGTCGCGATATCTCCGATGGTAATATGCATCGCAAGGTTGAGAGCTTTGTTAACATGGCCGCGGAGGTGGGTAGTCGGAATGGGAGAGGTGCTATGGTGCATGGTATACGCAGTTTGGGCAGTGCGACACTCGATCTCGCGTATGTTGCGATGGGGTCATTTGATATTTGGTGGGAGGGAGGTTGTTGGGAATGGTGAGATTTAATTTTTTTTACTTTTGGCTTATTGCATCCATTCGCCGGGCTTTGGAGTGGCGCTGATGTTAACTTTTCGTAGGGATATCGCCGCTGGCGCCGCTATTCTTTTGGAAGCAGGTGGGCTCATGACTGCTGCTAATCCTCCACAAGATGTGGATACGGCACCAATCGAGGATGTCAGACTCGGCAGCCGGTTGTATCTGGCTATCAGGTGGGTTGATGATCTTTCCGATGTTGGACCTTGCTAACCAAGTCACCTTCTAGACCCGCTGGCCCCTCCGCCACCGAGACAGGCCGTGAAACGCAGGAGCGGACAGTGCGCGAAGTCTGGCGCCGAGTTCGTAATCTGGAATATTCACGGCCCGGAGCTTGAATGTATGCACAGCCTTTCCATACATACTCATCTTATCAAGATGCCATCATCTACACAGTGTCAAATTCTGGACGGTCCAGCTTTGAGGTGTGATATATTTGGAAAGTAACAACGCCATCCATCTATATATAGACAATGCAGCTAGTAGATATTATGCGTTCCATACAATTAAAAAAGAAAGTCAAGACATGATCGTAACAAAACAAGAGAAAAAGTCACAGGCTGGACTTTGTAGACGCTCGATCCGCAATGGTCTTGGCAACGAGATCCTTAACCTGCTGCACGAGCCCAGGAGTACCAATTACATCCTTGCCAGTCCAGAGACGAGCCTGTTCCAGACCCTGCCAAATCAAAGCCTCGGAGCCAAGAATGACCTTCCACCCAGCAGCGGAAGCCAGGTGAGCGATCTCAGTCCATGGTGTAGGGTGGTAGCACATCTCCAGAATAACACCCTGCTGTTCTTCTGCATCCATAGCATTACCCAGGAAAGCCTGGATGATGGCACGTGAGCGCAGTTCCTCTGGGGTCTTTGGTGGATAATTGGGAATACCCGAGACGATGGCAGCAGGTGACTCGAGCTGGGAAGCCTCCGCCGGGTCGGTGATGGGGATGAGAGGGGCTTGAGCATTTGAATCAGGATTGCGAAGGTGATCTTCCTCCAGGATTGCCGCGATCTCGGCAGCATCACGGTTTACGATGTAGATGCGGCTTGAGCCGAGCCAGCGGCGCATGACATAGATCGCAGTGCGGGCAGTGCCACCACCGCCGATGATAAGCGCGGGCCGGCCGCGGAAGCGCGATGGATCCGGTGCGTTCTGCGTGAGTGCTTCTCGGATGCCATCGCAGTCTGTGTTGGTACCGACATACTGGCGCTCGCCGGTCGTTGGGTCGTTGCGTAAGAAGATGGTATTGCAAGCGCCGGCTTGGCGGGCATGCTCGGTGAGATCATCCAAGTACGGCATGATTGCGACCTTGTGAGGCATTGTCACGGATGAACCGACGAATTTGGGGTTGGACTTGATCGATGCCATATATCTCTCGATTGGTGGTGACCGTGTGTAGGGCGGAGGGTAGGTGTCTGATACGCCTGTCACGCTAGATAGGGGTATTTGCGTCCAATTGAGACCGAGCGCATTGTAGACAGTCTGGTGCAATGGTGGGGAGAGTGAGTTTAGAAGAGGGTGGCCATATAGGTAGGCGACGCCATCGCGATTGGATGGGATGGCCATGGGCTCCTCTGGCGGTGTTTGGATGATTTCTGTGACTGACATGATGGGTTGCGTATAACTTTTGTTTGGAAATACAGATCTCAAAGAAGAGAGCTTACAATGTTATAAGATTAAAGCCGGAACCTCGGACGCAAAATACATCGGCGCGTGGAGTCTACGAAAAAGCGATGAGCCGCAGGAGCGGAGAAACATTTTACTCCTGCACCCCCCATCCCAATGCCAATGTGTACGCTGTTCATATGAGTTTCTTGTGTTCAACGTAACGTAATTGTCAATTCCTTATTATTTCTCGGGTTTTTATCTTCAACTGATCATAGACTTGACTACACATCCAAGACTCCTTGTTCTACACCTAAGGCCACCTAAAATATCTGCCGGGCTGAACGCTTTCCCATTACAACCACCGCCCACGGGGAACACTGCTATGGCGTGCATCGAAGTCTAAAAAACACCGAATGAGAGGAAACCCAATGAGATGACGCTGATCACGGCAATGGATGAACAACAAACAATTCCCAATCCTGTTGGGCAAGTTCTCAGCCGATTCTCTTTTTGCATCGACTTGCGAGCTGCCGGGGAAGTGCTTTTCCCCGCCACCCATGCCGTTAAATCAATCATTGGCTGCTCTCTCAATCGCTTGTTCATGGATGCATTCCGTTTCGTCCAATCATATTCAAAGCATCCCGATGTTTAATCCTCTGCACGGGACCTACTGTAGCGCCTAGGGTATCCCCAGAAAAATCGAGTTCATACGCACGCTGTCGCGGGTGACTGAAACCCCGGGGAAGTCTCCACTGCAGATTCATGACTGCTCCACAGCCCAACTAAGCGAGTGAATTTACTTCGCATACGAGGTCTACTAGCAGAGTTTGCGTACTCCTCTGAGTCAGTTTCTTCTTCTCCTGGGGACAAGCCACTTTGGAAGGCCAAGAGACGCTGAAGACAAAGTATCGTGCACATTCCTCGCCCAGAATATCCAGAAAACCTTGGAATATTCGTTCTGCCGCGCCTTGACCTTTCTGCTCTTCTTCATGAAGTTTGGACAGCAGATGGCGCTATACCCTTCTCTGCCTCCACGTCTCCACGATTTGTTCCCCTTTTCTTGACCCCAGCTTCTCTCCTCTTTTTCTCCGGAGAAGTTCGACAGTCCGGGGCCCAAGCCTATTTAGTTCCCGTCTCTCCTCGCTAGTCTGCTCCTAAGAAACGTGGCGTGGGCTTTCCTTTTTATCACTACTTCTTCTCTTTTCTTCCTTGCACTTACATCTATACCTATATTCACACGTGGTGATCGTCCTTCCTCGGACGTATACCTACACCTTACTGCCTCAGCGTCGATCATTGAAGCTCAAGATCATTCAGTAACACGGGGTCCGTCAAGTCTTGTTCATTTGTTATTATATTGAACCGCCACCATGTCTATCCTGAAGGTGGTCGAGGATCGACCAACACCTAGTGTGGTGTACAATTGGAGAATCTATCTTTTGGCAGCGGTAGCATCATGCACATCCTGCATGATTGGCTATGATAGTGCTTTCATCGGCACCACACTCTCGCTGGACTCCTTCAAGAGCGAGTTTCACTTTGGTGACATGTCCGATTCCACCAAGAACCTTATCAGTGCCAACATCGTCTCTTGCTACCAGGCCGGTGCCTTCTTCGGTGCATTCTTCGCGTATCCCATAGGTCACTTTTGGGGTCGAAGAATCGGCTTGTTGGCCGCCGGCTTGATTTTCACACTCGGTGCTGGCATCATGCTCGGAGCCAATGGCGACCGAGGACTTGGTCTTCTTTACGGCGGACGAGTTCTCGCTGGTCTTGGTGTCGGAGCGGGATCTAACATTACCCCAATTTACATTTCCGAATTGGCGCCGCCAGCTATCCGTGGTAGACTGGTGGGTGTATATGAACTGGGTTGGCAAGTTGGCGGTCTTGTGGGATTCTGGATCAATGTGAGTTCTCTGTCTGTATTTCTAATCGTTCTACGGATTCTAATACAATGTCAATAGTTTGGTGTGGACGAAACACTAGCACCTAGCCACAAGCAGTGGCTCATCCCCTTTGCTGTTCAGCTAATTCCGGCTGGTCTGTTGCTCATTGGTGGCTGCTTTCTCCGGGAATCACCTCGTTGGCTCTTTGGATGTGGCCGCCGCGAAGACGCTATCAAGAATCTTTGTTGGATCCGCCAGCTTCCCGAAGATGACATCTACATGATCGAGGAGATCGGTGCCATTGACCAGGCTTTGGATGAGCAGCGCCGTAGCATTGGCATTGGCTTCTGGAAGCCTTTCAAGGCTGCCGGTACTAACAAGAAGGTCATGTGGCGGTTGTTCCTCGGAAGCGCGCTGTTCTTCTGGCAGAATGGATCCGGCATCAATGCCATCAACTACTACAGCCCAACTATTTTCAAATCAGTAGGTCATATCTTATTGCACTGGGTGTGGTGATAGCCTGATGCTAACGATATTTTCAGATTGGCATCAAGGGTAACAACACCAGTCTGTTCACCACTGGAATCTTTGGCGTTGTGAAGACTGTGGTGACCTTTATCTGGCTGCTTTGGTTGATTGACCACGTCGGTCGTCGTAACTTGTTGCTAGTTGGTGCCGCGGGCGGTTCCGTCTGTCTGTGGATTGTCGGTGCGTATATCAAGATTGCTAAGCCAGAAGAGAACAAAAGCGATTCTCTGGGCGGCGGTGGTATCGCAGCCATGTTTTTCTTCTACCTGTGGACCGTCTTCTATACCCCAACCTGGAACGGTACTCCCTGGGTCCTCAATTCGGTACGCATCCTGAAATATTGGAAGATCATCCCAGTCTCCAATTCGTCCAAGGTTGAAAAAAAATACTAACTGTTGCTGCAGGAAATGTTCGATCCCAACATGCGTTCTCTCGCACAAGCATGTGCGGCCGCCTCGAACTGGCTCTGGAACTTTCTCATCTCGCGCTTCACTCCGCAGATGTTCACAGCCATGGGATATGGGGTATACTTCTTCTTCGCGTCGCTAATGATACTCTCCATCATCTTCGTGTACTTCCTCATCCCCGAGACCAAGGGTGTTCCGCTCGAGAGCATGGACCAGTTATTCGACATCAAGCCTGTGTGGCGTGCCCATGAGCAGATGGTTGCCAAACTGCGCTCCGAGGATGAGCGATTCCGACACGATGTCGAGGCCTCGGGTCTTGGCGCTAAGATGGACGTCCAACAGTTTGAAGGTTCGGCGGCTTTGCCAAAATATTCTTGAACCCTGCGGTATTGTTGTATAATATGGTATGATTGCATGGATAGGACGAAATATAGCCTTGTTCTTGGAATGGCTTGGAACTGCGTATGATCCTTGTGTACCAGTGCTGCCTAGTTTATATAAGCCGCGCTGAATGAGTGCAGGCAAGCAATATAAACTAATCAATATACCCCTTTGTATGTCTTTTGATCAGTATCTTGATGCCCCTTTTGGAATATTGTAAAGAGATCAAATAGTATACTCTCTCACACCTCACCGTGTTCAATGAGACCAAATTATTATGTAGCTAGTTATCCGACCTTGGGCAACAAGTCAACCTCAATATCCACAGGCTGGCCGGATCGCATAGCCTTCTGAACAGCCTCACAAACAATCAACGCACGTAAACCTTCCTCACCAGTACAGCTAGGAGCGGCATCGCCGTTGATAACATCAACAAAGTTCGCAAGCTGCAAATCGAACGGCGCCTTGTTATCAGGAAGCGGGATGCGATCAACAGTCAAAGGATGATTCCAACTCTTCTCGAGGCTGGCATCATAGCTCCAACGCATCATATCCGGCACACTCAGCGAGGCATCTGATCCAAATATACGATAAAAGTCCGAGTCACCTCCAGTCACCGACCGAGGGATGAGTGGGTTCTCCCCCGTACCAGTCTCAAAGTTATGCGGAGATGGCGTCGCATCACAGATCAAGAATGTTCCCACTACACCTGAAGCAAAACGCAGTGTCAGAGCGGCACCTTCATCGGCATCGTGAGGTGGACTTGGGCGCTGCGGAAGCGTGTGCTCTGCGGTTACGCGTACAATCGGTCCGAAAAAGTGGTGCATGAGGTCGATGTCGTGGACGAGGTTGATGGGGATGACACCGCCACCGCGCTCATTCGACGCACGCCAGTCTGTTGGTGGGGCGAAGTATGCCTCCGGCTTGTACAAGGTCCATAAGCCATTGACGGCGATGGGCCGACCGAGAGATCCAGCCTCCAGGACGGATTTGGTGGCTCGCACATAGGGATTGAAGCGACGATGGTGGCCGACTAGGAGTTTAAGGTGGGCTCGCTCTGGACCTTGAGCAAATTCTAGTAGGGAGCGACCACTCTCTAGGGTGTCACTCACGGGCTTTTCCAGGAGGACATGGACTCCTCCTGCGAGAAGCTCCTTTGCGACTAGGACGTGCGTGTGATTTGGTGTGCAGACGATTGCTGCATCTGGGCGGCGGGGAGATACAAGTAGCGAAGCCACTGAAGGGTAGTAGTTGGTTTTGAGGCTGGATGCAATTGCTTCTCCGGCTGGCATTGGGTCAACGAGAGCAACTAGCTCTGTTGATGTGTTTGAGATCACGGATTGTGCATGACGAGGGCCAATAAGGCCTGCTCCGACTATAGCAACTTTAACAGACATAATGAGGGTTGGGGATAGGATATGAAGTCTATTCCCTCGTAATCAAGTTAGGTAGCTCAATATCTGGAGGCTTCAGTATAACTTTTAGTCGATATCGCTTCGGTGTCTGGCCTCGATAGCTCGGCGCCGGTATTCCAACCATGCTGCGAGCGGACCCGTACGGAGAATACCATTGCCGGATATTTGCGGTTATTCTCTTCTTCCAGGAAGTCTTGAACGAGGAAGGCATACTCTGCGATGTGGGTACATTAAACTGGAATGGAGATTGATTGAGAGAAAGTGGAACTGGCGGGAAAACGAAAGGGGGAAAGTGCTTACCCGCCCATGTGACCTGGCTCAAGTATGTACTTGCCTTGACACCAAGTCACGAATCAAAGCAGGCCAGGCAGAATGTTCACTCATAGACAAGATATTATGTGTAGGGGATAATGTTTTGTCGCAGCCATTGAGTTAGCTTACTGGGGTTTTGGAAAAAAATTTCGATAAATATGATTGCCCCCATGCAGCATATATGTATCCCCTAAATATATTTCCTCCAAACAACCTTCTTTTTGAGGAAAAGAAAGCCTCGAACATTACCAACCTAACTTTTCTAAAACATCGACATAGAGCAGAAGCTTGTTCAAAACAATCCAAAATGGCCTTCAATCGCCCTGGCATCGCCTCCATGTCCCTAGGCCAGCCCTGGGTGCACGATTTACCCGGCAAGCTGATGCAAGCCGCAGCCCACGGCTTCGAAGGCATCGAACTCTTCTTCGACGATCTAGACTGTTACGCTCAGCGGGTATTTGGTGGAAACCACTATGAAGCCGCACGATCAACACGACAAATGTGCAAACGCTTGGGCATGACCATTATCTGCCTTCAGCCATTCTCATTCTACGAGGGCCTCATCGACCGCACAGAGTCTGACCGGCTCATCAACGAAAAACTTCCCAAATGGTTCACCCTAGCGCGGGCGCTGGGAACAGACATGATCCAAGTTCCATCGAACTTCCTGGGTCCGGATCCTAAGACTGGTGCTGCACGCACCACTGGCGACCGTGCTGTCATCGTTCGTGATCTCCAGCGCCTAGCAGATCTGGGCGCCGGCGCTGGATTTCGTTTTGTCTACGAGGCTCTCTGCTGGGGTGATCATATTAATACCTGGGAAGCCTCGTGGGATGTAGTTCGCGAGGTGAATCGTCCCAACTTCGGTCTCTGTCTTGACTCCTTCAACATTGCTGGTCGTGTATATGCCGATCCCGCTGCCCCTTCAGGTCGTACACCCAACGCCGCAGCAGATCTGACTGCTTCATTACAGCGCTTACGCACTGCAAACATCGACCCAGCTAAGATATTTTATGTTCAACTCGTGGACGGCGAGCGGCTTGCCGCCCCGTTGGACGAGAAACATCCGTTCCACGTTGCTGGACAACCTGCTCGGATGAATTGGTCCCGAAACTCGCGTCTATTCCCCTTCGAAGAGTCCCGTGGGGGCTATCTACCCATTGTCGATATCGCTCGCGTATTCTTCGAAGATATCGGGTTCCGCGGCTGGGTTTCTCTCGAACTGTTCAGCCGAACACTTGGCGACACTGATCCATTTGTTCCTGCCGACCACGCTCGCCGCGGCATGGACTCATATAACAAGATGGCACGTGTTTTACACTGGGATGTTCCTATTGAAAGCACCTCGATACCAATCTTAGCGCCTGAGTCGCCTGTTCAACATCGGTTGTAGGCGGGACCAGCCTTAATATGCTTTTTCTTTGCTCTTTCCCATCTGTAGCATATGTTCCGCCTTGATTGTCATAATTGGCCCGAGTGGTCGAGCAGTTTCCTGGTCTAGCGGTTATGATTTTCCGTTAACAAATGCGATCCGCATATGTTCCGGAAAGGTTCTGGGTTCGATTCCCAGGGAAACTATTTTTTTTTCCTTGTAAAAATTACAAGGACTATCTTTTTTTACATACAAAATGGATATCACGGTAGAACTGTAGATGCTTGGGGCATCCATTCAACAGTTTCACGGCTGATCAAGGTCTATGATCCCACTAAAATGCTTTACATCATGTAACGGACTAAAAGTTGAAAAGTAATCGATGGAGACTATTTGTCAGATGTGATGGCAGAGAGACAGTAGTAAGTTTTAAGAAAGTAGCAGATAATGCCATGCATATTTATCTGCACAACTTGGTCGCTTATCTAGGCGCTCTTGTCGTTGATCTTGAGGAGCTCGACCTCGCTATGAAATGGTCAGTCTCTTGAGATAATCCTTTTTGTGCCCATAGGAACTTACAAGAGCAGAGTGGAGCCTGCAGGAATCTTGCCAGCGGACCTATGTAGAAAGAATTGTTAGAAGCACTTCTAATCAACGGATGTCACGGCAGATATGAAAAATCGGCTAGACGTCTCGTAAGTTCACATACTTATCACCGTAGCCATAATCCCTAGGAAAGAATAATGTTAGCAGTTATTTATTTCATTATTCTCCAATAGGGACTTCACTCACGGGGAAATGGTGAGGGTGGACTTCTCGCCCAGAGTCATCTGCATAACGCCCTCATCCCAACCTAGTCAAGCAGTATCAGCATTACATTTTCAATCATATCTAGGTCATCGAACAAGCAATCCAATCCTGGAAATAGGGGCTCATTGCGAACAGAAGAGAGAAGGGAAAAAATTACCCTTGATGACCTGTCCAACACCGATTTGAACGTTGAAAGGGCCACGGCCGGGGGTTCTGGAGCTGTCGAATCTATTGGCATGAGTTAGTATTGCACATGCCGAGGTAATTACCCAAATTTTATCAAGCGATGACAGTCTTACTGCTTGCCCTGGAAGCCCTTGTTGGCTTTCTTAGCATCGTAGAGCCAGCCCGTGTAGTGGATAGAGACCTTATCACCTGAAGCAGGCGAATCAGAGCCGTTACCACGGGTAATGATCTTTCTCTCGACACCCATATTGAATTTTGTTTTGATAATAGAAAGGTAGGAAAGTACTCGGAGATGAAAGAATGACGTTCGACGAGGGGTCTGATTCGTATTTTTTCTGAAAGTGGGGGAAGCGGGAGCGGCCAATCCGAGCTGGAATGAGCAGTATATACTCGCGGCGTATAGAGATGTCGCTATCAATTAAAATGGCCCTCGCGAGTTTGCTGCCTCACTGTGTCCGGTTCTGGAACGCTCTCGACACCGCTAATTACGGTATTGTAAATTATAGTCCTTAATTCAAAACTTTTCCACAATCGAAGCTATTCTTACCATCTAAATCTTGAGAAGGGAAGAACCTGACAAGATATTTGTACCAAAGAATTCCGAAAAGTCCGCCGATTTGATGCCACGCCCGAAGAAAGGAAAGCACTTTCATGATCAGCTGTCGCCCATCCTCTTTGCCTTGTTTGCCCTTTCTCAAAATTTTTGCCACATCTCCCAGCTTGCCAGGTTGATTGTTTGTCTCTCTCGATACTACTAAGCCTAGTTGGGACGTGGATTTCTGACTGGTTTGCACATTGGGTAGTATAAGATCCCCCATCTGCTTCCTTCTTCTTTCTTTTCCCCATCTTTGGGCCCTTTCTTGTGCTGGAGATCGACATGGCAGCTGACAAACACTGCAACAAGCTGAGCAAGATGCTCATCATGCAGAAGAAGCATAAATCTAGCCGAAAATAAGTATATCCTCCTTCCCGTCCAATATCTTTTGATCTAGCTACTGGGTTTAACTTAATAGGCCGACGAGGACTACTACACGCTACAGAGTGCCTTTTCAGGATCTGATAGCAGGAGCGGGCCGTATCTGGATTCAGGTCTTAGGTAGATTTGTCCCTGTTTGAAAAAGCCGAATATAGATATCATACCGTCTTACTCGAAAAATTCACCAGCTGCGAATTTTACGAATATCAGATTAATGGAGCGGTGGGACTCGTTCTTAAGCTACGCGTCCGGATCGACACTGTCAGACTTATCCCTGCTGCTGGACTCAAGCCCAAGAATCTAAAGGCATACAAGACCTTGTCTGCTGCGGATAGGCTCAGTGATCTTTGAATTTCTACTTTCCAGAATGTAGTTAATAAGACTACTAAGCACACTACTACTAAGAACACTACTACTAAGAACACTACTACTAAGAACACTACTACTAAGCATACTACTAAAACGATGCCTGAAAAGACTACTAGAAAGTCTACTGACTACTACATAAAAGAATGCTGAAGTGCCTAAAAATTATCGCAGGGCCATAACCGCAGCCGACTATCTGAAAAGTTTCATTTGACTTGCCTGATTTCCAGAGTTGGATCTAGGTATTTTGACTAGGCACTTATTGAGGTATCTGTCGTAGTAATTCGGGTATTCTAGTTTTTTTGCCAGCTGAGAACAAGGCATTGTAAGGCAGAAAATCCAATTTTAATCCAAATCGACACCTGAGCGCTATACACTTTCGCACAGGCCCGGGTCCTCTAACCGGGTACTTGCGTGTAATCATCGCATTTTTTGCCGTTATTCGTACAATTTTGACATGCCAGTATGTAAAGTCTCGTCGCACTTTTTTTTATCGGATCTTAGAACCAAACACCCATCAGCAAATGAAAGCTTGTCCAGGGCTGGGATACGTTTTCCCATAGGGCTGACCTATAGTTGCACGTGATACATCCCGTTCGGACCTTTGTGTGACTTGCCTTGGCTTTCCGCATTCCAGACATGCTCAGGCACGGAGTACACACGGGACAGGTAGCTTGTCAGCACGGGGTATCGATAGTAGGTAACCAGACAAGCTTGGATCAGGAAAAGACCTCATGTTATGGGCTGCCGCGTAGGTACTCCGTAAAAAACCCCACTCTTGGCACCGATCCACTCGATCTGCGACGTGGCCTACCTAGGTACTCTATTGTAATTGGATTACTCTGTATATTATGCCGTCTTGAATAGAAATTGGGTGTTACATTGCATATTTCTTCCTTGTACTTGATAGGTGTGGACCTGGCATGGAGCGGTTTCTCGTGGCTGTAGTTTAGAGCTACGAAGGACTCATCGTCTAGATCTACGATGTACGGAGTAGCGGACGGATTGATAATTGTAAGTGGACCCAGGATACCATTGGCCACAACTGCGGAATGCGCATATGTACCTAATGTTAATATGTTGTATGTTGTAGTGGCTGTATGGGTTCACTCATACTGACCCAGTGCGTTGGATTTACATTGCAGGTTCTTGACAGTACATCCATTCCGTCGAGCTTACATACTTATAACATAGTGTTTGAGGAGATATCTAGACCGGGATATCACTAGATGAGCGTGCCAAGAAGCATCAAATGTTGTCCAATGTCACGAGAAGAGGGAATGATAGCACAACCTTCGACATGACAACGCTGGACCTTCGGATAACAAACAATATGAACATCAAACCCTGGAAATTCCAAAGCCAAGCCGGTCTTATAATCTTCCCACGTGACACGACAAGCGTTTCACAATAAACAGTGGGCGGCCTGAGCTGAGATAAGATCAGGGGTAATACCAGACTCGTCGACTCAACTTCCCGGGACTATTAAACTCTCACACTCGATAGACTTCAGCCGGATTTCTTTTTTGTGAAACCACCACAGGGCTGAAAATGAAGGACCGGAGTCCGCGGCGTACGTAGGTATTTGAGACTAAATGGTCGTACCGTGGTCTAAGCGATGGGGCTATGGAGCGATGGTTAATGGAATGCTCAGATGCGAAGCTGTTCAGGAGAAGCTGAACTATCTTTTTTGATCATCCTTGCAGCTTATGCAGCTTGGGCCTCTCTCGGGCAGCGCCTTTCTGAGTTGGGATTGTTGGGGCAATGTTGGATGTCTTACAGAGTACTTACTCCGTACTCCGTACGTTGGATGGTCTTCATTAGTGCCATTGTTCTCAAATGGAATCAGATTGGGCCAAATTCAGGGGTAGCGACCTCATTGGTCATTCCGAATGGGGGGAGATGAAGGCCCGCACGTTCTGGGCGCGTCAGACAGAACGCCCACGTATATCGTGCTTATATGTTGTAAGTAGAGGGAATAGGTTGGGCATTACTCCGAACCTGGAATCATAATACGGAGACGGGACTGTGTTGATCCTGAATTTAAAACCAGGTCAATGGCATAATTCTGTATAGAGTTGTTACGTGGGGAAGTTTACGAGGTCTTTTTGTGGCAGAAAGTCGAAAGTTCACCATTTGTCTCTCTCCTTTCCCAACCCTCCACCCCCCCTAATTCAACCCCCATGTTTCATTGCTATTCCTTGTCTTTTGCTTTTTGATTATTGTGGTCCTTGTTCTCGGATTTCTTTTCCTCTCGCCTTGGGACATCATACGTCTGTCCACCCTCGAACCGAATCCAGCGCCCGCGAGGGGCACTCCCCATTTTGCTTCGCCTGTTGCGCTTGACGGCCACAACATCCGCGATTCCTTATCTGAAACGCCTTTGTAGCACGGCTAGCAGTGCCTGGTATGTCGGGGCATCAACACCCATGACCCCTGACTTAGAGGGAATTGCCATCACCAGTATCTTTGTCCGACCCTGTGCTATATACGTGGTTAGCCTTGCTTGTCGGGGTCGGGGACTGATTGGAGGACTGTGTCTTGCGCTTAAAGCTAGTATTGGATCACATTTTGCTAACGCCCCGGTCGTCTGCAGGTTCAGCCACTATTCGCCGTTCTTTCAGCCCCCTGCTGCAATTTCCCCTCCAAACCCGCATCGGCATTCTTTTCTCCCTAGTTTTGGCCATCAACACGAGCAACGCTCGAGAAGACGCGTTGAGAAGGAACTTGTGCCAGAGGAGCATGCGACTGGCAGTGAAATTTCCTATTGCGATCACGGATACCCCGTATATACACACGTCGTTGGACCCAGTCTGCCTCCCGCTCTAGACTGATATTCAGGAGTATTCTTATACAACCACGGTCGAAATTTTGCTGTACACTAGAGATCGGATTTCAAAATGGACAACCAAGGCGCTTACCCGGAATCTCCTATGGAGCAGGACGAGTCCTATCCGTGCAAGGGCTGTGGAGAGGTAGGCACACCGCGCAGTCAGCGGGCAGAACCCAGCTAATCATTCTGACAGACTCTTGAAGAAGGAAAAGCGTTCGAGCTTGGTAAGTGGGAATCTGCTGTCCTTTTCTGTGCTCCTTTGTCATGCAGCTAACCTATGGCAGCCGGAAACCGTTGGCACATCGATTGTTTTCGATGCAGCACATGCAGCACCCTACTTGACTCAGATGCGCATCTTCTTCTGTTGGGTGATGGATCCCTCATCTGCAGCAATTGTACATACAGCTGCAGCTCTTGTAACAACAAGATCGAGGATTTGGCCATCTTGACGGGAGACCAGGCTTTCTGTGCTCAGTGTTTCCGATGCCGGAACTGTAAGCAAAAGATTGAGAACTTGCGTTATGCGCGCACTTCACAGGGCATATTCTGCATGGATTGTCATGAGTCGCTAATGGCTCGAAGGAGAAAACGGAAAGCCGGAGGCAGTAGTGGCAAGAGACCGGCAGGGCCTAATGTGAAGCTTGATAAATCCTTGCCTTCGTTGCCTCCAAATCTTGCAGAAGAAAGCCAGTTAATGGAGGAAGAACCCAGTGAATATACAGGCACACCGGATCCAGGTAAAATGGCAGAAATGCCTGAGCTAAATGACGAAAGGCCACAAAGCTCAACTTCCAACCAGCTAGCTGATACAGGTATGAAATCCATTCTAATCCCCTGGCGCGATACATCCTGTGCCATTATTGGCTCCATTGTGGTGCATCATAGACTCGTGATCTATAGCTGCCTGCGAACGTGCTATCCATCCATTCACCCCATTGGTGCCTACACTCTTATTGTTGTTGTCTCGTGACTATTGAATAATTTGAACACAACCAATCCGCGCCTTCTCCCAATTCTTTACTAACTTCTTCTTACAGATAATCTCATTCTTCCCTCCAGTACATACCGCAACAGTCGTCAATCAATTGTGCGCAATACTGATGCAGATGGTGGAGAATTGTTGATTCCTCTTGCCTTCGACCCCACTGCTGAGGGTAATTCGTCCCGTGGCCATTTCCACACACGACAAGACTCTTCCCGTGATTATTTCAATCAACTTCGATCTGGCGAGTCCTCACACAGAGCATCACGGGACTTTCGTGAAATACTGCAAAATCCCCGGACCTCGTCAGAGGTCCATTCGCCTCATATTGCCTATCAGGAGAAGGGCTGGGAACGAAGCGACGCCATCTCGCCTGAGAAACCGCCTGTTTCAAGTGATTCTTCCAATTTTGGGAAGGCAAGCTCCACTCGCAGCTCATCCGAGATACCCATCAGCTTCAGGGAAACAACCAACCTCTCTGGGGTTCCAAGCCCTGAGAGTAGCAGATCGAAAGAAGGCGTCAATGAGACGAAACGGCACATACCCATGGATATCATTACTTCCGCTCCTCCCCGCCCCTCCAGTGAGTTCCGTCGTCCTCACGACCTCCCCTCGATGGATTCGACGCGCTCGCGCTCTCAGTCATCTGGCTTGCCGCATCTCCCAAAGCGTGGAGATTCGCTTGAAGGAAAGCATCACCAAATTCCGAGAAAAGAGCTTGGATCATCGCCTGCATCATCGCAATATGGAGATTCTCCCATGCTGCGTAGTGACACTTACGAACCACCCACTCAACCTACTCCATTGAACACATCTCAGCTTGAATCACACCAATATGATGGCGCCGGTCCATCCCCATCGTTAGTACGATATAATAATGGAGGTGAGTTGTCCATGGACGAAGAATTGTCACGCATCATCGGCGGCGATGATACTGTCGGGCAAAATAATGAGTCTTTCTTGCGTCGTGTATCAAACTCTGTCCGCCATGGCCGAAGTTTCAGTGAAAAAAGTGTGCGGATCAGCAAAGATCTCAAAAATCCTCGATCCCCCAGCACTCGAAGCATCGCCGGAACGGATCTCGGCAGCCCCATCTCTGGATCACAAAGCGAGGAGATTGCTTGGCTTCGAAATGAATTGCGCAAAGAACGTCAGCGAGTTGCAGAACTGGAGTCGGCTGCTCGGACCGCAGCAGAGGTCAAGCAAGTCAACACTGAGCTTTCAGAGAAGCGATCTACCATGGTCGTCCTTGATGCTCAGCGTGAAATTGTTCTGCGCGAGCTCACAGTCCTTACAGACCATATGGAGGCTGAAAAGCGTGGTGGTACCAGTGGGCCATTGGATCTCGGTAAACTTTCCAACCATGTCCTGCGCGAGCTCGCAGAGTCAATCCAAAAACTGAAAGACTCATTCGCCCCGCAAATCGAGGAGCTTATACAAAAGCGCAACGACTTGTCGGAAGAAGTGGCAAATATGGACACTCGGAAGGAAAAGAGCTTCCAGGAATTCGAGCAACTGTCGTTGAAGAACGCACAACTGGCTGAGTTGAACAATCAGTTGGTTCACCAGATTCAAGAACTCTACAAAGCCACGGACGGCCAGCCAAGATCTAATGGTCTGGGTATCTCTCACAACAAACAGCAGTCCACAAATTCTATCGAACTCATGAAACCCGGTCTTGGCGATCTCCAAGCATCTATGTCGACTGCTCATATCGGGGAAGATTCTGAGCCTGCCACGGCTACTATTGTTCCAGGTCCCCAGGTTGTCAGCATCCGCAAAGGCCAGCCTCGTAAGTTCAACTGGAAGAAGGGTGGCCAGAATGTCGCCAAGGGTGTCAAGGGTCTCAAGGGGGCCTTCATGTCTAGCGAAGGACAGACACAAGAGGGCGGTGCTACTCTGCCTCGTTCTCAGACCCAAGATCCGAGTCGCCAGGGCTTTGGGTTCTTCGGAAACCAGAGGGGCAAGCAGGGAGGAAAGATATCGCAAGCTGACAGCGTACCCGTGTTGGCTGAAATTGCTGCTGATGGTATGTGCCTGGTGATATCATTTGAATTATGTATCAGTTAAGCTAATTATTTCCAGGTCTTTTCGGCGCCGATCTTGAGGCTCGCATGGAACACGAAAAGAGTATCATTCCAGCCATCGTGACACGGTGCATTCAAGAAGTTGAACTGCGAGGTAAGTTCTAGCGCTCTTCTTTTCACCTCGTTGGTCTAACCACCCCAATCAGGCATGGACATGGAAGGCATTTATCGCAAATCTGGTGCCTCTTCAGTTATCCAAGCTATCCGCGAAGGCTTTGAACGCTCTCCATTCGATTATGATATTTCCGACCCTGACCTTGACATCCATGCTGTCACGTCCACTTTGAAGCAATATTTCCGAAAGCTTCCTAACCCTCTAATCACTTACGAAGTTTACGAGCTTGTCATAGATTCTGCCGAGATGCATCCTCTATCCGCGCGAATTGAGCTCATGCAAAAGAGCCTGGGTGAGCTGCCTCGGGTGCACCGTGACGTTCTTGAGTTCCTCGTCTTCCATCTCAAACGTGTTGTTGAACGACACGAAGAGAACTTGATGACCAGCCAGAATATTGCAGTTGTCTTTGCACCGACAATCATGAGGCCTGAAAGCCTCGCGCGTGAGATGACAGACGTTCAAAAGAAGAATGATGTCCTCAAGTTCCTGGTGGAGAACTGCCAAGAAGTTTTCATGGGCATGCAGGGCTAGAGTCCAATAATGTTCGAGTCCTGATGTTTTTAATCCCTGAAAATCATGTCTACATGCACCAATCGTATCATTTCACCGGCGTGATCTTACCCCAAACGCTACCGCGGCTCTTCCACCAGCCCTCCATCCTCCTTTTCGAGAGGTTGGCCATCTTTCTCTCTTTTTTGTACAGATACCACTGATTTCCTACACCTCCACTCCCCTACTCGGTTCACGATCAGCGCTGCACGCTCGATACAGATACCCTGTCTTGCCTTTCTTTGTTTTCATTTTCTTTCCACATATCTTGCGGATTTAAAACCGGTTGATTCCCCCTTGACTGTCGGGTCTAGACCCACTGGCCACTCGATGGCCAAAATCTTTTTCATAGGTGGCTCATGTCCTATCCTTCGAGGCATGTTAGTGTTTTGTTTGTTTCTGACTCTTGAAGCGCGCATTAGCTCGTCTCCTAGCGTTCTGCATCTCAATACAGCACTTCGAGCGAGTTGTTCTAGTAGCTACGATCGTATTCGCGTTAGTTTGACTCCGATATGATATCATGAATGTTTGATTTGATGATGAAAGATGTGCAGATGTGTAAATTAGAAATGTAAATTGTAAATGCGGACATGGCAGGTGGCCCAAGCACCCACCGCCTACGACATCGAGGCCACCCGAGCTCTAACCCCCCTCAACCCCGAAACGCTCCCAAGCCTCGTCGAGGCCCTTTGAAATCCCCCCGAATACATAACTCACCATGTCCAAACCAACTAAATATCTCCTCCTTTCCCTCCCGACCTCTATCGTCCCCTCGCACCACCGCGACGACGCCCTCGACGCTGTTTCGACCACCGTCTCCCCGGATAATGGCTCCGTAGCCTCCTTCCCAATCCCGGAGTTCAAGATCGGCACGCTAGATGCCCTCGTCCAGCAAGCGGATGAGCTGGCCAAGCTCGAGGCTTCGTGCCAGGGCGTCGTTGCCAAGGTCGGCGATGCGTTGAAGAATATCCTTGAAGGTGACGAGACGCAGATTGACCAGATGAAGGTTGTCAACGATAGTACGTTCCCAGATTGGTGTTGGTTAGGATGCGGGGGCGATAAATAGTGTTGGAAGAGGTGCTCTTGTGTTTGAGGTTCTGACTGCCTATAGAGCCGGTTGATCAGTACCTCCGTACTTTCCAATGGAATAAAGTCAAGTACAGGGCCGATAAGTCCTTGGCAGAGCTGATCGATCTGCTACAAAAGGTTTGTAATGCCACAAATTGCATGGCTAGCGCTCCGCTGGTTTAAAACAACTTGCTAATGGCCATATGCGCTCTAGGAAGGAGCCAGTATCGACAACGATATCCGATTCAAGTACTCCCAATATAACCAGGTCAAGAACACGCTGTCTACGCTGCAGCGGAAACAAACGTACGTTGACTGAGAGAGAGAGACATCGCGCGACATGTGGCACGCGAGAATCGGAACTAATGCGCTTGTTGTACAGAGGCAACCTCTCAACTAAGTCCCTCGCCTCGGTGATCGACCCGAAATCAATCATCCAGAACTCCGAATACATCGAAACCCACCTCGTCGCCGTGCCCGGTCAGCTAGTAAAAGACTTCCTGAAGACCTACGAAACCATTGCGCCAATGGTAGTTCCGCGGTCCGCGCAGCTGGTCGCATCGGACGGCGAGTTCACCTTGTATGCCGTGACAACGTTCAAGAAGCACAGTGTGGAGTTTGTGCATAAATGCCGTGAGCAAAAGTGGATTCCGCGCGACTTCAAGTATGTCGAGGGCGGAAAGGAGGAAGAGCGCAAGGAAGTCGAGCGCGTTGGTGGTGACGAGCGTAAGCTTTGGGGTGAGACGCTGCGACTTGGTCGCACGGCATGGAGCGAGGCTGTAATGGTCTGGGTGCATATTCTGGTCCTCAGGGTGTTTGTGGAGACGGTACTGCGATATGGATTGCCGTTAGATTTCGTCTCTGCTTTGGTTCGGGTATGTTACTTCTGATCTACTTTGCTCTTCGTTGGCTTCCGTGCTGGCAATCGCTGACATCACCTTTCTACAGACACAAACTACCAAGCAAGCAGATCGCGCAAAGCAAAATCTCGAAAACAAATACTCTTACCTGGCAGGCAATGCCTTTGGACGAGACAAGAAGGGTCGTGTCCAGCGGGATGACCCCAATGAAATGCATACCGGCGGCGAGGGCGGCGCAGACTACACTCCATATGTGTTTTATGAATTCGAGTTCAACTAAGCCTACCGATCTTGCGAGGCTTTGCTGCGGAGATACAAAGGGTTTGAGAAGACGTTGCGTACATATACCACCTTTGTACATCTAGCACAAACTAGCATTGGATATTTAACTTACTGTGTTCGCCTCAAATGATCATTCGAACAAACAATACAAGGGATCCGGCTCCTATCTCTATACATCCTCGACCGAGCCCATAATGCAACATGCAAAAGCCATCTATATTGTCCACGCAGTATGTACATCAAGCGGGAGGGGAATAAAGCCAAAAAAAAATACAACACCATAATCCAATCCGCTGTACAAAACTCTTTTATGAAAGCAGATCATAGATACATCCAATCCCAAATCAAGGAGCTAGCTTACTCCTTCTTGGCGGGCAAGTAGCCCTTGGAGTCAAGGTAATCAATGATCTGCTTCACAGCATCCTGAACAGGAAGCTCATAGTTCTTAACGTGAACCTCGGGGTTAACAGGAGCCTCATAGGGAGCGGAGATACCAGTGAACTCCTTGATGATACCCTCACGAGCCTTCTTGTAAAGACCCTTAGGGTCACGCTGCTCCGCAACCTCAACGGGGACATCAACGTAGACCTCAACGAAAGGCAGACCGGTCTCCTCGCCGGGAGTGGCGACCTCGTGCAGCTGGCGGGCAGTGTCACGGTCCTTCCGGTAGGGCGAGATGAAAGAGGTGATAGCGACGGAGTTGGAGTCGGCGAAGAGCTTGGCCACCTCGGCGATGCGGCGGATGTTCTCGTTACGGTCTGCCTCGCTGAAGCCGAGGTCCTTGTTCAATCCGAAGCGAATGTTGTCGCCGTCCAGACGGTAGGCGTGCACACCGCGGTCGCGCACCAGTTGGTGCTCAAGCTCTACGGCCAGAGTGGACTTGCCGGAGGCAGAGAGGCCGGTCAGCCAGATTGTGAGGCCCTGCTGCTTGCGCAGCTCGGTGCGCTCACTGCGGGTCAAGGCGCTGGCGTGGAAGGTGATGTTGCTATTGGTGGGGTTAGATTGGGGGTTGGATTGACATTTGAGGTAGATGACTCACGTAGACATTTTGAAGGTAGAGAGAATATGAGAAAGATGAATTGAGAAAAAAAAAGTAGAAATCAAAAAGTAGAAGTAGAAGGAGGGGCATCCGGTTGAACGGGACCGCGTCAGAGCGAAGTGATCATCGCGGGGATGTCGCCATTCTTGGCGCTGGACTCTATTCTCTTTGCTTCTCTTTGATACTCGCACTTTGGGCAAATCTTTGGCACTTCACGCAGAAAATGGAATGGACCCAATAAGGCTCATGCTCAATTCTAAGCCATTTGCATATAATATGTACACATCTAATTCTAAATCATTTCGCCATGACGCCAGGAACCAGGAACCGGAACCAAATGCAGAGATTTCAATCACGCCACCTTGTAGAGACTCGACAGCGCCTGAGAAAAATTAGCCACTCGATCTAACAAAAGAGTCAGAATGTAGAGAACTTACAGCAGCTTGCCTGGGCTCAATGAACAAAGCCTTGGCCTCAACCAGCACTAGCGGGTCCTTGCCGTCAGCCGGGAGAGTCTCAATGCGGCCTTCTACCCACGCCTTGCGGCCCTCAACCTTCACAGTCTCCGCACGAAGGACAACATATTGATTCGCCATAGCAGGAGCCCGGTAGTCAATGTTCAAGTTGGCCGTGACGCCAACCTTGTTAGGCAACGCGGGGAAGCAGCAACGCGCCAGACCCTCATCCAACAACGTAGCCAGTAAACCACCGTGGATAATTCCCTGGTGACCACAGACATCACTGCCCAAGTACATGAGCGAAACCATGCTCTTGCCCTCGCGCTCGCTGAACACGTATGGAGGCACGACGATCTTTCCGGGCCCGGCCAGTGTGCCGGCTGTCAGGTTGCGTACGCGCAGAGCCTCCGGAATGCTCATGTGTGGGCGTGCCTCGGTGAAATCGGGGTTCGCGCGGAGAGCCTCTGCAACAGGGTGCGTGCGGAGGGTGTTCTCGATCTCCGCGGTTACCGAGTCTCCGGCGATGTATGCAGCCAGAACTTCCTCGTCGGTGATTGGGGCGGCCATGATGCGTGACACGGTTCTTTGGGTTTGGTAGGTTAGACCGACGGTGAATGCGAAGAGGGCAATTGAGGTGAATCCAACGAAGCGGCGGAAACGCGAGCGTTGGGTTGGAGAGGGCGGAGACGGGTGAGCGGAGGCGGAATGACTCGGTTCTGCGATTACCGGGTTAGTGTCTGTTATGATTGTTTAGCCGCAGATGGACCTAGCGATGACTTGCCAGTAGAGTAAGACCGATTAGAAGGGGGGAGAGAACGTGGGGATGAGGTTCGGCGGATAAGGAGGCGAGCAGGAGAAACCGTTGAACGGGAGGTGCGGAGAGAGTGGGAAAGGGAAGTGGAAAACGATTGACGGAACATGATAAGATAAATAAAAGGTGCAAAAGAACAAAAATCTAGACCATGGACTCTAGAAGAGGCGAAGTTGTTGAGAAAAGAGTGGATGCAGTGGGTTTAACGTGGATTTGCAATTTACCTCGGCTTTTTCACTTCGGAGGCAAATTATGTTCATAACTGCAATTGATATAGACGATTTGTAGATTATTCATTCGAGATTCCCGAGGTCCACTCTCAACAATATTGTTAGCTGATTCATGGTTTTTTGTTCTTCGGTCTGATTTGCTAGGAAATGTGATGTTCAACATATACTGTTATACTGTTATACATCCCCGTTGTCGATGGAGCCGCCCAGACACATATATCTCACGAATCACACGAACCATGGCTAGTATTAAGGCCGATATCAATAGATTCAAAGCCTCTAGGCCATTTTAAACAGTCCTTCTATACCGCAAAGATCAGGATTTCTTACGCAGCCTTGAGTTAATAGGACCAGATTGTATCTGTATAGATCGTGACACAACCATCGAGCGGCCTACATTGAATACTATGATCTGATTGAAGCGAGATATAAAGATAATCAAGGACCGGCCAAATCGAGAATTTCCGACTGAATCGACCACACCGCTTGTCTTGGACAGTCTCTCAATCCAATCAGTCCGACCCGAATCGGACCAATTGGCGACTTTCAGGATGTTGTACATACCTGCACTACCTCAACTTCGGCAGAATGAGACCCTACCCCGGATCTAATGGCCAAAACAGAGTATGCAGAACGGAATGCAGCCCAAAGGAATCACCAGGGGTGCACATACCAGGCAGGCGCCAGGATGGGCGTGGGCCGGGAAGGGGGCATCTAAATACCAAATCCGCCCGACGTGGTTGCTTGCCAATCTTCAACCTAGACCATGCCACGATATAATTACCTACTGTCACTCTTATTGACCAGTGGAGTGCTGGCTAATGCTGCGGATATATCTCCAGTGGATGATTATGACGTTTTACAATATGTCAATCCATTAATCGGCAGTGCCAATGGAGGTAAGCCTGGATAGTCAACTGGAGCGAACTCTTAATAACCAGACTTTATCAGGAAATGTGTTCCCAGGTGCCTCACTGCCGTATGGCATGGCGAAAGCCGTGGCCGATACAGACTCAGACAGTAATCAAGGAGGCTTTGCCTACGAGGGCGGCAGCGTCACCGGATTCTCCAGCATGCACGACTCTGGCACTGGAGGCAGTCCCTCGTTAGGCAATTTCCCTCTCTTCCCATATGCAAAATGTGCCGGTGATGATGTGAATGGCTGTGTCTATCCCAAAAACCAGCGAAAGACGAAGTATAAGTCGGACTCTGTCCAGGCGCATCCAGGATACTTCGCCATAGAGTTGGCATCGGGGGTCCAGGCCGATATGACTACTGCGCATCATACGTCTCTGTTTCGTTTCAAGTTCCCCAAAGACAACAACACTAGTCCATTAATCTTGTTGGATCTCACTGATCTCTCGAACTCCCGTCAGGACAACGCGACAATCTCCGTGGAGAAAGAAACGGGACGTATGACTGGCGATGCCCGATTTGGACCTAGTTTTGGATCAGGGACGTACATCTTGCATTTCTGTGCAGACTTCAGGAGCGTTGCATCACAGAGAGATAATGGGATTTTCGTCAATTCTCGGGCCAGCGCTGATGTTCACGACTTGAAGATTTCGCGCAGTATCAATGGATACCCGCTTCCAGTGAGTTGAACAGCTCTATTTTATGTACACATCGGCCACTGACTGTAATTGTGTAGGGTGGTGGATTTGTTCGCTTCAATTCAGCTCTGGACAATACAGTTTTGGCTCGAGTTGGCGTTAGCTTCATGAGTATAGAACAAGCTTGTGCTCATGCCGAGTCCGAGATCCCAAACTTCGACTTCAATGCAACTCGTCAGACAGCAGTTGATAAATGGACCGAAAAGATGCGTCCAATTCGTGTTTCTCGAACAAACATCGATGCATCCGTTCTCTCCAATTTCTATAGTGGAATCTACAGGACTATGATCAACCCTCAAAATTATACAGGCGAGAACCCGCTCTGGAAGAGCAGCGAGCCTTATTTCGATTCGTTCTATTGCCTTTGGGATTCTTTCCGTTCTCAAATCCCATTTCTCACCATCTTCGATCCTTCCTCGGTAATGCAGATGGTGCGCTCGCTTATTGATACCCAGCGCCATCTCGGTTGGCTACCAGACTGCCGCATGTCCCTCTGCAAAGGCTTCACACAGGGGGGATCCAACGCCGACAATGTCTTAGCAGATGTCTATCTGAAAGGTCTCAGAGATGGGATTGACTGGGATGCCGGATATGCAGCTGTGCAGAAGGATGCTGAAGAGGAGCCCTATGACTGGTCCAGTGAAGGTCGTGGTGGTCTACGCAGCTGGAAGAATCTACACTATATCCCCGTGGAAGACTTTGACTACGAAGGGTTTGGCACCATGACCCGCAGTATCTCCCGAACACTAGAATATTCCTACAATGACTTCGCCATAGCCCAAATGGCTCGAGGCCTGAACAAGACAGCGGATGCCGAGCGCTATGAGAAAAGATCACGCTACTGGCAAAACCTATATAAAAAAGACCAGACTTCTATCTGGAAAGGCAAAGACACTGAATTTACTGGCTTCTTTCAGCCAAAACACCTGAATGGAACATGGGGCTCCCAAGACCCTCTCGCATGCTCAAACATCGACAATAGTGGAAGTTCATGCTCGCTGCAAAACAACGCAGGTGAAACATTCGAATCCAGCATTTGGGAATATCAATTGTAAGCTCTCAACCTAATCCCACCTCCATTTCTAAAGCTAATGACCTTTTCCCCTCCAGCTTCGTCCCCCACGACATGGCAACCCTAATAAATCTCCTCGGCGGACCAGCAAACTTCGTCAAGCGACTCGACTACCTCCACGACAACAACATAACCTACATCGGCAACGAGCCCGCCTTCCTAACAGTCTTCCAATACCACTACGCCGGACGTCCCGCCAAATCCACATCCCGCGTGCGCACTTATATCCCAGATTACTTCTCCCCAACACCAGCCGGACTCCCAGGCAACGACGACTCCGGCGCAATGGGCTCTTTCGTCGCAATGGCGATGATGGGCTTGTTTCCGAATCCCGGACAGGACGTGTATCTACTCACCGTACCTTTCTTCGAATCCGTTGGCATTGTGTCCCCGCTGACAGGAAAGACGGCGACACTGAGGACGGTTAACTGGGCGGAGTATAACACGGCCAATGCTACTGGTGGTGCTGCGGGTGGTAATGGGTTTATCCAGTCTGCTACGTTAGATGGGAAGCCTTACACGCGTAATTGGATTGGACATGATTTCTTTACGGAAGGTCGGGAGCTGGTTCTTGTGCTTGGGAAAGAGGAGAGTGCTTGGGGAACTAAGCCGGAGGATTTGCCGCCTTCATTGGCTGCGGACTCGAAAGATGGCGTTGATACTGGGGCTGTGAATGCTCGCAGATGGGAGAGTGTTGTTGAGAGTGGGCAGGTTGATGATGTTGCTGGTATGAACCCGAAGTATGACTTGCATCTTGATCATCATGTTTGTAGAACTGATGAAGATCATGGGGCGTCGTAGGCTGACTGAGGCCTAAACCAGGCATTCTATTGCTAGAAGTATCGCTTAGCTACGTTGCAGTGATTGCTACTCTACAATGTCTATGGCAGTTGTGCTTCAGATCCTCAATTGATGATTCGGTTGTTGAATTGTCCCATCTAAGCCTTCTATATATATTTTTAGTTTTGAACATCACTGAATATAGAGATAATGTGAACATATTTGTGTGAACAACGCCAGTAATAAAATCGGGGAACAAGAGAGTCTTTTGATATGGTGAATATCAGTCATAAAATCGGAAGCATATATACAAACGCAAAAGAAAACCATCAAAACGCTAGTCTTTCACACAATCCACTCTGGTCTTAAAGAAGAGCCAAAACGCAAACCAACACACCATCTTCTACTGAGGACGGTGGAACTTGCTTTCGATCCAAGGCATGCCAACAACAGTAGCCTTGCGCACCTTGTTGCGCACCTTGACAGCTAGCTCGGTACCCTTCTTGTGAAGTCCCTGCTTGACATATGCCATGGCAATGTTGGCACCACCCAGCGAGGGGCTAGGCAAGCCGGAAGTGACAACACCAACCTCAAGGGGGTTCGCGGGGTCGGAGATATCGACAACGAGAGCACCCTCACGGGCTGGGGGACCCTTCTCAACGGACAGACCGACGCGGCGCTGGGCAACAGTCTTGGGGCTTGCGAGTTGGGAAAGAATGGTGGAAGCACCGTTGAAAGTCGCAGTGGCAGCATCGCGGCGATCACGACCGACGACCCAGCCGAGGGCTGCGGCGGGAGGGGTCTGTGCTGTGGAGATGTCGTGGCCGTAGAGGCACATTCCTGCCTCGAGACGGAGGGAGTCACGGGCTGCTAGACCGGCGAGACGGGACTTGCTGCTGTCGGCGAGGAGCAGCTCGGTGACCTGGCGGGGGAGGGATGGGGCGCCAGAAGTCGGGATGGAGATTTCGAAGCCATCCTCGCCGGTGTAACCTGTGCGAGAGATGAGAAGTGGGTGTGCAGTTGCGCTGCCATCTGGGAGAGTGAGGTACAGCTCGCGACAGTTGCCGAAGTAGAGAGTGCTCAGGTCTGTTTCTGAGGAGGGGGTGTTCGCGGTGTGAATGAGGGGTTGGAGGACGGAGGCGGCAAGGGGTCCTTGCAGGGCGACCAGCGCGCGATCTTCAAGGATATCCCACTTGATGCTGTCGGCGCCATTTTTGGAGCGGTAGGCATCGATTTCGGCGGTCAGGAAAGCCAAGTCCTCTGTGCGACGGCCGGCATTCGTGACAAAGTAGAAGCTGTCTTCGCCGCGGCGCGTGATGACACAATCATCGACCATGCCGCCGGTACCTTCTTCCAATAGACAGGACAGGGTTGATGTGTTCGGGGCTAGCTTATCTAGCGATGAAGGAGTCACCTTCTTCAGTAGTTCAAGGGCACCGGGCCCACTGAGGTGATGCTGGACCCTGTGAGAACTTAATTAGCCATCACACGCTCGTTTTTCGCTTTTAGGGATTTTCCTTACATATGGCTCACATCAAAGAGACTAGCCTTCTCGCGCGTCCACATGTGGCTTTCCACATGGCTCAGGTCGGCGTACTGCAAGGGCATATCGAACCCGGCAAAAGGCACCATCTTGGCGCCATTCTCTACGTGTAGGTCATAGAGCTGGGTTTTGCTGAGAGGCCCACTGGAGCCAGATGCATACCGCACAGTCTGTTTGACAGTGCGAGAAGCTGCCACTGGAGCATTGGCTCTCAATGGCCGAGAAACGGTTGGTCGCACGGTAGCCGCGGAGGAGAGCTCCCTCCGCAGTACGGTGGAGCCGATAGAAGCGCGGGGAAGGTTAAGGGCAGCCGCCCTCGTAGCGGCGAGGTCAACACCTCGGGTGAGAATACGGACACTAGACATGGTAACTCAATGCTGGAGGACTAGATTGACAAAAGACAAGAGAGGAGAGAAGGATTTGGACCACGAGAAGTCACCTACCCACCGTCGGAGAAGCATTGCGGGAAAATCACGTGGTGATAGGCGATCGGGGAATAGCTGATTGCCCGATTGGGACGCTTGGAGGACTGTGGGGAAGATTGTCTTTGAGAGAGACTGACTGTAGTCACCAGTTGTGTATTTCAATATGAAAAGCATTGTGAAACTCTTGGCGAATGTCATGTCACTTTTTGCATCAGTGATTATCCTGTTCCTGTGTGCATCAGGAACTTGGCTATATTGATTGGTAGACGAAAAAGTCATCCGTATTGCCGCGGCGATGGCGAATCGAACCCGGAGAGCCGAATTATAGCCTCCGGGCCGATCGCCTATTTTCAATTGGATGTGGCAATTTCCGCAAAAGCCAAGAACTAAATATACATAGGAAAGGAAACTTCCAAGATCTAGGCTCTAGTCCCTCAGGCTATATAGAGCATTTGAGAGCCTACATGCGGTATCGGCATGGCATGAGTGCATCCGAAACAAGATGCGCATACGGACAAAGAAAAACTAATATGCCAAAGGTGGTAATCAAGATTGACAATTACCGCCACCTTGGCTTTCTCGGTCATCACAATCATAAAGTCCCCAGAGTCCACTCCTCCAGGAGATCAGAAACAATGTATCAAAGAGATCCGAATGGGCAAATGAAGGCAAAAAAAGGTACATAATCCCCGCCCCGCAGAGATATTACAATCCATTACTAGCGCAGGTGAAAACGCCACCCACGGTGCCGTCGGCGTAGCTGTTAACAACTGACATAACGGCAGCCTGCAAGAAGGATGGTTAGCGAAAAGTCCAACGCAGAAGAAGGAAAACCAGAGAAAACCAGCTAGAGTTTCCGAGCTTCCCACTTACGTATGTTCCGGGTCCCAAAAAGAAGAACCCAACGATAATCAAGAAGACATTAAAGATGAATCCGACCCAGCCACGAATACCACGGACCATAAAGAAACGGGGTCCGTGGTCTTCAGCACGCATACGGATGTAAGCGACACCCCAGAAGATAAACCCGAAGAACGAATCGAAGAGGGAGCTCATGATGGATAACAAGTCTGAGAAGAAGGGAATGACCTCAGCAATGATGAAAGCGAGGAGCCAAAGTGCAGCGAGAATTGCACCCCAAGAAACCCAGCCCACAACGGTGTTGTTTCCCTTATGGCGGGTGCCTTCGAAGAGGCGGAAGAAGATGAAACGGGCCGAAACAGAGGCATACAGCACGCCTAGGAAAATGATCGTCGGAATCATGAACGAGAATGAAACCTTCTTGTACACATCGTCCCCGATGGAGCCAAAGGCTGGTGCGACCATGTACTGGTTACCGACGTAGACATAGGTCACTGCACCGACGATGCTGAAGGTGATGATCTCGGCGATCGTCACAGCTGTCACGGACTTCCAGAAATCACGGGGCTCCTCCATCTCAGCGATGAAACTGGGAAGCGTGATTTGACCAATGAAGGTGTAGCTGATATTCAAAAAGGCGTTCATGCCCTTGACAAAGGACGTACCCTTGGCCGGGATGGCAAGCACGATGGGTTCTCCCATTGCAGCCGAGTATCCTTTTGGGTGAGCTTCAACCCCGGCAAACGTAGCTGCCAAAACAACAGAGATGAAGGTGAAAAACGCCGACAGAGTTGCGACTTTAGAGAGCGTGTTGAATGTGCGAGGCAGCGAGAAAAACCAGGAGATTATTGCGACGATTAGTGAGAAAACGACTGTGCATACTGCACCGTCGGACATCGTGTTCAGGTACTGGGCACCCACCACACAATGTAGGCCTTGAATGAAAGTGTTGTTCAGGAGGAACATGACTGCCGTGGCCCACCACGCAATCTTGGAGTCCCAAAACAGATACTGACCAATATCACAAACGTCGCGGACTTCCGGGTGTCGCAAACAGAATCTCCTATACATATATTAACATTTATGATTACAACAGGCCCGCGGCCATTGAGCAGGAAATAATACCAGGTAATCAGCGAGGTGTACAGGACAATGCCAGCAATGACGACGGTCAAGATTAAACCGGGAACCAGCCCCAGGATGGAATACGACCAGGGGAAAGACATAATAGCCAGACAGATGTACTCGGAGAAAAGCAACGCGGCAGTCTGTGAAATAACAGAATCATCAGTCAATCGGCACGCAACTTTCCTTACCGATTCAGACCACGCACCTTTTGCCAACTACATGTCCGGTATTTGATTGTATTCTCCGACTCCAACTCAATCTGACGACCGATACTTTCTGTCGTGGACGACGAATCCATGGCGGTGATATGTTGCCGCGAGCCTCGGCGACCCTGGCCCTCAACATCGAGGTCCTTCACCTCGGGGTCCTGCTCCAACTTGTCAGACAAGTCAGGGCTGCGGTCGGGGTTTTGGTCGTGGTCCCAGCTGGCAGTATTTGTTGATTCATGTGGTCCAGCCATGTTGATTCAGACAGCGGACGAACCGCGCTTGTCGGAACTCGGTAGAGTCGAAAGAAGAGTTGAAGATCTGCGGATGCATGTATTGCTCCTTTGAGATATGGTCGATAGGGCAAAAGTCGCGTTTGAGCGGGGGTTGTTCTTTCCAAGGTTATCGTTACCCTTTTTGGCAGATGCGTGGATCAGAAACTCGACCCCAGATGATCGAATATTTTCGGGGCTATTGCGAGTTGAACAACGAAACGGCAAGTGGTGATAGACGGATTAGGGCAAGCGTGGGGGGGAGGGGGGAGGGGATTCGGAATGGTAGTCCCCAATCTGCAAGACCGAACTTCTCAATTGAGGGAGAGATGGGAAGAAAAGAGACCAGATGATAGAGAGAAATCAACCAAAAAACCAAAAACAGTAAAAAAAAGCCAAGAGATGAGGTTGCTATACCAGAGACCATCGGAGACGCCGTATGGCGCGATCGCATCGCCGAGCATGGTAATTATGGTATCTGGAAAGTACCGTCATGTCCGACAGCACTCCACTGCCTTGGAATCCGGAAAGGAAAAATTCTGTCGATCGCAGACCAGACAAGATTCAGGAATATGACGTGGTAGAGCAGGCATCATCCGCAATAGGCGAGTTGCAAGCCACGGCTTGCGGTTGGTTGCGCCAAGGGACAGCCCGGTGTTTCTCCAGGGGGGTGATCAGACCTCTTAGTGTCAAGCATGGAAACGATACGATGAATAGAAGCTTGATCCAATCCATGCGCCTTGGCCTCGACCTCCACAGTGGTCTTTGCTCGTGTCCACTTTCTTTTCGGTATCGAAACCCATGCCGGATCCGCTTTGTTCTATCAATAGTACCGTGTAAGGGGACCACGAGATTGCATGATTGGATCTTCAGAATGCGAACCCGCTAAGGCAAAAGCCGATTGCGCCTAGTATATCGTGCGTTATGCTGGACATCATACCTAACCTACATCTGGTGGGCCGTGGCGGCCCCGCATGCGGATATGGTCGAATGAGCCCATCAACAGAGGGTGACCTAGTCGGATCCAGACATTCAACACATGTACCCAGTGCCGCGAAAACATGGCTCGGTATGAAAACAGTGGAACTTACTAACAAGACGATCTCATGTGCGGTGAGTCCGATTCGACCGGGTGTTTGGCTGAATGCGGCACCAGTGTGATAGGCAACTTGCCAGCATTGACTTTCTGTGTGTACATACTCTATGGTATGAATTCCCCTGGAGAGCAAATCTCATGGGGAATCTTGGTGGATTAGGTGCCTTGTGCCGATTAGGCCTGGCTTCTCCGAAGCTTGCCAGTCAACCTTGGAGGTGATCCAAAAACAAATCATTGATGCCTGAGGCTGCATGCCACGTGTTATGGGCAGTGTCATACCACTGAACAACATACCGATGATATTATCGGATTTCTTAGAGGAGGAAAAATCGAGTACTATGATGTATACTCAAGCTAAGACAGGAACGAAGTAAAAACAAAAGATGATGTTCGAGCTCTCGGCTCCAGTAGCCACTTTTGCATGCGAACCCACACGATCGCAGATGGGGCCGAGGGATTTTGGAGGATTTCAAGCCACACGGATATGAGCTTATTTCGATTGCTTTGTTTCCTACAACTTACTGGAATGACTCCGATGCCTATGCCCAGACACGGTGAGGGATGGCGTGCGAGGCACATGGAGCTTTTATACACCTCACCACCCTGTCGAGCGCGAACGCACTAGCAAAGATTGTTGCATTAGGTTCGATCCTATTCTCAGGGCTATCCTATAATATTGCGCAATATTGCGTGGATAAATATGAGTAAGGCTCGGCCTTGCATTGGCTTACCTGTACACATGATGTACTGCTGCACATTGTGGATCTAATCGTGGAAGGCAGGTGGATTCCGAAGAGCTTCCAAAATTGTATTGACTGTAGCGTCCAAAGACGCAGTAGATAGAATAGATACAAATGATATTGGAAAATGAAATGATAAAAAAAGGATGCGTGTAGCCTGTGACAACTCCAGATGCAAAACAGGAATTTTGGCCCCCACAGGGGGTAAGATATAATCGAGATCTGTTTGAATAAACAGATTACATTCCATCGTCTTCGTCCGCCAGCAGCGCAGCGTAATCTTCTGCAGAGGCGAATGTAGGCAACTGCTTGAGCTTGCGGCGCTTCTTGCGGTCCGACTCGGCTGGGGCAGGAACGTCGGCGGGCTCTTCGAGCTCGACTCCACCCAGCTCCATATCCGATGGCAGGTCCTCGTCGCTGTCGATGAAGGCCTCGTCGTCCGAGACGTCCATGTCGAAGTCATCGGAGTCCTCCTCGTCTTCCTTGGAGGGCTTCTTGGCGGCCTTCTTGGTCTTGGCTGCGGGTGCGGCTTCCTCGAGCTCGCTGAATTCGCCCATTTCCTCGTCCTCGTCGGAGGGAACATCGGATTCGTCGTTGAAAATGACACCTCCGTCGGAATCGCCCTCATCCTCGCCTTCGATTTCGTCATCGTCGTCCTCGAGCGCAGACTCCAGATCGGACATGTCCAGATCGTCGTCGCTATCCTCATCGGCTTCCAGCTCGGGACGAGAGTCGACGAGTGCTTTCCAGATCTGATCCTCGTCATCGCTAAGACCCTCCTCGTCGCCGGCACCAACGTCCTTGCCCTTCTTGCCGCGCACCTTCTCCTTGTCCTTATTGACACGGGTGAAGTATTCATGGAAGAAGACATCCTCTGCGGCAACATCGTTGGCCTTCTTTTTCCAGAAGGTCTCGGTGTTGAGCGGCAGTTGGTTCTGTGCCCTCTTGCCTGCCTCCACCAACCGGTCGGCGGTTTCACCACCAGCCAGGGGCTGCATGATAGAAGCACCGCGGGAAGTGGCGCTGGCCTTGGGTGTGCGGTACACGAAGCGGTCGAGGAAGTGGGTGAGGGTGTGCAGAGTCAGGTCTGGCTTGCCACTCATAGGGTTGTGCTCGAGCAGATTGGCGGCGTTGAGAGAGACGGATGGGTGGAAGTGAGAGGTGAAAGGAAGCAATTCCCAGAGACAGCTCCTATCGGCATTGCTGTGCTCGGGGTCTCGCTTGCGGGGATCGTAGACATTGTTCTGCTTCTTAGCTTCGATGACAGGAGCAGGTTCTGGCTGTTCGTCATCCTCATCGAGGACGTCGCGGAACACCTCTTCATCATCATCATCGTTATCCTCCGGCTGATCGACTAAGGATGACAGGCCGGTGAAAGTTTTCTCGAGCTCACGAATCATGTAGAAGACACCGCAGATGAAAGAGGGCTGGTGCATGCCAAGAACCTGGACGAGACGCTTCACGAATGCTTTGACTCGGCGGACATTGAGATCGTTCTTGAGAGACTTGTACAAAAGATTGAGGTAGAGTGACTGCTTTGAGGAGGTAGCAACACGTGGGTCGAGCAAAGACTCGTAAAGAGTGCGGTAGAAGCGATCGCCGGATACTTGGTTAGAGACCGTGAGCTGTTGGATCAGCATGAGAGCTTGAATACTGGTGTTGAAGTTTGACGAATGGGTGATGCGGAACAGGGTATCGAGATGCTTTGACATGCTAAATGATATATTAGTATCTTGCGCGTAGGAATAGCGTATATAACATACCGATCAGAGTCGGAATCAGTGAAGGGATAAGCACGGTTGACACCGGTCAATACACCAGAGATAAGCTTCTCCCGCATTTCATCATCCTGGGCCTGTCCTTTGCCAGCTTCGTCGTCACCCTTGCCCTTGGAGCCCTTGCCATGCTTGCCGTGCTTTCCCTTAGGGGCGGGCTTGCCTTGGTGTGCGGGCTTCAAAAGAACGAGGAACAGTCCGAAGTAAATATCTAGCAGCTGAGCAGCGACCTTTTCTTCTTTCTGTCTCAGAATAGTCTGGTTCAGAGTGATGATAGCGTAGTATTTGGCGTGAGAGCTCTGGCCAGGACGGAACAGAACTTCTTCTACCGACTTGATGATGATCGGCTTCATCATAGGGTGCGACTGCATGAGCTGCAATAACAGGTAGGATGCCCGAGAAGCAATCTTCTTGCCAGGATCTCCAAGCTTGTTGACCAGAAGTCGCAGGAGATTGGTCTCTTGCTCTGGCTTCTCCTTAAGAAGTTCGTAGACATAACTGACGGCTCGAGTCCGTGAGAATTCGATCTCATCATTGCACCAAATTTCGAGAATCTTGATAATCTCGAAGAACTGATCCTTCACAATATTTTCAAAGGCCCATACAATCAGCTCACTCTTTTTCAAACCACCCGGAAGAGGATCTTTCTCGTTCCATCGTCCACCAGCACCTTGGAAGGCTGCAACAAGTCCAGGCTGATTGGTGAAAGACTTCAATCGTCGATCACTGGGCAACAAGGTACCCTGCGCAAACATATCCTTCAATGATCGCAGAACTTCAACTGCCTGCGCACGGCTGCGCTTCTTTCCGAGACCAATCAGAGTCTCTAGAGCCTTGGTGTTGTGCAGAGGCGATTCTTGAACATTAAGAGTCAAGGCAGAAATTTTATCGCTGAGAGTACCAGAGGCCATAATAGTTGAGTAGAACTTGTGTGATGAAGAAGCAGATGCTCTCTGTGCTGCCGCATACTCCTCATTTTCTTCCTGTAGCAATTTGTTGGCTAACTCGTGAACACGCTCGATCAAGTGACGGGGCAAGGCATTCATCTGTTTCGTATCTGGGACAGAAGGCATAGGAATATTATACCAGTCGGACCGAGGAAGAACGTTCTATTACCACCATATTAGCAGATGCATTTTCGTCATATAGTCCACAACGTACGAGCTTTGCGTATTCCTTTGGCACGATAACTTCCTGCTCCTTCGTCTTGCGAGGTGGAGCTTCTTCAATGTCGGATTCCGCTCCACTGCTCTCTGCATTGTCCTCGCTATCCTCAATATCATCATCGCTTTCCGGTGCCCCGGCCTCTTCGACATCTTCAACTTCGTCATCTGCCAGGTCTTCAGGCACAACATGACCTGCAGCGTCCAGCATACTTGACAGCTGCTTCCGAAGATCATCGTCAGCCTTGCCGGACTCGCCTTCAACCTCAGACTCAGAGTCGACACCAGCAAGAAGATCGAGATCTTCCTCAGTACCACCCATAGCAAGAATTTCTTGGCGCAATGTTTCGTCGTCGTTTCTCTTCTTGCCTCCCTTCTTCTCCTCCCGAGCAATCACCTCACCATTGCGATCACGTTTCTTGCCTTGCGCAGAGTCCTGGGACCGGCCGGGCTTGGCGGGTGATTGCTTTCCCTTCTTCGCGAAAGCATCCCGGGCAGGAGCCGATGGCTTAGTGTTGTCCTTCTTTCCCTTTCCAGTGTTTTGGTTCTGGCTCTTCAAACGCTGTTCGATTTTTTGTCGTAGGCCTGCGAAGGCACTCTCGTCTGGCATACCAAGCGAAGCGTCCGTAGCGGGGGCTGAGACGCTTGTCGCAGGATCAATCTCATTTGCGCCCGAGGAGCGCTTTCCTTTCCCTTTGGCCATGGTGTATTGTGTTTGGGGTTGAATGATGGAGGGAAGAAAATTGAACGGAGAAATCTTTTGCGGACGGCTTATCAGGACGCTCGGACCAACGCGATAAGAAACATCGGAGAAGGGAGACTCGGCTTGCTCGACAAATTATTTTGTGTTTAGCCAGCTGTTCAATTGCATAATTAATTGTTTTCGGTCCCCTGAACCATCTTTATCGATGATTTCTGGGCTCTTACCTCTCTCTGGGCGCATACCCGGACGGCGGCTGGCGTTTAGCCTCCGCGTTCAGCAATGTAATCTTCACGTACGCGCTTGCAGACGATTGACTGTATATGAATGAATACTAACTTGAAAGCAGGTTGACGGTAGGAGCCGTGTTTCAAATTTCTGGATTCCTACAGGTGGAATTTCTAAGAAGACCGTTGAGGGTGAAAATGGTACGCCATTAAGGACCCCGTTGATTATCACCAGATGTTAACAGAGATCTAGAGGATGCCAATGACCTGTTAATCCGAGGTGGCTTCCTCCGACAGGCGAGTGTTCGCATATTTGCAGTGAATGAAACATATCTGACGAGTTTATAGGCATATTCAGGAGTATTTCATCTGCTCCCACTTGGTCTGCGTGTCCAAGATAAACTAGAGGGTTTGATTGACAAGCATATGCGCTCACTTGGTACAGAATCTCCCCTGTATTTGCCATGGAATGACAGCTAAAGATTCCAGGTGCATCGAAGGTTTCTTTATCCTCAATTTCCTCACAGGAACTCTGGGAACAATCGGGCAGACTGTCTCAAGGCTCAGAAGTACGCTTATCGTCGCTCCTTCCTAGTATAAAATCGTTAACATGCCATTCTAGTTCTTTCGATTCAAGGACCGGAAAGAAACCCCCTTTCTCTTGGCTCCAACTCACGAAGAAGAGATTACCTCACTCGTGGGCAATTTAACAACGTCATACAAAAACCTTCCGCTGCGGGTTTATCAGATCAGTGAGACTTCTTATCTTCCTATTTTTGGTGAAATTAACTGACGGCGGCATTCATAAAGCACGCAAGTACCGAGATGAGGCCCGGCCCAGACAAGGTCTTCTTCGTGGGCGAGAGTTTATCATGAAAGACCTTTATACATTTGACTACAGTGTCGGCGAGGCACTCAAAACATATGATGCAGTCAAAAAAGCATACATAAACTTGTTTGACGAGCTCAAGATTCCATATCTGGTCGCTGCGGCTGATTCAGGCAACATGGGCGGTTCGTTAAGCCATGAGTACCATTTCATCAGCCCCAAGGGTGAAGATGAGGTTGTTAGTTGTTCGCACTGTGACCACGTCTACAACGAAGAATTAGCAGATGGCAAGACTCACAGCTTCGAGGAGTCCGAACAGAACACGACACCTGGCTTCCAGACAGATGATGCGCCCGTGGAAGGTGGATCGACAATCTCAACTGGCATGTGGATGGCTATCTCTGAAGATAGTAACACCATCGTGCGGGGCTGGCACCCCAAATTCTCCATGCAGAATGGCGCTACCGAGCCTGTTGAACGCCACGTCAACTCACATGCCGTGAAAGCGGTCGCTACTGCTGCCGGAATTGACCTCGACCTAAGCGTGGAGAACCCACTTGAGCGATGGACTGCCCACGTCAAGGCAAACAAGTCATCTACACAGAAGCCGCGTGTCCTGGATCTTTACGACTCGCAGGTTCGAGTATACCAGCGCCCCCCGCTGAGTGACCTTCTCCAGGAAGTTGGCTGCACAGCCTCGGATATTGAATATTCCAAGCTGGATCGATTCCCCGGAACCTCAAACAAACTCAGTCTTGTTCGCGTCCATGATGGAGACCAGTGCTCGCAATGCGCACATGGATCTTTGACTAGCCACTCTGCCGTCGAACTTGGACACACATTCCATCTGGGAACACGGTATAGTGAAGTCCTGAATGCGTCCGTGTCCGTCAACTCCGCTCTTCTCGAGGCATCTACTGATTCTAGTGCCAAATCCTCTGCAAAGGAACAAATTGTGCCCATGCAGATGGGATGTCACGGCATCGGTGTCTCGCGTATGATCTCTGCAGTGGCAAACAGTCTTGCTGACTCCAAAGGCCTCAATTGGCCCCGCGCTATGGCGCCATATGAGGTCGTCGTGGTTCCAGGAAAGGGTCTGGACACTGTTGCGGATCAGGTGTATGATAGTCTTACCGGTGATGCCTCGGCGCCCATTGATGTTATTCTCGATGATCGCCACAAGGGTATGGGTTGGAAACTTGGGGATGCGGATTTGATTGGATACCCGATCATTGTGGTTGTCGGCAATGGGTGGAAGAAGAAACAGACGTTGGAAGTGCAGTGCCGTCGGTTGAACGTCAAAGAAGACGTACCCTTGGATGGTCTGCGCACGTTCATCGAGTCTTTGTTGACCCAATTGTGAATGAATCTTGACGAATTACTCGTGCAGGAATAGTATGTAACATTATCTAGTCAAATTGTACATTATCTCACCTCGACTGTTCGCGATGTGCTGTATGATCCAATGAGACACACTGTGTCCTATCGTACAGATAGCGGTGTAACTGATAGGCCGTCATCTCCCCAATCCCTCACAAACTAATGCAAGCAACTCATTCCCACCGAAATAAACTCCACCAAAACACCAGATCTGCCGTATCCCGCATTTGATGGCCGAGATTTGGGGTCGAACCCCCCACGCCGACGGGAAGTCCCACGCCGAACACTCCGTCCCCGCGTCCGAATACTCCGGTTTGTCACACTTCCAACCGATATAGAAATGCCCTTGACTCATTGGAAAACAAAGAAACCATTCAATTGAATTTGTTTTTACCTCGTCTAAATCACAATTTGTGACTCAACTTCTACAATCCCGCTTCTAATACACTTCCCTCTTACAACCTTCCCATAAACCACAATGCACCAGGCCAACATCCACATCCCCGGTCTCGGCGGGTCCAACGCCTTCACCCGGACTCTGAGCAAAGAAGACGTGGAGATATGCGTAGCTGTCGAGAAAGCCTTCATAGAGGCGGAGCGTTGCTCCGAGGAAAAGGTAAAGCCAATTGAGCCAATTGACAACTGATAGATCAGTTCTTCTGACACGATCTCAAGTTCTATTACCGCCTAGGAGCCTGTCCGGAGTTATGCCTGGGACTGTTTGTTGAGAACGAACAGGAGCCAGCATCACCTACGCTCATTGGACATGTCATCGCAGTTCGTTCTCCCTATACTTGTATCACGGATGGGTCGATGGGAATGCCGAAGAATTGGCGATCTCTGCCCGATGACGAGCCGGTCTTTGTCAATAAAGAGTTGATCGGGAACCACAAGTATGGAGATACCATTGCGATCCACTCTGTTGCGATTTCGCCCGAGTATCAGGGTAAGAAAGTCGGGAGGGCTCTTATGCGTGCATATATTGAGCATCTTGCAAGGGGCTGTTTCGGGGCGAGCAGGGCAGTGCTCATTGCGCATGACTACTTGGTGCATTTCTATGAAAGTGTTGGGTTTAAGAACCAGGGGAAGAGTCAATCGAATTTTGCGGGTGGTGTTTGGTTTGATATGGTACGTTTATCCATGGCGAGTAGTAATTATCACCCAGTATTGACATGTGTTTACTAGACTTTCGATCTGGAATGATTGGACTCCATGATTTGAGTTCTTGAATTTCATTCATTGCATCCACCATCTGAGGCCAAGGAAAGCTGAAAAAGAAGGTGATTTCAGATAAGAATAGTGTTGCATAAAGAATAGATCTTTGTGCAATGGTTTCTCTAGCTCAATATACGGCCCACAACGTTGTTTAAGAGTGCCAAAGTCGAAGATTTTTTGCCATCGTCTCAAAGCTAGCCTCTGGCCCAGTTTGCGTCTTCCGTAAATCTTCTCTTATGGCGTCAATCCCGGCTCCATCACACGGGTCAGATCCCTGCACAGTCCCCTGCAGCCATTTCATATCTTCCAAGTCAATCATCACAAGGGAGTGCGAGGCGGAATTCCACAGCACGTTGCGGTAAGCTGCATCTCTCTGAATGACTCCATGCTCTTGAAGAATACTCTGGAGTTCCTCCAACTGCATCTCAATGAAGTGACGCAGTCCGGGGCTGACTTCATGGTCTAGTCGAATTCCTGACCAGCTAAGGACCAGCATGTAGCGCATCTGACTGCCATGATACCAGTACGGAAGCTTAGGCTCGAACATCCCAAGACAGACAGGAATCTTAGATCCCTGCAACGCTATCAGATCACGATAGTTACGTGCTTCGCCTTTGATCCTGCGCGATTGCCTCGCAGTGGTGGCCTTGATTAACACCGTATACCCGTGAGAAAGCAAAACTGCCTTGATGAGATAACAGGTTCGGCCAATAACATGCAGCTGCTGGAATCCTTCATATCGACTTTCTAGGAGCTGAGCACTCAGCCTATCCGTGATCTCCTGGGAGTTGATTGAATGTCTTTCTATGCCGTGATCACTAGCATTCGGACAATCTAGATCCAGATAATCCTTTTCAGAAGTGCCGCGGAGACATGCCATGGTACAGTAGGGTCTCTCCTGCAGATCAGTGTTCTGCGAACCAGCCTGCCCAAGATCGCCATTGTCTGTGTGCAAGTTGCTTTGCAAAAGATTCCCCCAAAATCGACCCCAGAAGGAATTCTGATACAAGTATTTGGCTGGTGGTCTGAGTCGAATGTTATCCGGCGTTTGGGGCATGAGGCTTGAATAATCCTCGTGGCTCAATTGAAGGGAGCGGAAAGCTGTATCGTGCCACTCGTGGGATGGTCGAGCGACAAGTAATGACTGGAGTGTGAAAGCGAGTACCTGACCCAAAGCCGTGCGCCGAACCCAGGTTGAATCTGCATCATATCCATGAGCAGCGACATCTTGGCCAGGAACACAAAGGTAATATTCGACGACGCCGGGGTCTATGGTGGAAATGTGAACAAATACAAAAGCCTCTCCAGTGCAGATGTAGCCGTGCTGAGTTCCAGCAGAAATCATCCTGGAAAAAAGTCGAATGATTGCGTGGACTACCATAGCGGTGGAATGTTCTTCGTATGTACTAGGTTCTTTCCCGAGGATATCAGACGTTTCTATCGCGCGCAACCCAGCAACAAGTTCAGGTAGAGTCAAACAGTATGGTGGGATGGCACTTGTTGCATAACATGGCTCTTCAAACCCCATCGTCGAAATGGCAACGCAGTCCTTATGCGGCCGATCGAGCATCAAGTGTCCGCGGAGCCTAAACGTGTTTTGCAGGGTCGCGTCCTGATTCATAAATACAACAATCTGTTTGAGAAAGTCTTCCATTGTTCGGGCTTGAAATATCTTCAAGCCAGTTTCTGACATGATAGGTGACAAATTTATCGCCTCGGCAGATGATTGAAGAAAGATTCCCTGGTCAAACAGACCGGAATGGACAAACGTAGACACCCCCATGAGATTGGTCCATATCTCTTCTTGCAGTCGAGGAAACTCTATCCAAGGCTGGAGTCGAAGTGGCTTAAATCGAATATCACCCACGAAATTGTTCTCCGGCCATATGACGGAATGTGTCTGAATGTTAAGTGCTCGTGCAAAATGGAGATGAACATCCCGAAGATGTTCGATCAGCGTGACAGCGGGCAGAGCTTGTAAGATTGGTGAGGTGAATTGAAGAGAATGGAACTGTGTGTAGTCCATTGGTGGTTCTGTACATTGTCTCTTGCGTGGTAAAACAACTCTGGTGTGTGCAGTCTCTTCCCTTGTGCTTTCTTCCATCGGATGCTGATCTTCCGGATTTAGTTGGTCCATGGGGATGGTATGGTCATGGAAGTATGAAGATAGAATCACAAGTGAGACAAAAGAAGTGAAATAAAATGCGAAGAATAGCTATGAGTAAACGACAGGCGAATTCAATTGTTGCGTTGAAGTTGTCTTCTGGATTAGGTCGCATCCCTCCTGCCTAAAAAAGAAGCACAATATGTGTACTTGCCTTGTCTATCAACCCTCGATGAGTCGCTACGTGAGTTATGCATACATGAAGTACCTACATAGGATGTAGATAGTTACATACAGGTACGTGTGGGCAGTACATCATATACGTACATAATGTACACGCGCATACATACCTACATGTAGCTACAGAGGCATTCAGGTACATGTGTTTAGATCGCTATCTTCAAATCATTAAATGACGCATGCTTGATTTGTATTCTGCATAACGAGCTATGTAAAGGTTGTGATTCGCGCAAGTATTATGTAGGTAACTATAGTATACCAAACGTTCAAATGGCAGACAGGCAAGAAGTATAGACTCAGCAAACAGTCGGATTTCGAGGACACCCAGTGTATTGAAGAACTCAACGAGAGTTTATTTCGCCACACCTTCGCCCGTTGCAATGATAGGCGCTGGCTTGGGGATATTTTGTCTGAAGATATAGTGCTTGATCCACCAAGGAAGCCATACAGTCAGCTCATGGGTAATGAACTTCTTGGTTGGAACCGAGAAAACCTCTGAAATATGTGTCAGTATGTGATCACCTGGACCCTCTGAACGTTTACTTACGATCCAATTCTTCTAGAGTAAGCTGCTTGGTTTCTCTGACAAAGCAGAAGATCATGCCCCAAGCTATAAGATTGAGACCGGCGTAGAAGCCAACTAAGAAAGTATGGAGTTAGCCATTGAAATCGGACGATAGTTTCGCATTGTCGACTCACAAGCACCAGTTTGGGTCATAACGGTTCTCATTCGAGGGAAAGTGAGACTGAGAACGCCGGCTGGAGAGTAAATTGTTAACAGGATATTTGGTCAACTTATTGTTTGGACCACTCACCAAAAGTATTGTTGATACAAACGGCCCAAGCCATTCCTTGCTCACGCTGGATAGTAGGGAATACCTCGGCCGAGTATTGGAAAGCGACTGGCCCTTCACCCAAGGAATAGGAAATGGTAAAAAGATACACAAACCTACAAAACGAATAATTAGCCTAGGCCCAAATAGGGGTGATATCATCATGAAACTCACAAGACAACTGGGGCAACCTTTGCGACATTGTTGTCCGTATTGTTCAACAAAGATAGACCAGCGGCTAGCAAGAAGATGCACATGAAAGGGAACGTCTTCATAGAAACAAGTGGTTAGCGCTATCTGAGTAAAAGACTAGGGTTAAGACTCACAATCAAAGTCAGAGCTCTTCGGCCTTTGGTATCGATCAGGAACAAAGTAGGAATGGTGAAAACAACCTGGACGGCACCATAGCCAAGCGACGCATACAAGGCCTGATCTGAAGTGTAGCCAGCATCGGTGAAGATAGTTGAGCTGTAGAAAGAGATAACTAGAGATGTGTCAAGATTGGCTCCTATGGCAAGACAAAAAGCAACTTACTGTTGATACCGCACATTTGCTGGGCCAACATAACGGTGGAAGCACCGTAGTTGGCTCGCCTGATTCGCGGAACGGCAAAGCAATCCCACAGGCGAGAGAAATAGCCTGCACCTCGGGCCTCCTTGAGTTCCTCTTCGTAAATGACGTACGAGTAATAGAAATCTCTCGCAGCAATAATGGGATGGGCGCGTAGGCGTAACATTGATTGGAACCCTTCAGAGTGTCTATTGTGTTTCATGAGCCAGCGAGGAGACTCCGGACAGAAATAGATGCCAGCGCCGAGGACAAAGGACGGGATGAAGGCGGAGCCGAGCTGGAGACGCCAGGCGATCTTGGGAACGTCTTTGACAATAACGTTGGCTGCGAAGCCCAAGAAAATACCTGCCTAGAGTTTAGCTGTTGTTCTTTTGACAAAAAGTTGTAATGAGTTACCTGCTACGACCCAGAGTTGCCAGAACATGACGAGAGCACCTCGAGTTCTAGCTGGAGCCATCTCGGCTGAGTAGATCGGTACTGTGGCATTCTTTGCACCGATACCGATACCCATTATAAACCGCGCGGCGAATAAGCCTTCCCATGACTTTGCGAAGCCCGAACCAATCGGGGTGGCAGTGAGACAGAGAGCAGTGACGAAGATCTCGCCTCTTCGGCCCAAATAGTGATTAAGTGGATCGACAATCCAGGCACCACTGTGTACAGGGTCAGTCATAGAAGAAATGAAATCAAGACCGAAATCCAACTCACATAAGGCCGGCGGTCAAGAAAATGATTGAATTAATAATTCCCACGATCCATTCGTCTTTCCCTTCACCATCAATGCCAAACTCCGTGGGAAAGGATAGATTAGCTCCGTTGGATCCGGTTTGATCCCAACCTTGTGTAGCGGCACCGACACCACACAGGCCAATCGAGTACCAGAGCATCTTTGTCCCGTGCCATTTGTGGTCTTTCTCGTATGTCAGCGCGGCGCGCTCTTCATCGTCGAGCTCAGAAGCCGAATCGAAATCCCCGGGGTTTCGTGCGACCACGGCGGCCCGGCCAAATAGGTCCGCGTACTCGGTCATATTGTGTGACTCAGCGTATGCACGGGCATCGATGATGGCTTGCTCCTTAGAGCTGCGCTGTAGGAACAAAGATAGTCAGCATCTGTACTCGGCAAGATCACAGGTCGTGATGGAACGTTCAATATGATGAGCCTTACCATCAGCGGGTTCTGAATGAGGTTAACACCGAGGGCCTGGCGATGCTCCGCTACGTCTGGATTCGCCGACTCGACCAGCCCCGATGCCTTTGCCTGAGCGATAAAGTCATCGTGAGCTGGAGGGTCCTGGGACACCTTCTCAGCCATGGTTATCGGTGTATTTTCTGGTAGCCCCCGAGAGAAGAACAAAAAGTGACGAGAGTTGTGTCCGATCACAACAGAGTCAAGAGATCATTTGGGGAGCATCGGTGACCCCATATAAAAAGACCTTGAAAACGCCCCGTGGGGTAAGCATATATGCAGATCAGCCCCAAAAGTAACACTGGTGGCTTTTCTAAGAGCGTGACAGTATAGCGCCGTCAGCACTAATATCCTTGGAAGGGATCTTAGCACACGGCGATTGAGCCACATGCGCCATAGTATTCCTTTCGAGGCCCTCTGTATTTCAAGACGGATATAGATCCAAAAGAGGCGCAAATAAGGCTAAGTTGAGGCTGTAAGTGAGCCTTGGATTGGTAATTCACTTCTATAGCAATTAGACAATCTGACTGCCTCGAAGCCCGAGGCCAGTTGGATTGTCAAACGTGTCAGAGTCCAAGCGGATGCGGGGAGGATCACATCCGCATATGGAGGCAAACGGGCCAAGACTTAGCTCGCGTTTCGGTTGGTCATACGACATGTTCCTTTGGGGTCTTTTCGTCTGTGGTTTTTGTGTAGTGCTTTCATGTGGAAGATGTCGGTGGCTGGTGCACGGAGTACCGCACTGTACATGCTATTGACCACGGAAAGGGTGCATCGTCCGTCTCCATGTATCAAGCGATAGGCTATTCGACTCCATGGGGATTCCTTGTACGGCCAAGCACACCCAAAAGTGGGGTTTCTTGGATGAAAAATAAAAAACAAGGGCTGGTGAATACGATGTAACATCCCTGTAGATGCTGGGGCTGGGCTAATGGGAAGGCTGACATCGGAATTAACCGAAGACACCCCATTTCCTCTGGAGCTCTCTTAGCCGGAATACCCTGTTTTCCATCACTTGCAATTTGAGCGAATGCTCTAAACCGCGTTCGAATATTCTGTACTCTGTACGGAGTACTCCGTGCTCTCGCCAACCTTAATCAAGCATCAAAGGGATCAGCCCTCAAGGCTGATTACGCCATTGTGGGGGAAACGGGGGTCCAAGGCTCCCTCCACATTCCTTGCGCCCTCAGCCCACTAGACACCCGTGCTCACGACATTCACGCGCCTCAGAAGCGCGCTCAACTTTGGGGCTAAGAATGATTGGAGCTATGACACATTTCCTTTTCTATCGACTTGCCTCGTTCTACGGGACCAAGGCAGAGTCCAAACAACACCGGCTTGATCCATGTCACCTCGGCCAGTCAAGGTGCAATATTCTCAGAGATTAAAGTGACATCAATCGACATGGTAGATATGATCTAGTTAGGCGCTCTGGAATCTCGTAGCACGTGGGGAGATTCCCTCGTGGCGCAATAAGAGGTAATAAGCCCAACGAGCGTCCTCCTTACTCCGTACAGGTCATAACAAGCGTTCTGTTCAAAATCAGCGCGGGTAATGACTGGATGGGGTAGGTAGTTAGCAGATCACCAGCCAACCCCGAAACCCAAAGAGCTCAAAGAAAATGGCTCTCTTAATGCGCATTACTGAGCGAGGAACTCGATTGCGTAGCCACTGGACGTTCTTGCTTCGATATTCATCCACGTAATCGAGTCTTTGACGAATTTTGTACCAAAGAAAGTGGAAGCGTGTTCCACCATGCCAAGGCCCTTCTCATCACCGGAAAGGGCTTTTTTTCTGCAAACATGTAGACTGTCATGATAAACTTCGGATTCCCTGGTATCAGGCCTGTCCATACCTGTATCTCTGTCATGTTTCTTTCATTGAAGTAGCCATACGGAGTATAGGTAGACGAGGAACTTATGTTTATCTAGAGCTTTGCTTAAGACTTTGATTCATTCCCGTTGTTCTTTCTGAAAGAACCTAGGGCCATTGTTGTAGTGAGATACATGCCTAGGTACTCTTTGTGCTTTCACTTTTCTTCACAACAACAATGCTCTTTTCGCGCTTGGAATGAACATCCTTTGTTGCTTGATGCTAAGGGCTTCTTTGATTCTCTCGGGGATCTCTTTATCCACGGACAATCGTCTTGATCCTACGAGAAAGACTTCTTTGTTTCTCCTTCACAACCAACGCTATACTCACCCGACGACCCAATAAAGAATCATTTGGCTACATAATCGTCGATCGAATCCCGCATTAATCCTCCATATTCACAATCTAACTATCCAACTATCCAACTATCCAACTATCCAACTATCCAACTATCCAACTATCCAACTATCCAACTATCCAACCATCCAACTATCCAACTATCCAACATTCAAACAGAATCCATCCCTTTTCATCTCAAAATCTGACAAAATGCATCGGGTACCAACTACCTACATTAGATCGGGAATGAGCCCTCACCTCGAGACTATGATGTGGAGGCCACTTGGTCTCATTGTGGGTCACGACAATGCTGATATAGAGGCGACCCGCGCCGTAATGCGAGAGTCATACTATCGTATTTTGAGTGAGGACTTGCAACGTGGAACTCCCTGGAACAGAGTCTTTCACCCGGCACGCGTGAGGCAAATCATACAGAGCCTCGTGGACAGGTGGTCGGCGTTTCCAGCAGCAATTCGGGAAAATGTCCCAGATTCCACCGAGGCTACCTTGTATATGTGGGATATTATCCGATTCTACCGATTTACTGATCCTGAGTGGAGAACTGTTCCTCCGCAGTATCAGTTTCTTGCAATGCCCCGTCCAGCTATACCCCCTCGCAATATGAATCTTCCTCTTCATCCCGCGCCTATCCCCGCTGGTGAGATTATTCCTCATCAAAAGTCTGCTCTGAAGTCTTCTCGTCGTACCGCTACTCTCCCTTATCCTGGTCCTCCTCGTCTTGCTGAGGTTGCTTCTACCCCTCTAGGTGTTAAGGCCACGGAAGATATGCTTGATGAGCTCCCTCTCCCTCCGATTGGTCCGATTCTAGCTTCTGTCCCTAGCCTTGCCACGCCTGATAGGCATACCCAGAGCATAAGTTCGATTGCTGGGCTTCTAGCTGAGGTTCCTGCCCCCCCTCCCCGACCTGAGGCTACTAATACCAATGACGATAATGATGCCGCTGGGCCTGCTGACCCTGCTCTAACTGGAGCTCCTAATCCATCCACGGCAGCTCACAAGCGATGTAGAGACGAGGATGATGATGGCGATGACGGCCAAGATGAACAATCCCATCCTCCACCTGCAAAGAAGATTCGGAAGGTAGGAAGTGCTAACTTTAGTCCTGCTTTGCCGATGCCTACCTATCAGAATGCTGCTGAAAACTCAGGTTTAACTACTCTAGGTGGTACTAATTCGGATCAAGCTGATGATCATGAAGTGCAGACTTCGCAGGATGACCTAAGCAGTGACAATAGCGATGTCGAGATGGAAGATATCGAGGCGGAAGAGGTCGAGGCGGAAGATACCGATATAGAAGATATCGAAGCGGAAGATGTCGAAGCGGAAGATGTCGAAGCGGAAGATGTCGAAGCGGAAGATGTCGAAGCGGAAGATGTCGAAGCGGAAGATGTCGAAGCGGAAGATGTCGAAGCGGAAGATGTCGAAGCGGAAGATGTCGAAGCGGAAGATGCCGATATAGAAGATATTGAGGCGGAAGATGTCGAGACGGAAGATGTCGAAGCCGAAGATACCGATATAGAAGATATTGAGGCGGAAGACGTCGAGGCGGAAGATGTCGAGGCGGAAGATACCAAGGCGGAAGATGTCGAAGCTGAAGATGCCCAACAGAAAGATATCCAGCATGAGGATGGCAATATCCAAGGTGAGAAAGTGGAGCGGCAGAGTAACCGGTGGACTACGAGAATGCGAAACTATCTCTCCGGTATGGGCCCTTCTAACGGATCGTCTAAGGAAGCTGTGGGATCTCAAGTTTTAGGAGAGAGTGCAGAGGATGAAGAGGATGAAGAGCTCCAGAAAAGCTTCAAGACAAGTAAGTGATCTGATCATTTCTGGTCATCTAACGCAAACAATCTAGGACTTTATCGAAATGTAGAAGCAAAGGCGGGGGAGAGGAAGAGGTGGCAAAGGGAAATCTAGACAGAGAATTTGGGATAGATATTTTGATTTATGTGCTAATTTTGCGATTGTACTGTTATTATACCATATTGTTTGATTTTAAGCTTCAATATTTTGATATCAAAGACATTTTTCTTCCCTTTCATTAGATTTACCTACATGTACTATCTGTAAGTCACCTGTATATCCATCATCGATGTCCGACAAGGGCATAGCATTACTCCTCGGTATCACAGCCACCCCTTCGAGTTCAAGTATCTGCCAATATAGATGCTATATAAACCTGGCAGTTGGTAATTTCCCATGAAATTTAGTAGTATAACATGACATGGGAAAGTTATATCGGAGGCAAACTAGCATCCGAGGCTAGCAAAGAAGGATGATACGCAAGATTCTCCCAGAAGTCAGTCTCGAAATCACACAAATCCTGGCTGAAGAATGCAGCCCAGTCCCCATTATTCTCTCCTATTTGCGATGGTGCTTGTGTTGGCGGTTGGATTCCTTCCCGGTGGACTGAATCAAGGAACCTTTCGATGGTTTGTGTGGCTTTGGATATCAATGCATAATTGGGATCTCCACGCCGCACAATGCTTCCAACCTGGACTTGTGCAACAAAAATCCCGAGATTAAGTATCGTTTTGGACCATGAAGATCTGGCCTCCGTCAATGTGTGGTGTTGTTTCAACACTGACAGGAGGATAATACCTGCAGCCGGGAGGCCAAAATGGGCAATCTAATGGAATGTTAGCCCGGATGAGTGTTTCGGTCAGTGGATAGAGAAAAGAATACCTTCCAAACTAGTCCGGTTCCAGAGTTGATGAGTTGATCGCGCAAGAGAATTGCTTCCACGACTAGAGCAAGCGTTTGATCCGAGATATCGAGGATCAAAGGGTCAGGTTCTGTCAGGGTATCAAGAAACGACAACTGGAGTAAGAAAAGAACATGTAATTGATCCAGGCGTATGCTAGCTAAGATGTCGCGTTCGAATGCATTCGCTGAGCATTCTTTCAAACTAGCCGAGAGTCGAAACTTCGAAGGCAGGTTGGCCCATTGACTTTCAGCTTTTTGCCGGATGATGCTGTATCAAACAACAGAATGAGCAGGAAATTTATGGAAGAGGCTTTATTCCGCCTACCTGGCTTTGTGGTTGAAATTATCTCGATGTTTGTACCGAGGCAGTTCGAGAATATCTTCTTTCAGCGCGGCGCATAGGGTCGCCCACCGAATACCTGATTTGTAACATATCGGTGTGTCTGGGTTCCATCTGACGGTCTCGTCGCCAAATTCAGAGATGTCTGAAACTTGATCCGAGTCTGTTGGAGTTAGGGGTAGTTGGAAGTGACAGAAACGCTTGCTCATTCGAGGTGGCCGACCAAGGAATATAGCCACATTCTTGTCTGCGGAGTAGATGGTAGCCCAAGCCGCCTTTCGCAATTCTGCGAGAAATCTCGGAATTGGCGGTTTGGTCTTTTCGACGTCTTCATGGTATCCCAGTGCAAAAATAGTCGAAATAACGTCACCGAGTCTGCTCCACGAATGATAACCTGGGAATCTTGTTGAGCCACAACCTTTTTCGAGGAAGATTACAGATTTTCTTACTTTGATCCCCATCAACATGGGTATGTAAAATGAAATTCTCGTACTGCAGAAGCAGCTGGAGGTCGTTCAAGGAATCCAGCGAAAGAGCAATATCCAACGCAAGGTCACCAAGTCTTGTAGATAGCTTCCGAAGGACAAATTGATCCTTTTCTGTCTTGAACAACGAAGGGAAAAACGAAATGTCAATCGTTGCTCGACCAACAGCAGACAGGAAAATGCCTAAACTTTCCCATCGGAAATTCTGGTCCAGAAACTGGGCCGAGAAACTGTCCATATCGGAGGTGCTGCTGAACTGTAAAGGTTCTCGGGAGTTTTGTGTTAGACGTTGTGCATATGCCAAATGCCAGTTTTCCTCTTGCGAGAACGACCTAAATAGACGCGTCATGTTTTCGGTACATTTCTCGGTGAAGGACTCTGCTAGAGCTAGATTTGCCCCGGTTGCAAGCCAAAAAGTAACAAAATCTTTCATGGCGGCTAGAGGGAATGTGTTTAGAAGTTGTCTGAGAACATCTGCAGCTTGGATCAGCAAGATATTCTCGCCTGTGTACTGCGACTGCATGAACATTGTCACATCTGACTCCGAGGAATGGTAGATATCAGACGCATGATAGTCTTGCGGGGAAATTTCGTTGAAGATGGCGACATGACTAGAGGATCCCAGAAACCCAGGGTTGGGATAGGGGTTATTTCTTGGACTGAACGTTGGCGAGGTTTGAGCCGGAGGTGGCCGACTGCAGGGCTAATAAGCACATGGAACTTTACTATTATATGACACATACCTGAGAGAATGTTGTAGGGTTGGAGTAGAGCTCTCCACCCTCCTTCTCCTGAATGGCGTCGTTCGGTAAATGCAGATTCCAGCTCTATCATTACTTGCACATCGAGTACATGCCGGTCGCTTATGGTCGCAGGCTACTTTGGCTTTTCTGCAAGCTTCACATGCTGCCAATCTTGAAGCCATCGAGATACACGAAGCCGAGGATTTGGTAAGAGAGTTGGATTGCGGAGAACGCGGAGCGGAGAACTCAGCTCGGAGTCGGAATGTTCGGAGTGATGCCAGCCTAGCTCTTTCCCTCCGAGATCATATCTACAAGTAGTAGAATGAGTTACTTGCGGGATCGAGTGAGAGGTTTCCTTTTAAATCGTAGACCAAAAAGCTCCGAGGGTTCCATGAGATCCTAGGTTGAGGCTCGCATTTGTCATTGTTAAAGCCGACCTCGGGAGCCCGAGAGGACAACTGGTCCATCCACCTTTTTGATCTTGATAACAACGTCTTCCTTCTCATCTTGATTGGTCTAGATAGGTAGACTGTACCTGGCCTTCGTATCATATACGGAGCAGATCGCTATGTAATAAGTCTACCTTCTACCGTCAAAATCATAGCAACCCGTATAGTCCACCCATCGTGCGGGCTCTGCCATACCCCCGAGGATCAATAATGTACCCAAATAGGCAAAGCCAGCCCTCAAGTCATTAAACGATCAACAAAGAACATTGAGGATACAGATATGCCAAGATGTGCGTTTCACTAGAGCTGTTTTGACTTCCTACATGTAGGTATTATCATCTATTTTCCGACCAGAAGATAGAAAGCAAAGATGTCAAATACCTATTACCATCATTCATGCAGGGGATCATTCCTATATCGAAGAAGTACTCCCTCCAGTCACTTCAAGGTGCGTGGTCTTTAATCAAGATGGATTGTAAAGAAGTGGGGGACGCTTATTACCACTACCCTCCACGTATTGCAGTCAGGTGCGTGTGTATAATCGCATCCCACCACGGATATGGCCGCCAACACTTAACCCCACTATCACCACGCAGGAAACCCAGGAGTTTTCTGAAGCTCTGCCCCCACCATTGTATACCAAACAGTTCGCGCATCCACCGAATGCGAGAACGAGATCTACAACAATCAATTGAAGACATAACAGAGTGTCCTACCCACAAACCAACGGCATAATTTCCTATCCTTCCACCCACATCCCAAGATGGCGCAAAACGCCCCCGCATCCTCAGACGGAGCTCCCGCGGGATCAAGTGTGTCTCCGATCCCCAACATCAAGATGATACTGCAGCGCAGACTGCTTGCTGTCTGTCTCAGATGGAGACCTTGGCTCGGCTAACCACTCGGAAATAGTTAATCTCGCCTCTCTCTCCGTCCCACAACTCCGCGCGCTCCAAACTCGCCTCACTTCCGAACTGGAACACCTGACCACCTCGCACACCAAGCTGCGCGCCGCCCAGGCTAAGTTCCGCGAATGTGTGCGCTCGATCAATGATGGTGTGACTGGAAATGAGAAGCAGGGTACCAATGGCCGCAATGAGATCCTTGTGCCCCTCACCAGCTCGCTGTACGTCAAGGGCCGGTTGACCGATCGTGAGAAGGTCCTAGTTGATGTCGGAACTGGATTCTATGTCGAGAAGGTACGAGACTAGCGGAGGCATATTCATGATTGCTGGTGGTCGGGTTGGATGAGCTGACGAATTGTTTTTACAGACTGCGCCCAAGGCGGTTGCATTTTATGATGACAAGGTCAAGGGCCTGGAGGGAAACTTGCAAGAGTTGGAGAAAATTGTACAGACCAAGAGCACACAATTGCGCATTGTGGAAGAAAGTGAGTTGATCCCTGGTCCCAAACATAGGAGACGGGATTCCTATCGCCTGTTTCGTTCGCTAACCTCTCTCCTGCAGCCTTGAGGCAGAAGATGCTTGCTGGAGAGGGTGCTCCCCAACCCGCTGCTGCAGGCTAAACTTGACAAAGGTGGTGTTGATAGGCCTGCTTGATTTACAATATAGTCAAAATCGGACACAGGGTTTTACCAAGACATCTCACCTTTCTGGAAAAGCCACACTCAAGATGAAGTATAAGACAAAGAACCGGAACAGAGGGATAGAGGAAACCTGGGCTTTCAAATGCAAAGTTCGATTGTTCATACACGCTAAGTCTCAAATATTCTCGGCTTAACAAAAAGGCTGGACGATAGCGATGATTGATCTCTCCCCTTCTTTCCTCTCTTTTTTTTTTTTTTTTCATTTTCCATCAAATGAGATTATCGCAGTCTGGCTCGCAGATGTAACCGACTAGAATAAAGTCCCTAGGTCACAGTCAAGCATGGCGGGCATATCAGCACCTGGGTCCCCCAGCATCCGCGCAATCTGCTGAACGGTGCTCATGAATTTTCTCAACTGTTTATCATCTTGCTCTGTAGTCCCAGCCCTTTCCTGAGCCTCATCCGTTTGCTCCTTTCCCTTCTGTTTATTGTCGTCCTCCGGCGAGGGAAAGAAGAGATTTAGGCTTCCATCCTTGGAAATTTTGTGAACGTCGGACTCAGCCTGTTCACCTAGTAGGTCGTCCCAAGCTGGATCGAATAGGGACGCACCCCAGAATACATTCGGGGTTGTTGACCAGTGACCAGCCGCATATTTGTATTCGTCGAAGCGGGAAATCTCGAATACATAGGGCGTGTCTTTGACCTGTAGCTGAACCGCGGCTTTTTCAACGAAGCGCGTGACTTTTGAACCATGGGCGAACTTTGACTTGCGCTGAGGAGCAGACCCAAGGCTCTTTGCACTCGAGTTCCATTGGAAGGCGATGGAACGCTTGAATCTTTCTAGTTCCGGGGAGACGTCACTCTCGCCGCAGAGTTGAAGTGCTTTAATCTCAAATTGCCAGTCGGACCTAGATATGAAGTAAGCTTCTCGTAGGTGCAGACAGGGACTAGAATCAACAGACCTCTCAAAGTCTATCATGCTGATTTGCATTGGCATTTGGCAATCAATTCGGGCATCGATTTCTTGCGGCTTGAAACACCGAATTCCGTTGACTTCAAATTCCTGCGAGCCCAGGGGGAGTGAGAATTTCGCTTCCACGCGAATCATTGTATCACGGCTCGCCTTATATTCAAAGTTGGCAGAATAAGTAGGTATCAACCTCAATAGAGATCCGATTTTGGCTTGGCCGTAAGGCCTAAGGATGTCGGATCTAATGATTCGGCTGAACATCTTTTCTTGCTGTACTCGGATCCTAAACTGCAAGTCAGCTGGCAATTTATTGGAGTTCGGCGAGTTTACAACATACCCCGGAAGCAAACGCCCTTCGGTGTTCATGAGTGAAATCACCTCACGAAACTCCGAGAACCGAAAAGATGTGCCGTCATCTGGCTTGCGCCATTGTTGCAGAGCAAACGAACCGAATTTCGCTCGCATTTGCAAGAACCCTTGGAATTGCGGAATAACTCGCAGCGCGTGCCTAAGGCGGCTGGTCACAGCGTCCTTGTTACTGACCTTGAGTGCATTGGCAGTATTTCTCCAGTTCGCGGCTACCTCAGGGGCTAGCTCTGGTCCACATAGAACAGCCCTGGAGAACTGACCGGACTTTTGAAGGATGATATGGGTTCTCATGAGCTCCACTGGGGGTGGACCGACAAGCAAAAGCCTGTATTCCGTCTCACTTTGGACCATTAGACTGCGGCACAGCTCTCGGAATTGGGATGCAATGGCGATCATATCCCGCTGGCTGTTTCCAGACACGTAGATGTAGTCTGAGACACCAGACTTGATGTATATGTTAACAGTATATTTCAAACGGATGCCATCGACGAGTTCGCGTCGGGCAGAAAGACTGTAGTCCACGGATGGGCCATCGGATGGCCACAGGAAAGCAAGCTACAGTGCCAAAACTCAGTTAGTGTGCATGAAATTTCAAATCAACAAAAGGGCTGGCAGGAGGCTTTTCATACGGTGTAGAAAGTGGAAATCTTTGGTGGTTTTCGCAGGCTGGACAATCTTGTCTCATAGTATTCGCGCGATTGGGCATTGGCATCCTTAGCAAGTGAATGCGCGCGGATTTTGTCCCATCGCGGTACGCCAAATGAATTTCGCAGTTGTATCATATTGGCCACCATCTCCTGGAGCTGTCTTCGGGCTGCTGAGACCTCAGTGTCTTGGCCCCAGATTTCAACGACCTTTAGGGTGGTTAGTATGGTACATCTTTCAGATAGCGGGAGGTTGTGTTGGGGACTGGCCTTTGGATCTCCATCGCTCATCCTCACATAGGCGCCTGTATCTTCGATGATCGTCTGGCGAAAGTCGATGCTCGAAGCATCTGCCTGTGTCTGCCCTCTTATTCTGTTGTGTCTGCGTCAGTTCTGGGGCCAAAGCAATTGCCAACTCTTTCGTACTTACTTGTTCTGGAAGATTCGACACTCATATGGCAAACGGAAGCAAGCTAGAAAGTTGTTAGCGGCGGAATCATGGACATGGTGAACACACTTGCCATCCGGACGAGAGCCATTGCGCCACTTTGCCTTCGAAGGAAGGTCATTCTGCTTCAAGATGATGGGCCGAGCGCGACTCGCGGGCAGCGAAGAACTTGGGGGCTTTCTGCCATTTTGTGACCGTGAACGTGATTTCCCGTGCGTATTGGAAGTATCAGTGCTCGTAGTTCGCGATGATGTCGGTAAAGGACGTCCACTCGAGGTGGAACGGCTAGTTGTATCCTTGATCGGACTTGAAGCGGAACGAATATGATTTATTTCTTCGGGGACATAGTCATCATCAAAATCAAGAACTCTGCTCTCTGGATACTCGTCCGCTTGGCGACGGGTGTATCTCTTGCCTGGGTCAAAACCTGGACTGGGGCCGTAATTGGGCAACTCCCATGCTAACCAGGCGAGTCAGTAGCAGGAACCATATTGGATAACATTATACCTTACACTTAGCATTGATGCGCTCCCAACTGTAGGACATTGATTAGTCAAATGCACTTGTAGATTCGTGGGTATCTGGGGAGAGGAGAGGAATAGGCTTACTCTTCCTCAGCGGACTGGCGGGGGAATGCCATTTTGACCAAATTCAGATCCACAGGTAGTAACTAGAATAATAAGATGGGATCTCTCAATGATTTGAGGCTGGGGCAAGAAGAAAGATCAGTCCCGGCAAAGAATCGGAGGTGAAAGAAAGAGCTGCAAGGGAATCAAACAGTACAGATGTATAGCAGGCTTCCGGAACAATCCAGGATGTGTGATAGGATGAGAACGAGGTAGGTACTTAGGTAGTATCGCGATTGGGCAGGTGCAAATCGCTGGCACCGTGATGGGAGCCTGCGATAAATCTAAAAGTTACTCACCTTACTTCTTGCTTGACTATCCCGGGGCAGTTTGCTTTTCTAAGGCACCATTAGCACGAGACAATTGGGAAAAGGATGACGTGAAACTGCGAGTTAAGTGACGCGAAACTGCCAGTATCTTGAGGCAGTGATATATAAGCCGGGTTGAAAATACCCATGCAACTCGAAGCATACATGCATATGTACCTTAGGATGGGAGCCCTGGAGGTATATAAGAGGTATGAAGTGCTGGACGTGGAAGTGCAGCGAGTCAGCCTAGACTTTGCGTTTTAAGGATGCGGCCAAGGGTAATGATATGGTCGTTCTACAAGTGTCAAGTAGTATGTCATCATACCTATATACAGGTACATACATCCTAGCTATGTCTACATGTATGTACATATCCATGTATACATAGTACATTGTTGGTATCTCGTTATCTCTCGCATCGTTATGGAGTCAAATATCTCCATGAATTGAGGCGTACTCAACTCAATTTCTACAATAAAGTGAGATGGTTCGCTTGAAAGAGTAAAGGGATACTGGCGGTCTAGTGAACTTTGCCGTCTATCAAACTTCGAATATCCCCTCGAGAATCGTAGAGCTAATGAGGAATTGATTCCAACATAGGGTGTAGCATCCATGGATGAGTACCTTGTATACTAGCATCATGTGTATGATTTGATGATTTTATATAGACTGTCATCAACTAGGGAGGTCCTGTAATAATACGATCCGAGCTCAAAGCTACACACACATTAGGACAATTGACATAGTAAGATTGTGTAGGACATGGACAATAGTCAGTCATTTGAGGGAATAAAATTAGATAATCACCAACCACATACGTACATACTCTAGGTTCCAGTTGCAGCAGACCACTTGGGGAGACAACACAGGGTCACAAAGGTGCAAACCGGGAGACAGTAGGTACGTGGCATTGTACGTCACGAAAACGGCGAGAAACCTAAATGAGAATGCCCTCGCTGAGAATGAAATCAAAATTTTGCATAACCGTATGTTTGGACAAAGTGAAAGTGTACGGTTCTCTTATTTCTGCCAGACATACTCTCAAGATGTACGGAGTAAGTAGTGTCTTTATCCGTTGTAGCAAAATGGAGTATGTGGGTACCGCAAGATAGAGACTCGAGCTTGATTGGTCCGGCCCCCTTGATGCGCTAATCCGGAAAGGGACGAAAGTGGACAACGCGTCAAGCGCGATTTCTCCTTCGACATTGCATCTCCAATCTGGTCACATATCTCGTACTTCCAATGAGTGATAGCGACTCTGATTCCCCGCCCCAGAGGCGCAGCGCCCGCGAGCGCGCACAATGGATGACCAAGGGAGCTCTGGTTCGAGACGATTCCGACGATGAACTAGGCGTGGAGGATCTTCCGTGGAACTGGGTTTACGATACCAATGAAGAGATTAGCCAGGACAATGTGGTCGATGAGGGCAGCCCCGTGAAACGTGGCAGAAGACGCTCTGCCCGCCCGGCCCGCATGAAACGCAAAATTATTGGCGCACAGATGGGTCAATTCGAATGCAAACTGGGTGATGTCGTTCTCTTGAAGTCCCCCGAGGCTGGAAAGGACTGGGTAGGCATCATCACACAATTTGTGGAAGAGGAGGATGAAGACGAACAAGACGAGATTCTCAAATCCGTCAATATCATGTGGTTCGCATCACCCGACGAATTCATGGGCACGAGGAACAAGCGCCGAACCGACGCCTTGCCTAATGAACAATATATCACGCTGGACTTCAACAATAACCCCTTGACATCGATCAGCGGCAAAGGCAAGGTCATGTCTCAAGGCTCATTCAATGCCAGATACCCCAATGGTCCCCCGAAGAACAAGGCCCAATTGGCAGAATACAACAAGTGCATTATTTGCCGACGGGGCGTGAACCAGGTTCAAGGAAGGTATACCGATGAGTTCACCTGGGAAGAGGTGTACAATGAAGACAACATTCACCAATTGATCAATTGGGTCAAGGAGGGATTGAAGGCTTCCAGAAAACGCAGAGCTGCGGACAATGACGTGAGTCTCAACACATGGGCTTAAGTGAAAGGCAGTGCTAATCTGGATTATCGCAGTATGTTGATACCAAAGATTCAGTGGTACCTTCAACCCCGAGAAAAAGACAGCGACTGGCGGCAACAAATGCCACACCGCAATCACAGCGCAAAAAGGCCCTTACGACGCCGACCCATAAACGGTATGAGACGACGGAAAGCTTCTTAGAAGTACGACTAACTTGCATTAGGATCGTTGTGAAGAAGCCACTCGAATTCACTCCGCTGGGTACTCGGGTTCTCTCGCCCACACATTTCGAATCTCCCTATCGTCAAGCCCGAAACTTACTACACGTCTCTACCGTTCCAGACTCATTGCCTTGCCGAAAGACCGAGTTCAACACTGTATACAATCACCTAAGCGCTGCGATTATGGAAGGCACAGGCGCCTGCATCTACATATCCGGCACTCCAGGCACTGGCAAGACTGCCACAGTGCGTGAGGTCGTCGCACAGCTGAATGGTGCCGTGCATGAAGAAGAGATGGATGACTTTATCTTTGTGGAGATCAACGGTATGAAAGTCACTGACCCGCATCAATCCTACTCCTTATTGTGGGAAGCCCTGAAGGGCGATCGAGTTTCACCTTCGCACGCACTCGATCTTCTCGAAAGGGAATTCTCAAACCCCTCCCCTCGTCGAGTCTCTTGTGTTGTTCTCATGGATGAGTTGGACCAACTTGTCACAAAGAACCAGTCTGTTATGTACAACTTCTTCAACTGGCCTGCTCTCCGCCACTCGCGTCTCATTGTCCTGGCGGTCGCAAACACCATGGATCTCCCAGAAAGAACCTTGAGCAACAAGATCTCTAGTCGACTCGGTCTAACCCGTATCACATTCCCGGGTTACCGTCACACAGATCTGATGGAGATCATCAGCACCCGCCTGGCCAGCGTCCCAGGAAACATCGTTGACCCAGATGCGATCCAATTCGCTAGTCGCAAAGTAGCCGCAGTGAGTGGTGATGCTCGACGCGCTTTAGATATTTGCCGTCGAGCAGTTGAAATCGCCGAGCAAGCTGCCGATGAAGCTGCCGCCGCAGCTGACACGGCCAACGACGAGACAGAATCACTGCCTCCAACACCTAGCAAGACACCTGCTCGGCGAAACAAGGCTATCACAGCCAAGGCAGCTGGTGAATCGACCCCAGCTAAACCTCCTCCCGCCAAGGGCCAACCAGGGCGCGTCACTATCGCCACCATCAAGCAGGCCATCCATGAAGCTACATCAACCCCACTCCAGCAATCTTTGCGCTGTCTCCCGCTACCAGCAAAACTCTTTCTCGCAGCTCTTCTAGCCCGCGTTCAACGAACGGGTCTCTCCGAATCTACCATCGGCGATGTTCTCGACGAAGCCCGCCGCATCGCCGATGCAGCGGTCGCCGTTGCTGGTGCCGCCGGTGCTGGCGTTAAGGATTTCTTGTTGGGTGGAGGCCCCAATGCTCGAGTACGACACTTAGGATATGCGGCTATGTCGCTTATGAACTCAGGTGTTCTGGCGCTGGAGCAGGGCTCTGGCTCTAAAAGCGTGCTTGGAGGTACTACGATTCCCACTCGTGGTGACCGCAGTAGTAAAGTCCGGCTCAGGGTTGCGGCTGAGGATGTCAGATCTGCTTTCCGAGAAGATGTTGAGGCTAAAGGTTTTGGTTTGGGCATTGACCAGTGATAAGGATTTTGTAAGTGTTTTGATATGTTACGCATTGTTTGGAGTTAGCGTAATATTGCACAATAGATTGCATATGATACCCTTTCAGTCAAACTCTGCCTTGCATTATGAACTCGTAGAGTTGGCTTCTTCTTCGTAGTGCTTTTTCTTCGTACGGGTTCGAATTGGCTAGGTTAAATCCAGGGACATGATATAGGTAGGCCGATTGAGGATTTAATAAAACAGCACATGATTGACCCGTTTTCAAAGACATGCATGAACCTTTCAAGGTAAAGTTCTTCTGATACATACAGCCCGCAGACCGCGCTTAACTCCACATACATATTTCCAGTATTGTTTTGATAGCGAGAAAAGAAACAAAAAAAGGGTATTAGACAATTGGAATAGAGGGTTGTTCGGATGCCAGTGACGCTGGTCACTCCTCTAGTACCGCTGTCTACCGAGAGTCGGGGCCCAAGTAAGAGGATGAGTCTCAGGTGTGGCGTCTTCATCCTGCTTCCAGACCTTGATGGTTTTATCAGCCTCACCTGTGATGAGACGCAGACCAGTGCGATCAAATGTAGAGGTCATGATTCCGGCCTCGGCCTCGAGGGAGCCGGGCTGTGCAGTCGTCTCGATAGACTGGAAGCGGTGGCCAGTCTTCCAGTCCCAGAACGACATGGATCCATTGTCGCCACCAGAGAAGAGAACATTCTCGTCGTTGACAGCGAGAGAATTGATGACAGAGTTATGACCGTCGAAGTTTTGCATGAAGTCACCCTTGGGACACATCCATTGCTTGATACTGCCAGTGCTGGCACTGGCAAATGTGAACTCAGTAGGGTGGATTGCAAGATTGCGAACGCCCTTCTTGTGGTGTGTCAGGACGCCCATGCTCTTGCCAGCGGCCAAATCCCATAACCGGACTGTAGAATCGAGCGAGCCAGAGATGATTTGAGGGTCGGCCTCTTGGCACTTGATGTCCGCAACAGTTCCCTTATGTCCGCTGAGGACGTGAACGTTGCTTCGTGTCCGCATATCCCAGACTCGGCAAACGCCATCACGACCACCTGTGACTAACAGATCGAGACGAGGGTGGAGGGCGAGTGTGTAAACACCGCTGAGATGACCGTGGTAGTGTCGAATGACCTTGTTCGTCTCCAAATCCCAACATTTGACCATCTTATCTTCGCCGCACGAGAAAAGGTACGGATGCCGGGGTGATACTGCTAGCCCACGAACAGTGGAAATGTGACCAGTGAGAGTCAGACGCAAGGCGCCTGTTGCCAGATTCCAAATCTTAATAGTCCTGTCTCCTGCTCCACTAGCAAACCACTGGTTGTTGGGTTCCACTGCCAAAGCTCTCACCCATCCCAGGTGACCTGAAATGACGCGCATCAATTTCCAGGGCGCATGCCAATCGGGACGCTGTTGTTGGGTGGCGGAAGGTCTCTGAATCAAACTCGTCGGTTGCTCTCCGGCAGCAGCAGCAGCTCCTGCTCCCGTGCCTGATGGCCGCCTCACAAGTGACATAGACTGGCCACTGCCATCTGCGAGCTTCTGCGCTTGAATCTTTGGGCGTTTTGTGCGGCCAGCTGCGGCCTTTGCCTGCTTCTCTGCGAGCGCTCGTGGGAGTTCGGTGATATCCTCATATTCAGCTTTCCGTCGGTAAGAAACACCGATTGAGCCATCTGTAAGAGTCGAAGGAGTAACCATCAAGTACTCAGCACCGAAGAGTTCGGCGGTCCGCTTGGCGGACATGCGTACCGCGTCATCGGCAGACTGAGGTGAAGTATAGTCCATTGTGTGTGCGCGAGGTGATGGTATTGGGGAAGTGGGTGATATCGGTGCTTTGGACGATCGGGGCGCCGAAGAATCACGGTTAGATCGTGCGCGCAATGAAAAGCCTGCGGCTGGTTCGTGATTCAGGTCTTGTCCGGAGGTTCAACCTGAGCGCCAATTTTGCAAGTAAAATCGATTGGAACTTGGAGCAATGACCCTGGCAGCTCAGAGCTATGTATGATTGAAACTGGAAGCAGAAGATATGCGTGAGTCTGTAGTCGAAGTTGCAACGGGTGTATCTGCCTGAGGCGCCATCCTTGAAGCATTATTATGCCGTTCCAACGAGGGCGGTGAGCAGTGACCTTGTCTGGCGGTGGGCGGTGAGCATGACATTGCTGACTCGGCCGCCGCAGCTTATCGCAGCTCTTATCGCAGTAGCTCCAGGGTTATCCACGGATGATCCTCCCAGGTATAACTCTTCCTCCACCAAAGTCACCATGGATTCCAATCAGAAATTTGCACTGCATGAGGCTGCGCGGGAAGGACGAAGTGAGACTATATTACTCTTATGTAGCATTTTATACTAATAAAATCCCTTAGATGAGGTCGTCGAGTCGTTGCTCAATGTGAGTTGTACTCCACCTAGGCCTTAGACTGCCCCGCAAGATCAAGCTGACGCTTATTCTTTTCGGTCTTCAAGAGAGAGGCTAACAATGAAACAGGCAACCCCGAAATCTGCCTTTGTGAAAGACGACGATGAGCGTCTTCCAATTCATTGGGCTGCAGCATACAACCGGCTCCCGGTCGTGGAACTGTTAGTCGCTATGAAGGATTTCGACCCGGATGTAGAAGTGAGTACAAGAGATCCCTTCTCTTTCCAATATTCATCCATTTTCGCCTTCAAACCATCGCTAAAGAAACATAGGATGGCTCCGGGTGGACGCCTCTCATGATTGCAGCAAGCCTGCAAGATGCTGCAGGTGACGCGACGATCGACCTGCTACTACGAAAAGAAGCAGACGTCTCCATGAAAAGTAACTCCGGACAGGTAAGCTTCCTGCGATAAATACATTGCTACTAGTCAAATATGAGCTTACTGTTTATTAGAATGCTCTGCACTTTGCAAGTTCCAAGTCCAATATTTCCACTGTCCGCACCTTGCTTGCCAACAAGTGTAGCGCGAGAGTCAAAGATAAACGTGGCCAGCTACCACTCCACAGAGCGGCTGCAGTGGGATCTGTGCCCATTCTGAAGACTCTCTTGGAGGAAGGTAAAAGCCCTGTCAACGCAACGGATGGGGACGGATTTACAGCACTTCACCACGCTATTTCTGAGGGACATGGACCTGCTGCCATTTTGTTGTTGAAGTCGGGGGCTGAACCAGACAAAAGAGACAGCGAGGGTAGATTGGCGATTGAGCTGGTCCCCGATGACAAAGTACGTTTTTCCCCGGAACTTGACAACTTTCAACCGTTATTTAGAACAGAACACTAATTCTTCATCGTTTGTCCAGGTCAAGCAATACATCCTACAAACAGCAGAGAGGGAGGGAATCGAACTTCCTTAAATCCTGAAGGTGTCTCGTGTCTCTGTAGTTTGCAAATGCCAAAACGAACAGCTGCGGGGATTCCAGGTATATGCCTCGGATGTGGTGCTTTCCCCGCATTTCGCGTCTACCATTCCTGTTTGACGATCATGAATGATTGCCCATTTTATATCGAAGATCAACTGCCTCGTAGCCTTTTTATAAAAAGAACTCCTTTAATGGTTACTATTCAAAAAATTGAACTCAAACGTGAGCGCAAAGCCCTTCGGATGGGCTTTTTGCTCTTTATGCATGAACTGTGATATCAGTTGCATAGAAATATGCAAGACCAACAAACAATGAGAGACCTCGGTAATGGCGGCGTTTAGAGAACAGCCAATACGAATAACCGGTGGATTGGGGAGGTTGCAGGGAAGCTTGGAGTTATATCTCAGGCTGCTGTCCACATTTTACCTGAGTGCTTGTCAACTCTTGGATAGTGCACCACCAACATTAATCAGAATGTCGGTATTGAATAACACACGCCTCCCTGTGGGAAACAAAGACTTTACGCATGCCACCGTGGTCATTATTGGCGCTGGCATATCGGGTATGCTGAGATCCTAACGGCATATTATCTCCTAATTGCTCACGCTAACCCCCTGATCTCTCCTCAAGGAATATGCATGGCAATCGACCTGATCAAACGGAATAAAACTCAAAATTTCCTTATTCTGGAGCAAAGTAGCAGCGTCGGTGGAACATGGAATGACAACAAGTATCCCGGCTGTTGCTGCGACGGTAAAGCACCCTCCAATGAATGTAATGACACAACAGCTGATTCAATCTAGTGGCGAGCTCGCTTTACAGTTACTCGTTTGAACAAAGGCACGATTGGTCAAGGGAATTTTCCGGGCAAGAAGAACTCAAAGTCCGGAACACCCCGAATCCGCGCTGCTTTATGAGCCATTGCTAATTATGTGTCGAGCAGAAGTATCTCGTTGGCATCGCAGAGAAACATGGACTCTACAAGCATATCCGATTCAACTCCAGGGTAGAAGAAGCTCGGTGGAATGACACTGAATCCAAGTGGAAGACAAGCGTCGTGCTATCCGGGCAAAAGGACAGCGAATTCTCGAGCTCATATGTCTTAAGCTCCGACTTTCTTGTCTCCGCTGTCGGACAACTTAATTTACCCCGATATCCTGATATCCCGGGCCTAGATGATTTTGAAGGGAAAATAATGCACTCTGCTCGATGGGACTGGAGTTATGATTTTACAGGAAAGCGGATCGCAATCATTGGAAACGGTGCGCATTGTCTGCCCGAAAATGTCCATCCATTCAACATAATACTGACTATCTCGATAGGAGCAACTGCTGCTCAAATCGTCCCTGAAGTTGCTCAGGTTGCTTCTCATCTCACTATTTATCAGCGAACGCCAAACTGGGTTATTCCTCGCGGCGATAGACCAATATCCAACCTTGAAAAAACCCTTCTCAAATGGCTCCCACTACTTCTCTGGCGCAAGCGGGCGCTACAAATGGATTATCGGGAGAGTTTCTATTCGGCTGTTGCAGATGAAAGCTCAGGCTTTGCCCATATGATTCGGAACTTATGCACCGAAACCATGAAATCCCAACTAGCGGAGAACCCCGAGCTATGGGACGTGCTAACGCCCAAATATGCGCCGGGATGCAAGCGAATCATCATTACAGATGACTACTATCCCACCCTTGCCCGTGACAATGTCAGCTTGGAGGTTCGGGGTATCACATCTGTCACGGACAGCAGCATTGAAGTCGACGAAGAGGATGAACAGCCATACGATCTTATTATTCTTGCCACTGGCTTCAGGACCGTGGAGTTCATGCACCCCATTCAAATTTATGGTTCGAATGGCCGGTCCCTGCAGGATATCTGGAAGAATGGAGCGATGGCCTTCAATGGTGTGACAGTCGAGGACTTGCCCAACTTCGGAATGTTCTACGGTCCCAACACTAATCTCGGTGAGAAGCCTTAAGATCAAACCGCGAGTTTATTCATTCTGACCTATAAACAGGACACAACTCTATCATCCTCATGATCGAAGCACAGTCGCGGTATCTAAACACACTGGTTGGCGAAGTCATCAGAGCTCGTCAGGAGGGGAAGACGCTGGCTCTCAAGCCAGAGCCGGGGGCTTTGAAAAGCTTTAACAATAGAATACAGGCAATTCTCCGGACTACTAGCTTTGCAGATCCAAATTGCAACAGTTGGTATAAGAGAGATGACGGGGTCATCACCAATAATTGGTCAGGGACTGTGGTTGATTATCAGCAAGAGCTTTCGAATGTACAGTGGCAAGACTATATTGCTGAGGGAACTTGGAAGGACCACATCACGGACAAGGCTGCGACAAAAGTGGGCCATGTTAAGGAAGAGACCTTGTTGAGCAATACTTCCTTGCTCGTGGGAGCGAGCAGTATATTAGCGACGATTGGTTATTTGGCAGTAGCTCGCTCAAGAGGGCCCAAGATGCGGTGAACGAACTGATCTGGACATCTTTTCATAGCTAGCTAGGGGTCTAGGATATATAGCCGGGATTTATATAACATACATATCTTACCACCAATATCGTCACGTTTGCAAGGGTCCGATCCTTCAATTGGCTATCAATGCAGTGATTAGATTGGTATACGTATCATGTTAGAAGATATGCGGTGGGAATTTCATATAGGGAGAATGTAAAGGTTACTCTTTGATATTGAGAATAACCTATTAGCATTTGATTCTGCGCATTCAGTCGATACAGTGGCGCAGAGTATATCTACAGATACCTCGACGTCAGGGGGCGCCGGTACCGCGAGGGCTCGTATATTCACTTCTTTATTTGCATTTTTAGGGGCTGCAACTACTGCAACTTCGGTACTTAAATAGTCAAATTTCCCGAGTCCTCTCCTGAAAGAGAGATAATTTACTGGAGTTATGTGGAATGTTGAGTATGGGCAAAAGAAGCGAGCTATCCCGGCCTTTCATGTACTTTCACAACCTAATGGAACTTGCCCTGCATTTTCTCGGTCTGGAATACAATGGTTTTACTTGAGCCATTGCTCTCTTTATAACTTTTGTTTCTCTTATTGCGCTTTTCATTCGTTTATGGAAGTTCTCCTCGTATCTGAGGCATTTTTTCTCGGCTCAAACTTCTCAGGAATAGAGATGGGCTAGATTGTTCAACTCAACATGATTCGATAATAAAATGGCAAGACATGCCCAAGAAAAGCCTCGAAGACGCAGATATCACATGGAGAAGGGTGAAGAGGATCTGCGATATGTCAATTTTCGTTTGGGACCGAGGAATGTAGGGCTGCATGCTTGAGTGCCCAGCCCTTCCTGGTTATTCATGAAATTGGCGTGCTTCCAATGTTCTTTGGGGAAATTAGCCCGATATAAGTTGATTAACAGCCCCTTGCAAGATGCTCCCTTCTGTTTACAGAAGTTGGAGACAACCAACTAAACGACGTCATACTTCCATCGATACTTCCATGCTTCTTCCTTTATAACCACAGCATTCTCTTTCAAATATCTTTTCTCTTTTAATTTGAGTTATCTCCTCTCATCCACTGAAGATATCCTCCACATCGCCAAATCATGTCTGCCTTACCAATATTGGTGAAACGAGCTTTCTCCTTCGACCAAAGTCCCCCCAGAAATGAGCCGCCCAGCTCGCCAGCAAAAAAGCGCCGAGTCGATGGCGTTGACGAAATTTGTTTTGATACACCTGTTCATTCTGGTGGCTCCACAGATTTTCAAATCCAGAACATAGACAAAACAATCGCCGCCATTGAACGTGCGTCCAGCTTAAGGAGTGCATATGGAGATGAAAATTTGCCAATAGAATGCAACTGTCCGCCCCTGCGTGGCCGTTCTGACTATCGTCTTTGGCGGCGCAGGATCAGACTCGTTCTCAGCCACAATTTCCTCCTGGAACTAATTGATGGCGAATTCGCTAAACTCCCCCGATCACATCGCTTGGAATACGAACTAGATCGATTGAAAGCGGCTGCGGAAATGATCATTAATAACAATCTGTCTCCTATCACCAAGCCAATTGTGCGCAATCTGCATGAACCGCATGAGATGTGGGAGAAGCTGGAGAAGCACTGCAAACCCTCTGATTGGAGTTGTACACGATCGGGCTGGCTTGACCTGCAGAATATCAGATACAGCCAATGTTCTGATATTTGGGAATATGTGTATAGGGTAGATGATGCATGGAGGTGCATCTGTCTTGACAGGGAGGATGTCCTAGAGAAACATGAATTGGCACGTTGTGCGAGCCTGATGTGTGGTCTGGACGCGCCGAAATGGGAAGGTTGGAAGATGGGGTTGCTTTCTGGCCGCAAGGCTAATATACCGAGCTGGGAAGACCTTGTGGAAAGTCTGACCTTAGCAGAAGATAAGGGTCTTGTGTGTGATGCGATTGGCATGGCAATCTGATCGAATTCGATGTTCTTCAATAACACTGTTCAAGCTGTTGTGTCTTTCTCACAGCGTTCTCATGCTCTGCATTTCAAAGATTGCCATACACGAGGAAATTAAGCTTTATTTTCTTCTTGCTCTTGATATTTCTTGTTCTTCAACTGTTATTCCTATGCTGTACAATACAGAACAACCTGAGGTTTTTCTGGGATATAAAACATACATAGATACATGATACATGTGAGATGTATTTATAGGATCTGAGATAGAGCAACAGGTTCAGTATTATCTCATAGATTAAGGAATGTATCAATCAGGTCGGAAGGCTGATTAAAGAAGTCGAACATCACGATTCCCACTCGCTTGCCTTTAAGGCCTCCCAGGAATGGCACTAGGTGCTGATTAACTCCACCAGCTGGTGTGTAGTCGCTACCATTCCCCAAAGCCATGATCCGAGGCCAATCAGGGGGAATATTTGCTATGTTGGTACCAGATGCCCAGGTCCAGAAGAGACTGTCCGGGTGTTGGCTAGTTGCTTTGCGGATGTGTTCCACCGTGACATTATATTTCCACTTGATGTTCTCAACCGCGCTCGACCCTGTTGGTGTGAGGGGTTGGTAGTAGTCTTCTATGTAGGCAGTCAGATCCTCGTCCTTGTTGTATACCAAAGTGAGATCTGGGCTGTTATCGGTCCAGAGAGCAGGGGGGAAATGCAAGCCAGGGAGAGCAGTTGTGTAAGATTCCGGAAGCTTGTCCAGATCAAATCGGCGCATGAGAGTAATCTTGCCGCGTGATTCACCCAGTGTCCCAAGTCTGTCTTTGGTTTGAAGGAAGTAGTGGCGTGCAGCGGGAGAGGTGAGGGTGTTATAGAGCTGTAGCTGTACGGCCGCGTTGTTGGATGCATACAGAGCTGTCAACCCTTGGTATTGAAACGAGAGAAATATTGTCTCCGACGGATGATCATCAAGCCATGCGTAAAAGCCAAACAGCACATCATTGACTGTGGCTGTCTGCGAGAGCAGGGCCTGAGCGTGATAAAAGATGAGGGTTGAATTTGTCGGGTCGAAAGCATACCGCAGGTCAAATGCGCGGATTCCCATATTGAGCATATCGATCAAGGATAACTCCTGACAACGAAGCATTTCTGGCACTGGAACAGATACCTGATTGAGATCTGTGATGCCCCGCAGGGCATCTTGCGTTGCCTGGGTGTAATTCCACGTGGCGCTGTCATGGGTGCCAGGGATGTTCATATGAACGAGCAAGGTCTCATCGGGATAGCTCTTCATCCATTCTATTGTGCTCGATGTATTTTTGGTGTATGATCCAAATATTGGAGTGGCATTTTCAAGGACGGCCTGAAGTGCAAAATCCGGTAGGGCAGCAGACACCAGGGCGGCCATGGCCATAACGAATGAAGCCTTCCACATGATGTTCATGGGAACAAGGGGTAATGAGAGTTCGTTCAACCCAAGACTAACTTTTGAATAAAATTCGGAGGCTTTAGATTCATCGCATTGACGAAAATAGCTCTCGGAGCAGGGACCTGCAGGGGGCGGCCGCCAATGCTCAGGTGCAAGTCACCCGGCCCTTCAGGGAACTGATCTGCCGCTGGTTTGTTTCTCGCATCAACACCACAATCGATGTCGAAAACAACGATTTAGCTGAGAAGTGGCAATCATTCCAGCCACATGGCTACTGGATCTTCCCAGGTTGGCTTGACGACGCCACGTGCACCGATCGTCAGGTCGCGACTGCCACGACTGCGTTGGAGCTTCGTTTTGTTTCTTGTCTTGGGCTTAGTCGCAATTATTGCGGAATTCCTTATATTCAAAGATCTCTGGAAGATTTGGTTCTCCTTCCCTGAACCCCTCTCCATTATGCGCGGCCTCAGTCTGGTTTCCGCGACCTCTGTGTTCGGCCTCACGCCCAGCGATACCTTCTATCCCCCAACACTAAACGCGACAGCATACATCAGCAACAGCACTATCGGTACATATGGAGGTATCTACAAAGCTCCAACGAATGGTCCAACCGAGGGAATCCCCTACGGCACCTATGACTATTGCTCCATGCCACATCCTCGTCCGTCGGAATACAAGCTACCCGAAGCTCTAGCCAATGGCTCAGCCAACGGAAAGCTTGTGTACTTGGAGTATTTACAGCGCCACCAGCGCCGCTCTCCATACAATATTCTCCCCGGTGGAGAAGTAAGCAATCCCTAGATCAATTCTGGGCCCAAACTCACCCTTTCCAGAACCAAGCATACCATTGCGATGATGTGCGCCCGTACCTCTATGCCGGCCCCAATAGCGCAAGTGGCATCCATGCCATCCCAATGTATGCACAGACATATCAAGACCCATCTAATCCATTCATGCCGGATGTGAATGGCACCTGCCAGTACCCGCAGATCACTATTGGAGGTATCCAAGATGGATACCAGCACGGCAAGGACCTGTGGAGTATCTATGGCGAGAAGCTTGGTCTAATTCCCGATATGCCAAATAAACGCGTTTGGTTCCGCTCCAGCGAGTCCGCCCTTACACAGGCCTCGGCTGGTGCGGTTCTACGGGGCGTGTGGCCTGACTTTGAAGGAGCTCTGCCTCTGCGTCAGATGGTTTCGTCTGTCGATACCGTTAACAAGGGATATTCCTGTCCCGCTGTCGGCTCTATGCTATTGAGTCTACAGTCTACCAAGCAGTGGAAAGAGCATTTGAGTGTCACTGAGGAGTTACGCTCGAAGCTGGGTGCCATGCTGGGCGCGTCAGATAGTTCTTGGCAGGATACGTTTGATCACTTCTCGGATAATTTCCAGGCTCGTCTTTGCAATGGCTATGATTTGCCTTGCAGTTTGTCAAATTCTTCGGACTGTGTTATCATGGAGATGGCTGAGGAGGTCTTCCGTGCTGGTGACTGGAAGTGGAACTACTACTGGCGCACGAACCCGCATGTGGCCAAATACATCCAGATTGTCGAGGGCTTGTTTATTGGTGAAATCATTTCTCGTCTGCAAGCTGTCCAGGATGGGAGTTCTACCATTGATTACAGTCATATCTTTATCCACGATGGAGATATTGGTCCTATTCTAGGTTCCTTGGGCATCGAAGCACTGCGCTGGCCCGCTATGGCATCCAACATTGCTTTTGAGGTTTGGTAAGTCGCATTCTCTATCTGTACTTTTGAGCTCTCTAATAATTTCTAGGGAGACCACGGAGCGGGAGAATGAAAGCTCCTTATACGCTAGGGTTTTGTATAGTGGCCACCCCGTACGAAGCATCCATGGTGTTCTTGACTGGGTCCCTCTCTCGGAGCTGATTGATATAATGCACCCCTATGTCCCCGATGATATTATTTCCCTCTGTGGGCAGACTAACTAAGTACTTCGCAATAAGGGGCTGAGAATAAATGCAACAGAATTCGCTACATATCATCCTCAAAAACGAACTATACACGTATTTATCTATCAACTACTGAACAAAAGGACGCCAGATATGTTGTCTCCGCGTCCAATTGGTAACTAAAGGCTTTCTTCGCATTAAGGATATAGTAAAGGGAAGGATCAGGCATCTCAAACTCGTTATATATGTGTTCATCAATCTCCCCATTATCATGCTACTTTCTAGGCTGATCGCTAAAAAACAATATTTCCTCCCACCTACATCCATGGTTATTACATGCACCTTGCACCTGCAAGAGTCAGTTATGGTTAATCTGCACATTATGAATGCACTTCTATTCCAAAGCACCTTGATACTAGGGATCAATCATCGTGTATTAGGAATAACGATACCGTGAGTCTGCGCCAATCACCGATTCTACCAAACGTCAGTCCCAAGACTCGATGAGCCCGAGCCCCGAGCCTTACGTTATGTGAGTTTCCCCCAGGGTCTCCGGGGTTCTCTTCGGATTGGCTCATAGTTCTAGAGGGGACCTGTAAAGCTATCCAAACTCTCCAATGGAGGCAAATCAACTGCTTAGGAATCACATTTAATCTAGCCTCCGCTTCCATGGGAGACTGAACTCGCGCCATCCGCCAATTCCGGAGATTGGCGTCTTAAGGCCATCTCCGACATCATCCCTCTGATATGTTTGTAATGTTCTCGGTGAAACCTGATCTGGTCTCGGATTATGTTGCTAAGAACGGAATACGAAGAGGTTGCATTTGATTAAGAATGTGCTATTGGCTTGACTATACTGTATATAAGTAGCTAATAAGCACCTTAGATGCAGAATTAAGCTTGCAAGGAGATGGATGGTAAGCAGGGTTGATATGTATAAAATTTTCAAAAGAATTATTTCGCCAGTCACGACTTCCCAACGCCGAGGCTCAAATATGTACTCCAAAAGTCTTGCTGCCGATGCCGATGATATGTTGACACAGAAAGTTATAACACAAAGAAAGAAAGATATATCTGAACGCAAACATGATTCATTGCGCATGAGGAATAACAGCAAATTCTCCGCTGGCCTCCTTAGTAAGGGATGAAATCGAGCTGCATTCGCTCTAAGAGTCAAAAAATGTTAGCATGGGGCACACAAGGTTGCTCAAAAACTTCTTACCGAGGAAATGGCTCCAGTCTTCTTCTTCACTGAGCTGGTTAGACCAGTACTGCTCGAGGAACCTCAATGACTGAAGAACGTTCGGAACACGAATAGTGTCGTGCAAAGACGATAACAATCGCTTGACCGTATCCCGATCTTGGTCGCGCGCCTCGCAGCCCGCAATGAAAATCGGTGTTGTTAGCATTACCCAAGGCGAGAGACCTGCTGATGGACCAATCTGTGCCGTGCATTCCAGGATGCGCCGGACCGATTGCTGCACTTCTGGTGACGTACTTGGTGTCTTCCGAAGTCGACGGTGGATCTGGATGAGCGCACTGTGTTGGAATGCCTCATTGCAGAGCAAGAGCTGTTGCGCGCTCTCTGCCGACAATGCCTGTGCGGCCCCAGGATAAAACAAAGGTTGTGAATTTGAATCGCGATTCATGAGTTGTCGAATTGCAAATTCCAGAGAAGCGGCATCATTCTCGACATCGCTATCAATCTCTCCTGCTACAAAGCCCTGGGTCGCCTTCTCGGCTTCATGGCTTCGCCAGGCAGCAGCACCAATCTGCCGGAACACGGCTGCAAGGTCTACGCTGAACCCCCAATAATCATCCAAATAATCAGGAGTCCCGCCCAGTCCCATTAGATCAGACGAGGCGAAATCTGAGACATCTCCGATGGGCGGGCCATTCCCGGTCAGAGCCGTGAGCGAAACAATCGACCAATACCAACGATCCAAATACCGCCGGAAACCGCTCGTGGACCGTGGTGAATCCTCACCAGCAACATCCGACGCCCTCATCAAAGCCCTCGCTCCATCAATATGGGCTCTCCATGAGTTCGGATTGATCGCTCCAGAATGGATCTCGGCCAGGCAGAGTGTCCGGGCCGTCGCTACTAACGCTTCCGAGCCCTTGGACGAGGGATTCTGCAGCTCTTTCCGGAAATGTTCCAGACTGAGAGCCATCAGTCGAGCAATATCCGGAGCTGATTTCACGCTCTCTGACTGATTATGTAGGGCTTGGATATGGATCGCCGAGAGAGCGGTGGTGGCGTAGAGTAATGAGGGAGTCTGGAGAGCCATGGGGATCAGCATGCGACATATATCCTTCTGCATACCCGAATGGCACGCCGTAATCTGAGAGGCATCGTTGATAAAATGGTGTAAAAGAGCCTTTTGATTGGAGGACAAGGACGAGAAAGGGTCGACGGATTGCGATCGAGTCAGTTCTGATCCAGTTTTGGCGCTGGCCGACTGTACCGCCGCTTTGGTTGTGTAGATAAACTCTCCTGGTGAATACTCTGGAGGGGTTAGTGTTATGCGCATGTACCTTTGGATAGATCACATACCGAGTCTCTGCATACCCCCAGCTCCGACGCAGGCCCCAAACCGGGATCGCGAGAACGTCCGTCCTCCCCACTGCAATTGCATCGCATATTGACATTTCTCGCCCGCAGTCTGGCAGCGCCCACAGCTTGGTCTCTGCTCGTCACATTTTTGTCGGCGCGCCTTACATCTCTTGCAGCCTGTGAAGGACCTCGACATGGGTGCTGTGGTCTGGTGGGATGATGTTCCGGAGAATTCTTGCGGGGAATGGAAGGATCCCCGGACATAACCCGAGCTCCCGCGTGGCAAAGGTGGCTTCTGGGACTAACAGAGAAGTATTTATTTTACTAATATAGGTACGCGGTACAAATCGATACTTTGCTGAGATTTAGTTTGTGGTAATGCTTATGTAGTATCTTTTGTGTGGCACGTCTTGGATTGTTGAGCGGTCGATCGCGAGGTCCACCATTCGAAGTATGTATTGCAATATCAAACTCCAACGGTGGGTCATGAAGGGAAAATGTGGATGTAATCCCAAAATCCCAAATAATAATAAAAAAGGAAGCAAGTATGCGTTATGGCAAGAAAATACATAGAGCATGCCAACCAGAGTATATGTTCATCCCGGAAAGCCATCAACATGAGTGATAGACACCCTTAGGGGATCAGCCCTCAAAGGTATACCGAAGCCATTCGCCAACGGCGTGCAAACTCTCCCATCGCACTGATTCATCTTTATCGGCCATTAGTTCCATCACCCGCGCCTTCAGGCCCAATCGCTCCAGTTGTCCACGGCGTTCCGGGACCTCCTTCACCAGGTTTCCTACATCACTGCAAGCGATAGCCAGCACCTGCTTGTCATTGTCCCAGCTTTTGGACAAAATCTCGACCAATTTCTTAGGCAAAGCGCCGTTCGACTCCTCAACGATGCGCCGCGCGTTGTCTTTCCAGAATGTCGGGTTCTTGTGAGGGGGCGACCAGCGCAGATGACCTGACTGGACCTCAGCGGCATATTCGTCAAAGGTAGTCTGTGTCTTGGTGTATTCATCCAACATCGAAGAGAGCGCGGCGAGATCCTCGAGCAGATCGGGGTCAGTCAGGTGACGGCCAGTCAAGTTGGTCAGGAGGGCGGGGAGCCGAACGAACACCGCAATAGGCAGTAGGGTCGTCGGGTTGCTGGAGCAAAGATTGTACAAAGTTGCAAGAAGCAAGCGAGTAGTCTTTTCCTTCGGTGAGAGTCGCAGAAGGTGAGTGTAGAGTTGGATGATTTCATAGTTTCTAAGCGGAATTAGCAGGCGCTCAACGTGTAGACTGGTTGCTGATCCTAACAAGGTCACTTACTCTTGAAGTTCATCACCAACGAGAGCACCCTCAAACGAAAGTTGCCACAGCACTAGAAGAACGCGATAGAGAAGTTGGAGGCCAACACCACCAGCAAGGCCGGGCTCGACACCGCGGCTACTGCTTCCCAATGTACTTACACTATCTTTGGCTCCCGCTGCAGTTCGAAGAGTGTCGATCAAGGGATTGAGAGTCTCTTGGCGTTGTGCCCAAAATATTTCTCGGGCTCGACTTGTTCTCAGCAGGTCTGAGAACCCTTGTACGCCAATATCTTGGAGCCCACTGTCCTGATTCTTGGTTAAGGTGGAGAGATAGGCGTAGAGCTGTGGGAGAGCCTCATTGTCGCGCGGTGCGGGCTTGGAAGATGTAATAAGACTGTGTGAGACGAGGGCCGTGAGGAAGGTGGACGTGAGCAGAGGGATGGGGTCTTCGGCGTTTGACGAGTGCTGCAGGAAGGGTAAGAATGGCCTGTAGGGTTCTGGATGAGACACAAGCGAGTTTGCCAGAGAGGGCACATCTATGGGCGATCTAATCAGTATATTTCTTTGAATATCGAGCACCGACAGTAGCGTCTACCTTGGATCAAGTCCGAGGCTAGCACCAGTATATACTGCACGATATCGGTCCTTCGAGAGGCCGAGTCCAAGACACTCTTCCCCTGTGCGCCACCGGCCAACAGATCTGTATATCCAGCAAGATCTCCTTCTATCGTCTGGCGGCGCTGCTCCTTGCGCACCTTGTCCACGGCCTTGATCTTCTTCAGGTGGTCATCGGTGATGTTGCCCGCTCGAACAGCACCCTCCCACGGAATTGGTCGAGCTCGAATGTTATTCTGGAGGGAACTGAGGTAGGTGGGTGGCTCCAGCGACATTGTGGATGTAGTTTGAGAGGTTCCAAGCCAGCAAAAAAAGAGCGACGCTAGCTGTGAATGATGCAGGTAGAGGTGTGTCCAGAGAGACGGGGGAGCTTGGGGATGACGGAAGCCTGTGCCAAGACCGACGGTATCTCAACCCATGGCCTCAATTTCAGTTCTCTGTTTCTTACATTGACTGTTGCTTCCTATATCTCTCTGTGTATTCTCTTTTTGTTCTTACCAGCGAATCTCCTACTACTGATATTTTGCCTCGCATTTATCGGTTTATCGGCCCCGCGCCTTGATCCTTGTCTTGATTTCTGCCTAATACTTCGAATTCAGTTTCCATCTTGCTAGTTACTCGTTTTTCTCGCGTCGCATCTCTGCCATTGCCGAATACGGTCTCAAACACTTCGCATTATTTGTCGTCGAATTGACCCTGAGACGTCCCTGACGAGATAATTGCGACAAGTTAGCGTCCGAGCGCAGCCCCCACCGAATCGATGCGAATCCAACACGAAGCACTTGCCGCTTAGTAGCCTGTCCGCGATTCTCAATACAGTAATCTGTCGCAATGGCACAGAATTCACAGACCCAAAAGCCAAAATGGGGCATGGGATCTTTTTTCCAGCAGGCAGTAGCGGGCGTCGAGTCTAGGCTGGATCATATTCTAATGGATGAGGAGAATAATCAGACTACAAAGCCCGCTGAAACTCATGATCTGGAACCGCAACCGCCGAAGGCTCCTACTATTTGTATGAAATCCACAATATCATGTATGATCCGAACAGATCCACTAATATCTTTTTAGCGGTTTCGCGCAATTCATCGAGCGCGCGAAGAAATGACCGACTTCAGGAGCGTCTAGCCCGAGCCATGGTGAAGCAAAATGCCTCCAATATCACCTCTCAATCTCCTCAGAGCCGAATCTCATCACGACCTGCTAGTCCAGTACCCAGCAATGAAGCTCGGTCCAGCATCGATGTTGATTCCAGCGTCGCATCGGCGAATAGTGCGACAGAAGACAACAAAGCCCCTCAGCTGAACCATGACAGCAATGTAGCAACATTGGCCTCGCCAAGAGTGAGCTACGAGTCAGGAGTATCGCCTCGTGTTTCGGTGGACCTGAGTGTCGCTGGCTCCGCGCCCGAAGGTTCCGTAGAGGTGGCTCAATCATCCACCGATTCGGTCAAAGGTAGTCAAGAGCTGTCGGACTCGCAACCCAACGACGTAGTCAGTACTCTCGCTTCGGGTGATAGTCCGCGAGTTAGCGTTGAATCACCGGAGGAACTGCCGGAGCAGGATAATAACCCGGACATTGTGCGCTTGCAGGCTGACCATAAAGCTGCTGAAGCCCAATGGCAGGAGGAAATGCATGTTTATATCGAACGCATTGATGCATTGCAGTCGAAGTTGAAATACCTCGCTAAAGATGCTGCCGAGTCGGCTAAGAACGCTGCGGCAAGTGCTACTCCAGGGAGTGCGCAGAAGCAACTCCTAGAAAAGGATGAGAAAATTGCATTGCTCCTTGAAGAGGGGCAGAAGTTATCTAAATCAGAGATGGACCATCGGACTGTGATCAAGAAGTTGCGCCAGCAACTTACTGAAAACGCAAAGTCCCAGACTGAATTGAAGAAAAGGACTGACAAACTTGAGCGGGATCTGGTCAATTCTGAAGCAAGAACCAAGCGGGCAGAAGCTGCAGAGAAGAGGGCAACCGAATCCTTGTCATCTCAAACAAAATCTACGAAGGACTTGGAAGCAGTTATCACTGAACGCAATGCGCTCAGTCAAACCGTCCAAGAGATGAGGTCACAATTGAATCGGGCAGTCTCCCGTGCCGAAACTGCCGAGACCAAGGCGAATTCCGATGCTCTAGAGCAGGAGAAGCAACGAGCAACAGAACTAGATGAGGAGCTGTCAAATCTAAAGATCGAGCGCGAGATTAGCGAACACAAGTCCAAGAGGGAAATTTCAGACCTGCAGGAAAAGATGGAACAAGAGAAGGAAAGATCTCGAATGCTTGAGGCTGAATTGAAGGGTGAACAATCTGTTTTGGAAAGCAAGATGGAAAGTCTTCGCTCCCGCGCAGAAGAGGCTTCATCGGGGGCAACGGGAGAGACTCAGGCCAAACTCCTGCGTCAGATTGAGACCCTGCAAACCCAATATGCTGCCGCTAGTGAAAATTGGCATACGCTAGAAGGCTCTCTGCTTTCACGGCTGGCCAATGTGGAAAAGGAACGTGATGATGCCGGTCGACGGGAGATTGATCTTCGGAAGAAGATTCGAGAGATGGTAAGATCTCAATTCCCATTCCGCCATTTCTTATTGTAATGTAGGCGTTACTGACATCGATTTAGAACCAAAAACTGAAGAAGTTTGAGGAGGAATTGGATAATGCGAAAGAAACCGAGCACGATCTAAAAAGCCGACTCGATGAGCGCATGGAAGAGCTGCAAAAGTTGCAGCAAAAACTCGAGAAAGCGGCAGATGACCTTACCTCAACGCAAAAGGACATGGCAGAGCAGAAGAAAACATGTGATGCAACGTGGGCGCAGAAATTGGAAGAGGAGCGGGCTAAATGGAGGGAACAGGTAAACTCCCCATCGCACCTGCGTGGAATGTCACCCGTTGGGTCTGTTCGGCGGTCGAGCACCCTCGAAGCCATGACCCCAGGGCTGTTGGATTTCCGTTCGCCTAGCCGACGCTCGTCTGTTCTGCCTTTTGCATCACCAGAACTTGGCACCCCGCCCCGGCAAAACTCCTACCCTGCCTCAATCACACAGGCCACGCTTTCTCCTCCACAGATCAACACTAACCAGTCAATCATGGAAGCACCATCCATCAGCTTCGAGCCGGACGAGTACTTCGGTGATTCTGGCACGCCTGTCACTCCTTCCGCGTACGGTGGTACCCAGGCACCTCCATCACGCGGTATCAACGACATCATCTCCGAGTCAACCGTCGGTGCAGGTCCATCCGTGCAGCTGGTTGAGCGCATGAGTGCCACAGTCCGCCGCCTAGAGAGCGAGCGTGCTGGCTCCAAGGACGAACTAGCCCGCGTGACGACCCAACGCGATGAGGCCCGGCAACAAGTTGTGGACCTTATGCGGGAACTCGAGCAGAAGCAGCTCTCCGCTTCTCGTGTGCAGGAACTTGAAACAGAACTCGAAGACCTTGATCAGCGGTACCAAACGACTCTTGAGATGCTAGGCGAGAAGAGCGAACAGGTTGACGAGCTGAATGCTGATATCGCTGATCTCAAAAAGATCTATCGCGAGCTCGTTGACAATACTATGAAATGAGGGCGAACTAACTAAATGTCTATCTACGATCTATTGAGCCGCCGGCTGGTCCTTTTTCAGCGTTCTGGAATCTTCGTGTTTACATTAACCTGATCTATGTTTGTAAATAGAATATATCCTGTTTTGTACAAATCAATCGACATTATGCAATGGATTAGCCCCTACCTACATGTACTTATGTAGGTACATGTATATAATAGGATTGGGTTATTGAAATTCCTTTTGTTAGATATACCTAATGGACATAATCATATCAAGAAGAAGAATGCACCGAATTCCCAGCTCCCGGGTTAAACTGTACCAACTGCTGAGTGATCTCGCTCTTCTTCCTATCCCAACTCGCAAGAAGAACATTAAGTAGTTCATTGGCGACACCCAACAACAAGAAAATTGCAATGACCTGGCCAAACGTCCACCCTTTTTCTTCTGGATCGAGATTGTTGCGACTAATGGTCTGTTCTAACGAAACGATCAGATATATACAAAACGCGCAATACGCCACCTTGTTCAGCGTGTATCGGAGCAGCGCCGGGCCATGGAGCATCTCGGGTGGCTCATGACGATTCTGGTAAACAGGCGGATTCACCTCCACGAACCAATTGATCCAGCCTCTGGACTGACCCTCAATCCTGTTCCCAATGCCGGGATTCCGTCTCCGATATGCAAAAAAACCACATAGACACGGCAGCATACACGTGAAAGTGAGAGCAAAAGTAGCAACAATCAACCCCATTGTCCCGAGAATGATATATCGGAACACGGGAGAGGTGGCTTTGATGCTGACGCCAAAGACCACGTATATTGTATCCTTGTTACACTGGGGTTGACTGCCAAAATTTGGCGCTGTCACCCAGAGATAGACGTTGAAGGCGAGGAAAGCCGCCAAAGCCAGGACCTGGATTATGGCGAAGAAATACAGCCGCCATGGGCCGAGTCCTGCATATCGACCTTTGCTCACTAGGTCCGTGCCTAATATGGAGAGGAGGTGCACAACGCATATCGCGTGGAAGAGTGTTAGGTCGCCCCGGACGGTCTGATAGATTGCCGTGCAGAGGAGGGCTAGACCTTGCATGCCGAGGGCGGAGGAAACACCCCGCGAGAATTCTTCTTGGTCTTCTCCTGGAGTAAACACCCGAAGTAGATAGCTGACTATAGAGCCGCCTAAACAGAGGGCGTAGATGGATATACGAATCTGTGGGTCATGTGTTAGATGAATAGTTCTGTGCTTGAGATATGGAGGTGTATGGCGATAGGACGAGAATAGTGAGATTCGAGATGAGACTTACTCCAACTCCAGAGACATCGGAGTTAGCCTCAATGACACAAGTCGTTGAGTTCATCTTGTGCGGTACAAAGTCGCAGCAACGTCTTTCCAGGCGAAATACTCCCTGCAAGGTGAGTAGAGGCGGGAGACGCTCTATATCCCAATTTCGGTCCAAATATCCACCCCCAGATCTTACAGTCCTGTGTGCAGTATCTCTCGTTGCGCATGACGAAAGAGCGAAGGAAAGCAAGCCCAAGGCGCCAGGGCAAGAAAGTGGCTTAGCACCAGCATCGCGCTATGAAATCCTGCAATCATCATTCAAACCCATCATGATTCAAAGTCCGATACGCCAAAAGAGCAGTGGCTGAGTCTGCGGAGGCATTTTTGCTTGGACTGGGATTGGATCGCCTCCAGATGCCTTGTGTGGCGCCTGGGCGATGCTTGTTGCAGGAACCGCTAAGGCCGAATTAAGCCTGGTGAGGTGTGCTCGAGCCAACGCAAGAGTCTTAGTCTCGCCAAAGGAGCCCCGTGGTTGGTCAATAAGAAACTTTATGGTGAGCTTACTGCAGTTCCTCGTTTAGTTGTTGATTGTTTTAGCTGTTTACACCCGATTCCTAGACCTTTTAGGGGTTTTCAGCCTCTTGCAGCGTCATCCCTGTGACCTCAGGAGTCCTCTGGCACTGAGAAAATGGGGTCTTCGCGAGCTATCACTTCTTAGCTGAGCCGAGATAGTATTTTCCTTTTAAGACGTGATCATCCTCGTGAGAAAGTGCAAGGTGTGCGGCTTGCTTCGGTGAAATAATATCACGTCCATTACAGTATATGAACTGAATTGGTTGCTAATAATAAGAATTCCACCATGGATACAGATAATATGAAACGTCCTGCTATCAACAGTAAGTCTGAATTTCCCCTACCTAGGGGTTCAAAGCATGTTTAAAGGGGTGTCAGAATCCTTGCTGCTAGGCCCTATCGTGCTATAATTCGGGTACTCCGTACTTACTATATCTACCACTCTAGTATGGACATTCTTTGCCCTTGCTGCACTTGATGTCGCAGTAAATGCCGCTGCCGGTCCAGCTGCAGTGGCAACCGCTGCCCATGTCAATGGAAGTCCTCTAACAGCGAGAGCAATGCAAATTGCCGCACTCGCTGGTGTCACTAAATCGGGGGTATTGGCATTTGTCGAATTTGTGGGATTTGCAGGCTTGCCAACAGCCGCGTGGATACTACTGGTTTTGATAACGAGTAGCTTTGGGGTCTGTGTCTTGATTACGGCAGAGGTTAGCAATCTGGTCCTTGGGGAAAGTGAGTGCAAGCCCATCCTTAAAAAGATGATAGATTGGCCAGTCCTTTGTTGTGTGCGATCTGTGTGACTGGTAATAACTTGTCTGGAGATTTCTGTCTAACTTCGTGTAGCACCAAGTGCGCTGCTGATTGCAGCTGTTGTCGCCGCCATCCCACTCGCAGGCGAATGTATTGGAATATACCAATGTGTGTTCTCACTTTCTTCGCTTTCAACTCTTCGTTACTAATTTTGCTTCTGGGATCAGCGGCCGGGGGGCTATATGGCAGCAAACCACAGACACAGTTGTGTGTCATGGGTCTTGATGCCTTGGGAGGATACGTATTTGCTCGCATGGCACACAATGGGGGTCAGTTGACGTTGTTTCAGGGCAAGAGGTTTTGCAGGGGCGATTTTTCTGCTGCTGCTGCTTCTCCCGCATTTTACGTATGTTTTGACTAATGGTAAATTGCAGGCTACGATATTTGCTCTTACAACGTCGCCGCTGCCGCCGGGGCCGTATACGGTGTCGTCACTGGGTTTTTCCATACCCTCCTTGGATGTATCGCTGGAGTCACACATATTGAAAGTACCAATGGGCATTATACTGTGAGGAATGTTTTTGGAACAGTGCAAGGTTATGATGAGGGATGGCATCGGAATTTAACGTGGTGATCCCAACTATGAACCATATATATGATGGACAAGTTGTTTTAAAGTATTACGAGGGAGAATCTTTTCTTGTCTTACTAGCAATGTTCCTGCAGACTTCCTGAAATTTCGTGAGATAGAAGATATATGACATCCATGATTCGCATGAACTGAGTTGAACGACTAAGTCTCCTCGCACAAACAAAAGTTACATAGATATAAGACAGTCTGCTCAAAGCTTCTTGGTCTTTCCATCCTATTCCTAGTACGAAGCACTATTCTACTCCGTAGGTTGCGTAGATGTGTCCAAAATACTTCTTCGGTTGACTTATTGAATAGATCTCAAGGTAGCTGTGTAACGCATTAAACCTTCTTGCAGACGTGGATCAGTTGTTTTGCAATCGCTAATGTTTTGGTGCTGGTAAAATATGGCAAGCTTTCACAACTGTCTGAGCCAGACTGTTAGTTATCAAGAAGACCCATCAACCATCGATTCGGCCGCGCGGAACCTTAGGAGTTTTGACTTCGATCCTTGGGGTTGATCTCTCACCATCACGATAGCTCAGACTCAGATCCGTCCCTATGGTTTCCCCCTGGGTGCCATCTTGGAAGAGTTCGAGGCAATTGGAACAACCACATCATCTTTGTCTAGGGTGCGTTCCAAGTAAGGCAATCTACAGACGGGCCACTCATTTGGACGAGTTGGAAGGGAGTAAATCCGTCCTATACAAACGAACGGTTCGAATCAAGCATGGAGAAGTAGGGGGATTCAGACGCAGGAGGGGCTAGGCCCTGCTTCTTTGTACACCGCCATACCAACGAGGTATAGAGCCTAGCCCAGAAGTATGGGGGATGTGGAAGATCGAAACCATCTTCCAGGGCTAGGGATGTCTCTTTCATTCTGCCCCATCACTGGGGGTAGCCGAATAAAGAACCTGCCCCTGAAAATGTCTGAATACGACATCGAGACATCACAGAATGTACGGAGTACTCCGTACTCCATCACTGTTCAATGAGTCCAGACATCTTTGCTTCTAATCATAGAACGACCAGGGCTGGGGTTTACACAAAGAACAGAAAATCATGGATCGCCATACCCGCATGAGTTATCAATTCCATGAAGTGAAACAGATTCGACTGTGAGACACGGTCTAGATTTGAGTAAAAGGAGTGGATCAAACGGGGGTGCAGAAGCCACTTTTTCTTTGACGTGCACATGGACTGGGATGGTCACTTAGTGCCGCGTATGAATCGACTACAGCATGTATGGAATTCTCCAGGACGACTGTATTGCGCTCATTTCTTGATACTAGAGAGATTGGTATATATTGTTAGATCAAAAACAATATTTCGAGTCATTCGGTGTTCAAAATTGAGGATTGGCGATTCAATCAGCGACAGCTAGGGTGGACCCTGGAGCAGCCCTATCTTCACGCTGGAATCAATAATAATTTTGATGGAACAATAGGCCAAGCCACATGGGTATTTTTCTGTCTTTTTTCGTGAACAGGTGCTAGGATAGTAATTTCCAGTCTTTTTGGAGACTAGACTAGGGAGTGAAACAATCCTAAACCCGACGGTGTACGGAGTACCGAACATGAATAAGGGGGAACAGAACTTGTGCACAAAATTAATAATTCAATTCGAGGGTAGCGTACTCCGTACGGAGTAGTTAGGGACATTTCATGACTTCAAACGGTTCTATTTTCCGAGACATGAAGTACAGGGGAGATTAAGTCTATTTTGAACGCAAGGAGCACATAGTGGCTTAAATCAGTTGAGATAACTATCCTTTTGCGGGGTCTTCAGTGCTCTGAGATGAAATGTCCACAACGTGAGGGTGAGATCTCTACTCCGTACTATGTTGTACAATCATATTGGCTGACGTCCCGTGTGATGTGACATGATGCAGGAACAGCTCTTTTAGTATCAGCGCTTGGCCCGTTCGACGCTAACACCACACTGGCCCAAGTGTTTGGCGAGACGCCCGATCGACGTATCAGTCTGATTGAACATAGGCTAGCTAACGTGCAAGGTTGGAACGAGCACGTTCTTCGGTCACAAATTTGAGGAACTTAAACCAGCTAATCCCCGAAAGCCAGAGAAAGCAAAAGGGGGCATCTCCACATCTTTTGGAAGCATGCTTTGGGAAGGACCCCTTAATCTCGAGGTTATTAAGTTTGCAATTTCATTCTATTTCGATGTTCATAAATTCATTCTTTTGTACGGAGTATGAAGTAGTAGTTGAAAGGAATATGTATTTCGAGGAACATATATCGTCCATATCTACTCCATATCTACTCCGTACATACGGAGTACACCTATGTACGGAGTATATGTAAGGATCCCCCGTGCTCTACAAACGTACCTACATATACCTAGGTAGGTACATGTGCGTACCCCGACACTCCGTATGGCGTATTGGATCTTTAAAGTCAAATATCAGGCAAATTGGGAAGTACTCCGAAGTACCTAGTGGCGCTGGGAAATAAGTCCAGCTACAAAAAGATACTAGCTTGCTACCCCTGAATCTCCAGGCACGGGCCAACCTCAGCAGATCCACGACTCAAGGGGGGCTTCTTTGTGCCACTTGACACTATTGGAGTTCTATTTTCATATTTCTAGTACATTACTCGATGTTATACTTGCTTTGTATGCACCGTACGGACTACCTAGGGACTCAGATCGATCGCGGATGATTGCGCAGTGGACCGAAACGGGAAAATTACCCAACCGCCATCTCGAGGTTCAAAGCGATGTCGATCCTACCGGCCAGAGCACTATCAATTGGACTTGCCAATCGAATCAATGCAACTCCCGACCCACGCCAGACCCCCCCTGCGCTCCACTCATGCTTACTTGTCCCGAAGCCAGCGCTAATGAATGGAGAACCCACGGGCGGTTTGCGCCAATCGCTCCGGCCTGTCGTGGACAGGACTTTCTCCTTTTCCTCTTCCCTTCTGATATTCATCTGTGAATAATCCTTCCCTTTTCGGTCGTCTTATTGGCGGGTGCCATTCTATATTCCGTGCTAATCGGCATGAGTGACTGTCGATCCATGGCTATTTTTTGATTTGGACCAGGGTGTTTCATGGCGTCTCCTCCTGGGCTCGGCGGCTCGCCCGCCCATTCAGAGAGCTTCTCTGGTCTTTTCCCTCCTCCGACTACTCCTCCACTGCAAAGGGGTCCTATCCCGCAAAATGATGATCTAGTGACTTCGGTCCCTGTGCACCCCTCCTCTCCCCTTTCGTTCGAGGGCAATAAACCCACTTCTATTCCCACATCACCCGTGGCTAGACCACCATCCCCTTCGTCGGTGGATGGAGACTCATTTATAACGGTGCAAAAGAACTCTAATAGGTATGCGACCAAGCCTGACCCCAGCTTTTCCTTTCTCGGACCTTTTTGCGGACCGTCACTTTCCCCCTCCCCGACATCATATCAAACAAGCATGATATGGCCCATACATGCTGTTCCGCTCCTCGAAAGTCTGGAAGGCTAATCGCGTGCCCCTGTCCCAATTCCGCAGATATTCACGAGGACGGCACCCTACCCAACCCCTACAAATCGATACCGCCGCCTCCCGGCACGGCTCCGCCTCGTACTTGAGATCCGTGCTCGAGGACAACGACGACGAAGACGAGGGTCCTGGCTACTTTGACGAAGAATACGAACACCAGTTCATGATTGGAACTCCTTTGCACAATCGTCTAGATAGCGAGCCGTTCATCCCAGTCCTCAAATCCCCTCCTCCAACGAAACGATCTTCACGACGGGCAACGAGTATGGCAATACACCCGCCTATGCACCGACCACCGCCACTACATATTGACGTGGATTCGCGATCAATGTCAATGTCCATGGCCGGAGATCCAAGGCTATCGAAGACGCCTGGAAACAAGATCAGCTCTTTCTTTGGCTGGAAGGGGACAGCTGGGAATAATAATACAGCAACATCCCCTGGAGGTGAATCCTCCAGCACCGAGATCTCCGATTCTGGTCACTCAGCAATGCCTTCCCCTATGCCACCATTAGCGAACGTCCCTTTCAAGCCTCCCTCCCCCTACGATACCCGGAATGGATATAGCCTCCCAGCGCGAACCTCACTGGGAGCTTCGAGTATAAAGGAAAATATATTTTTGTCTAAGATGGCGGAGATAGAAAGTGAATTGCGCGAGATAAGCTGCGAATTGGCGGGATCTATCCGTCGAGAAATGGACTTGGAGGATTTAGTCGAACGACTACAATCAGAAGTTCCGGAGAGTAATCGCCGAACCAGTGACTATTTCTCCGATTCAGGTACTAGCTCTGTTCGCTATGCTTCGGAATCTGGGAAGAACGAAGACATTGAGAAGATTCGCCGAGCTGCAGAGCAAGAACGGGCACAACTGAAGGTCGAATTATCGCAGAAGTTACAAGAGGAACGATCTCAGCGCTTGGCATCAGAATCGCATGTCCAGATCTTGGAATCGCAAGTTCAACAGGTATGTTTGGTGAACTAGGAGTAGCATGTGCATGCGACTAACATTTATCTAGCTTCGGCGCGAACGAACGGATCTGTCAGATATGTCGTCCAAAACCAAGGAACTTGAGACAGCCCTGGAAAATACCAAGCGAAAGTTGCTCGAAGAGCGACAATCAAAAGATAATTTCGAGGACCTTCTTACTGCCATGCGAGTAGAGTTGGAACAATTGCGTAATGACCGAGATCAACTTCGGGATGGCAACAGGCTCGTGGAGGAAATTGAAGCATTAAAGATTGAAAATGCCTCCTTGGCTCAGCTCCAAGGTGGCCGGTTCGCTTCGATTGCTGAGGAAGGTGCCTCCCCTACTAGAAATTCGGGCTTTGGGTTATCACGATCGAGTTCCATGGCGCGCAAGCCTAGCGGTTTAGCACGTTCGGGATCCCTTTCTCGATCCAATTCGGTCAACAATAACAGTGGTGGTAAATCACCAGAGACTCGTGAATCATTGGTCGATAAAGTCCATGATATCGAGGTACAACGCGATGCTCTCCACCAGACATTGCGGAACCTTCTTGATCGCCAGACATACCAGGCTCGCGAGTATAAGAAGCGTATTCGAATGCTGGAGACGGAGCTTGCTCAAGCCCAGCAATCGGGTCAACCGAGAAAACTAGGCTATGAGAGGGATGTCTGTAGCCTGCGTGATGAGGTAAACCATCTGCGCATGCGCGCTGAGGATGCCCTGGACGCAAAGTGGCAGTGCGAGAAGAACCTCGCTGGTCTTAAGATGGATTTGGACCGAGCAGAACAGGAAACTAGCTCTCTGCGCGTGCTTTTCCGTGAAGATACTGCTGCCGGTGCAGAGCTGATGGCTGATGAGGAAGGCTTTGCTGAGGTGGTGACCACATCATCGTCCTTGCAGTCCGCATTCCAACAATTGCAGGCGGATCGAGCGAATGTAGAGGCAAATATTACGGACTCGGAAGAGCTTGCTTCCTCGCTTGCTCGGGCTGAGACTTTGGGCCATAAGGTGCATTATCAGCTTCAGGTCAACACCTCTCTGCATGCTCGTCTTGCAGCGGCCATTGATAAGGGCGACAAAGACCAACAGATCTCAGTTGAACGAATCAACATCTTGCAGAACCACATGAGGGAGCTGGAGGATGTTCTTTTGGCGGCGCAAAACTACTCTGAAGAAGAGATGAGCAAGCATGAGGACGCGATTCGCTCGCTGAAGGAAAGCCAGAATGCCCAACTGATGCGCATGAAGACTGGCGGCCGGAACCTAGTCAGCCTCTCACCGCGACCACCAACCGCACCGTTCGATGCCCGCTTGCCGCGTTTGGATCAAACTACTAGTGGCGAGGGCGTGCCCTTGACTGAAGTTGTCCAGTCCGAAATGCTCGAGCGACGAGTCAAGGATCTCGAGAAACTCCTCCGCGATGCGGACATGGAGATGGAGCAAGTAGTCGGGCGGATGAACCGCACGCAAATTGACGTGGCGCAGCTTCAAACTGACAGGTATGCAGATCTTGATATGGGTCACATTCCTTTTCATCCATTTTCTTTACTAATTCATCCCACAGAGACGACGCTCTCCGCCAAACCCGCCAACTTCAAACCGACATCCAAACTGAGCGTGACGCCCTCAAATCGCTCACCAATGCCTTGTAAACTTGTCAGAACCTATGTTTTGCCTTTCTTGCTTTCTTACTATACCACATCTGCATTTGCATTCGCGCTCCCATCCCCGGCGATGGTAGAGTACAATGTCTTGGAGTTAAGTCGGAGTCCCATTTCTTTGTGCTTGTTTCTTTTGCAAAGATTATGCGCGTGGCATCGCGCTGACCTTTTCCCCCTGGTTTGGGCTCGGGGAGTTCCATTTTCTACACTTGTGAGACTGGTGGTTGACTGTTGTTTGTCACGCTTGTATATAAAACCGTCTCTGTTTGGGTAAATATTTAATCCACTGTACAGTACAATCTGTGGACAATTTCAGATTCAATGAATTATATCAAAATCAGTTGAAAGTGATGCGAATTTGAGGAAAAATACTGCTACACATCTACACCTATCCGTGAGAGTAGTGCCTTCACATGCGTTTGTCTAGTTTGCACGGTTGTTATCATCCGGGTCCTACGCAACCCTGGGAGTCCCAGCTTGAATGTCGCCTTCACTTATTAACCTGCCTGTCATTGATCGCATCGGGATATATACCTTCGGAAGTGACTGATTCTAGTGTCCGCCCCTGCTGACCTCCCTTACATCTCACGGAATTCATCCTTGGCCTAGTCGCATTGCTCAACTACAAATAACACAACAAGTTTCAGCGAAGAAACAAGCAAAGGACAACACCAATAACCAGTGGAAATCCAGCGCAATCTCGCTTTCCCTTACCTTGCACTTTTTCGCCCTTCAAACAGAAATCCAGTTTCAAGGGCCACAAAGTGCCAAAGCTGCCCAAACAAAGCGCCGGCGAGTCAAAGAAATCTGCAAACCTCACAAGCGAGGGATCTCACTCCCTACCCCTACCTTTCTTTTTCTTGACATAGCCACTGTCAATAATCAAAGAGATTCAAAGATCTCAAAGACACAATAACCATGGACTTCCTACCTGGTATGAATCTCCACTGACCTTACCAACCACTACAAATTTCCTCAAACTAATCAATCATTCCACAACAGAAAATCTCCAAACAGTTCTCCAGAACCCAACATTCGCCTACCTCCAATCAACTACACAAGATCACCTCACGGAAAATCTCTCACATCTCCGCACCATGGTGCTTCAACCCTATCTGATCGAGCCTGCCTCGGCGTTCCTCGCGACATACTCTGGTTCCATGCCAGACGTACTATCAGTTCTCGTTCTCATCGTCATTTTCTTTGTTTCTATCAGGATCCTGAAGTACGCCGCAGGCGTGTTCCTGTTCTGGGTCTTCCTCGTTGCCAAAATATTATTCTGGGGTGTGATTCTCGGTGTCGGCTGGTATGTCTACAATGCCGGCGTTGAGAACGCGAGCAGGGATGCCGGACGGCTTTGGGGTATAGCCTCTGGGTTTGTGGGCAATTTTGAAGAAAAGAGTAAGACAGCTGCTGCTGCTTATGCGGGAATTACCAAGTAGCCCTAGTTGCTTGGTTTCGTGGATCGGGATTGGAATGATGAACTATGGGTGCGTGTTTACCTGGGTTTGACGGTCCTCAGCTTGTTGCGGTCTTTCTTAGTGGCTGATATGCCTGTTTGAGGATATATAACGAAAATGCGCAATGGGTGTTTTTGTTTGGTTTGTGCTACTGTATTGGTCTAACATTTGTTAATCTGTTCTTGGGAATTGAAGATACAATATTCATAAATTGGTTGGGGGTTCTCGTTATGGTTGCTAATATCTTTTGATATGACCGAATGTCCATGTGTAATGTAGAGAGATATCAACCCCGAGTGCTTCAGCGATGGTTGTGTCGCGAGCATTCTTTGACTTGCGCTATCGAGAAAGCACCGGATGTTGTGAACTCGGCCGTGCAAAGGACGTTCGAAAGTCTGTCCAATATTGTAAATCTTGCCACTCTATCGGCCACAAAGAGACAGCATGAGATGAAAAGTCGCGGTTTATCTCATGGTCCTCCGGTTGCCGAAAACTCGAGGCTGGTGCAGGGCTCGACATTGGTTGAAGTAGTTCATTCAGGGAGGGTGATGAGTGTGCTGGGAATCTGAGTGCAAGTTGCAGCACTGCAGTGATCACATGTGATATCCATCAATCCTCATAATTCACCTCCACTGCATCCTTGGGTTCTCTCGGTTCCTGGGCCTCATGGTATTGGATGGCGTCATCGATGTGGCTCAAAATCGCCCCGACACTGTCCTCATCTGAGACATCCAGTTGCAGGAACGAGACCATACTGAAATCATCGATCAGCTGTCCAACTGCACGATTAAGCTGCTTGAACGATCCACCGCTCATCAAGGATTCTGTGGCCATGGGGTTGGCACTTGCGGTGAGATCGTCCTCCTCCTTATCTTGAAGCAACTGTACGTCCACATTGGTAAAGCGCTTCAATTCCCGGCGTGTCACCATATCGCGGACCTGATCCATCTTGCTGAGAATGTTGACATGTGGCATCTCCATCATCAGCATGGCAGACATGGCACTGAGAGTGCCGGCGAAAAATTTGGCTTTGTCGATGACGAAGGTGCTTTCGAGTAGGTAGGCGGCGCACATGTTGATGTTCAACGGGCCCTGTCGAGAAAGGAAAGTTGTGAGGGTAGGTAAAAGAGGAATATGGGTGTAGAGCTCGATCTGGCCGGGCATGTCGAAAATGATCAAGTACTCTTCGCTCAATGGTTCCAGTGCCTCTGATAAGAATTCCAGGTTCTGGAGCAAGAACTCAAAGCAGTAGATCAGACCTCCGTTAGGTCCCAGTCCCATCTCTTCCATCACATCTTCTAAAGTGATCAGGTCGCGGATATCAAGATCTGGATCGTAGGCAAATGACTCGGCGGCGGGGTCGAGATTCACATAGAAACAGCTGCGGCGGGTGGTCTGAAGGTGCTGGATCATTGCATTGCTGAATGTGGTTTTGCCCGCACCAGCGGGGCCCATCACTAGAACACCGAATTTAGACATGATTGCTGATTTATGTAAATAAGAGAAAAAAAAACTAAGGTCTATCTTATCGCGGTGACAAGAAAATTGTACTGCCGGGGATCTGCCGGGATTGACCGCCCCCAGATGGCGCGATCCCGGCTGACAGGGACCAGAAGTACGGCGTACAATGAGGGTACAAGATCGGTACCTGGTTGGTCCCGCAATCATACTGCGTTTCCGTTGTACCGCCACAGTACTCGGAAAAAAAAGCAAAACCCCACCAAAATTTCCCCTCCCCGGCCTCTTCCTCCCTTTTCCCTCTCCATTCCTCTTTTCCCTTCTTCATATCTCTTCTTTTCTTCACACACCGTCACAATGGGCTCTCTCGCAAACGGTTCTTCGCCTTCCGGCACTTTCCTTTTCACCTCCGAGTCAGTTGGTGAGGGTCACCCCGATAAGATTGCGTAAGTTATTCCCCTGATTCCCTTTATTTCCTGCTCTCGGAGTGTTCTTATAGAGGGGTTCTGCACTCAATTCCCTAATTCTTAGTATAATATACTAATTGATCACCAACAGTGATCAGGTCTCCGATGCTATCCTCGATGCCTGCCTTGCTGAGGATCCTCTCTCCAAGGTCGCTTGCGAGACTGCCACCAAGACCGGTATGTTGATCATGGTTCCTTGAGGCCAGATCTCAATCTGACATGTCTTCCTAGGTATGATTATGGTCTTCGGTGAGATCACCACCAAGGCCCACCTGGACTACCAGAAGATCATCCGTGGTGCTATCAAGGACATCGGTTACGATGCCTCCGAGAAGGGCTTCGACTACAAGACTTGCAACGTCTTGGTTGCCATTGAGCAGCAGTCCCCCGATATCGCTCAGGGTCTCCACTACGAGGAGGCTCTCGAGAAGCTCGGTGCCGGTGACCAGGGTATCATGTTCGGTTATGCCACCGACGAGACCCCTGAGCTCCTGCCCTTGACTATTCTCTTCTCTCACAAGCTTAACGCTGCCATGAAGGCCGCCCGTAAGGATGGCTCCATCCCCTGGTTGCTCCCCGATACCAAGACCCAGGTCACTATTGAGTATGCCCACGACAACGGTGCTGTCAAGCCTCTGCGTGTCGACACCGTCGTCATCTCCGCTCAGCACTCCGATGATGTCTCCACTGAAGAGGTCCGTGCTACCCTCAAGGAGAAGATCGTCCGCAAGGTCATCCCCGCCGAGCTCCTCGATGACCGCACCGTCTACCACATGCAGCCCTCCGGTCGCTTCGTCATCGGTGGTCCTCAGGGTGATGCCGGTCTCACTGGCCGTAAGATCATCGTTGACACCTACGGTGGTTGGGGTGCCCACGGTGGTGGTGCTTTCTCCGGAAAGGATTACTCCAAGGTCGATCGCTCGGCTGCCTACGTTGCGCGCTGGATCGCCAAGTCTTTGGTCCACGCCAAGCTGGCCCGTCGTGCCCTCGTCCAGCTCTCCTACGCTATTGGTGTTGCTGAGCCCCTCTCCATTTTCGTTGAGACCTACGGCACCTCCTCCAAGACTTCCGATGAGCTGGTCGACATCATTCGCAAGAACTTCGATCTCCGTCCCGGTGTCATCGTGAAGGACCTCGACCTGGCCAAGCCTATCTACTTCCAGACCGCCAAGAACGGCCACTTCACCAACCAGGAGTTCTCTTGGGAGAACCCTCGTGCCCTCAAGTTCTAGGCGGGCTCTGCTTAATCCGGTGATTTCGGACAACTTTTGACGACTGTGATGAGTTTGCTTTGTTTTCAACAACTCAAAGCACGATGAGCATAGACTATTAAACCCCCTTATAAAATCCGAAGTCGGTTCCCGCTTGGGGATCAACTTCTCTTGTTTCATTATCTGCATGGTCGCGCAAATGACGGGCCTTTTCGGCGAAGACAAAATTCAACATGATACCACTTTTCATCGGCTGGGAAAGGAAGTTTCTGGCGTTTTTCTTTCAACACCATACCTCTACTTCACTATCCATGGTGCCTCCCGAGTCAGCGGTCCTGCTTGCATGGATCGTTCTAACTTGGTTCAGACGCGGAAGGTTTTGCGGCACTCTCTGGGAGAGTCCCTTAGAGCCTTCTTCGTCTTGGCCCTGGGCTTGCTAATCTAAACATTAGCGATAGATTCAATAATATCCTTCATATTTTTTTTCATACATGGGCCTTGTACCATCCGAGCGTGCGTCAGCCAGTTGTAATCTTGTAATTCATCCCGATAGAAACCTTCACGGAGTTTCTTTTCTAAAAAAAAAAAAACAAAAGATGAAGTCCGTTATACTTGTGCTCTTGGCCATTTCACAAGAATCAATTAATGTGTCTGACATTGGACCAGGCGGAGTGCACGTCCCGACGCGTGACGCCAGACCCACCAAGATTTGAGCGCGATCTGTCGACATTGACGAAGTACACCAACCCCAATTGCTTTGTTAGTTTAGCTTAAGACTCGACTATTGCCTTTGGAATACAGGATGCCCACGATCTTCTAGACGCGACCATGGCCTCGCGTATAGTCCCTACTATCCTGGATCCGCTCAGTTCATCCGCGCTGAACAAACTCAACGAGCCGACCCCTCCACCCACAAAGAAGCGCAAGAGAAGCGACGCAGAGGAATTGAATCATGCTGCTGGACAGCTCTCTACGACCTCTATTGTTATTAGAGTGAGTTGTAATCAATGCAGCCTAATACAGAAGCCCTTTGGTTGCCGTTGCTCACTCTCCGTAACTTATATAGGCCCACGCAGCATCTTTATCTGATGAACCCTTAAACCTCCAACCAATTACAGCCATTCCCCGCTCTAGACTGCCCATCTCATGGCTTGACAACACACCTGCCTCTCGATCCGACGAGCAACCGGGTGGCCTGTTCACCGCGGACATCCCTACGCTAGAAATTGACCTGCGCGCAAAAGCCGAACCTACCGTCCTTGCCGTGCGCCTGGTGGCTAACGGTAGCCTTTACATTGTCGAAAGAGTGAAGAGGGGTTTATACTCACTCTCGAAGCTCGCGCGATGGGTGCACGAGGGCAACCTCATTGTTGCGGTCAAAGGGTGGCATGGGACCGACGTGGTGGAGGCGGATGCCATGGCTGTCAATGATACCTGTACTTTGTCTAATGGATCTGACTGGTGGCAGACTGCTCAGATCGATGAACCTGTCTCGGATGTCAAGGTGGCCGAAAAGTCTGCTGGGCTAGATATTGCGGTTGTTTTTGGTCCCTCTGAGACGGAGCTTGCCAATACCGACGCATCCTTTGTCGGTGTAATAGAGCATCGAAGCCTTTCACTTGCCCCATCAAGAAGCTTTGATGCCGCCGAGGCGGGTTCATTCTCGCTCACTGACTCTCAGAGCTTGGGGCATGTCGTTGAGCCTATGAATGTCGATGGCGTTGAATCAAATGTAGGGGATGTTCAACAGTCTCCCGAAGAGCTACTCGATGGGATGCGAGATCATTATTTGCAAGCTCTCTACGTTTCGAAGGTGATTATCACTACTCAATACCCGGGGACTTTCTGGCTGACAATTTCTAGACTTCTGTGGCGTACTTTGCGAAAGGCCCACTTACACGCTGCCGGTCTGCTTTCCAGGCCCGCGGCGCGGAGCAGTCTCAGGGCCCGGCAGATTTGATTGAATTTTATCGCGAGGCTATTCTCGCTGCAAAGAAAATGGATGTCAAATACAGAGAAACATTGCCATCGACAGTCCGTGACGCAGCGCTCGCTATCTCTGATGACGGTACTAAGCCCCAAAAACGGAAGAGTAAGAAAAAGAAGATGGGCAAGAATGGACTTTATCCAGAGGAGGAAGGTTTCATTCACAGGTGGTGGAAGGATAGAATCCTGAATGAGTCTTTAGCACAAGAAATGTCGCGCGAAACAGAGTCCAAGAAACAGATTTCGGAGCTTCGGCTGCGCGAGACACAACTGCAGATACTCTTAATTTTGGAGGTCATGGTATTGGAGATGATTATTGCTGCGGCAGGGAAGAACAGCGCCGACAAAGAGAAAGACCTGAACGGAGAGGTAGATGCGCCAAAGAAATCCAAGACCAAAAAGCCCACAGATCTGAACGTGGTTCTCGACCTCCATCTTGATCGAATGTGCATTTGGCACGCTGTCTCGATGGAAGAAACATCTGCTGCTACTACAGCAAAGGCTTCCTCATTCAGTAGCAGCCACCTTTCGGGCAAGAAAGTCGAGAGCGATGCGGTGCGTGACTTTTGCACAGAAGTCATCATTCCATTCTATGCCGCACGCCTCCCGGACAAGTGCAAGTTGATCACTCGCAAATTTGGCGTATCTAGCGGTATCTCCCCAGCTGCCAAAAAGACACAACCTCTGAGATCACACCGTGTGGAACCCGGAGCGGAAATCAAGCGACAACAGCCTGCACCGAAGCCCCGACGGACATTGCAGCGAGTGCTCACGGACGATAAAGCCGCAATGTCCCAGGCTCGGCACCCGGGATTGAGTCGATCCAACACGGCACCAACCCAACACAATGGAAAGCGTAGCCTTGATCCTTTGTTACCCACTGTGCTCAGCGGCAGTGTTCGTGGTGGCATACAGAAAGCGAAACGTACAGAAAACCGCGAGGTGGATCTGAATGCCATAGCGCGACAGCATGAGGCCAAATTACGCAAAGTCCAAATGCTGGCAGATCAGAAGAAAGAACTGGATGCTGCTATTCAAGCGCTCCGTAAACCAAACAGAGAACTTGTTTCTAAGGATCTGGCTGACGATGCATCGAAACGAGTTACAAACGGTGGGGGCAGTTCAAGGAAATCGCGCAACCCTGTACGAAACCCGTTCGGCGAAGGTGTACAGGTCATGGCGACTCCTCGAGGCAACCGAAAGAAGGACGTGGTGGTTGGGTTACCGTCGCAGTCTCGCAGTCTCGCCCCATCCCGGTCATTTGCTGGTGTTGAAAACTCACCTTTCGGCGAATCCCCTGTTATGATCCCATCCTCGAGTCGACGAGCAATCTCATTCTCTGGCGCCGACTCCGACCCTTTCAATTCTCATGACATCTCTCACGAGGGACGAGACCGAGCCATTCAAGAAACTCCAACTAGACCGTCCTCTAAACTTTTCCAGAGTGATACTATAGCTGCCCGTCGGCCATCGTCCTCTACGGGCAAAGGGCTCTTCAGAGTGCCCAACCTCCCAACCCCTCGGTCATCCACGCAATCAATGGTCCCAGGCTCCCCCATCCATTCACGCCCCAGCACTGTCTCCTCATTCACAGAGAACTTGTCGGCATCATCTCGACGACTCAGCCAGTCCCTCAACCACGCCCGCGCCTCGGCAATCATGGAGACCCCACCCAAGAAAAGCGCATTGCACAGCATATCTACACCCACGGCTGTGCCTTTTTCTCTGTCTCTTGATGCCATGGTCATGGATCATTCTCGCGCTCAGTCTCCACCGGTCGTCATGGGCACCCCGGTCAAAAGTGCCACGACTGTGCCAGTCACTCCCGAAAAATCGCAGTCCAAGTCGATATACGAGCAACTGGGCTGGGATGATGAGATGGAATTCTAATTTCCAATGCATTCACGTTACGATGCATAGCATAATCATGGATCATGTATTGATATGGAGTTTGTGTGCGCCTTTCTTTTGCTTTTCTTTCTGTTCTTTCTCGTTTCCCGCACATGTGGGGTTTAACTTGTACTGGTGTTTGGGTTGTTCACCTTTCGGCTGGTGTTCCAGATTGCGATTGAGGCAATGGCATGGCGTGCATCGTTTGGTTCTTTTTGGATATATCCCTATCACCGCATTATTTTAGCATCCTCATCATAGCATCTCATACCTTCCCACCATATCTCAGATAAGAAAACTTAGTTCGAAATATTGTATACGGTCATCAGGCGCCATGTGATACTTTCGATTCAAACAGAACACTACTCGGCATTTAAAGCTGGATTTTGCAGTGTGAAGTAAATGCACTCTGTAGAGTTCGACAGCTTGGCTCGTGTTTCATATAGATTGAACAGGCGTCCTCAGCTACGGCTCCACATATTCCCTCCAATGTAAGCCTTTAGAGTTAAGATTGACGCAAATGTATAGTTTATTGTAGATACGTGTTCGGAGGACTCCGTATTCCCCTGATACATCAACACTAGCCTCTTTTTTTAGATCAGTGGGAGTCAATAGTCAATTGCAGCTAGACGCCACTAGATCGGCCTTGGCTGAACAATCTGAGAGAGCCTTACGCGGTCGCCCCACTGTGAAGGCAGTCGGATTCCTTTTTGAATACGGAGTGTTATCTTTAATAAACAAGAGGTCTCCTGAGAGAAGGAAATAGTCTGTCTTGCTACGTTATACGTTATACTCCGTACGTTCTACGTGAATGGCTTTGCCTGCACACACCATCTGCTTGGCTACCCTGTAACGGTCCAATCCTCCAACCCTTTCCACTCCTTCCAACCAGACACCTTTCAAGACGAATCCGACGATGGTTACGAGAAACCTTCCACGCACAAGAAGGAATCCGAGATCCACATGTATCCAATGTCATCAAAATCGGCCATGAGCGAACCCGAAAACCATCACAAGGCGCCAAACCACAGCCGGCCTCTACTATACATCCCCAATACATTATGGACACGACTGTTTGCAGTAACAGTGGTCACCGAGACAGTCCTCACAGTTGCAATTGAAAGGTACGGGGTCGACCCTGAATACTAGCGCCATCTCAGAATTGGACCCCGGCTTACGACGAAATTAGCTGGATTCTTGTGAGCCTGTGGAACCACCTCGAGGACAACGACAAAGCCGGCGGACCAATGCGCCTTCAGTCGTTCCTGGGCCTTTACATTTTCGCCCTTCTATACGAGCTTGCGCTTTCATATGATGCACTGCGCCGAAAGAACATAATCCAGCTGGTCGGACTCTGTATCTGCAATCTGGGCCTGTTGACCTACGGCTTCATCCAGATGCAGGAGATCAAGGTCACCATCTCCAGTTTGGTAACTGATAAGATCCTCAGCAACCATCTTCAGGACCTGTATCGCGTCGAGCTTATTCTTGTGCCGGTGATTCTAGGTATCGGAACTGTGTGCATGGCCTTTTTCACATGGAAGTTGCGCGCGGAATTCTCCTGGTCGATATACAAAAATATCAGTGCGGATTTGCAAATGAAGCGCCGGTATTTTACATATCAGGTTCGTTGCGCCGTTGTTAATACCTCCCAGTTTCCTTTGCTCACTGATTCCATTCTTCTCAGGTGTTTATCGCCCTCCTAAAGTTCGACTTCTTCTTCGTATTCGGAAGTCAACTCCAAATCCTCCTTGTCGTCCTCAGAACTGAAGATGCCGATTTTATCCTCAATGCCGCTTTGATTCCAATCACAATTGCGACCTTGATACTGTCAGCTCAATTTTGCAAACGGGAGAAACCCAAATTCCTCATACTCATGATGGTGAGGGCTCTTAAGCGCGAAGCATATTCCAAATGTAAACTAACCAGCAATTCAGATAGTTATGCTTATTATAATTGGATGTTTTGTCTTCACACTCTTTCGAATGTACAGCCCCACAGATAGCACTGATTTCAGCTCTGTCCGTGTCTCCCTGACATTATTTGCGGCTGTGTCGCTCTCTTTTTGATGATAGTCACAATCATCAACTCGGCGATGTGTATGCTTAATTTCAACAATGGATTGAAAAACCATATCAATCCCCCTAAGAAACGGCGCAAAACATCAGTCACGTTGGAGCTCGAATCGCAGGAGACTCCAACACGGTTCTTGTTGAATTAAACCTGCTAATTTTACGACGTACTACCCTTGCTCTTTCTTGATGTCTTCGATTCTTACTTTCTATGTACATATAAATCAGAATTATGAATTTGGAAACTCAATCGCTTGCCTGTGATTTCACAAGAAGATGACCACGGGCTATTTAAAATATTGCACCTGCTCAGATCTCTGCTACAAAGAATCAGTTAGAATGTGTGATGTAGAAGTGCTTCCGGGGTTCCCGATTGGGCGGACCGGCGATCTTCGCCAATTTGCACGTCCCCCGCTCATCTCATCTTGTTCCCTAGAACCCGACCTCTTTGGATTCTGACCCGGTTTGAGATGGAGATGCCTATGCAATTACAAGGCATCCCTAATCGGCTGAGTCAACGGCGCACTTCTTGCAGGATTACAGCAAGACCCAAGAAAAGACCTGTTGCGTATCTCCAACATCAAACTTCTGCTCGTCATTTTTACAACTGTCATCGATGTCATGCGCAGAAAATCAAATGTTCTGGGGAAAAGCCATGCTCCAAGTGCTGAGCTGTAGGCTACGGCCCCAATGCAGATACGCAAGGAAGGTCGCTCAAGCAGTCAAGAGCAGAGCAGGCCTGAACTACAATATTCCTCAACCCCAAAATCCACCCCCCGTGGCATGAGAGCGCCGCATTCGTATATGGTGGACCACCTGCACGCTTGGCCGATATTGGGGCTCCAAATCAGGTTTCCCAGTGCAAATTCATGTCGAGGATATTCATGTCGACCCACCGTCTATTCGGATGTCTGAAACATTCCCTGCCCAATTTTCAGATGGCGCTTACCGAGTAACAACAGTAGAACTTGCTAAAATCATCGGTAGCGCGACAGGGGAAATATACTGTCGGAAGATTTCAGCTGAGACATTCCTACCTCGTTAGCAGAGACTTTTGACTCAACTGAAACAGTGGGTTTAATCTCTTCCCGGGCATTTAAGGCTCAGGGAAGATATGCCAAACTCGAAACACACGGTCCAGATTCACCTGAGTTCAATTTTGTAAGAACCCTTGGGGGGGGGTTCTTTTCTGGAACTAGGCTGACCTCCCCAGTGTGTCATCCTGGCGATTCGACCAATGCTCCTACACATCCTCGCTTTAAAGACAAAAACCAGACCAACCATTCTATGAATGCCATTTCACCAATCTTGGTCACGCTAAGCGAGGCATTATACACGCGGCAAGACACTCTCTGACACTATGTGTGAATAAATGGTGAATAAATGGACCAGTGGCTCCTTGACAATATTGAGCTACTCTTTCCCTGCTTACCTTTTCTCTGTTGCATTAATCCTGGTTATTTCAAGTCTTCTGTCTCTTGGAGATTCAAGCGATTTGGCATCGGCCGAAGCCGCAACGAAAATTCTCAAGAACCTCGGCTTATCGGATAGTCTCCCATCAAGAGACCTATATGAACGCATGCAAAAAGTACGGCGGTGTCTTCAAGGCGGTTGACTTTATTCTTCACCGTCGCTTTCTCACGGTGCTGCGGAAAATGTTGCCAGTCTCTGAGAGTCGCGCTCCAGGCTCTCTCCAACGCACTATGTGCCCTCTGGAAGATCCGGCCCACCCAGTCTCCGAAACGAGTGTGCCACATCTCACCACTGAAATGGCTCTTCATCAACCCACCATGCTGAATTTTCGAACCCAGCCCCCGTGGACTTTGAACTACTTGATCCAGTGGGGATGTTAAATGATTTTGATTTGGCAACTTCTATGTCTCCCGATTCCTGACTCACTATCCTGACTCACTATGTCTGAAGTCAATAATGAAAGATCCATTTTCCAATTTACCATCCAGTCAATTCGAAGTTGGCCGTAGCGTGCCCCATCTAGGTCACTATGGAAACAACCTATAGCAAGCCAATGAGTCACTGATCTCTTTTAAAAGAAGACCATTTCCATACTCAATTCCTATCACATCCTTGTCTTTCAGTTCCAAGTATACTTACTCGATTCCTATCATCTCCATGTCTTCCGACTCCAAGTATACTTATTCGTTCCACCGTGTCTCCAAGACAGACGGTATCGGCGCTTCAGCCCAAAAATGCCGAGATCTACGCCTCAAAGCACTGAAAGCCTCACCTGGCTCATTCGCATCAACCTATGAGGCTGAGTCAATCCTCACAGATGCCGATTGGATAGATCGCATTACCCACCCCGATTTCGAACTCTTCATTTGCGCCGCCACACTTAAAAACGATGATTCTCAGCAAGAATCCGAATGGGTCGGCCAAGTGACTCTGCGCGGACCAATTTCTAGGGCTGAATTCGAATTGCCCAGAGAATCCGGCCTTCTTCCACCAAAGTCCGATGAAGAAGAAGAGCGATGGCAGATGCTAAGCTTGTTCACACTGTCTGATCATCGGGGTCTTGGTCTCGGTGCCAAACTGTGCCAGAGCGCCCTCGACTATCTGCGGTCATATCGATCATCGCCTGATGAGATCCAAGTGCGGTTGATGGTTAGGCCAACCAACCAGATTGCAGTCAAGCTATATGAACGCCTTGGGTTCGAGTTGACTGGGAGAGCTACGCTTGCCGAAGCTCTCATCGCCAGTGGAGATGAGCATCTGCTGCCGAAAGATCGGAGCTTGGCTCAATGGACAGATAGAACTGGGTTTCTTATGGTCTCGCGTATATCGCGTCGTGGCGTTAGCGCTTTTGATGTCGAGGAGAAATAGATGGAACGTTATAGACTGGAATCGAAGACTTTATAGACAGTGTTTGATAAGCTTTTTAGCCTGGTCTCCAACTTTTCTAATAGAAACCCTAAATCACGTCTCATTGCCGTGAAAATAACCTTGGAATTGTCCCTGAGAGATTAAACCACCCACTTTGGCTCACGTCGATGCAACGCTATGGAATGAAAGTGTGAGTAAAACTCAGCAGTCGGTTAATAGTCTGAATAGTCGCATCTGTCTACAAAGAAAAGTTCGATATTTAGCCTAGTGTAGCATTGTTTAAAGTAGCTCGATCTTCCAGTAATGGTTTTCATTTTGTCAACCTGCAAAGAGCCCGGTTGAAGAAGAGCGTATCTCAGATTCAATTGAAATGATGAGGCTTTTAGGATTCTTCTTTCTCTCTTTTGCTCTAGTACAAGCAAAAGATGATACACTTCGTCTGAAAAATGGCTATTGAAAAATGGCTATATCTCTTTTTCAACGGCCAACTTTGACATCGAGTTAGTCAAGGGTTCCCAGGTCCTCGCCTCTCTCAAACCAACAGGAGACTCTTTCGGCTTCTTAGCTTTGAATGACATCTGTTTGAGTCAGGTGACTTCTCGCCGTGCTATAAGAAGCTCCTTCTTCTTTCCTAGATAGTTTCCCTTCCCTTCCTCTCTCTCTCAGACGAATGAAAGGTTTTCCAGTCTTCTTGCTTCCTAGTAGACTGCTTTCTCTGCCTTTCTGATAACATCGCATACAGAGCAGCAGATTTCCAGTATCACAATTGAGACAATACATATCGCTATCGACTATCGGGTTCCACTCAATGACTTGCAGGCGACTCCGCAAAAAGAAGAAAAGCGTTGACAAGTGCCGAGTCTGATGCACTTGCTGCGGCTGAGATGACAGAACCCCTACCGAGCTGTCCTATCCATTTTCTTCGAAAATGGTTTGATGTTGATGGCGGTCTAGGTTTGACCATTACCCTGACCAACAACAGAGACCAGATTCTTGAAATCGGCAGCCTGGGCGTTTCCTACCGAGTTCAACAGTATCTTCCCCGGCCGCACAGCAAAAGGAATTGTGGCTAAATTCTTGCTTGCTGTTCCATATATCGGCATGCATGCTAGATATCTTCAAGTTACCCCGTTGCTTGGTACAACCACGCCACGAGAAGCATGGCAGACCCTCGATGAACCCAGCACCGATCGAATTTCTTATGGCAGCCAAACTTTCTAGGGGTTTTATGAATGGAAGACGCACACTAAAACCTATGCCGAGAATGAGTGGTCTAGTACTACGCCATGGGACGAACCCAGCTCCCGGATCCTGAGTCCAGGGAAATCAGTAGCCTACGGACTGCGCTTCTCGGTTCTGAAGAATGGTGTTTGTTGTATACAGGATACAGTGAAGGCCACCAACACGCCTGCCACGCTGGGTATCCCGGGCTATGTGGTACCTATCGACCTTGCGGCTCGACCTTACGCCTTTCGCTCTTGAATTTCCGAGGTCGTCTCCAAAGATAACTCATTCAAAATTACCGAAGATGAAAACAGCACTCTATCGCTCACGCCCACTGGCGCAGTATGGGGTCGAACTAGAGTGAAAATCGCGTACGAGGATGGCAAAGTCCAACCAGTACATTATTTCATCACGGACTCGGCACCAACAACAATTAACAAATTGGGCGAACTTAATACCACGTCTATTTAGTTCAATGACACAGAATATCATTTTCATCGGGCTTCATCTGTCATAACATGGGATTACTCAACCCATTCTCAAGTCCTCCAAGACCCCCGAGTCTGAATCTCCGGACTCAGTGACGAGTGCGGCGCAATTTTCATAGCCATTGCAATGAAGCAATATGGCTCTGTTGACGCAACGGAGGTATCAAAGCTTGAACATGTTGCTTCTGATGCTCTTTTTCAAGTCTATCCAACTTCTGTATTTCGCGGTCCGCAAGAGTATCTTCTTTTATGGTCCCTTGACTGGGGCAACTGGTGGTCGTGGGATAAGGATGACTCTTATGCTACAGACCGTGTCTACGACTATATCCATGTAATCGGGACATATTGGGCGTTGTATCGCGCAGGTCAGGATGACGAGTCACTTCTGAAAACACATACTTGGCAGTGGTATCTTAGCCAGGCATACTGTGTTCCACGGTGACTTGCCTCGCCACGGACTCGCATTGAGACGAGCTTGTGGGATACTCCCATCTCGGACTCATGGGCGAGACTGTCTTTGGCGAACTATTATTGGATTTGAGGCGTGAGGAGTGGACTACTGAAGCCGATGCTGCAGAGGCTGCTATGAAGCTTCGTGCCGAGGCATGGGATACACAGGACGTTCCCTTTGGCAGTGGGATGGCTTGGAATCGACTGGCCAAGAAGGGATGTACTACTGGAGCACGTTTCTACGCTTTGGGGAGCTATTTTCGGATATTCTGATATTCTGACATTCTGTCTAACTATTTTGGTCTCACCAACACAGCAACAAAGACAATCATCAGCATTTTGGGACACATGCCTACAGTCCCACATTGCAACGCTATTCACGTCCACGATGATAATATTCACCTTCGGATCCTATTGCCTCCCTTCTCCGGTGCCAAATCTAGTAGTTAGGGGTTTGATGTCTAGGGCAAATGGAACGCTTCCCCGAGTCTGCCGAGATATCACCGACTACTCCGTACAGTATGTGGGTGATCTGCGTTGGTGGGTAACCGAAGTCGAGATAGCGGATGCGTCTCCATATATCAGGACGATCAAGAAATTGGAGTTCATCACCTCGATGACAAAGAATATATATATAAATCAGAAGAGTGTATGGAGTAGCGATCGAGAGATAGTAGTAGTGAAAATACATTTTGAGTACGAAGTTCTGGGTGCAAGCACATATCCATGATCCAAGGGGTGTTATAGATCCCCTGCGCAAGGTGGGTACTCCGTACGGAGGTAGGTACTGGAACACTGTATGCACGAGATAATGCACCACAATCGGCCAAGCCTGCAGTAGCTCAAGTCTTGAAATGCAGCATGAAGATGAAAATTTCAAATAGGTCAAGTGATCCTGCACGAACTCTGCAGCCAAGTAATCCATTTGTCGACTTCTGCATACCACTACGATGCATAGAATACATTACCCAATAGCGTCTGCATCTGTGTTCACCGTAACTCACAATCTGGAAACAACAACATCCGCTTCCCCAGACGCGATTTTGACTACTCCGTACCCAGCCTCCTCTTGCGCGTTGCAATTGAACCCTGGCCACACCGTAGTCATCGCTCGTACCTTGAGTCTTCACCCAAAATAATGACCGAATCAATATCATACGAGTCAGGGGTGATATGTAATCGAAGCGATATTGGCCGAGACACGTCAAAAGACACATCTTTTACCACTCCAGTGCTGATAGTCACTTATATCCCCATTTGGGCGATTTATATCCGACGCCGCACAGCATCCCGCAGCTGCACGGTAATCGTATCTTTTTCAAAAATAATATTCCCACCATAGGCAATGATTCCAATCTTAGAATCATCAACGATGTACTCCGTAGACTGCAGAACCAAGCATCATGCCCAGGATATTCGGACCGTAGTCACCTGAATAATCGCCGCCTTGCAGCGTACCAGGAAAGGAGTGGAAAGCATTAGACACCGAGCCATCTTGTCGAATATTGGATAACGGTCCTGTTATGCCACCATGGCTGGATAACAGTTAAGCAAAGAGATGCCAGAAAAGGAAACAAATAAATAAATCAAGAGCGATTTGGCTCTTACATGAAGCCCAATATCGCCGAGCATTCCCGTTCCACCTCCAAAGTAAACGCAAGTTCCGGCTACATGTATCTTGGAGGCGTGTCCACTGCCTTATATTTTCCAATACGACTATGCCAATCTTTTCAGTGAGGGAAAGACAGAGATGGTCGTAGGTGATCTATTTTTTTTTTTGTTTATCTATGGATGGATGAATGAATGGATGGGGTGTCGGGTATAAGAAGAAAGGTTATCAGGCCAGGATCCCAAATGAATAAGGGAAGAGATAAGCTTAAACCTAAACTTTACTCTCACAGATGGTCCTCGGGCACTACGATACGGGATTCCTAACGGCTGAGCGGTAACCTTCCCGTTATCACTCTAGACCATGTCTAGTGTCATTCATAACTCCAATCAAAACCTCAAAATTCGGATCATCTTTGCTAGATAATCCTCTTATCCACTTTTCCAGAAACCACTAGACGAAGATATATCCAAGAAGACGAAACAGAACAACGTCATCAATAACATCATTGAGTTATAGTTATACTAGGCAATCGAGGGACTGCACTCTCGCGAGACCTCGTTGCTGGCGATCCTGACGGAGTGGTTCCTCGCGGGCCGAGAGTGGGAATACCCGGTACAGGTGATGACGCATGGATTCTCGCGGCCGATAAGATCGAGTGGGAAAAGAGGAAGACTTGACGTTGACCTTGGTGTTCGATTCGAGACCAAGTCCAAAATTAGTGAGGACTGGGATGGGGTGACGGATGAGATACCAGCCAATCGGGCATCCATTGATCGAACGGGCATGCACGGTCACTTTGCGGAACCTGGAGAGCCTTGTCGCGATGCTGGAAGGCTGGATGTCAAGTTGGATGATCCTTCGGCCCGGGCAGGGGATGTTCTAAAGGTGAGTGACGTTGTTATCATTACATGCTATGTATGTGAGATGTGTGTTGTAAGTTGTGTGTTGTGCTGGTTCTTGTCTTTCTCTCTGATTAGTTGTGTGTTGTGCTGGTTCTTGTCTTTCTCTCTGATTACTTGTTTTCAAACTCTTTCTATACTTCGATCGAGTCCAATTTAGCGGACCCACGATCTGAAGTATCATCGACGTCAGGCCCTACAGACTGACAGTTCGATACCAAGTACAGATCAATCAATTGGTGGGTCTGAAGTCGGAAGGGTCCCAGCTGTCAACGATGGCAGGGCACAATGGGATGTCATTTGAGATTGGGGCATATCATTCGAGTTTCGCTGAGGAAGAACTCCATGGTGCTAGAGGATGTGACATGACTATGATGAAAATTGGCCTCATTGACGCATGATTCGCCACATGTCCTGACTCCTGCATTTTGCCGCCATACATAATTCGTTGTTTTCAATTGTTTTCTGGATTCCACAAAGAGGGTCAAGGTTCCACTGCCCCAGTTCTGCATTGGAGCCTGCGTTAGCCCTTCTATGATTGACATTGGCGTTTCGAAGATCGTCAATATCCCAGGGTTCCTTTTTCGGGACTCGGGTATGTGTCATGTGACCCGGGTTACGCGGCTGGTGAGTCATATCGCTAGACCTTCCGAATTGAGGGTCCAAGAATAGAGTCACGATGTGGGGAGTTTGGGGAAGAATTCTCGTCAGACCCGGAAAAAAATCCGAGTGAACAGGAATATGTTTTCGGAATGAGTATTATGTTACTCCATGTCTTCTATGTTGTAGTGCTCATATAATCAAGGTAGCAGATTGTCCAGCAAAAAAAAAAGGTCTTTGGTAATTATTAAGACATAGTGTCAAAAGTGAAGTTATATACATGTATTCATTTTGGTTGTTCGTGAGGGTCATCAAGTCGTGGTATCATGTGTCGGTCGCAAAATGAGGGATTGTAAGGGGCCGGGAATCGAGTGTAGGAAGAAAGTATTGAAGAACGGAGTCGAGTTTAACCCGCCATGGGGGAAACGATGCAAGACCCTCCTGTCCAGAGGTGTTTGGAGGTCGCCTCAAGACAATTGCGACCTTTTTCCAAAAAACCATGCTCGGATGAATTTTCAGGAGACGGTGATGATGCTGGAGCGGCAACAGCTGGAGGAGCGGCAACAGCGACAGGCTGTGGATTGCGGGATATTTGTTCGGCGACTTGAACCGGAGTCTCGTTGGCCGGGGCCCTGTTCTTCAGAACTGGGAGTTCTGTGTTTTTCATTTCGTCCATCTCGTCCTCCTCGTCGGTGTCCTCAAAATCGAAGGAACTGATGCGAGACTTCATATCATTTTCAGTCCACAGGACAGAGCCGCAGTGCAGGCGGAAGTGAGCGACGCAGCGGCGAAGATCGGGGTCGGGAGCAGTGGCTTCACGAGCCAGCTTCTCTTTCGACATGTGCGTGAGTTTGTATGGAAGGGCGTTGCGGTTCGCCATTGGGGGCCAGCGTTTATTTTGCACGATTGGCACCGAGGCCGTTGGTTTGGGGGTCTTGGGGGCCTTCTGCGTGCCAGTGTTCATAGTGGATGTGTGTGGATGTGGATGTGGATGTGGATGTATGTGGATGTGTTATTAAATGGTGAGCATATGAGTGCCTTGGAGATATGGTGTAGTGCGAATGATTTTCGAGTGATTCCGAGTGGAAAGGTTAAGGGCACAGCGTGTCTTATACCCTTTTCCCATTCTCTCGCCCGAACGGGGGGAACCTGGTCCAAGCGCCCGTGTCACCAGATCACGAAACCGGTTCCAGGCCTAGCCTCTGATGGGTCAAAGGGGATCCAGTTTTTATTCCCTTGGACTTTTCCTTTTTTCCCTCTTTTTTTTATGATTCATCGTTCTTTAAACACAGAGCTAATAATCACTAAATATTCCATCTCATCGGTTCAAAAGGGAGTTCAGAACTCGAATACCGGGGGGTGCGTAGCGACTATTCGGACCCTACCAGTGGAGTAAGGGCCCCAGTTTTCCTGATCATTTGATGCTTCGAAAATTTTTCGGTGGAGACACTTCTGCGGAGCTTATCTTGTGCTCTATTCGCCCTGAGGATCCCATGTACGGAGTATGTTGTAGGGAAAATAAAATAGAAACGGGGAAAACTCACGATCCCCACGGATTACTTTCCTTGGAAGTCCGAACCCCCTCATTCTTCCTTTGCATCCTGAGTACGGAGTACGCGGAGTACTCCGTACTCTTTGATTCTTCTTCCCCCTGTTGTTAATCAACCTGCAAGAGAATGGAAATCTCCTTTTTCATTTTTCATTTTTCCTTTTTCCTTTTTCTTTTTTTCTTTTTCCCTTTTCCTTTTGTTCACGGATCAAACGTGCCGGGACTCTCCTTCAACCTACTAAGGCAAGCCTCCCGAGGTCCCGAAGAAGGTGACTCAGCGAGCCCTAACCGCCCAAGTCTAGAGCCAAGGTTGGAATGCCTGCATTCGGTTCTTCCACAGCCATAGAAGTTCCACTGCATTATATTGAGTGCCCCGACCATCTTTGCGCCCCGTACTCCGTACTTGGTGCTCCGTATATATCGTACATATTGTGGTGGGCGGCATTCGTACACCGACAAGTCCAACATTCCACAGACGTCCCACTCAGAAATGTGCCCCTCCTGACGATCTTGGGGAATCCATCCGAAGACGGCTCTGGCCCTTGATCGTCTGGTTATAATATCCGTGCAAAGGCTCCAGAACCCCGCCGCAAACCTACACCAAGTCCTCCGTCCAACCAAACAAATCATATCGTGGCGTCTTACGGAGTAGAATAGAGCGCGCTTACTCCGCTCGTGAGTTTATCCTTCATAATACAATCATATAATAAGGCAGTTGGGAACAGCCATTCTGCCGATACTTCCGATTTTCCAAGGCCCCGCGTCGAATGAAATGGCAAGCCAAGCATGGCTGAAAATGCGCTGGCACGGTCGGCGATCTTCTCAAGTTCCTGTAAAACCCGGAATCCGCACATGAATATCACACAGAATGCAAGAAACTCGCAGAGTAGGGTGCAACGCCGTTGATTGCGAGTGAACAGGCAAGAAGAAAAGATGGTCCGATCTCCTGCAGTAGAGACCCCACTACTTTCAACGCGATGGTCGAAGCTATTGCAGCCACCGAGCCCAAGAACCAAAGTCTAGAATTTCTTGCAAAGGGCTGGACACTTTGGAAAACAGGTTCTTCATCCACTAGAATACTGGTGGGCCCCACAGTCCTTCTAGCGCCAGCGCCTCGAACTAGTTCGCGTCCACACGACCAAGTATGAAATAACAAACCTGACAAATCGTTAAGGGTACTTCAACGATGCACCTCCCAAATGGTGACTTGTTCACACAGCTGCAGCTATGTGTTTTTTTGTGTCTGTAGATCTTATGCAGCACACGTTGCCATCGATGAAGATTCACGATCAGCGAGGCAGCTGTCCGGACACATCGGTCTTGAACAACAGCGGATACCAACGCCCATGTGGAATTATAGATGAGATTGTCGATCATGAGCAACTGTCGATAACAATGATCCGACATACACTACTATCTTGGAGAGATTTATGTCAATGATTGTGACTCGCTAAAGTCGGTCATGGCGCCGTTACTCCCGACAACTACGTTGGAGATGCGGAAAGCGTTTTGGAACAATGATATTTTGTTCCTGGTTTCTAAAGGATAGAGTTCCTAGATCTTGTCCGTCAAGAATTCACGGGGCTTCAAAGCCCCGTGGCCTGGCGTTCCTATTCATACGTGGAAATATTCGCGCTTCTTTCGCCACACTGCGTTCCGGCCCTCCATTTGAAATCCACTCCCTTGCGGGATCCAGAAGGCGAGTCTGATCTCTGGAGTAATCTCTTTTGTACACAGATAGCCACTTAAATGAATTTGCCCCGGGGGCCCGAGCCGTTCTGCGGGGAAACCAGATTTCGCCCAGACTTCCCATTTCGAACCAACCAATTATATATTCTTTCTCGCACTTTCTGTCTGCATTGGCCGCATTTTCCCCTTTAATTACAAAATCCCGTTGGTAATGTGTCAAGTAGCATCTCGAGGTGTGTATTACCAACCGGCCCAACAGTTCCGCCAGCATTCTTTATGTTGAGTCCGTCTTTTTCCAACGAAACAAATCGGAGCCGTCTAGCTAATTCTGATTCGTCGTTGTACAGCAACATTGACATGGATTTGGCTCTTTTATAATATACAAAAGAATCTAGTTTTTGCCCCATAAATATTGGCCCGTTTAAGCTCGTTCAGTCATCGGATCACTGCCATTAGATCCATGATATAATTTTGGGGATATGCCCTTTGACGACCTTTATCGCTCCCCAACACTGACGCCCTAGCGGTAACTACCACATGAAACCGGATTTGTCCTTCAAAAATTCCTCTTTTGGGACTAGAAGATTCCATATCCTGTAGATCTTACTTGATCTCTGATTATGGGCTCTCTGCCCTGTGCACGTCTGGTCATTGCCGCAGCCTGAGACGATTCTGATTCACGCTAATGCATGATCGCGACCAGATTCTGGGGTTTTGCTCATCAATACCGTAAGAAGGACACATATCCGGGTCCCAAATATACTACGGCTGCATCTGAGCTAGTGGCTGGGTTAGGGTCTCCAGCACTTTATGTTATGCATCGGACATCGGACAACTGAAAAAGAACATTGCTATGACCACCATCATTTCGCATATTCTTGGATTAGTAGGCCAAATCATAGTCTCAAATAAAACAATATACCAGTATCTCAGAGTTAGTGCCTACAATCCTACTCGTTACATTTAAGAATTGAAGAGTATGTCTTGGGGGTTTGATGTACTAGAGGAAATCAGGTTCATCCCCGCGATTCATATAAGACCCCGCGAGATATGCGTGATATAATGTACACTGCGAATCTAGAATAGTAGTTCAGTCATACTTACCTGTCGATCTCACTTATCCACATCTCGGGAAATCAAGCAGACCGTTCCCGGTTCTGTAAAAGGCTGAAGCTGTGATAGATCAAAAGCTAGGAGACAACCTTTCTAAATTAGAATCTGTACAACGCGTGGCTACCGATGCATATCGCCAGAGCCATCTCAGGTATGCTCATTATATCAAATAGGGAATAGGGTCTCCTTACTTGTAGGTGTCATGGTACAGCTTATACATATTTTGAATTTCGGTATCTACTTGCCTTCCCCGCAGACTATGGCTAATACTTCTGTTGCGAAGACACGTGACCTCCTAGCACTTTAGTCTAGTCTAGCTAGCTTTCCTTCTTCTTCCTTTTCTCTCAGCACGCACAATACAAGATTTTCCAGTCCACTCCTTCTTATGAGTAGTCGTACAGGATCATCTCTCCATCAGGTTATGAGTCCTTTGCTGTCGAAGCCTCTACATAACTGCAAGCTTCGCATCTTCTGATTCCTCCGACGAGACCCTGGTGCTGCGTCGCACCGACCCATTGTGGGGTGTTTTTGCAGACTTTTCACTGGTCACCCTAACAACACCCTACCCCACCCACCCACCCAACATACCCTACATAACTAGTTATCCCAATTTCTCTCTAGTATCCGAATACCTAGGTAGAAAAACTGGATACTATCACCTCATTGGCCGTTCGACTCTTCTATTAACCGCCGCACAACCTCATTAGCCGTTCGACTTCTGTTGACCGCCGTATCTCATTGGCTGTTCGACCTTCTTATTGACTGCCGAACCCTACATAGACTGCTAATATGTCGGAGTCCTTCAACATTGGGGACTTCGTTATCAGTCGACATGAGATTGACTATGCAGATTCAGTACCGAAACTGAAAGGATAGTCTAACTACAGAGATTGGAAGACAGCTATGTATCTAGCCCTTCTTACTAACAATAGATACTATGCTAGGATGATCTCTCATAGAATTCCCTCCCCAAACAAACCTAAGTACTTCGAAGTCTCTCGACAGGCTATGGAATAGGCTTTACTCGCGGAAGCACGGGAGGTATAGGCACAACGCGACGATAATATTACGATCACTACTACAGATATCCGGGAGAGAATAAAGGAGATTAAGGAAATTAATAAAACACTTCGGAAAAAGTATAAAAATAAGCTTAACAATTAGCAATCTTATAATACCCGAACTCTCATTCATATCCGGAAAACTCTCGTACCCGAGCCCTTATCAGTCATTGCTTAAATTGCGGATGTACGTAAAGCTTTTAGTAAGCTTCGGAAGATATATACGATAAAGTCTTATTAATAAGCCTATACCTACTATTTAAAGTGGATTGACCTACGGTATAAGAATAGATCTCCCTCGGACTTTATAAGGAGGTTTTAAGAGGCCCTTCGTAACTTTATTACTATAGACGAAGAGCCCTCTTAAATAATTAAGCTATATTAGTTTAAGAAGGCTATTATAGAGAATCCTCGTTATCTTTCCTTTTTATAAAACCTACGAGTTAATAAAAAAGATAAGACTTTTATAGAAAGAGTGTATATCGAGTTTATCGAGGTAGAGACTAATAATCGTTCCTTTAACGTTTCTTAATTAACCCTATCTACGAATAC